ACTTGAGGATAATTATCATCCTTGTATATCATGTTTTCCCTTGTAATTATGTCATAATTCAAAGGCTTTCCTGGCGAGCTAAAACCCGGCAGGTTCCTCATCATATAACAAACTTCTCTGAGGAGCAGGCCTATTAATTGTCAGGATATAATTACATTCACAACACCCCGAGGGCCCGTCTCGTTTAGTCATCTTAGACTTACTGCTCCAAACTATAATTAGAGAATGTAATCACACAGGTATGGACCTCCAGGATTTATTTTTTAGCCTGACTGAAGGCTGATTGAAACGACATCTGTGGTTGAGCACCAGGCGGCGTTTACGACCTGGCTCGTGTTCAACAACCACATGCAGTGGCAGTGGGCAACAAACCATACCAGCGGAGTTCACGATTTACATACACAAACATGCACTCATGGATCTGTGGTTCTGCTAATGTGTTTGCTGTGTGTGTTTCCTTGTTACCCTGAGAGTGATTTCTTAAGTGGTGTGTAGACATGTGTGAGTGCGTCCCCCTGTCAGTGCCCTCCTGTGGTTGTGCCACCCTCATGTGGCACTTTCTGCCAGTGTTAACAAGTGACCTCATCTTGTTATGTCTTTCCGATCTCAACTGCCGTCCAATAAACTTCTCATTTCTCACCTCTTCATGCACTCTCTCGCTCCATTAAAACACCTCTTACTTCTCGGTGTGTCACCCACTCAAATAGAGCCCAGGACAGGCGGCGGAGAGCATTAAGTAACTGCTCACGATGAGGTGATTGTGAGACATTTCCTAGTGAGAAGTGATTAATCACTTCGCTTTAAACATTTATGTAATGTGGGTCCTGCTTTCAACTTGAATAAATCAATAATGTACTTCTGCTGCACTGCAGAGATTATTACATCATCTCATTTGTTGTTTTTTGGTTTGCTTTTTCATCATGGCTTTCGGCCATATTGTAATTTACAACTTTTGAATGGATTATGATGACATTTTCTGTAGACATCAGTCAAATCCACCAAAAGACAGCTCAATCCCATTTCACCCGCTGCCTTTACCGCTGAGATATACTTTGTAGGGTAAAGGGTGTCCTGATTCTTGTTTAGATGGAGGGGTATGGGAATATGTTAGAGCCAACGGCCCATCAATTGGAGATTTATCAGAGGCACACTTAAATGGAGTGTTATAAGAAATCTCCCAGAATGCCTTGGAATCATTGGAATGGCTGCTCAGCTAACCAAAGACACTCAAACGTCTACTTTTTATAAGATGTGAAAATTACAATGACGATGATCTAAATTTAAAAATCCTGTGAGGAACTTTTCACTTGTGACAGTTTGGGCACAACATGTTGACATAGCAGTCTGTACTTCTCATATTCTTCACATACTTGGTGTCATCTGACTAAAACAACAACAAAAAAAACTTTTCGTAGAAACCAAAAAACAAAAGGGGTGTTTCTTAAGCTGCTTGGCTGACACCTACCCCCTTGCAATGATTTCAGGCATTAAATATTTTGATAAGATATGATAGAGATTACCACACTCCTCAATAATTGCTGAAGCCTCTTTGGAACATGATAAGGGAAGCTGTTTGTGGATGAGAACAAAGTAGGATCAATGCTAGGGCAAGAAAATCCATGCAAAATCTTTTGTGGTTACTGCTCCCTGCTTCTTCATCTTTCAAGTGATTCCAATAACCACCCAATGACAATAAAAATACAAAGAGTTGTCACTAATTTGGATCACCTTCATTAAAAGAATTTAAATTTGGCTCCATTGTGAGAGCTCCCTGCCCTTCCATGTGCTCAGGTGGAACACCAAAGTCTGCCCAAATGGAAAGCCAAGGCAGGGAGCTGAGAGCTCAAGTTAAGGGACTACAATGAGGTGACATCTTAGCAGACAGCTAGCAGCACTTAAGAATAGGTAGCAATTATTTTTAGAGCAAACAGTAATCACTCGGAACAAAAGAGGTTGAATTATCCTGGGTATGTTATTGTTACACATTGAACCGACAAAGCAAGCGTCAACCAAATCCCTTAATTACTCTTAAACGTAACAAACCACATAGAAAACATCAACTGGACTGTGTTCAGTCTTGTGACCACGAAAAGGGCTTTTACATCAATTCCATAACTTCACTCAAACTGCAGAGGCTATAGTGATAGTTAGTGCCTATCAGAATTTGCTACTACCATTTACACGCAACTGGCCAGTTTGGGATTGAGTGTCTTTCAAGGACACTTTGGCCTACATCTATGGGTTGCAGCCCCCAACTTTATATTTGAGAGAGACAGACTCGACCATTGATCCATAACCACCTTTGCAGCCATTGAATATAGAAGTTATAATCAATAAGGTCAAGATCAAGTCACCACAAAAGCATCTGCAGATTCATAATCAAAGATGATACAAAAACATTTCCTGGACTACTAGCTTTGCTGTGGGACACACATGCCGCAAGACTTGTAAGAACCAACCAAGCTAGTTGCATGAGCAGCAAAGCCCGAGAGTAATTCAGACGCTACAAGAATTTAAATACATGAGAAATGGTTACTTTACTTTGAATACTTTACAAGACATAAACGCATTTTTAAATCTCAATTAAAAACTTATTTATGCTGGCTTTTAATACCCAGTTGCAGGGTGACACTTTATTTTATTGCATTGTATTTTATTCTTTTTTTATTGCTTTTATTGCTTTTATTGTTTTTATTGGTTTTATTTATTCCTTTTTATTTTCTATCGTAAAGCACTTTGGTTCACCCGAAAAGGTTGTTGTAAAGGGCTGTATAAATAAAGAACATTTACATCTACATTTACATAAAAATTTTCAACAAGGCTCAAGGTTTATGAAAGAGAAAAATATTACAGCAGTTTGCATATAAATGCAAGTTGTATTTTCTACTATATGAAACCACCTCTTACACTGCATCATTAACACATTCATAAAGCCGTAGAGATACATGTATAGGGAAAACCACAGCTTACAACACTTCATAAACATTGCTGTAAGCTGTTATGAAGGCTTATTGTCACTCATAGAATGTTATAAAGCCGTAAAGATACTTTATAAGGGTTTATAAATGTGCTTCTGATTCATATAAAGTGTCAGGAAGCAAGATGTTAAGTTGTCTTAATGTTAAATCTGCAAATCCTTATCTCTTCCTGAACTTTGTAATTAGTAAACTTTCTGACCTGTGACACAGTGTATCTGCAGGCTGTGTGAATTTGTAATACATGCTGAGTTTGTTTATACCTCAAGTAAAACAAAAGAACCTGAAACCCAAAGCTTATGCAACCAAATGAAAATCTCTTCAGCCCAAACTTATCACCCTCTTTGTTCATGCTAAAGTGAATTCTTAGAGTCTGAAATACACGTTTTCTTTTTGACAGCATGACAGTGTAAACACGGCTGTTTAATATGAAAGCTCCCAAAGATCTGACCCCAAACAGGTTTAGAGTTGAACACTGAAACATAGAGGACTGTTGCATCACTGGAATATTCTGGTGAGGAGATGACACAGAGCAACAAGAATTCAACTTACTGAACTTTCAGGATCCTTTTTTTTTCCTCTCTTTTTTTTAAGATCTTCAGCCAGTGACTTTGGCTTTCATCTCTTCCATAAATCTAACAGTGATTAAAGAAATGTCTCGCTACATGCAGGAAGATTAAGTTAATGATCTTCACTGTTTCCCTGAATGGAATATTAATCAAGAACGAGAAGTTGAAAATGTTGCTCTTCCTATTAAGTTCAGGGTACGGGTGAGTCACAGAAAAAGTGGGTGAGCAATGTTTTCTCCCGGGGGTTGAATCATGCATGGACAGCAAAAACACAGAGCTCCAGTGGAGATGGGGTTAAGGGAGCAATGACACATAATGTATCATCTTACACGTCCCTACACTGCTCTGACTAAAGCTCTACACAACCGAATGATTGAGTAACAACTTACCATAAAACCACTCCCAACCAATTTCACATCTAAATAAGCCCTGTTTGTGCATGTGTGTGTGTGTGCGTGTGTGTGTAGGCTTCACATTTGTCCCTCAGCATATTACATGACTACATCCCCTCTGGATCCCTTTAACTAAGATAGATATGATGGCTGGGGCATCGTGTTCACTGCATTTATCATTGTTACACTCCGATGAAATCATCCTCACATTTTCCCAAAAGCATGGAAAAAGCAGCGGAGCATTTCACACAACTGCTGAATTTTCCGTCAAACTGTACATGAAGTCAGATTTAGTTGCAGAGTTGCACTTTTTATAGTCCGTTTGAAAATGTGGTAACCCTTTCTTTTACGGTAAACTTATTACCAGGTAATTAACAGGTAATTACCTAGTAACAACATGAAATTATCTGGTAATTACATGATAACTACTAAGTCAATACTGTCTGTTTTTTCTTTTTTCTGTGCACCTCAATTTTCAAAAGCTATTTGGGGTTCTTATTTTCTATGATTGACACTTGATACAGCCTATGGACGTACGAAGATTGCGTAGCGATACGCTGTTTGAGCCGAGCATTATCACAGCGACTCACCCGCCGAATGCGCACAATGATACTGCGCAAGTGGTGGTTCCAGGAAGCGGAGAAAATCCTGGAAATACCAGAGCAATTCGGCTTCAAATTTGTATGATGATGGAAGGTTACCCACCTGGTAGCTAGACAGTTTTGACCTAGTAGTTATCATGTAATTACCAGATAATGTCATGTTTTTAGTAGGTAATTACATGTTAATTACCTGGTAATAAGTGTATCGTAAAAGAAAGCGTTACCGAAAATGTTTGTTTATTCATTTATTTATTTGGATCCCCATTAGCTGTCGCCCTAGGCAACCGCTACTTTTCCTGGGGTCCACACAAAATAAAAATACATACAACAATGGATTTAAATATAAACACTTATCCAAACAAACTAAATAAATGTAAACAAGTATCTAAACAAAAAGACACTTAAACAAAGGCTAATCCATCACTACCGTTTAAGATATTAAGAGAAAAAAGAAGAAACTGATCCCATTTATCCATCAAATTTTATTCAACAACATAACTTCAGCTCTCCAGAGTACAGTCAATATAAGATACGTATGAAAAAATATATTTTAAATAGAAAAGAAAATCATTAAGGCATCTAAATGAAAGACGTTGACAGTCTTTATAAGATTAGTGTACATTTTTTTGTGTTATACCTCTAAGGCACTATGGCATGTTCACTGCTGAAACCACTTTAAAGACTTCAAAGCAAAGATGGATCCCTTTCTACACATAAAAAGGTGACAACATGTTGGATTTTAATGTGGTTTTCAGTGCTGTGTGTCTACAGTGTAAAGTGTTTCAGAGATTCGCCAGAGCAAAGCAGGTAGTGAAAGATTTCTCATTCTGCCAAAAGTGTGGTGGCATCGTATTAACACTCAAATAATCCCCTGTGTCACACATGGACCAGCTACAGGGCAAAGAGCTGTAATTATGTTTATCACGCAAGCCAGCCTGGTGCCGGTGTGACTTCCACGCTGGGACCGACATAAGAAAGGCGGGCTGTTCCTCCGGAGGATCTATGTGGCACCAACAAGCGCTCGATTGGCAGAGGTGTGTAGCGAAAGTTATTTCCTTTGCGTGTTCTTGAGTTTAAAAAAAAAAATCTCCATTAATGCCTCTGAATCGAGAGGGGGGGCATCAAAGAAACGTATAAACAGCTCGACCGCGTCCACCGAGGGTGAGAGAACAAACTCCTTCTCACACTTTCTCTTTGCACTTTCACTTGCTTGCATATTTATATAAACAAAGCCAGGCACACACACGCACTCACACAAACACACACACACACACATGCACGCACTTTTTTTTTTTTTTTTTACATGACCTAACTCCGGTGAGTAAAGCCTACCAGCATCAAGCCTGTTGTCATACAAAGTTTACTACTCCCTTAGCTTGCAGGCACATTCCCTCCCTCTACACTTCTGAACTGTTCTGGACTTCTCTGGAAATTATTACTCATGAGTAAAACTATACAGAAACTCGCATGAGCAGTGTGGCGCAGCAGTTCTACAATCTATGACATTATTCGAACAGAAGATGTGATTTACAAGGTGAAAAGCTGCTCTTATTGAGTATTCCTCATGTACACTTTTTATAAAAACACATAAGACTTCCCTATAACAGAGTGCTCCACTGATGCACACACAGGTTATTGTAAGCAGTAAGCAGTAAATGTTGATAAATCTGCATCAAAGGTAAGTCACAGGGAGGATGTGTCCACTAGGCCTCTTTTTCTCAGTGTTTGCTTCAGGAGCTTAAAGTAAGAATTATTTGGACTTTGAATGAAAACTCTTAATTTTGGGTTGATTACCTCTTTTTCTTCACTTTCTCAAATCACTTTGCTAATCCCGCCAATGTAGTCTCACTCTGCCCTCTTAAATTTGTCAGAAAATGTGAAAAATAAAGGTTTTTCAGTCTGCATGCTGTAACTAGCTCCACTAAGATCCAGAACATGGGAGCAGAAAATTACACATCAGCGTTTGGTTTGGTTTTCTATTCACTGTAGAGGCATCAGGAATTAATTTGTTATCTTCATAGACAGTAAAAAAAAAACACACAACGCCACTTAAAGAGAGAAAGATGCCCAGTGGTCACATTACAGGCTGGAGTGGTCTGTCAGGTCAGGAGCAAGCCTATTGAAACTGCTGAGCTGCTGTATAAGTCTGGTTGTTATATGATGTATGCTGTATTTGTATTGTATGAAAATGAACTGTATGTTTTGCTGGCATCTGCTGTGTTACACTGCTGTGTTTGCTGACCCAGAGTTATTCGGGGTTTGCTGGTTACTGTGGCGCTCAGAAGGCGTACGGCCCGACTATGATGGTGAGCCGCAGGAGCGAGTTGGAACGGTAGTTCATGGTCAGATGTTGAGTGATCATCTCCAGATCCACCACATACTCCCTGGGGCCTGTCAGGGGCTTGGTTAGCACCAGCATGGCGCTCACATTGCTGGAACGCTGCAAGAAAATAGGATCACACGATATATAATTATGTTATTTGACATAATTTACCGCTTTAAGGATTTATGTTGGTTGCTAAGGGAATAGCGTTGTCACCAGAGTGTTGTTAGCATTTGGCTTTGAGCTCACTGAGCCGTAAGAGAAGTTTTTGCTATTCAATCATGCTTTTCACTCTTTGGTCCTCTTCCAAAATGATGTGGAAATGATTGTGTAATATTTATTTTAAGAGTCAGCATGTTTGCATCGTCATGTTTGCAGATTAATTGATATGCAGGACAGTGGATGGAAAAACATAAGCCATGGCACCACAGGTTGGAGTTGAACCAGGACTATAGCCTCTGATTTCAGAGTAGAGTAGCTTATTAAAGTTGGGGTGGGCAGGATTTCGTTAAAGAAGCATCTTTTTTGTGGTGTTTATACAAGAAAGCTTTTAATATCAGTCATAAGCTATTAGCTAGCCAATAGCCATTAGTTATTGATGACATTTGGTGATATAACAATATCACTGCTTTCTGTTATGTTTGTGTAGTCAACATTTTAAATTTTTTGAGCGGCCCGCTCTTTCTGACTGTAAACAAAGCTTTTCTCCACCTCCCCAACCTGATTGGTTGTGAGGTGGACACTGCACCTTAGTGCTGATTGGTTGTGAGGCAGATGCTGCTTCCCATGTCGTTCACGAGCCTAAACAATGTTAGTGTGCTACAATATCGGACAGTAGAAACTAACCAGAAAGTACGGAAAATTGTCTGAATCCTCCTTTGGCCACTACTGACAACACAAGCAAGACAACGGAGTAAATACCAGAGACTCCGGCGGAATAACAGGCGCTTAAAAAGGAGGTAGACCACCGGACAAGACCTAAGAAGGCGGGTCAACATAAAACGATAGGTGACGCTTCAGGATCTTACGGACCCTGTAACCTTTCTGCTGGACAGGTAAACCGCTTTGACAAAGTACAGAAGTGTTTCTTGTCAAACGGGACCTGCTGTGTGTCGTAGTGTCGCTTAACTGTTGACCTCGGGTCCTGGACTATGTCACTTTATCCTAGTTGTAGAAGTCCTGCAAACATTGTGTTTGCTGGAAGTCTGTTGGCATCTACAGTAGCACCAACGCTTTTCGCTTTCACGTTGACTGGGCCACATTTTTGATTATCTTAAGTATTTATCTGCATTATATCTGAATTTAATTGAAACGATACAAGTGAGCAGGAGCGTCTGTTTGTGGGCGGGGCTTGCTGGAGCAGAGAGGGAGGGGAGAGGAGGAGCTGAGGGGAAAATTGGTTGGGAGGGGTAGAGTTTACATTCAAGATTTCTCCCCAAAACTGGCTCTTCCTCAGATCCTGCCTACCCCACCTTTAATGAGGCGATACATCATCAGTTTAGCTAACAGATGCAATATGCTAATAAAACATCAGACTGGGTAATAATGCAGAGCGGCTGTTCAATAACTGAACATTATTTAGCTTCAAACAAACAGCAGATTACGACAGTTTAACAACAGTTTAGGATTTAATCTCAGCCTATCATTCCTCTGTCAAAGCCTCCCATTTGTTTTCATGCAACATAAAGTCATAACTCTCACTTACTCGCAGGAAAAACTCTCCCCCTTCATTGCCAGCTTTGATCCTGAAGGTATTGTGTGTGTTGGCGTAAATGTTGGTGGCCTGAATCTGGAAGATGTCGGCTGGCACTGTCCGCTCTGCCTGAATGCTCATGTATTTGTAGACAATTGATGGAGGGAGGCCCTGGCACTCAGCCTGAGACCGGCAGATACAGCGACTGAAAACATACAGTTATGACAGTCTCGGTTAATAAGTTGGCTGAACTGACTCCAGTGAAACTAAAAACTTGAAAGATGTTTACTTACTTTTCGGAGGTTTTGACGTAAGGTGCCTCGCAGGGGTTTCTGGGATAACAGCGGAAGCCTCCGTAATAGTTCCAGCACATTTCATCATCTTGGCAGTTATGGGTCCCTGTCTCACACTCATTTATGTCTGGTGATTGGCAGGGTGACAGAAGCAGAGAGAAAGATATGTACTCGACAGTCAAAAATAGCAGGAAAACAATTCGAGTAACCCCAAACTTCCAAAACTCACAAAAACTCCACATGCTTCATGAAACGGATCTGTAAAAACACGGTTAAAAGTTCAAGACATGTACCATTGGGGGAAAAGCGTGTAAGGATTGTTAATTTATTTCTAACAGCTGTGGAGATGCAGAAACACAAGAGGGAAGCCTGCAGACTTGTTGTTGAGGGAAGCCCCTGATGCAACCCCATACAGGCCTAACTGCAGCTCTTTTCCTGCTGCATGATGAAAATAACCCCATCAAACGTGCCCCAAACCACAGGGCTATTTCTGGCACAGCAACCCGGATTCATCACCAAAAGGTCCCTTCATGGTTCCTCCTGTAAAACCTGCACCTGACCGAGGGGGGAGAGGAAAAAATAACAGCTCACTCTTTGAGCGAGCGCCGGAGCCTCAAATAAATCTACTTCAAGAAACCAACATCATGCATATAAATTCACAGAGGTGGCAACGCAAAGTTGTTATGTTTATGTTGCTTAACCTCTGCATTTTTCCATGACAGTAACCAGGTCTAGAGCCGCTTTCATTCCTGCTTGAAAAATAGACGCTGATAGCAGAAACGATCAAGGTATCTTCAAAGAGCAGAGGAGGAGGAGGAGGAAGGGAGAAATAACTTTGTTGTGAGTTATAACAGAGTTTGGAAAGATAAACAGCTAAAACTGGTTAAAAGAAAAATTCCTGGAAGAATATCTGGAGAGGGAAAATAAAGTCTGCGGTACCTTGACACAATGTGTTCCCCTGGAGCTGATATCCATCTGGACACTCGCAGGAGTAACTTCCTGGGTTGTTGATACACTGATATTGACACATGTAGCTGGAAAAGCTGCACTCATCAATGTCTGCGAGGAAAAACATGAATACACAAAAACATGAGTGCTCGACATACAGACACACTTTGATCTAATATAGTATATCTACGAAATTAAGTCTAAAGGTCCTTTCACACTGGGAGTGGTTTTTTTTCGTGCGATTATTTTGGATGTCAATATTTTTTTCGAACCCGTATCCTGTCAGTAAAAGCGTTCACATCAGCGACATTTTCCCGCCCTGCGATATTGCAGCATTTATTTTTTTGCCTCACTGTCAATTTTTCTAAAGTTTCCCATACTGTGTGTCCACTTCTGACCGATCAGATTTCGTGTTGTTGCAACATCAGATTCACCGGTATATCCAACATGGCCGACCGGCTGATTGTTTACGTGTCGGAGAACAGTGTGCTTTTTGATAAAAGACACAAACATTACAAAGATAACAACCTGAAGGACAACTTGTGGAGAGTCATAGTGTTGGATTTCTCATATGACGATGGTTTGTGTTCTTTAACAGTTTGCTAAAAGTCTTTGTTTTAACTTTCATCTGTGCTAAGTAACTTTAGCTCGTAAGCTAACCTGTTCAGATACAACATAGTGTATTTTCACTGTCTCAAACTCAATCGCGTTGCTGTCACAGCACCATTTGGTCTCAGTTGTTACCTTACGTTTATGGATTATAGTTTAATGTGCTTATCTGGTACTGGCCCTGACTCAGTACATGCTGTCATGACAGACAGACATCTCAACACTAGAGTCTAATCAGAACTGAAAAACAGTCAGTCTGCTGTTGTGTCAGTCTTCTTGCTTCCACCGGGAAAGTCGCAAAATTGCATTGCGCTTGATGTGTATAGTCAGGCACATCAAAATTCACCTCCAAATATTTCGTAATTTCACGTTATATATTTGCGTCATTCCTGGTGTGTAAGGACCTTTAGGAAGGTTGCTTGTATCTGTGTGCCTACCTTGACAGGAGACTTCGTCCTGTGCGAGCTCGTAGCCCTGGTCACACTGGCAGAGGAAGGAGCCGATCAGGTTGTAGCAGTGGTGCTGACAGGGACTCTGATTATCACATTCATTCACATCTGGAACAAAAACAGATCTCTGAAATATTTGTATAAAACAAATAATGTTCTATGTTTGCATTATTCATTTCTGCACAATTTCCGATCATTTCCATTTTTATCTGCCCTCTGTGTTTGAATAATCGGGCTGGGGTTTTTAAATACTTTCTCATTGGCTCAATTGTGTACATAAGCAGATTTCCCTTTGTCGTAAGCAGAATTCAACATGTTACAGCAAAACTGTGAGCAGGTCAAGAGTGTTGTTGGCTTTCTTTGAGATAAACTGTCCTGTTTCACAGGATATTTTCAGTTACTTTTTTTTTAGCTTTAGCTGGCGATCTGCTGAGTGGGGTCAAGTTGCTTGGTTGCATAATCTCATAATAGTTCCAAACTTCAAAACATCATTTTTTTTTCTCTCAGAGCTGTGGCTGACCTCAAAATATATCTGAGAGAAGTTGGGAAGGAGTGAAACATGCTGAGTATTTGCACAACACCTTCGTAACATACTTTTTTATTGCCTTAAAATCTGGTGTAGATGATCCACTTTTAATACTTTTTTGGGTCATCTAAAATGTGAGCTGTGTTCTGTGTACGGATGAGACCAATATACAAACTTAAAATGCAGAATAACATTTTATTGTCCTGCAGGATATTACTGAGAAGATGTGAAGAGAAGCCACTTCACTGTGGAAGCCACTTAGCTGCAGCTTTGTTCCTCATTAGGCGATAGTCATGAATTTAATGAAAATGGTGGTGCGCTGTGAAGTACTTCATTCTTGTTGAGCGCTGGTTTAATTGGACATACTACACAATCTAAGATAATTAGTGACCAGTGGAGGTGTATGGCATTAGTCTCAATTACCACAGTCAGCAGGGTGGTGAAAAAAAAAGGTAATAAAATGAGCTTCAAAGTTGCATAGAAGCTGCACATTGTGGACTTCATTGTAAGCAATGGAAGTCTTAATGCAGCAAGTCAGCTGAGGTGATATCCTTTTAAGATACTTCAGAAAACATTTTATGCATGTGATATGACTTTTCTGGATTTTAATTAGACTTGTTCAAGCTCTTATATCTACTTTTTGAGTGTTTGATTTTGCATGTACACTAATCTCTATAAATCTCTTTTTTACATCCATGTGGTCCTTTTTTGCTTTGGTATACAAAGTTCTACAAACTCAGCTTTGGATATCTAAACATAAGGAACGGTTATCAAAATGATCATAAATTAAATCGAATCCATTAAAGTCAACCTGGCCACGGATTAAGTGGAAATCCACATCAATAGAAAATGTCCACTACCCTGCATCTTTACACAACGCCAAACCAAAACACATGTTTTAATCTGATACTGTACAAACACACACACACACACACATGAGCATACATGGCTTTTTAACGACTTACCCTCACAGCTGTGGTTGTTGCTGCTCAACTTGTAACCTAGGTTGCACTCACAGTAGTATGAGCCCTGTGTGTTCACACATCTGTGCATGCAGTAGTGACTCAGGGCACACTCATCTCTATCTGCAGAAAAAAACAATCACACAGAGGAGAGTTTTAAATACACGGAGAGTAAAAAAAGACTTCTTGAAGTGTGATCAGAGAGTGCGTTTTGCTCACCTATGCAGTGATCTCCACTCCTCTGGTAGCCCGGTTGACACTGGCAGATGTAGGCACCTCTGGTGTTGTAGCATGTCTGCTCGGGGCCACATGTGTGTCTACCTGTTGCACATTCATCTATGTCTGCAATAAACACACACACACACACAAAGACTCACTGAGGGGAAGCTGCACCAAGTTAGTGCCTCCTGTGTGCAGGAACATATGGCAGACAAAAGCAAAACAACATGTCTGGGTTGTATGTACTCTGTGATCTGTGATGTGTGAACTGTTTTCCACAGACAGTAAAACTGCGTGATCACGGACATCATCACATCTCACACGTGGGGCATAAACACACATGTTCACACAGAGAGCAGGCAATTAAATAAGGAGGGCTTTTATTCAGCAGCTCCGGGTGCAGAGGGAAAACACAGATCCTATCTTCTACATACAGGACAGCTTCTTAAAGGGGGAAGCTTGTGTGTGTGTCTGTGCGATTGTGTGTGTATGAAAGAGAGGAAAAAAAAGATCTCAACTTCTCTTGATAAGTTATGTGCTTTCTAGCATAACGCCTTTCTCTCCTCTTCACCTAACATCAATCAACCAAAAACACACAGATCCAGACACATGCGTTCTCTATCTCTCATCCCATCATTAATAAGTTATATAACATGATAACTGGTAGGTTGATGAAGCTTAAAAACACAAAGACATCGCCAGGAAGACGCTACACTGCAAAACACTTTTACTTCTCTTTCAAATTTCCATGCTGTAAATGACCGGACATATTTATGACCAGGACACTCAAGTTTCCAACTCCATTATGGCCACAATAAATCCTACTCATAACATCCTCTGTTATTATTTTTCAATAGTCACCGTGAAGATCCTGATGTCCCATTTTAGAGTGGCACTATTGTATCTGTTTTTACATAGATGGTGACTTTACATGACTATCATCTGCCTTTTGCATGCACAAATTAGCCAATAAAGTAATTTCAATTTTATTCTGAAAGACATAATCCTTTCAGGAGTAAAAGTGTTGGTGAAATAAAGTCAAGTGAGGACTGGTTAAACCTCCAAGAACCCAGCACTCCCTCAAGATTTTAACACAAAATACAATTTTAAAAAAGTTCTTATATAAATCCTACAAACACGTTTTCAATTTTGGTTTGGCTGCTTTTTTTTTCCCCTCTGAACTTCTATCTTTCTGTGTTTCTCCCACACTTACACTCCCTGCAAATATGCCCATACTGTATACTCTCATCCCTGTGGGCCCACCAGCAGTCCTCTTGGGTGGTCTGACACAACCCATCATATTGCAGACAGCCAGTGGGCATCAGTTTAAAAGCATGACAGACAGTTATCCTCCGTACCACACACACACACAAACACACGGACAGAAAAGGAGGAGGGGGAGCTCGAGCTGGAGTGTGATTTGACACACATGTAACCAAACTTTCACCAGACTGAAGAACTTTCACTAGTTTTTTTTTTTTTTTAACTCAAGTAGAGATGTCCCAGCAAGAAAGTTCATGTGACCTTTGACCTCACTTGGCTTGTAACATCATAGGTCTGATGATATTGCAGAACAATGTAAACATACAATATTCTCTGAGCAGTGCTTAAAGGTGTGGTAGGCAGAAATCCATTAAAGGAGCCTCTTTTTTGTGGTGTTTATACAAAAAAGCTTTTAACATCTGTCAATAGCTATTATTTACTGATGACATTTGGTAATATAACGATATCACTGTGTTTTGTTGAGTCTATGTAGTCAACATTTTAAATATTTGAGCGGCCCGCTCTTTCTGACTGTAAACAATGTTATTCTCCACCTCCCCAACCTGATTGGTTGTGAGGCAGACGCTGCTCCCCCGTGTCATTCAGGAGCCCAAACAAAGTTAGCGTGCCACAACAACAGACAGTAGAAACCAACCAGAAAGTATGTAAAATTGTCTGAATCCTCTTTAAAACACAACTGCAAACACAATTAAGAAAACAAAGTAAATCCCGAAGACTCTGGGGGAATAACGGGGCTTAAAAATGAGGTAGACCGGACAAGAGCTAAAAAGCCGGGTCAACATCAATGAAGCATAAATGCTTTGGGGACGCTTCAGGATCTTACGGACCCTGTAACCTTTCTGCTGGACAGGTAAACCACTTTAACAAAATCAAATCATAAGATGGCTACATCAACGAAAGTTATATTAGCGTTTGTTATTTTAATTATTTTGAAGTTATTTTATCATTCCCTTACGTAGATGAAGCCATCGTTTCCACCTCCGATTTTGCTTTTTTCCGACTTGGTAACTGAAACTCTGGTAACTCGGGTGTGACGTCATTCCCAGCTCGGATATCTGACTTCTGAGGTAACTCAATGCAGCATAAATATGCAGACTTGACTGTGCTTGCCCATTACATTTGGTCAATTTATTCTATTCATATACCCACCCCATTTTTGTGGCACAAATAGTGATGAGCTACGCTTCCTATGTCAAAAATTGGTCCATAGCTTCCAGTCAGATATGACTGTCCTACAGCCCCTAACATCGTTTTGCACTAGGAAAGAAAACTAATTTATTTGGAGCAGAAGACGCCCAAAAAAACAAAAAAAGGTGCATAGAAGATAAGCTGTCTTTATATCTAGAAAAAGAAGTGGGAAAGAAAATGCCCAGCTTCAGGGTTTCCAGTGATAAGACGGACAAAAGCAGCGCATATCGTAATGTGAACATGAGAGACAACAGGTGTAAATTACACACTAAGGGGTTTGTCTCTCATTGCTCTGCTAAGTAGAGGACAAAGATAAAAGCGACGTTGATCTGAGAAACCTACACTCTGATGTGGTTTTGAAAGGCAGCTGGGAAAGTGCATCAGCAGGCGGCTCCAAGAAAAACCAAAAGCTTTGAATTCAGCAGAATCGCACTTTGGGATCCTGACCCACCTGCAACAACCTGAGGGCTTCACAGCATGGTTGTAAAAGCAGGGTTCATTACAGGGTCTCTGGAGATGCCTCAGATATGTAGCACTAAGATTCAACCGCTTGTAAAAACATAACTCACCTGCAAATGATCTCTCCATGTGTTGAGTATGGAATTAGTTATACATCAAAAACTTACTGTGTTAGCTTTCGGATGATTTGTTGAGCAGGTTACATCTGTCTGGATGGTGATGTCTGACATTTTTCTAACTGTGCAGGACACTGTCATTTTACACTAAATATAAGACACCAACAGGTTCACAGCAGAGGTTACAGCAATTTCTTAGTCAACACAAAATCAGAGCACAACTACAGAGAAACTGGCTTAAAAATATTCATGATATTGTCTGCCATATCGGTAGTCTTCTAAATTCCCCTCTGTATATTGGATTCACTATCAGGTTCAAAAGTCTCATCTTGCTTTGACTCTATAATAAACACAATACCAAGAAAAAGTGCGATGAATATCAACAAAAAAAGACAGAAGGAAGCATCAGTGAGAAGCCAGGATTAAGTCCCAGGGAAAAACAACCACACCTTCTTACTGGATGTATCTGATGAATCACTGAGACTAGAAATGCCCTGCCCTCTGGCAGCAGATTTTGACAGGTCTGAGATTTCTAAGTTCCTGATGCTGTAACAGTGCCAAGACACTGATTTCAATGAACTCTAATGGTTTTGCTGACAGACAGAGAAACTGATCAATTTTCATTCATCAGAAATGCTGACAGAAGAAATGCTACTTATTGTCACTGAGCCACTTTTGTAGGAGATTGTTCACTATCAATACAGATCATGTTTTAAGTTCAAACCTCGTGCAAAAACTTGTCAGAGTCTTGTTAGGGTCTCATGTTAGCCTGTCTGAAAGATTCTTAGTTTGTCATGACAGAGATTTGAGGTTTTTATTGTGTGTAATGTTGTGGACGACTGAACACACAACAGTCCACAAATCTAAGTCTTTATAAGGGAAAATGTTTGAGCAAATGTGTGCAGCAAGCTTGATTGTTTCAGTCTACAGCCCTGATTAACACGAGGCTAAAAGATTTCTCCATGATTCAGCTCTTGATAGCAACATTTGGGGTGTTTGTTGTTAGGTTACTGCACATTATCTGCCAACAGTTTGACACAGCAAGGATACTTTTGGCACTGCACAGATGTTTTTGGTTCCACTGAGGAACTATAAAAGTCACCAAATAAGGTGTCACCGGTGCAGGGCAGACATCAGCAGCTGGATGATGCTCCAACACTCACCTCTAAAAGGTGCAGAAATCACAAACTGCCTCAGAAAGAAAGAGCTGCACATGGCTAACTTTACAACAAAGTGGTGTCTCTTAAGATGTTCTGTGAAAGGAAAGTACAGAGTCATCCTCACTCCCTTCAAAGAGGTTCGGAGAGAGCGCTAAATAAAAGCACATGTGCTGTATGCCATCCAAAGGTTCATTCACGGGAATATCTTGTGGTAACTGCTACTTTGTCACTAAACCTTTCAGAAGCTGCCAACACAAAGTTCCACCAGAGTTTGTGTGTGTGTGTATATAACTGTGCGTATAAGTGTGTATGTGTATGGGTGGGGTGGGAGGGCATCCCGCACTGGCTCAATCTCTGCTCCTATAAAGTTCCCCAGCTTACAGCATGCAGCAGAGTCCATACGGTTTGCAGGGGGAAAACAGATTTTACGTGACAAGCCATCAAATGTGATGATGTGTTGCGTGTGGGGAGAAGTGACTCTGGTCTCTGAAGTCGTTTTTTTTTTCCCCCCTGAAAATATATTCAACACAGCTTTAATGCTTCTTGTGAGAGCGAGGCTGCAGCAACATGACAGGGGGAGATAAGGCTGTCCAGCAGAAGAGTGGAAGATGTGGAAGGAAAGAATGAGGAGAGAGGGTGGAGGGTCCTTTTTTTTTAAACAAAAAAGGGCTTTTTAAGATTTGAAGTTAGATTTATGGCCGTGTGTGCTTATGTGATGTCAGAGTTAAAAACTCCTTGCTTTTTAGGGAGATTAATTCTAAATGCCTTGTGGGAGTTGGGGGAGTGACGGGGAATGGCAGCAGCTCAAAGAATGTGTGTATGTTCGGTGTGTGTGTGTGTGTGTGTGTTTGTGTGTGCAGATGAGTGGGTGTGTGTGCATCAGAGGTCCTATTTGAGGTGCTGGAACATTACATGGCCTTTTTTGATTTCGCAGGGATATGAAGAAACGGGCACGCACATCCAAAACAGGGACTAATACTGTTTGGCCCAAATTCAGAACAATGTGTTGTTTGCCCCAGATTTATAGTGACATGATAGGGCTTGTTGTAATTATCACTTCAGACCATTTTGTCTTGTTTTCACTGAACCGCTGCAATGGAAAAGCAGGAGCTGTTCCAAAGAACAGTTGGAGCCATCCTGCTGTTGGACAGCGTCTCTGTTTCCCTCTGATTATTGGATAATTCAATCTTTGGGAAAGCAGGGGGCAAGAAGTGCGATGTTAATAGCCCATAAAATTTCACAACGTCAAATTTATTCCCATGTCATACGCCAGCCCCCAGTTTGGATTTGCTTGACCTTAAGCACCTAAATTCACCCTTTATGACAAACACTGGGGTAGAAACTGATGTATCCCTTTCAAGAGAAGCCCAAATTTAAAGTAGATAAGGATTCAACACACCCAAACCTTCTCTTCAGTGTGTTTCCATCCATTTCAGAGCATGCGGTATTTCATGCTCTTGCTATCAGCACCACTCCCAAGATTCCCCTCTCATTGTTCAGGAGGAACAGGAGTTTTAGTCCTGCTGACACTCACTAACTGATTTGTGAGTTTGTTCCACTCTTCTCTAAAGGTCGGGCAGAGTCCTGACATTCTTGAAAATCCGTCCAGTGCACAAGCTACATTCCCCCACTGATAGTAATTCTTCCTGTTACTCTGAAAATGTCTAAAAAAAGGAAGTCCTGTTATTCAATATGAAGACGATCAATCTGTCTGCCCAAGTCAAATGCCAGTAGTCAGTCTGTGGCTATTCAAGGCCTTTAACGCCAGATTTGTTGCATGAAAGAAGTGAAGCATGTACACACAAACAGTGAAAATACGGCCAAGACAGAAAAAGGAGAAGCTGCGAGGAATGGAGACCGAACGATTGAATGTCAACCAGCTGAGCGCGACAGTGATTTATAGCAGCTCTGTGTCCCTTTCCATCATGAGGTAAATGGAAAGAGCTACACATGTAAGCACATCAGAGGAGGAAGCAGCTGGATGTTGGATAGGCACCGACCTTAGAGAGAATAATCACAACAACATTAAGCAGTAACACCGAGGATGCACGGCAAAGCTGCTTCCGTCTGCTCCGCTCTGCCGCCGTGGATGTGACGGCAGCGAGAGGCTCGCAGCAAAACAAAACACAACACATGGGAAAAGATGGGATCACTGCGAGATGGTCCGATTAGATTTACGCTCTCTTGTCTTCTCTGTGGCTATGGAAGAGCTCTAAGTCCTTAACTGAACTTTATCACGAGATAGAGGCCTGATGTTAAATTCATCCAGGTATAAAAAAGCACCGCAGTATTTCTTTATCAGCAGCTGAGATGTTTCAACATCAACAGGTTTTCTGGCTCAGTGTACAGAATGGAAAGAGTTTTTTAAGGCCAAAAATCTCAGCAATGTTAATTCATAAGTGCTGGCTATGAAACATGGCCAATACATGATGTTTGAGGCAGATAATAAAAAGATTATTCAACTTTAAAAAATAATGTGGTAATGATAATGAAGTATAGACATATTTCTTTATCTAAACAACTCAAAACAACACACAAGTACAGAGTAAGTTAAGATGTAAAAAGAAAAAGTATCTAGTGAAAGCCCATCATGGTGATTCAAGCAAATGTAGCTATTTGCAAACTAGCATTGTGTGGCAGTTTGGGCCACTGACTATGGACAACTTGGCTCTGCCTTCCATCATTATATGAATTTAAAGCCAAATTGCTCTTGGTATTTCCAGGATTTTCTTCATTTCCAGGAACCACCATTTGCGCAATTGCGTTGTACGCATGTGATGATGCTCGGCTCAAAAAGCTGACCCTGGGTAAGCTACGCAATCTTCGTACGCCCATAGGCTGTATCAAGTGTCAGTCATAGAAAAGATGAACCCCCTATAACTTTGAAAAAGGAAGCTGCACAGAAAAAAGAGGACATCAGCACAAACCAGTCTTACTGGGGGGGGGTTATATTCTGTGTAATAAGTTTCTAAAGTTTGTCCACAGCTCTATTAAGTGTGCTGGAGGAGGTGGGATTTGTGACCTATACTGCAGCCTGTCACCAGAGGGTGCTGTTCTCGCGGAGACTTAATCCAGCGAGGAGGCAGATGTCAGAGATTGGACCCTCTATGTTTAAGTCAAAGCCGTGTTGTGTTTCCTGATGAGACACTTAATCTGACAAGCCATCACAGTCAACACCTGCTTTACTCTGTACATGCTGACTCAACCAGCATGTTCAATTTCTGTCCTTTCATTGCAACCCCACCGAAAACAGGCACAGGCCACTGCATGAGTTGTATCAATATATGGGTTGATGTTAAATCCCCTGAAATAATAAATTTCTAAAATCAAAGGTTGTTGTTTTTTGGGCTGCAGGGCTGAAGTTATGAGGAGATAGCTGCAAAGGTGCTCTCATTTTCTGGCATCCCTAGAGCAGCCTTATGCAGAGGGCAGGATCATGATGCATGGAGAAAAAGCAGAAAATACTCAACTCTCCATGCCCTAAATCTAAATAAATTAAACTCATTTTAAACGTATTAGAAAACACCCATATATTTGATTATGAGTGGGAGTGTGGTGACCTGTCTTTGTCACACTGATGCATCCTTTAGGTTTAAGGCCCAGTTTTTGTTGGTCTATGGCGCCGACACTTTCTACATTTTCAAGATTGCAATGCACAGGCTTCATTCCTGATCACATTTTATTCCATGGTGGACACGAGTTTACTGGCTTTTTACACAATTTGAGTGCTGGGCTGACTGACAAGTATAGAAGAACAAGACAAGATGCTAATGCTAGAATGCTAACCTGCACTCATAGAGATGTTAAAATGTTCACAGTATTTACAACCTAGCCTGCTGGAGGATAAAATCACAGCGCACAAGGACGGTTGCAAAGTAACCAATGCAGGACAGCGCAAATCATCACTGTGAGAGCAGGTGGAAGACAAGAGCTTAGCTGGTAATAGGAGGCTTCAATCTGCACAAAGGCTTCAGGTGTCTTTTCTCTGAGTAACCCTAAACATAGTGGGTCAGTTTTCATCAAGCAAAGGCTTTGTGTTTGATCCCACTTCCTTCTGTGGACCAACAATATCTCTGCAGAATGTTTTAATTCTAGATCCTTTAGATCCGGCTCCAATCACCTCAGTGTTCAAGTGTACCCTCTCTATGAAACAACATCCACCAAATCTGCGTAGCTTATCTGTTGGAGAAACAAACACTAACAAGATAAGATATGAAGGAATTTCCGGAAAACTGTAATCACTGTTTGTGTATCCTCAAATCTTCTCTTACATTGTTTGTGGATCAGAAAAGACTTGGTGTTGGGGCTTGTTTCTTCAAGTGGAAATGTCAGGATGAAATCCACAATACAGGAAGCTCTAAAGTACAAACTGTAAAGGTCAAAATCCTCAAGTTGTTCTTGTTCTGCTCTCTGCATTCCTGCTCCTCACAGATTGATCAGATGCTTATCTGTCAAGGTGGTGAGTAATTCCAACCATCACAAAAGATGAGAGCAAACGGAAAAAAACAACCAACGCTGACATTCCAGAGATATTCCTCCCAAGTGCATTGCATCTGCGTGGAAAAATGTTATTGCATGCGCTAGGCCTTGTTCGGAAAAGTACACAAGTTCTCTGTCACACGGGGGCTTAACGGCCTTAATAGAACATACTTTAGGAAAGATTTCCAGCCACTGCAGGTGAAGACGTCCAGACGCAGCCGAAATTAGTCAGGCATGTAGGTGGTAATGTGGCCAACATGACCTCAGGAAACCAGACAGGTAAACAGGAGCGGCATGTCTTTTCATGCCTCATACTGCAGAAGATGAGTTCTAATTTTCAGATGGAAATTAAATAGGGCACAGATAAAGTGAAGAATCAGTCTGACACTACGGCTGCCTACCTGTCTGAAATCAGATCACATGATGATGTGAATAAAGATCGTAAATAAAGATCGTAAAACATTCATCTTTTATGAATTTAGAGGCCGGGTCTACACTTTTTGATGGACAGCCATCATTTCTGGGGGGGGACATGATCTCATCTCCGCCTAAATTAAAAGTTAATGTGCAAACACAGGACTACAACAAGCCACTTGTACAGTAAGTAGGCATCTACAGGCATTAAACACAGTCAAGTATGTGTGTACCTGTGTATGTATGTTGGGGGGGGGTCATGGAAATGTAAGGCATCATTAAGTTGTCACACAAATAGTAAAGATTCATGGTTTTCTCTGTGTGGCCAGAGTGGAGAAGGGCGCCAATATCCCGCTATGTGTCAGCGCAATACCACCCTCCAAGGATCGGGTTCAAACTCAGAGCTAAACGGATTTATCCTACATTTGCAAAAAGTCATCAAGGAACAGGAACGGATATTTATTTCAGAGTAAAAATAACAGTGTGAGGAGTTGAATGTAACTTTTTGTGGTTAGTTTTGCTTTAAATCAGCAGAAATAATCGTACGAGAAGCAATTTTGCTTAAAAAACTGTTTTTGTTTCACAATTTAAGTTGTACTTTGGAAAATTGGCCCCGTTTTTTTTCCAGGACATTTAGCTGATCCCTCTTTTATTCACCACACACTCAGCAGTAAGTCACCAAAAACAACTCAGCAGCAGCAGCACAACCCATGACGTTGGTACAACCTGGCTTGGTCAGAGCTGCTGCGCTTCTGTGGTTGTTTAGTCAGTGTAAGCCTTCAGCCTCCCCTTTGCCCTACCTGACTCTGCACTCCAGGTTTCCTCCACAGAGTGGTGAGTTAGCAGGGAAGGAGCCTGATGTAAGCGCTATTTGATACACTGAGGTTTCCCCCCCAATGAAAGCTGATGGGAATTCCTTCGCTAGCAAGATACGTAGCTTGGCAAAACAGCCACTGTGTGGAACACAAAGGAACAATTGGCTCATTGTAGCGAGCTAAAGGTAATGACAGAGAAACCAGAGAGTGATGTAAACAAAGATTATATCACTCTCCCAGCAGAGACATACGCCCACGTAACGGCACGAGACGCCTTCCAGTTAAAACTCTAATCATTTCAAAGCATTGACGCTGACAGCAACAGCCTATCTTTGTTTAGCCCATGCAATGCCAGTGAATGAATAAGTGTTTTACCCCTGCCAGCCTGCTTATGTGGTTACTTTAGCTGATATGCTGCCATGTTTTACACTCTAATAAAACCTAATTGGTTCCAATTCAGAGTAACACATAAAGTGCCTCACGTGGATCTTAGCCCCAGGTGTAAAATCAAATTTGTTACTTACATTGGGGTTCTGTGACCGCAGGCCTCACCACACAGCCACTCACCACATGACTGCCTATTGACAAGCAGAGTTTCTAACCACTGAACACATGTGCTGCTGCATAATGCACTCCGACTTGCACTATACTGCATTACTGCGAGGCATGTCTCTTTAGGTATTCTCTTTCTCAGGTGCAGCTGTGAACATCTGGCACAAAGCAGAAACCAAGGGCACCTGTGTGTGTGTATGAGTGTGTGTGTGTAAGAGAGTAAAATAAATCTTTAAACCACGCCCCATTTGTAAAGATCAAAGAGTCTTGCTCTAACACAGGATCACGCCCACACAATCTTGCGCCAGTCAAAGCCCAGAGGAGAACCTAACCTGCAGATGCAAAGACACACGGTTCACCACAATGTGATAAAAACTCCTTTCTTTGCCCCTGAAGTAGAGAAATGTGTCTTAATCTTCAGGAAGAGGCTGAATTCTGGCCAAAAAAATCACGCTGGGAGCGACCAAAGAGGACCGAAGCGTTTAAGAAACATGACATCACATATAAAAACACAAGGAATCTTGCAACACATCTGGAAGCTCCTTGTGGACGACGTCAGAAGGACATATGAACAGTTCACCTTTAGTGCTCCACTTATTGGGCCTCTAATGCTGTTTGCAACTCATTATGAAATACCTTCATATAGGGCTGGGCGATAAAATGACAACGATATATATTGAAAATTAATTTCCCTCAATAGCAATTTAAAACATGGTCAATATGCTTTTCGATAGTCCCATGTTTTGGTAGACGATACAAATTCCGAGCGGTCCGCTTTCTCTAGCGCAACGCCTTACGACAAAATGTCCAAACACAAAGACCTCACAGATGCAGTAGCTTATTGTATTGCAAAAGACATGCTACCATTAAGTACTGTTAAAGTTCATTTTTTTATATTGTGATATATATCGATATCGATTGACATGAAAAAAATATATCATGATAAACTTTCTCTCATATCGCCCAGCCCTATCTTCACGGCTGTACTTGAGACAACATATGCAGCAACACTACATGTCCAGACAATAACAAAGCTCCCCTACAGAGATTTTGCAAGTATTCTTTAGTACACAGTAAAGCTTGTTTGACATCAGTAATGCTCTTAATGTATGCTTCTGTCTAATGCTGTAGTGAATATTCCTTTCAGTCACTGTAAGTGTTAAAAATCAGCAGGTTTACTTTAGTAAATTCTCATCATTATTCTGTGACAGCGTTACACCAACTATCTGATAATGGCAGAGAGGAGGATTTTTGTCCAAGTCAGCAAATTTCAGTGATGAGGATTTTGTCCTACATAGAGATATTTTTTTTGCTTGTATTTGTACAAACCAAATATAAGCAAATACTTAAAGGGATAGTTCAGTGTTTTTAAAGTGCAATTGTCCATAGTGAGTGTATTTCGTAGCTGTGAGGAAGCTGGAGAAAATGTAGTTGCTGTGTCTGATGGTAGTGCAAAAGTGATTTTTTTTACTTTCCCTATATCTATATGACAAACACCTTTTTTCGCACATCAAGAATGTGGCAAGCAAGTTATTAAAGACAAGTTAATCTTAACTCTTTGGCAATTTAAAGCTCCTGTGTGGAGTTTTTTGATGTCTATAAAATGGACTGAAAGTCATTTGAATTCCGTTGCATTACACCCAAAAGCAGATAAGGCCTGAAACGACAAGATTGATGACTTTTATAGCACAAGTCTTAATGCCTTAAACTGATACGAGAGGGTCGGTGTCAGTCAAACAGCTGAAGAAACATCAGTGTTTTAGGGATTTTCATGTAAAATAATCACAATAAATGATAAATCTGAGTGGCAAAAACAGCAGGATACATTTTTTTTGCAAGTGGACACTACTTTAGCAAAGAATAACAGGATAACTAAAGACTGCTTTGACCGTAAGGGGTGCCAAAATTGACACAAACTGAGAGTTCCTCAAATGAGTTTTTAACTAAATAATACAGAATACACTTTTGAAAATCTTATGGCCTTAGATTTGTAACAGGTCACATGTCATTCAAGTAAACTCCTGCAGTAAACGCTAGCACCCTCTTTAGAAATAGCGGGTTCAAGTTTACAGCGAGCTTGATTCATCATTAAAATCTACATATTGTACTGAGTTTGTTGATTTCAAAGATTTTGGCTAGCTAACAGAAACAGTCTTTTCCTCTTCCTCTTATCTATTTTCCTGTTTGATGTCCTGATTTTTTTTCTTTGAGGGAGATGTGGCACGGCAGCATCGCTTACTTTTCTCCATGACCGGAGAACCCTTATATTTTCAAGCTGAGGAAAGGAGAACTGAGTCTATTTGCTCATTTTACTTATCTTACACCAGCCATCACATAGGAATATTATGAAAACTAAGGATGCCCTTTCTGTTCAGCATCCCCTGTGGATGATATGCTTGCGATTGAAAGGTACTTTTTAAAATCCCTTTAAGTCTAGTCTATCGAAGTGGTAATAAAGTCATCTCCTGTGCTTGTTCACAAATGTTTTCACTGCTACCATCTATCTACCAGCTCCTGCTGAGTTCAGCATCACCCCTGAGAAGCTTGCCAACACCCTTGACTGAGATAAAGGATCTCTGTGTCATCTTAAAGCTAAAGAGAGGTGGAGAGAACATCTGTTCTTACCTCTGCAGAGGTTCTGATCATCTGCAGTGAATCCTGTTGTGCAGCGAATGGTCCGGCCAGAGTGAGGGATCCTCTGGTCACCTGTAAACACCCGTGGGAGCTGAGGCTGGATCGGTAAGGCGGGGATGACAGGAGGGACAGGAGGGACAGGCTCCTGCTCCCCCTCCTTGCTGATGTAGATTTTAGCACTCTTGGGGAGACAGAGGTATCCCCCAAAGTGGTTGATACACTGCATACCACCTTTGCAGGCATCGTCTAACAAGGCGCACTCGTCGATGTCTGAAATAGAAAGAAAGACAGAAAGAAAGACAGAAAGTCAAGGCAATCTCTCCATCATGAGGCTTGGATAAAAACTGATGGTTTGTAGAGCCAGTGTCAACTCATTGGGTATCAAAGTGGAATAATCTAAGACATTTTCTCACCTCTGCATTGCTCTCTGACTCTGTCATACTCATATCCCTCGGTGCACTGTGAAGGACAGATGAAAAATCACACATTTGATTCTTCTTACATGTCAAACAAACCAGAACCACACATTAAACTCATAAATCCAAAACACATCATCCAAGAGCAGGTTGAGTCAAAGGTGGGAAGGGGAAATTTCCCCACTTACCGAGTAGGACACTGGCTCCTCAGCCTCCTGTGAGAGGACGTGTGTGAAAACCGCACAAAGACAAACGCAGATCCCCAGCATGTCGACCAAACGTCAGGGCAGCACTAGAGAAGAATAGATAGGAGCGTGAGAGATCATTTTTCGCTTGACAAGCCTACATGTTTAATACCCGTTATTACATCATTGATGGCATTGCTTAACGAGTCCCAACATCTCCCGCTGCTGGCGTGATGTTTATGTTGGCAGCACTCCAGCTAAATCTGCGACCTCAACTCGGTGAAGTGTTTTTCTGCTGCTTTTTCTCCAAAAGGATTAGTGCGTAATACGCGTAAAGATGCGTGCGTAAACATGCCCTTGTGTTTCGGGAAAAGTGAGCGACTCGATCAGCCATGCAGAGCTCATTATATTGGTTCAAAATGGATTAATGCAAAAATAACTCAACACAGAGTGAGCACTGTTTTAATCCTGCATTGTTGTGAGATACGGACACTTGTTACCGGAAATTCCCCAAACTGCATCTGAACAAGTGCTGGTGCGCATTTTCTACTTACTTGTCTCAACAAATGCTTCACTCGAACACATTTTATGCGTATTGTTTTCATGCCATTGTGTAGATGTTTTTTCCACGTTTGAAAGTCCAGGATGGCGACGTACCTGCGATTACCTGCGGATCTCAAAGTCTCCTGGTGTGCCGAAGAAAAAAGTCCCCCCGGTTTGTGTTTATTCTAGCAGATCCGAGCGTGTGCGTGAGGCGGGCAGTTCCTGTGGAGGATGTTTAGATGTTTGTCGGAGAGCAAGAGAAGCTGGTGATGAACTTGCAGCTCCTGCAGTATGACATGCTGGGGGCGGTGTACCGGGCAGGTTGAGCTCCGGGTTTGTCTCTCACCGGGCTGCAGGAAACCATCAGCGCAAGGCAGCAGTAGCTCCCTCTACAGACGGACTGAGGGCGCTGAAAAATGGTACTTCAATGCCATCAATAGGAACTACAGTTTAAAACTTCTTACTTATCCTGGAGATCAACTGTGCTTCTCTTTAGACAAGTGTTTTTTCAACCCCCCTTAGAGTTTGAAATAAAGTTGTCCACACTTTCATATGTTAAACACAAAATGTAACCGTACCCTGCCTACTTCTACGGGCCAACACTTTTTCAGTATGTTACTTATTACTGTTTTTTTCACCCTGTCATGCTGTGGGGGGATATATGTATGGATATATACAGTATGTGTGTGCAGCAGGTGGTAAAATCCAATCATGTGTTGATGGCCTCTGTCAGCAAACACTACATTAGCCTCTAATACATTTCATGGTGTTTACAAGATGCCTGTGCTTCAGGAACATCTGCTGGAGTTGGCATGACTTCCTGGCTTTCCCATGGGTAAAGAAACAGCAAGTGATTGTGTGTGTGTGTGTGCGCACGCCAACAGCTTGCTAATATGAGTGGATGTAAATGGACTTGGCACTGCCAGCCCAAATGATGACCTTTTGACCCTCTCTCACAGGGTGTGGATCAGGATGGTGCCATGTCCTGATATGGTACATGCAGAGAACTAACATTTCTATTGGCTTCATGCAGTTTCTTCTTTTTCAGGATTAAAATTCGGAGTTAAATCTTTAGTATGTAATCAGTTAGTTTACCAAGTGAAGAGTAATGATTAAGCGCTATGTCAAGTGTTCGTGATTACTCGCATGACTGAAAGAATACAGAAAAAAGCATGGAAATAAAACAGAGTCAAACAAATAACAGTGCAAGCATGAATGATCTAAACAAAAACTGTACACAAGGCTTGAATTTCCAGAAAAAGTTTATTTCACTTGGCAAGCTGCTTCTCAGTTTCACAAAAAGGGAAGTAACACTGAGATAATGAAGCATCAAAAGCATATTATGGATAAAAACAGATTATAAATATGAGAAGATTAAGTGTAAGACTGATTATAGGTGGAATGAGAGAATATTTACTGGAAACTTAAGAGACTCTTGTTTTCGCAAATCACTGAGGGGAAGCCAAGGTGGGTGTGCCAGAAAACTGTGTAATGCACATGTGAAGAGTGTTTTTCAGAGCACAGAGGGACTCAGTACTTTGTGACGTTTCTTTCGATGCTGAAGGCAATGCATCAGGTACTGTTGGCTATTTAGCATCAGCCAATCAGTTCCTGATGCAGTATCATCCACATCAGAAAGCTCCTCTTCATCCCAACATCAGAACAGGGGCAACAGCATATTAAGTCTTTATAAAATACCTCCTTAGGGTGGGAGGTGTGACACAGAAATAACCCAAACTTTAAAAAAAAAAAAAAAACAAGCAGTTATTGTTCTTTTCATCCTTTGATAACACAATGGTCAATGCCGTACAGTAGACATCATTGTAAGTCAAGATGGCAGCAGAAGCATCTGGAACGTGAATTCATGCAAATTCAAAATGGGCATGCATTATGAAGGAGCTGCAAGAGATGAGGCTGCACTTCAAAAGACTGTCGAAAAGAAATTTTTTAAAAGTGGGGACGGGGTATGCAAGAGGAGGAAGAGCAGACAGAGAGGGTGTCTGTGAAATGCACATGTGTAATTGCTGTGACATCTTCATTGAGAGCCCTCCATCTCTTTCCTGTGAGCTCCAAAGGGCGTCGCTGACGCCGGTCGATGGGGAGAGCAGCCGAGGCGCTGTGTTTAGCATAATCCCAGAGGCCATTGTGAGAGCAGCTAGTGAACGACTCACAGTTGCCAGCTGAGATTTCACCAAAACACAGCAGAACACAAGGAGAAGGGGATGAGACAGGGAAATCAGAGGTGGAGGGGGGGATGAGCGGGGAAAGGACTCAGGAGAGACAGGAGGATTGGTAGTAATGAGGAAAAAATGCAGATGTGTCAGATTTTATACTTCAGAGAGTACGTTAGATATATATTTTTCAGAGTAGAGTGGAATGGGTGTGGCTGGATGTCTGCAGGATCAGACGGATGGTGGTTCTCTGTGGTTGGAGAACAGCTCGCCAAGTATCATAGAGGCAGAACAGAAGGTGTGAAACATGCTCTCCAGGTGGACTGCACCTGTTGGCCCTTATTCAGGTCTGTAATTCATTATCGCTCCTCTTTCAAAGAATCACTGACAGTTTTGACTTGTTACAGAGGCATGAAAAGATTAAGGTGGAGTGTGGCACGGCGCGTAGCATCATTTCTTCTATTGTGCGCTGATCATTACCTTTAGCTACAGCGTGAAATCCTCTTTGATCACACTTCTAGGTAGGCAGATTGTTTTGTGACCAGTATTCATCCGCTTTAAAACCATCGTAAACTATTAAATGTACCACTAAAATAATTGCGATGGTTCTTCAACGACTAGAATTCTTAAAAAAGTCAATTAAAATGATGTTAACATACAGTTGAAGGTGAAACAGGGTTCGAAAATCATGCAAGTCAAACTGCACAATCTCTCCAGGTGATTGTGAGAATATAAAACACCATCACAGTTGCCTGCAGAGATTACTCAGTCAGCCTTAATACTCCACAAGCACACACTTAAGAAACCTTCCCGCACACACACACACACACACCTCGCTAACACACACCCCGTCTGTGGTGGGCACGTGTTATATCCATAAGAGTCAATTGGCAACAGACGGTTAACACAGATCAGGATAAAGACAGAGCTTTGACCCCCGCCTCCCCCCTACCGTTCCAAAAGGTCCTGTGTTACCATGGTGACAAGGCCAAGGCACGTGCCTCCTATTGTTGAGCTGTATCCTCTAGGGTCAGGAGCACACCCAGTCAGAGGTCAGATGTCACCCCGGCCTCTCACTTAGGTCGCCACTCACCAGCCTTCAGCCTTTGACCCCGACAAACACTGAAACAAATTGAGAGAAGGGGGAAAGAGAGGGGAGAAATTAAACATTTCACCAATGATGCTGCACTTTCATGGTTTCATGGGGTAGCTTCAGGGCATTTCCAGTATGATGAGCGGTGTGTGGGCGATGTACAGTAAGGTGGAGAATCCCTCTGAATGTAACAGTATGTCTCCCTCTTGTGGTGAAGTATATTTTCTGTGAAAGTTGAGCTGATGTGGACATTTGTGCCACATAAAAGTAAAATAAAATGAGCATCCTAGTGACCCAAGAGTCACATTCATACAGAAAAAACGGAACTATAGTGAATTGAGTCCAGTCTTAAACTTATGACTCATATCTGATCTAACTCTTTCCCAGAGTAAGTCCATAACTACAAAGTAAACTCTTAAAAAAATGACATTCAGCGTCCTTTTGTTCTTGTAGTCACTTAGGCAAGTAATTTCAATACATCCACAGTTCCATGGTTACATATAGATCTTGCTAATAGAGACTGTTGACCCAAACTTTTAAAAAGTTACTCACAAAGCACTGTCAGCTTTTACAGTTTTATGGACCAGATCAGACGTAAATCCATACATTTCAGAAAGTTTCGGGCCAGAGGTGTGCCATCTTTCCCATTGAGCCTCAGTGCATGTTGGGATATTCAGGTCATCGAGTTGCAAAGTGTTGCTCAGGCGTTGACAAAAGAAAAATCTTAAGTTTATTAAACGGAACAGGCTGACAGTCCACACTTTGTTAGGCAGTGAATGAACAGAGTGGTTTTGACAGGCCTAACCTCTTAAGCTTCGGGTCCCACTGAGCCCGGCACAGCTAGAGCTAAATGCCATCTGTCCCAACATCATGAGGCCCCCCCAACTTGTCCCCCAACAGTTTAGCATAAAAATCATGGAATACTGCTATTAAGGTAGAATGAAAGATCATTTTAGCCTCACATAAGAAACAATACCTCACCTCTCTTCAGACAAAGACTTTAAGCTGCACAGGTTAAATGATCTGCGAGTAATTGTTGTATTTATAACGGCACACGTTGATTCTCCAGAGGAAAGGTACAAGGTATCTGCTCAGTGGATTGTTAAAAAAATGTGTTCATTCAAAAACTTTGATGCAGCGACTAAAACTTAGATGATCTCATGACAAGAGCCTCACAGAAGTATTCAACCCCCTAGTGCTTCTCCGCCTGCTGCTCTGCTGTAACTGCAAATTAAAATAGACTTTTTAGAGTTTTGTTTCATGGACAAAAAAATAGTCATTTTCAGGAGTCTTTTAGAGTAATTAGAAATAAATGGGAAAACACTTTGAGGGCTTTGCTTTTGAACCTTGACTGAGATACGGGGTAAACTCGCTCGCAAACACTAAACTGACGCATCAAACAGAAATATGTGCTTTTCAAAAAGAGTTGATAAGTTCCAGGTTACCTTATCAACTAAAATTACCTTAGACAGTAAAAAGATAAGAAAGCTTTTTTAAGGAACTATACACCTCTAGCCCAACTATTGGGCATGTACAACTGTGACTTCATTTGATTAAAAACCAGTGAGCAGGACTTGATAACTGATCTTAGCAGGTATTAACAGTTTTATGTTTTTGCTCTGACTAGAAAATATCTTTATTATACAAGTGAAGTCCTTTTTTTTAGACCTAAAGGTAAAGAGGGGTTGTTGTGGAAAGTTCCTGTTGTACGTTACTGGTCTGACTAGGACGAGCTATTCAAATCCCAGATCATTGTTTTCTTCAGTTAGTCCCTCACTGTGACTCGTCAATGGCTATTCTAATTTCAGTTGTTTTATAAATTAATTTTACGCTTAACTGGTTTCTACATACGGCTCCGAACAATAAAATAATGATATCACCATATGAACTTTAGTCTCCGTCCTTTCACAGTGTGGTCTGCTCCGTTAGCTGTCATCTAGCGTTAGGACTACTGAGTGACCTTTGTGCCCAGTAGCCAATGTGTGTTCTTTAGCACTTCATTAAGGCCCAGGACCTTCTCCTTACAAGCAATTGTCTTCCTCTAACAAAAAGACTGACGCATTGTATTGGTTGGAGGTAAATTTTTCAAAGGAGGCCGATACAATAGGCAGAGCAGTGCAAATTATGAAACAGGTCTGTAAGGGGCCTCCTGGTGGGTCATATTGTACTGTTTGTTGATGGTCCAGTTTGGACTGAATGACATGTGGTGAGATTCAGATAGAAAAAAAAGTGCAGTCTGAGAATTATTGCAGAGAAATGTAGATGACCAGTACACATACAATATGTGAGTTAGTCGATTGTGCAGCATAGTGCGCAGGAGCGGTGTCGACTGCTGTGGGGTTGCATTTGGGGGATGCAAGCTCACACTGAGAAAGACAGACAACCCACAGACCTCCCAGAGGTGCACAGTGGCTAAAAACAATGTGGATCTCCATGAACTGATGTGACATGTGTATGAGCCCTGATCTTTCCGTTGGAGGAACGCTACTGTAAAGATAGAAGAAAGAAATGCTGAGAGAAAGGGGGGAACAAGGGGCAAGATAGTGGGATGAGAGAGGGGGCACAATGAAGACCATGGTGGAGAAAAGGAATCAGACTACAATGGTGCAACTGCAGAAGAGCGGTTTTTCAACCATGTCTCATTTCTCCCATTTATCTATTATTTTGGGGGAAAAAAAGGTCTCGCCCTTTTTTGTTGAGTGTAAGGATTTGCTGTTTTCAGTAATACAGTCACTAAATATCTTTGTGTTTCCAGCTGTTGGTCGGACAAAAGTAAATATCTGAAATCAAACTTTAGGACCCCGAAAAATCTAAAAAACATTTTTTCTTCTTCAGTTCTTGACATTCAAGAAACCGAGCGATTGAATTGAAAGTTTAATTGGGAGATTTATAATAAAACAATTGGTTGTTGCAGGCCTGACAGATCTTACCTATTTGAAAATATTCTACTATCGGCTAACAATCTTTTTGGACTTGATTGTTCATTACATACAAAAACACTCTCATACAGCTCACCAACCTATTTGCTTGTTGTGAGACTGGCTGCCATTTAGCTCCGGCTCTGCAGTCTCCGATGAAATGGGCCGACAGCACATCAGACCACTGACTGTCCTGACCATATTTACATCCCATCTCAGTTATTGGACGCATAATTCCTCCACACAGCTCCTCTATCTTATATCACCCGCGCACACATACACGGTGCTGACTACAATTATAATTTCATATGCCTCAGTGTATCAGCCACCCGAGTAATTTTCTGCCATTTAAATGTGAATTTATGTCTCATGTAAATGAGCGGGGAGTCAATTTAGGTCCATTGGAGGACTGGCCTTTTCCTTGGGAGCATTCTGTTACAGGCCTCTGGTCATTTCAAGGTCCCAGTTACTCACCTTGATTTAATACACAGCACCAGCTCTGGCTGCTGCTGCCTCACAATTCTAACTTCTCTCCTCAGCTTAAAACTGACTCACCAAGACTTACAAACAGCGCAACTACATCTAAACATCTTACAGCTTGCTTGGGGCTCAGCTGAATCCTAACTTAAAGCAACTCCAGAAAGAATATCCTTTTCCTATGTGAGCCTGATTTATAAAACAGATCCCTGGAAGAAGCTTTAAGTAAATTAGTTCCTGCTGTCTTTATTTTTTATTTTCTTAAAAATCTAAGTACGGTACTCAATTCTTACTTTCTTAACCTATACATTAACCTTGATTTTATAAAATAGTTGAAAAAGGATTTTTTCTTCATGATGTATGATTGAAGTCAATAAAAAAACATTTCTCATAAGCCTATATCAAGAGTCTCCTCATACCTCTCTAAAGGGGGAAGAACACCACAGAGTTAACAGAGTATTAAACTGTTGAAAAAGTGTTTACAGTGTTAGCATGAGTATAATCTTAAACCTGCAGTCCCCAACTAAACTATCATGACCTTGATTCATATCTAATCTAATTTTTCCACTGACGTCTGTTCTATACATATGTATATGTTCACAAGTTTTTTAAAGTTCTTGGTAATACTTCAGTTCATAGTTTTACATTTTCATGAATTAACACACAAATCCTATATTTTGTGTAAGACATATTTCCAATTCTGACAATAAAACTCCCAACAAAACATTGTAATTAGGTCGTGTTTCACAGGCTCAGTTATTGGCTGTTTAATTGGCAGCATCACAACAAAGCGAGCAGTGATAAGTGACCTTTATGAATAGCCCCTCCTGATAGCCTGGGTGCAGTATGACATTAGTAGGACCTTACAAAGGGTGGATATCTTTTTACATCGATTTGAAAAACAGCAGCTTTATGAAAAACAGACACTTCTGTCCCTGTCACATGGTTGAATATTAAGTACCTTTAAATTTTATCAGTAAAGTTACGAGGCCAAATTAGAATCAAAAGATGTTTTCTGCACTCAAGAAATATTTTTTATGGAGTGACCAAATAAATTTAAAGGGAAGTTTAAGTTTTTTTTGTCCTGGTTCAGCACTTGTGAATGCTCAGCTTTTTTCACACAGCAAGATAGTCACTGCTGAAGTTCGGGAGATAACTATGAAGTGAACCTTTCAGCTGATCAAACTTTGGGGGACAGTCCAGACCTTGACCAAATGATCAATCACCTGCTCTTATCACGACAATAACCAGTCCACCTGCTACTTATCACACGCCCTCTCAAAAAACTGCAGCAGGTATTGCAAAATCCACCCGGCCGCCACATACTCTACCCCGTCTTATCCCAAACTCAAGGTCTTTACTCTCATCCATCAAATACAGTTGGCCCCCACCCGCCATGGAGCTTATTCCTGGTTTATAATTATTTAGTTTAAAGTTTCCTGCAGATTTACAGAAAATGAGATACTTTCATGTAACCATACAGTTGCAATTTAACATTTTTGAGCAATACAAAGAGAAAACATGCATGGATGGATGTGCCTACTAAATGATTTTAGTTAAATAAAAGGTATAATAGTTCTCATGGCAGTAAGGTGTACTCAGCGCTCTTCAGGACTGACATAGGGTACATGCAGGAAAATAAGATGCCACACAGCGATGCACAAGCTTTGTTGTGGGGCTCGTAAAATAGGTGAAAATGATTTAAGCAAGGGAAGCGCATTCTACAGCAAATGATGAGCTATTATGCTTATGGTATGGAGAGAGGTGAGATGCAAACACAATAAATGACTGCTCTCTGCAGTGCATTTTGAATGCCTCAGACATTACAGACTTCACCTTGTTTGCATGTCACTGCAACGCGAGAATCAAAACTGAGAGAAACAGCAAAACCTCGTGCTGACTGTGTGTATGTGGCTGATTTATAAGTTTCACCGTAAAATTTAATCTCTGGTCAGAGTTTAAAAAGACGTGACCGCACAATTGTGGCGCTTGAGTTACGGCGCAGGGTAAAGACAAAGTCCAGAAAATGCAGTGCTGCAGGTAAAGTGCTGTGTAATTCCAGCCCAGAGAAAGGACTTGAGGGACCAGGAAAAGAGCAATGCGGCTCAGCGTGCATTTGTGATTGATGGTCTCTGTCTGTGCAAGAGCTGACTGAGCAACATGTACATCTCTCTCGTTCACACACTTAATGGCATGCACACATCCTCCAGTGTGCTCTGTCCAACATATATGCACTTCATCCCATTTGTGTAATGTGCACGTGGGGCTTCCCTGAGAGTAGTACACATTAGATGTCTCACTGTGGCTCATTTGGCGAAGGAACATACCAAGTAACCATGACACCCTGCTCCGGCCTGGGATCCCCTGTCGAACGTCCTCTTTAATCCCTTGTTTCCTTCCCATTGTTGCTTTCTTCCTTCATGATGCACTGTTGGATCAAAAACACAAAGCAGCAGAAACAAAAATCTTTAATCTGAAAAATCTTTCAAACATGCGTATCGCTGTACTTTATTGATAGCATAGATCAACAATACTGTAAACTGTATGAGCATATTTTTCCTCCACTCCTTGATCCTGTCACGTCTCTGTTGTCTAATGCCAGGACATGTCTGGTCTGGCTTTTGGCCAGGCTGGGCTGGTCGCCACCACGGCCTGAGCATCCTAGCAGGCAGGCCTAGCTTAATGCTGACACATCGCTAACATCAGCCAGGGAGAGGAGACCTCTGGGAGATGCTGAAACATCAGCACCGCACCATTTCGGTTTTACAAGGAGGAGTACACTTGCTCATCCTCAGCAGAATTTAAGAAATTGACATAGAGTCATTGTTGTGTTTAGAGACTTGATTGTTGAAAGCATTCAAAGATAACTGTGAGACTGAGAAGACTGCGCAAGTGCACTTCAACATCCACACTTCCTACAAATAAACCCAATTAAACAAAACGACTCTGTAAATCGTCCAGAAGATTTTTTTTTCCCTGACAAGAAAATAATTTCTTATAGCCCTTAATCATAGAAGTTTACATTTAAAGCATCTGTTACAAAAGTGGACGGCATTTCAGCACACTAAAAAGGAACTTAATTAAATGTCTGCATTACGTAGTGAGATTAAATTACTCCAAAAGGATCTAAATAACATCTCTGACAAAGAATATTTCAATGGCACTAAAACCTGACAAAAAACTGGTCTCCCTCCATTTTTATCTTATATTTGTTCAAATTTGTTTGACTACAATAGCCGCCCTTTGTGCTTAGCAAGCCATGCAAATGAGATTGGCAGAAACGAGCAAGTGTCATCGATATGCAGAGATATAACCAGGAGTGCCACTGATTGATGATGCAAACCTTCTCCCTATAGCCTTTCATATGACCTCTGACTCCTCACCCCTCGAGGGGTTAAACTTATTACCCTTTGACTCGTGTGACCTCTGCTGTGAAAGGAGCTAGATTGAAGGATGGCCAGAGCTTAGGTCCTATTGGCCGCTCACTGACCAAACCTTGGCCAGGGGCTGACCATCCAAACCCTAGAGGGAGGTGACCCTGGCCCTGCCACACGCTCTGTGGATAATACTATTAACAGGTCAATACAAGCCCCAAAACAGAGGGAGAGAATGCAGATTTAAGCAAAAGGATGAGCAGAAGGAAAGGGATGAAGGGAGATGTTGTGAAAAGAGATTTGCGGGGTGGATTTTAAGGATATTTGTGAGGTATGTTTGGACGCATGGTCACCAATTCGATTTCCACACAGGGATGGGATCACCCAGATGGATTCCGAAAACCGCTTATAGACAATAAGGGTAGGCCGTCCAGAAAACTCAAAAACTGTTAAAAATATGATCAACAATACTGGCCTTGAAAATGCACAAAAGCTAGAAAAGTGAGCCAAATATGTAAATCCGGTTAAGGAAAACCTTGGGTTACACTGAAACCAAATAATGGATTCGACATTTTAGCCTAGTCATACCCGTAAATTCAAACCACTGCTCAATTTCTTGGATTACATACACGATATGTTGAATGCCCAATTAGCACAATTCATGAACTGAAGATTCTGCTGAGTTCAGAAAAAAAGTACAGTAAATCTGTATAAAATAAGGGAGTTTCATTTTACGCTGTACCTTCATTACAAGGAAGAGCAGGAGAGGGGTGGATTGGGCGTTCGCCAACACAGCGCCTTACATACGAGACATGTGCTCTCTTCTCACACACATACACACATACACACACACACGTAGCAGGATCCAGAGTAATGAGCAATATTGCTGCCATTTCAATTATTTCTCTTCAGCAAAGCATGGACTTTGGTCTTAAGCAGATTTGATCCTTCTCTGGTTTATAATTTTACTTTTTAATGATGAAAGCATTAACGATATGGCACATGGCGAGAGAACTACCCACTAATAATAATCCTTTGAATTGGGTCACTGTGTAACAAATGCTGGGCAAAGTGACAAAAATTAAAGTAAACACAAAAAAAACTGCTAATCTCCAACTCTTTCACACTCATCATCACACCCGAATCCCACAACACTCCTACTGTTACCGTTAAGATGCTGCTATGTATTTCTAGACTTGATTTGACTGAAAGCTACTGACAAACGTCAAAGATACACATATTAAAAGCTTTACGCACAGCATGCATAATACACTTCATCCCCTTCCACCTTAAGAGTTCAGCGCTGATAAACATAATAAAATACAGGACTAAATTATGCAACGAGCAGCCAGAGCCATGACCCCAATGAAATTTAGTTTTGAGAGAGGCATTACAGGGTAGTAAAATACAATGGAGCAGAAACACACATAGCTAATAGAGTTCGTTCTTTTAAAGTTGTCCTGCAGCTACAGTAGCACTTGTAAACAACCACAGAAGCATGCATTCAGTGACAGACAAACCCACATGCAATCTCGCACAAGCACATACGTATCAGCAGGAAAGGATCAGATATTAGTGTAAAAACGAAAGAGGAAAGAAACCTCCAAAACGAATAAGGGAAACAGAGCGGAAGAAAACTGAGTAAGAATTAAGATGAACTCCTAAAGGCAGAAAAACCAAATTGTTATAATACCTTTTAACGCATCCATGTGGTGGGAGAAGGGTGGGACACCTGCAGAACCTTGCATGGTCTATCCAGAGCTCTCCAGCGACTGCTTCCTCACAGAGCAGAGTGTGTGTATGAGAGAGTATGTGTGAGTGTCGGTGGCTGAGGGAGGGGATCCTACCCCTCCTCCTTAGGACTGTGCCTCCTTAACAGGATGGAGGGGTAGGTGGGGCCACTGCAATAAAGCAAACACACACACACATACACACATTTTTCTATGGTTGTTATGTCCTCGCTTCTCTTGCTCTTTCCCGCCTCCACACTTCCATCTTTCTGCCTCTTTCCAAGACTTGCTCTCAACCTCCTTCTCTTGCAGACTTGCTCTCATTCCTCTTGCCTCGTGCTTCCCTCTGAATCTCAGTCCGTCTGCAAGACTCCTACACTCCCCCTCCACCTTTCATCCCACACCCCTCCCTACCCCTTGCCCCTATCCCTTCCTCTCTGACTGTATGGTAATATTAACATGCTCCCATTAATCTGGAGACGAGAGGGACATATGCTGTTTCTGGCTGGTGGTCCACAACCTGCTCAACTCCTGGTGTGTGTGTGTGCGTGTACGCGTCCCGTCGCTCCTTAGACTCAAAATACTACAGTGCCTAGATTAAACAGGACAGTCAGGGAGCACGGAGTGTGTTTGCGAAGAAAGAAGAGTGCGACAGCAGGAAGAAGAGAGGAGTGGTGCCACAATCAACAGCAGCAGAGCGCACTTTTTAACCTCTTGCTGTTCTTCTTTCACTGGGTTTCTGTGCCACCCCTCCTCCCCAGCACTCATCCGGTCACTCAACACAAATCCCATCTGATTCGGAGAGTAGCCATCCCTACATAAATCATTCCCTTATTCCATTGGCCACACGTTACACTGAAAGTATTGATCCCCAGCTTCCCCCCCACCACCACCACCACCAGCCACAACAGCACTGATTGCAAGGAAACCCTTCACAACAGTCACAAACAGGAAATGGAAAAACAAACCACGGGTGTGCTTCGATTGACCATAATGGCGGATTCTGAAGCTTCAGACACAGTCCCTGAAGGAGGGATAACTATGCTGTCCTGCACCGAGCAAATCTGACGGAAATCCCAAGAAAGCATGTGAACTACAAAAATAGCAAGTTAAGCCGAGCATTCAGTCAGTTTGAAGTACAGCACAGTTTAAAAATGATACTCCAACACTGGAAAAATTGTAGCTTCACCTTAATAAAAATAACGAAGAGGCAGCAATGTTAGAGGAACCATTACATGCAAATGTGTGCATTTGAATATCTCTAAATGTAATTATGGTTCACAAACGTAGCTTTAGTCTCATTAAAGGTATACTTGGTAGATTTGTAGAAGTTGACAGCAAACCTTTCAAAGTTGAGACAAAATACCAGCAAAATAAGATTATTTTAAACGTACCACATCCTTTGAATTAAAACTGACCATCAGAGGACCAAACCCTGTGGTTTCCATGACAGCACAGCTGAGGATACTTTGAACTCTGACCTTATACTCCTGCCTGTGCTCTGAAGCGGTGACCAAACCCAGGGTCAATCAAAAATTAAGGTCAGCTGAGGTCAAATGGTAATGACCTCTCTCTGGTTACACAAGCGAGCCACCTCAACCTCCTCCAAGTAGCATCCAAGCGTCATTCATCCTAATCAGAGCTGTGCACCTTTTCAAGAGGATGGGATGATGCTAACCCTGCATAATGAGACAAAGGTGAAAGTCCATGTGATGTGTGATAGATCAAAAGCAAAGCTACGAAAACTCACAGAAAAAAATGTTTAAGAGCGACACGAGAGATTACACTTTTAAAGTAGTCTCAGACAATTCCAGTACCACTGCATTCAAGCACTAACATCTTGTACTATACTTAAATATTCCTTGATAAGAAACCTAATTTATCTGACACTGATAATTTAAGCTGGTCCAAGAGTGCAGTGGCCATAAGGAATATGAGCAGATAAACAATACTTGTTGTTGTGCACAAAGAAAGGCCTGATGAAGTACTGCAGGTATGAAGCTGCAGAGAACTTACAAAGAAAAATGGTGTAATACTCCGTGGCTACATTTTTACTTGTAAGGTGCATTTGGGGTATGGACGCCTATGATGAGTCAGCACAAAAAAGAAGTGGGTTTAATAACTGATAGAACAACAAAATGCCCAGATCCATCATCAGTGATGCAGGACAACCTTCAAAGAGGTCCTGGGTTAGTCGAACAGATAATTTACTGTAGTTTTAAAGACATCCCAAGAGGAAGAGGGGATGATCTTAAAGAAAGGATGACACTATCTCAGGGTGGAGAAACTGGGTTGGAAGAGAAGGGGGTAAGACAGATGAAGGGGTGGAGGGACTGATCAGAGGGGTGCCAGACACAAAGAGGCCAGGCCATGGCCAGTGGCACGCGATGGGCAGATTAACCAGCGTTTCCTCCCCTAACTGAAGCATTAGGACACCTGACTGAGTCCCGCCAATGGCAGCCAGCCAAGGATTTGTGTGTGCGTATGGGTGGGGAGGGTGGGGTGGGGGGGCAAGCTGGGGCTCGCCTTTCAACACTCAGGCTCCTCAACAACACAAAGAGGGGTGGGGTGGTGTTCGTGGGGGGGGGGGAATAGGGGGGTGATGGGCTGGTGGCTTGGAGTGGGGAGGGGGCGCTACAAGCCTTACCCCTCACCATCTGCTGCCCAGGCTAAGCGAGGACAGGGGTAAGGCCAGAGTGTGGGGTGGGGTACATGAGCGCGTGCAACAAAAACACACGTGTATCTGGGTGCACGCACCTGTTACTGTGTCAGTGGGTGGGTGGGTGAGTGGGTGAGTGGAATGGCAGATGGACAGGGCATACTCCTGGCACCGGAGCCTCCATGTTAGTCATCCTACGTTAAGGAGTGCCCCCACCCCCCCACCCTCCATCCCCCACATTCCTCACCCCTGCAACCTAATCCACTGTACCAGCCAATTCTTTATGTTTTTCTCAGTTTGATTAAGACATCCATGATTAGAGACATTATGGGCTGAGCGAGAGAGTGGGTGTGTTTGAGCCGCTTATCCATGCGGCTGTTTACTGTAAGCAAAGCTAAACAGATGAAGCACCTTTAACCCTGAAACCACTTAACTGTTTTAATCAGTACAACTTATTTTATGTCTCAATAATCCTTTTTTATTTCTATTTCCTTCACTGTAAAGAGGGATGCAAAATTCTGGTTGAGAGGGGAAAGCCCCCCCAAAATGGAACTAGACCAAATTTCTATATATACACACACCAGGCGAATGCCCCAAGCCAACTTCACCCAATTACACATCAGATTCATACAGTATTTGACATAATTTCCCCCCCACCCACCCCCGTGCTGTGTGTGTTTATTGGTGAGCTGCCTATTTCCCTCCATAAAAAAAGGGGTCAGAGCGGCAGACAGTTCAGTCTTGCTGAGCAGTAATCTGAAAATGCCTGTAATCCTCCATACAGAGCCCTTCTGGAGACCGTGATTGTAATGTGGAGAGGTGTAGCCTCGTCTCCGTTTAGCAGCCATGTGTCTGACCAAGCTTGACACGCAACCAGAGCCTTACACAGCTGCCAGGACACACACTGAGAGATGAGGCACAGTAAAGCTGCCCCGGTCACTCACTGGAATAATTATGCCATTTTTGCCCTACACAATGCAGAATGAGTGTAGGTCAATGAACTTAATCAACGTACTGTAAGTGGCATATCAGAGAGCAATGAGTTCCCCTGTGTGTGTTTTTTAAATATATAAAAAACAGGGTTTGTGCAGCACAATAAAAAAAAAGACTTAAGATGACGTAATAGAGATGATTAGAAAAACATGTTTACTAGGAAATAGTACCACCAGCAATAAGAGAATCAGTCAATTTATATGAGGGTGACATTTCTTTTGAGTAAGGGTCCGTAAATTTCTCCAGGGGACTTCAGTAACGATGAAGTGACACTGAAGTTCCTGAAATAAATGGCAAATTAGAGCATCTTTACAAAATGTTCCACATTGATGAACAGAAAGGGATCTACAAATATATTCTCAATATTACACGTCCTCTCCCAGCACCTGATCTCTTCAACTTGCCTTGGGTTGAGTGTGGTAAACACACAGGGAACTGTCAGTCTTGCACAACGTACGTCCAAGCTGTACGTCAAGGATATAATTTACCCCCGCGACCACCTAAAAACACATCAAAAATAAACAGTTAAAGCTTGTTTACAGACTGAAGTTAGGTCGACAATGACTCGAAAGGTTTTACCTGAATTTTCGCCGATGTTATGTTGACAATTTTGTAGTCGAACTGCTCTTCTGTGTTGGCTCTGTTGAATTCAACCAGAGCAAACTGTGCTGCGTTCAAAACCTTGGTGCTGTTTACCGGGACGTCGAGTGGCTGACCGGTTATCATACGTCCGGCGGCTAAAAAGCGACCGACGGCAACAAAAACGACCAGACAAAAACAGACAAACATTCTGAACCCAACAAGTTGCTCTAAAGTATGTGATAGAAGTCCTGTTTGTCGGCTGTGAAGTGGCTGGTTTCGTGTTGAAACGCCAAGTTAAAACACGCAAGCTCCAAACGCACACCTGTTTCTGATCTGTTCATTAATATGGAAAGGTCCGAAGTGAAAATCACTACCGAGTCCGACCAGAAACTTCTGCGTTGCACAGCAACCGCGTTGCTAGGCTGCCGTGAAGCTGGTGCTGCTGGTGGAAAACCGGCCGATGAAAACAAAGAATTAAAACTGATTAAGAGTTGAGATATAAGAGAGAAAACAAAAACTGCTTGAATTAATACTGATACCCTCCACAAAAAAAAAAAAAAAAAACAAGAAGTAAAGTTAACTCCCCACAATAAAAGGAATTCAAACTTGTGTCAAAATTTATTTAGGTAATCCAAAAGAAAGTAAGTGTAGAGTGGTAACACGCTGACCAAAAAAGAGAGAAAAAGAAAGAAAAAAAAAGTGTCAAGTAGTTATTTAGTAAGGCTACAAAAACACATTAACCAGGAGAAATAATCATAGAAATGAATATCCCTTGAGAAGAACAACACTGCCATAAATCTACCTTCGGTGCAAGTTATTTCTTTATTTTTATTTTTTATTTTGCTTTGTTCTGAATCCTCTAAGACAGTTTTGCATACACATTTTTGTAGCTCGTTTATTAACAAACAGACTTAGTTCTTTATATTTAATGATATTAAGCTAAAAAATCTCAAGTTGAACAGGTGATGTACACATCTATATTCATTTTTCCCCCATGTATTTTAATCCTAATTTTCTTTTACTTGACAATTTATGTGCTTTCAGGAACCAAAATTAAACAGTCATTATTGTATTTAATTGATTCTGCAATTATAGAAGTACAAATCATGAAAGACAGCCTATACTGCAATTAATATAATCATCTAAAAGCACATCAATAGGAATTCATGAACTCCAAATTTTGGTGGATGGGGCCCAGGAGAGCCACTGCTCCTGATCCTCCTATCATGCGTATGTTTTAAAACTGTGAATATTTACTTATTAGAAATGTTATGTGTGTTCCAAATTAATTGAAACATCAAATATTTGAAGTACGCTTGATTATTAAAATATCTCATCATGGGGTGTGCCAATCTCTCATGACAGCGAGTAGTCACGCTGGCAAGGACCCCAAAACTTTATGACTCTTGTTATCCCAGCATGATTTGAAAATGTTCCAAAAATCGAATGTCAGGGGACTCTTCATTTTATTTGTCTTTAAGCACTAACATTGGATAGAAGTTGGGTCAATGTAAAGGTAAGTCCACAGCGGGGACATCTCAATGGTCTTTTTGTCACATTTCCCAAGTGTGTTCCAGTGTATGTCCTAAAATACACTTCAAATCACAAACCTGGATTCACTAGTGAATGGGACTTTTTCCAGTCACCCACTGTGCAATGCTGGTTTTTCTCAGCTTACCCAGAGCATTTGGCCTCGCTTCCCCTTTTCTGAGAGGCGGCTTGAAAACCGTTACTTCTCTCTGAGGATACAACTAGACAGCCTTTTTCATGCAACTTTGAGTCTTGGATTCATCCTTGTATTGTAGAAGTGTGATCTCATTTAGTCCCTGATTCGAGTTTGGATACAAATGATCCAGTTTGTTTTAGAATTTCATGCTCCATCCCATTAATCCAGCCTTTGTTTGTAGTTTAATAAAGCCCCGCTTTGGTTGGAATAACTATTGAACTTTCGACACTTTTACCTAATTAGGGTGTGTTAGACTTCACACACTGAAACTGCTATTACAAGGAGAAGCAATGATTTGCTGAAAAACATAATATGCAACTATATTTTAAACAGGTGAAGGGTAGTTCTAATTTGAGGGACTTGAGCAAGCTTCTGATGAACAGACCATATCCATCTGGGATTAATGTGAAGAAATACTTCACTCAAAGGGCAACAACTTGAAGATATCTGACCTTTGGAGCCTTTGAAGTTTAAGTGATCATTGCAACACATTTTAATTTGATTCCTGCCCTTAAATAGATCATATTCAGTATTTAGTATCTGATCTGCCCTTTACCTACCACTAACCCTGTTTCTGTAAGTTTCTGATTTCTCTTTCTTTCCTGAAACTACAGACTTTACACTTTGTTAGTATCATAACACTACTAGTTGTAGATTCCTCTCTACTTAGGGCACACGGATAAGAGGATCGTGCAGCCACTAGCAATGAATGGCTAAGATGAAGGAATACAAGAATGTTGTGCTGCTGTATGGGTAACAAACCTCTCATAGTCAGAAACACTATCTCAGTAAAAGCACATAACAAAAGGCATTTTATTTGCTGTACTTGAAGGCATTAGTTATCCAGACAACTAAAACACTGTGTGGTGTGGGTGGAAGAGAGCATACTGAAGGTGGGTGCAGGGTTTTTTGAGCTTCTTCATGGCCAGTATACACAGAAGGAAAAAAACAAACGATCTTCAACTGGTTATTGTTTTTATTATTTATTCATCAAGTGATAATATAAATGAAAATTAACTAAAGATGTCAAACGTAACCTAAAGCCAAAGGTGGCATCTTCCCTTGATATAAAACTAAGACAGGTAGCAAACCTTTAGCTCTGGAAGCTGAAACCAGATAATGTTAAGGTAATACATGTATCAATTTATATCCATAACTGTTTCAATGCACATATAGGCATTGTGTCTACAAACACTAGTAATATCTTAAACTAGCTCACCTCTAGTCATCTGTTCTTCAGGCCCCACAACTATTGGAAAAAAATATGCAACAGAGCTTTGGGGTTCTGAATTTTCTCAAGAAACAAAAATACTCATAAAAGATTAAAGAGAGTATTTATCAAAGAATGTTATGAGCTACAATGTTAGAAACAAGGCCAATCATTTTAGTCCAATTCAATGTAATGATGCTGCAGCTAAATAAAATATCTGAGTTAAATCTATAAACAGTTGGACCATGACTCAGCCCAATTTAACATAAGGAACAAGAAGACACAGAGCACATTGAGTAACTCTCGGATATTAGAGGTAAGATTATTTGGATAAGTTCTCTATCATATTAATAATAATAACAATGAGCTCTTTTTACGGTGGCTAAGAACCGCCACTGCTGCAAATAAAAGAATGCAAAAAAAGTCACAACGAAAGTTATCGACGCAAAAAAAAAAAAAAAAGTTACTTACTGTGAAAATAAAAGGATGCAAATAAAAAAAAGCCACAATGGAAGTGAGCTGGTGCACCGGTGTTTTACGATCTAGGCACAGAAGATAACGGCAAGAAGACGAGCAAAGAAGTTAGTGGAAAGGTTATCGATTAATTTCACTTCGTGTGCTTTTCGATGTGTTATTTGGTTAGGCCATGTAGTGCCTGAGTCGATATGAAGTTGAAATGAAGCAAACACTACACCGGCATCCTCCAGTTCAACTTCATGCCGACTCAGGCGCTACATGGCCTAACCACATTGAAAAGCACACAAAGTGACATTAAACAATAACCTTTCCACTGACTTCTTTGCTTGTCTTCTCACTGTCATCTTCTGTGCCTAGATCGTAAAGAACCGGTGCATCATCATTACTGGTCCCCGGCAGCTCACTTCCATTGTGGCCTTTTTTTTTTTTTTTGCATCCTTTTATTTTCGCAGTAATTACCTTCTTTTTATTTGTGTTAACTTCCGTTGTGGCTTTTTTATCTGCACCATTTCTTTTTTAATTTGCAGAGGGCTTCGGTTTCTTTTTTGTTTCATCAGTAACTTCGGGTGTGACTTTTTTTTTTTTGCATTCTTTTTTTATTTGCAGCAGTGGCAGTTCTCGACCACCGTACTTTTTACAACAGTAATTCTTGTAAAGTTTAAAGTCAAAATGAAGTTTTTGCATTTAAATGTATTTGTGGAATAAAAATCACAAGCATTAAAGTCATGTCAGTATTTCCAATAATTCAGTCAATAATACACATTGAATGCTTCTGGGGAGATATGATTTGACTTATTTCTTTCCTTTTCTTATATTCTGTTTGACCTACTTATTTTCTGACTATGCATGGTTTTGTTCAACCTAGTTTCTTCTGCAATACGGATTTTTGTGAGAGAAAAAAAAATATGCATTTGAGATAAAAAAAAAAAGACACACCAATAACACAGAGTGGATATAGTTATTAAAAAACTTTTTGAATATAAATAAAAATGTGAATTAAGTATCCCCAAAACTTGTGTGTATGAATGTAAAGTCACCGGCACCTGCAATTCTTCCCTCCTCCACCGAGCAGCAGCAGCCTTCAGAGCTAACCGTCATGTCTTCACAGGTTGGTTGTGTGACAGTTTACACTACGAAGTTCAAAGGGCTGTCTTCTAAACACGAGCACAAATCCTAAACACATTGGTCTATTCATTCCTCTGAATATTTCTAAGACGACACACGCAGCATACTTGAAAACATCGTAAATGTTCAAGCTGCCATGATTAGCCGCCGTTCTTCTTCGTTGCGCTTCTTTACTGTTCATTACGGCAACAATGAAGCAGCACAATACTGCCCCCTAACGACCTGGAGTGTGAACTGACCGTCAAACAAACTGCTCTTGCCAGCACGCTTTGAGAAGTACAGACCCTTTCCAAAAAAATTAGAATAACATGGAAAAGTTTATTTATTTTCACAATTCCATTCAAAAAGTTTAAATTTCATAGATTATAGATCCAGGGCCCACAATTTAAAAGATCTCAAGTATTTATTTGTTTATTTTTACATGATTTGGGCTTCCAGCTTATAAAACCCACAAGAACAGGAATTAAAAAAATTAGAATACTGTGAAGAAATCACGATTTTCGTCTCAGTTTTTGCAGAAAAGAGAAAGAATGCAATTAGGACACATCAAATCAGTCAAAATATGGTACTTTCAAAATGACATGTCAATCTTCAATACTTGGTTGGGAATCCCTTTGCCCTAATCATTGCCTCGATGCACTGTGGTATTGAGACATTTAGCCTGTGGCATCGCCTGGGAGTTATGGAAGCCCAGTTTTTTGTTTTTGGGTCTGGTGTCCCTCATTTTCCTCTTGATAATACCCCATAGATTGGCAGGCCAGTCAAGCCCTGTAATGGCATGGGCATCGAACCAGGTTTTGGTGCTTCTGGCGGTATGGGCAGAGAGGCCAGGTCCTGCTGGAAGAGGAAATCTGCATCTCCATACAGATCCTTAATGTGGTAGTTTTTGAAAGCTGTGACTCCTGCCTCATTCCACTCTTTCTGGATCTCTGCAAGATTCTTCAATCTTCGCCGTTTGATTATCCGCTGAAGCCCACAGTCATCTCTTTTGCCGGTGCGTCTTCACCTGCCACATTTTGCCCTTCCACTAGACTTTCCATTGACATGCTTGGACACAGCACTCTGTGAACAGTCAGCCTCCTTAGCTATGAACTTTCGTGGCTTACCTATCCTATGGGGGGTATCAATGATGGTCTTCTGGCCACTTGTCAAGTCTGCAGTCTTCCCCATATTGAACCAAACTGAAGCAATTTAATGACACCTGGGGAAACCTGTGCAGGTGCTTTGAGTTTAGTAGATGATTAGTTTGTGACACTCAAAATTTGGGCTGGTTTCTTCACAGTTTTCGTGGGTTTTATGAGCTGAAAGCCCAAATTATGTAAAAATAAATAAACAAATACTTTAAATAATTTAAATTGTGGGCCCTGAATCTGCAATTTATGAAAGTTTAACCTTTTGAATAGAATTATGGAAATAAATAAGTTTCTCCATGATATTCTAATTTTTTGGAAAGGGTCTGTATTTCGTCTTCAGGATTCGCCTGTAATATTGTGTATTAACTAACTCTACAATGATCCATCTGGTATATATAACTAAGGTCATCATCAGTGAAGGATGACATTTTGGCATTAAGAATGGAGCAATTCCATCAACATTTTTAAATAACTTTTTAATGGCTTTAAAATTCCAAAACATTTGGAACAGGGACTGAATATAAAAAATGGACCAGCAGTAATAAAGAGTATTTATGCTATTACTGACCTGAGCAAAAACATCTGTGGTCTGATATCTGTACAATTGAAATAAAATTTTGTTCAAAAACAAAATAAACATTTCCCAATATATAAGTGAACAGGTCTGTCAGAGTTGCTGCACTACCAAACCGATCATCACTGAAAAAAATAGAGGAAAAATACTGGAAATTTTTCAGATATTTTCAGCTTAAGATCACTCACATGAAATTATAACACTGATATACACACATTTTCTGAAACTATAATTTTAGTCTATTACTTTCTAGGTTCGGGTTTACAAACCTTACAGTCATGCGCCAATGTCAAAGTAGGAAGAAAACAATTCCCTTATATTTTCTAAACTCTGAGAGGGAAAAAAAACACAAAAATTTTACACAAATCAAAATTAAGATATTTATTTAAAAACAACAAAATAGAAACCACACTACACTTCTCAAAATACTATTTTCTCTTTGTACAGTGATTTAGTGTTGAACAAGCATTTTTTTATGGCCATGTGTGATCCAACAATCTCAAGACAGGAAAAAAACTCACTGATAGTTTTATAATTGTTCCTATTCATGGCCATATTTGATATTAAAATGTACTGCAGATTCCTTTTGAGCAGTTTTATTCAGTTCAACCAAAGACAAAATAATTCCCATTTAATTTTGGTTTGAATCTACAAAACACACATAAGTACTCTCTATGTGACAGTTCAGTAAGAGTAAAATACATCCAACAAATTACATTTAGAAACAATCCTTTGAACAACGAAGGAATGTAGTGCTGGTTCAGCTTTCTTACTGCTGGCAATACCAGTACGAACACATAAAAAGACACAAAAAAATACAACAGCTTCATAGCTGTACACCTAAAACAAAACAAGGACTTGGTTTGAGCTACAAGTTAATGGTGTCAAACTCATACAGTTTGTTAGGTTTTGCCTGTCACAGACATTTTTGTGGTTACATTTATCAAACAAAGTGAGATATGAGTGTTTTGGCACTAAATGTTGCTTTTTAGTTGTAGTATGATGTGTGCTCTGCATTAAACAAGCCATTCAAAACAGAACTTTGGATGTGTAAATAGTGCTGATATGCAAACAGGCAAATATAAACCGTAATTGCCTTTAAATACTGTGTATTTACCTTCAAAGTGGACAACTGTTTTTCAAAATTTAATCCACAATGATGAAAACTGTCCGACTGCCCTTTTCCTTTAAATAATTATATATGATCAAGCTTCCCTGACAACAGGGCATGTCACACCTGAGGTACTTCTAATACTTCTCTCTGAAACAGAAATTCTATTCAAGAAAACAAAAAGACAAATTGGGTATATTGAGAAAAGAGCAGCAACAGATAAGTCCAATATTTTTGTCTTCCTTTTGTTTGTGATCTAGCATATATCAGCCCCGACAGCAGCGCCGCTGTGGTCACAAAACATTTGTCTATGTGAACCTCTGAAATTAATAAAAACACATTGGGCACACAAACATCTCCAAAACCCACACAACACACACTCTTTCACGACAGGCCACTCCTACAGTAACCGCCTTTTCTGGATTTGCTTAAAAAAGCCTTTTTCTTTGTTGCAGCAGTAACTGAGAAACTTACATTTGGTGTGGGTTTTGGCAACCTCTGTGGACAAAGTAGTACTCTTTCCATCTTAGCTGATCCTGTACATGCATTTACAGTTTTGTCTAACATAAATAGTCCTGCCTCCTTTTAACTGTCTGAGGTATAACTTGCTATCAGTCTTCATCAACCACAAAAAAATATCCAAGAAAACAGTCAATATTTTTCATAATAGTCTTCTCTCCTTTTTTACATCATGATAATGACTACAGAAGCACTTCTTTTTGTTTTGTCCCCCTCAAAAGAAAAAAAAAAAAAAAAACTCATCAGACTATGTTTCGTAGCAAACCTCAGGGTGCAGCTCAGTTTGATCCCTACAAATCTTGCTGCGGGAAGATGCTCAGCAATGAAAAAATGTTACCCCTTTAAGTAGGTGCTGATTTAGTTTGGCTCTAATCCAACACAGAAGCTAACTAAACTTAAATATTTCCGTACTCCTTTACCTTATTTGACGGGGTAATGAAGAAGAAGTGAGTAGTGGGGTTTGAAAGAGCGTATACTTGCCAGTTAAACCAACTAGAAGGACATTCTTTTGAGTGTGAGAGGTACTGAGGTTTAAAATGAAAGATGACTTATTGAAAACCACGAGTGTTGACAGTTATGCCAGGTAGCACTGCATTGCCCCTTCCTAAGATTGGTAATGTAGGGGAAACCCTGTTCTACCCGTCACTCTCAGGTCTGGCTTTGACGCCTTCAGTAAGTATGAAGTCCATTAAATCTGTTGTGTGTGTTCCTACAGGGTGTTATTCTCCGGGGAGAAGAGAGCTGCCAGGCCCAGTGCTTCACTGTCCGCCACCTCCTTGTCCGGCTTCTGCTTTTTAAAGAGCGACGGAAGGTTTCGGATGTGAACCTCCTTCCTGAACTGCTGGCACAGAGCTTTCTGTTGAGAGAAGGGAGGTTAAACAGAGCCGCCCAAGACCGACCAGAATGAGTTTCATGAGGTTGTCCAGGCCTGTAGATCTGCTGCACTTTTGTTTTCTGCAGAGCTCACAAGATTTACAGCACAGCCACAACCACACTGCTGAGTAATGACTTGCATTATTGGGCCAGTGTCTTTCTAGTCACTTCTGGTGAGCTGCTCACAGTGACATAAAACAGAAAAGTGCTGCCCTCTAGTGGCAAAAGGTGGCATTACCCCAACAGTTCCTGCGATGAGCTTCTTGAACTGGTCTTTCCTCTTCTTGTGGGCGACCTTCTGGGCATTGGGGTCCATGAGCCTGTGATCGTACTGGTCCAGAGCTTCAACATTGATGTTTGGGATCTGCACCATCACTGATCTCAGCTCCGTGTAGCGAGGCCGCTGAGAAAGACGGACAGACAAATAAGGAGATCACTCCTGGATACATCAAAACAACTTCTCAAGGTTTTGATTATCAAGATAGATTATAGTGAGGATAATTTAGTTTTTATCAAATTTAAAAATGACATAAAAGGAAAACAGAGCCACATTATGCAAAGATAAGAGAGTTAATTATCAGAGATTATTGGGACTAGCCTCACCAGGTTGTCGTAGATGAGCATCGCCAGCTGACAAAGAGCCAAATTGCAGACCTCATGCTGCCCGTGAACCTGGAGGCCTCGAAGAACACTGGTGTAGAACCATGTGACCGCCTCAGCAAGAAGATTCCCCCCTACAACCTGAGGAGACAGTGGGGATGTGGGGGAAAAGATTCAGAAATACATTTAAGTCTAGTCGTACATTTAAGCAGAAAACAGAATCTGGACAGACATATCTTGCAGCCTTTATTATTGTTTTACCACTGTAATTACTTTACCTTTGTATATGTTAAGTTTTTTTTTTAACTCGTGAGAAAAATTCAGAGGGCTTTAGATGGGACTATTAAGAAATACAGTTTATAAAGCACACTCTTCCAGCAGGTTTTCAGCTCACACACACGAGTATTACATATGTGATCAAGCCCGACACAAGAAGTGGTTGACTGCGTCTTAAAACTTTGAATTATTTTGTATTACTTATTAAGGTTACTGGCAAAGAAAGCAGCACTATGAGTACCTCTAAGTTTTTATATTGGTTTCAAATCTGAAGAAAAACTGTCAAAAATTTGCCAGAGTTATTCAAAAGGCATAAAAGTCCATTACAGAGAGCTACAAATACTTGCACAGAAAGATTTAAATAAGATTACAGGTGCAGAATACCTTTTTTAAGTGTATCATATCAAGAAGTATATGTGAAGTGGGTGTCTAGATTCCACAAACCTTATTTTAGGAGATAAACTCAGCGACAGATTCCCACTGGCTTCAGAAAACTACTTTAAAACATAGCTGTGATGCTGAAAGCTAAGTACAGTCACAAACAAATCCATTGTTTACCCTCACCCAAGGGACGTTCACTAAGACCCACAAGCACAAATGTTTCAGGGATTTATTGAGGCCTTTTAAAAAAGAGACTATAGGTACCAGAGGGAAATCAGAGCGTCATCAGGGGTAGATTTTTACACTGTTGGTTTTGGACTTTTGGGCGATAAGAAAAATAAAAAAGTCCTTTCTTTATGAAGAGTGATCAGACACAAAATACCACACAGATTATAGTGAACAGTTTTTGCATTGAGTGCTCTACCTGTTGCAGGAGGGTCCAGCAGACCATGGAAGCGGTCCGGTGGCAGTTTGTGGTGTCCTTCCATGACAGTGAGGTGAAGGAGAGGGTAAGAAGGGTCATGTAGATATTCTGAAAACAACAGAAGAAACACCGAGCTCAAATAAAGAAGCCTTTGCTTTCTTTTTAAACGTTCTGTGATGTTTTTTCGACTTACCTCATGTTTCATCAGGCTTTTCCCCAGCTCTGTCAGCTCCTCTGTGGGCTGAGCAGGAGACACCGTCTGCACTGAATCCATCATCATGTCTTCCTCTTTGAGAGCACATTTCAAACAAAAAAAAAAAAACTGTGAGAATGAAGGCAAACAAAATCCTCGTATTGAAGTCATTTTGTTGAAATTTCACGCTTACCATCTCCTTCCTCTTTATTTGCTGCAGGTTCAGGGACTTTCCTAGAGATGCAGCACACAGCTAGAAGTGAAGACAGAGGAGAAGTATTACATTAAAGCTCCAGAACAACTCAGGTTTAAGCAGTTTAACAAGTTGAAGAGTATGAATTAATTGCTTGGAAGCCAGATAGTAAACAAAACTTCATCAGACAAAAAAGGATGTGAAAAGACCAACCTTTCCTTACGTACAAATAAAAAGTAACAGAGGTGGTGTTTTCATCATCCAGTGTACATCCTGTCAGCCTTTAGCTAACATGCTTTATCGATTGTTTTGATATATTGAGATGACCCGATAGTCAGTGTTGTTTTCGTTGACGCCCCTTTTTTTCACAACGAAGACATGACATTTACGAGCTAATCATAAGTCTTAGATGACTGAAATGTGACGAGACGAAAACGTTAGTGATGGACGACAAACAAAGTTGCAAAACTCATGAACATTTTTGTCAGTCAAACGCTAAACATATATTCTGCAGTGTTGTTTTCGTTGACTGTGACGTTGACGAAATATTTGTTTTCGTTGACGAAATATTTTCGTCAATGTCATCGTCAACGAAAACAACTCTGCCGATAGTAATGAGTTGAAAGGAGGGATGTCGCCAACTACTGTAGCAGAGTTGGACATGCTTCTGCCAACAGTCTGATTCTTGTCTATGAACGACTAAATAAGCATGATGCTGTTTTAGGACGCAGTGGACTCTGTTCCAGCCCTGTTATGGTACTGAAGTGCGTCAGAGGCTTTAGAAACTTACTGAGGAGATCCAGCACCTCCCTGGTGAGCAGACGCACCAGCTGCTCCTCCAACATTTCTTGCGTCACCTGGCTGTCATGACAGACCACCACCTCCTCCTCATCTTCGCCGCTAGAAATCAAAACAAAGCTTGTCAACTCATCTCATTTGTAGTAAAGCCATCAATGTACTGAACATGCAGTAGGTCAGAGAAATCACTTTTAAACTCTCAGCTGAACCGACTAAAGCCTTTGTTTGTTGAGGACTGGAGAAGGCTGCCTTTTTTTAAACTACATATTTTCTGGCCTTGTTGTAATTTTCAGGCACTTGTCTAATGAAATACTCATAAAAATCCAAACAGGTCCAGGCACTGTCCTCCCACTTACCTGATTGAGGTCCTCTGGTTAATGACCTGCCATTTGCTGTTGAGTCTCTGTAAGTAAACAAAGAGAGGGCTGTGAGACTTAAAGTACTGAGACGAAGTGGGTGAAGAGCAAGAAATGGAGAGATCCATAATAAGTGTGACAGAATGGGGGCTGTGGAGCTCCTGACCTGCAGCATGTAGGTGAACAAAGGGCCCAGGAGGGGGCGGAGTAGACTGTTGTAGTACTCCTGAGGACATGATATCACAAGCTGCTTCAAAAAGACACGTGCCGTGGAGTTAAAGGAAATGAATCTTGGCAGAACAGCTACGATTAGCTCATGGAGAGAAGTAGCTTCTAAATTATTCTATGAAAAGAATGAACCACCGGAATAAACACGAGGCAAAAGCACGGACTGATAAACAATTCAAGGATATGAATCATGGGACGAAGTCTGTGGTCGGGCACGTGATCCAGGGACACAAAAGCAGAGCCGGCTATTTCTTCAGCCAGCCTCTCGATGGTGTAGAAGTCCTGTTGTAGAGACGGACCTGCATTTCCGAGGACATGGAAGCTGCAGAGACAACAGAGGAGAAGGTTTAGTCTTATTTGCAGCGGAGGGTGGGGTTTGGGAAAAACTGCAACAGCATCTATCTTACCAGTTGTCATACAATGTGGTGAAAAACCCCTGCATGCGCTCCAGGTTGGTTCTGTACACAGGAGCATCATAAACATCCAGAAGATGCTGCGAGAGACCTGGGGAAGTAGTGAGATGGATTAGCTACAGCATTTCAGAGGATTTCTCAGAATTTCAAAAAAAGGTATCCGCAGGAAGGAGGCCCCCTTACCGAGAACCACGTTTTTCTCAGCATCCATCACCTCATGGGCCCTGGAGAAGGTCTCGCTGAGACGTGCTATGTTCTCTGGCAGGAAAAGGCTGTTGTGGGTCCTGAAAAGAAAAGATAGGGAATGGTGAGAGGCTCAAAGAAGGAGGTTATAACTTGGCAGTGCTAGACTGACTAGAAATCCTTTTACATTATTGGGCAACATCTGTGTGCGACCTTAAAATTTAAGTTAAACTGCTGAACCAGAATAACCGTTTGTACCAGCAATATGATGAAAAATAGGTGAATAGAGAGTTATGTTTCTATCTATCACAGATTAATCATAAGTAGCTCTTAACATACCCTGCTGTGTAGTCCAGAACTTATAAAATGATCCTCATTCTTCACCAAAGAATACTTGAAACTACTTATTGAGACCATAAACTCTGATATTCCCTAATGTAATAATCAACGAAGTAGGTTTCCATGAACTTCTATTTGTATCACATGAAGTCTCCCCCTGCTGGCCATTACACAGAATGCAGATCCAAGTCAAATTCTGCATTTGCTTCACTTTTGAGGCCACAAAGGTTTCTGAGTCACTCCAAGGTCTTGACTTGTATTATCTTATTTAATATATACAACATACAAATGTCATTGCCTGATATGATAAACATTGCCAAAGAAGACCCATATTTTAGTGACAGGGTTCCTACGCAAGTATGGAAAAGTATGCAAGTAATTTGATCAATTTCCAGGTCTTAAAAAGTATGGTAAATAAAAAATAAAGTATGGAAAAATATTTATGTTAACAGACTATATTACCACAGTTATAAAATACTCTTTTCTAAAATAGAAAAGTTGGAATTTCTAAAAATAATTCTAAAAAGTAGGGTCTGGAAAAGTATGGAAATCCCAACTGTGTAGGAACTCTGTAGTGAGGAGTAATGGCAGGTGGAGTGTCTGTTCTGAGAGGGTGTACCTGATCAGAGCCAGCAGGTTGGGCAGTAAGAGCAGAAACTGGGCAGTGCAGGGGTTTCTGTATATGGGAGCTCCTGTCGGGGTGTAGCCCACCACAAAGCCACCAGCCTTGGCTTCCTCTAAGTCTGCAGGCCAGCGAGCTTTCTTCACCACGCCCAACATGGCATACAAACAGAAGCTTATCTAGAAACCAAAGAGAAAAGTTGAAATGTCAAATAAAGTCAGCTTTGTGAAAGGACCGTTTTGGACCAGTTTTTCCTGCCTTTATCAAGCCCCTCAGTTTACACAAACACACTTACCCGCCCCCTGTTTAGACCTGCTGAGTCCAGACCTTTACTTTGATCAGTGACCACCTGATCAGCCCCGACAAAGGAGAGGAACAAAGCAGGGTCCAAAAGCACACTGAAACACAAAGTGGAGATAGCAGTCTATTATAGGATTTAACATGAAATCACAGGACGTAAAATTTGAACTTGTTTTCCAAACGCACTGTCTCATCTCCTCTGAGGTCCAGTCTGCAACCACTGAGGCCATCAGCTCGTCCAGGAAGGCCTTTTGCTTTGCAAAGTCTTTGAACTGGTTACTGATGAGCACCAGAGCCTCCATTAACGAACATTTCTCCATGTGGGTGAGGCCTGCTTCGCTGGCGAACATCTTCTTCACGTGGTTATAAAACATCTCAAAACAAGGCTGGAGGGGACGAGACAGAACAAATATCTAACCATTGCCACAACACATGAAACATGTCAGGAAAATTTAACTTCATCCATGGATACGTACCAGGATGATGTGTGGATAATCCCGGCAGATTTTAATGATGGAGGAACAGGCATGCCTCCTCACATTCTTCACCGCTCGGGTTCGAGGAGCCTGAAGGCAGCGATTAGAGAGTATAAACTTGTGAGTCTTGAGCATGAAAAGCGAGTCAAAGTAAACATTTTTTGGTCCTGTGATGTTAACTCACCTTATTATCCTGACTGACCTCAAATGTGACGGATTTAAACAGCTGAAGGGACAAGAGGAGAGCACTGTAAGGTTAATGTGAATGAGAAATACACACTAGTTTCTATCTTACATGTAGACAGAGCAGCACAGAGTGTGCTAATAATTCAATAAACTGAATTTTTTAAACTGAAGAGTAGCATTTTTTCAGACTAAAGCAAAAACATTTATCAAAGGAAGTACTTTTAGGACATTCTCCAGACCCAATTCGCTTATGATTTGACCAGAATTTAAACTCCAATATCTTCCACAACTCTATAAAGACTGAATAATCACAACATCTAACCAACAAAGAATTGGATTTAACTCTTTCCCATACTCCTGTATGTAATTACGGTTAAAAACACGTCTTGTAAAAGCACACAGACAAACTTCAGTGACCCAAGGTGACTCAGCTGACCTTGCAGAGGACCGGTTGCACAAAGTGCGGCCTCCTTATGACAAATGGGAAGAGGGCAGAGATGTTGGAGAGCACACAGGACAGGATGAGCGGGTCTTTGGTCTCAAAGTTCAGCACAGCCTGCAGCAGCTCCATGCCTTGATCTACATGCAGCTTCTACTCAACAAGAGACAGAAACAAGAGCAGAACTTCAAATAAATGACGATGTTTCGAGAGAAACACTTGGTTTTAAATCTATTACTCTAATCTTTTACCTCCTCTTCCAGACTTTTGAAGATCTGTGTGACCACACACTCCATGAAGATGGTCATTGCATCCCAGTGGACCACAGATGGAGACAGGAGCGAGCACAGGCCCTCAGCTGTCTTTGCTGATAGTACGCAGATGAAATTCGAAAGTGAGAAACTTACAAGCTAAGTCAAATGAGTTCCTTGAAGTGAAACGTCAAAAGAGTTCAACCATTTCCTCATGCAGCCTTGGTCTAAGTCTGCTGCAAAAAGTGGGGTTTACTCTTACATAGAAATCTTATCAAATTGGTAATCTGAGTCAGTGTCATATGGCCACATACTATTCATTTTTACTCGTCCACAAATGCACAGAAAAATCCAAACACATCTCCTAACAAGTAGAAATCTGTCTCTGTGATGATATGCCAAGAATGAGGACAAACACTCACATGTGGTATCTCCAGGGTCAATAGGACTAGAGATCTGATACTGTAACCACTCTGCTGCGATCCGAAAAGCCTCCAGAGGAACAATGCGACATGCACTTCTCACTACCTCCCCCTGTTGGGCTCGAAAAGCTGTTGAAAAGCACATACAACACAAAAAATCCATTGAGGGAGATAAGGATAAGAAGAGCAGATCTGCAGTGAAGTAAACCCAGGACTATAACACTTACAGTTGAAGAATGAATTGAAGTCTTCATCACTGTCAAAGTCCACACGGGAATACACACAGCTCGGGTTATCGTCTCTGGATGGAAAACCAGTCTGCAGAGAAAGAGACGAACCTTTAGAAACACCAAGTTCAGATTTAGTGGAGATGCTGGTGCTGAGGTCTGTGTCTCACCTTGACCAGGTTGATCATTGATGCTCTGACGTATTTGGTTGCCATCTCCACAACAACTGGATCCTTGGACAGAGACTCATGTCTGAACAGAGCTCCCCAAGTAGCCAGAGTAGACGATTTTAAAAACTGCATCAAAAGAAGAGACGTCACACCACAGCTATCACTAAAGTATTAATATTCTACTGCTTCAAATGAGGTTTGCAGAAAAGGTCTCATCTCACCTGACTGGAATGTATAGTGAAGGCTAACAGGGCCTCCATGTACTTGCTGAGATTGGCAGGTGCCTCCACCTCGACGTCTGAGCCCTGTGGGTGAAGAATGTAATATTCCCCATTGACCAACCATGAAAAATTCACAGAGACCAGGTGCAAAACCACTTTAAGACTTATCTTAAACTCACCACAAGTGAGTAGAGCTGGCCTCCGAGAGCACACAGGACCTGACACAGCCTCTTTAAAAAGACGTAACTCCGCTCCACCACCTCCACTGCTCTAAAAACACATCAATATAGACTGAACAACTAGCCACAGCCGGTCTGATTAAACTTCACATGACTTATTTTTATGACTTTTTTCCTAACAAGATACTTCAAATGACTCACTGTGATTCAGGAGATTTCTTACGTATTGCGAGTCCATCTGCTGACCTGAAATCATACAGACAAGGAACCAATCAGTGGCAGAGGCAATATCTGGTTGACGCCTGTGAGGAGGGATGATGAAGAGGAGTACTCACTGTGCTGCAGAGAGGATGTAGTGGATGGCCACATCATCAAACAGCAGCATGAATGGTTTTCTATCCTCCAGCTTCCCCTGAAGCGAGAGGACCATTGATTAAAAATGGCTTACTACTGGTTTTTCATGCAAATATCATCTTACTCTACTGAGCATACTGCAGCATGACTCATCTCAGCTCTGCAATAATAGGTAAATAAATCTGACCAGATGCACACGGGATGTTTAGATTGGCTTTACAGCTATAAATAACTATAATTTTAACCGTTACAAATGAATTTTGTGTTGCTGAGCTGGTCATAACCTCGATCAAAATATACAACTTCTTCTCAATAAATGACACTTGTCAGGTTTTGTTTGAAATAAAAGATTTTGAATGGGTACGTTTGTCTAGAAAGTCAAAGAAAAATTACTCCATTCAGGAAATATGAGCTAAAGTAAGTGTTAAAGGGATATTCCGGTGTAAAATTAAGTTAGGGTCAAACACAACGTAACACTGAGTTAGACATCCCGTCAAGAGATGAATGTTGCCGACCGCTTGTTCTCTAGTTATACCAACTTTAGTGACGACCGCACGAAATGGCCAGTCCATTACAGACTACAGTGGGGTGACACAGCTCAAGGAAGAACATTTATGATCATTTCTTCATGGAAATCCAATCAGACAGAGACGCTAAGGCACAAGAACTACCGCGTCTGCAGTGCAAAATGATTAATATTATGATTATTACTTCAAGGAAATGATAAAGTAACGATCATGTGATGGTGATGGACTCGCCGTACAACAAGCGGCTGCTGGAAGAGAGTGGGTGAGTTGTGTTTAGTTCTGAGCATTATTTGTGGCTATAGAGTGGCGTTTTTGTTAAGCACGTTGCTCCTGAGATCGCTGTGTATTGCTATCTGCAGTCGTTACTAAAGTTGGTATAACTAGAAAGCAAGATGGCAACATTCATATCTCGATGGGGTGTCTAATTCGGTGTTACGGCCCTAAATTCATTTTATGCAGGGATATCCCTTTAAATAAAAACTCACATGGTAGCACTATTGCTCTAAATCTACACAGTTTCTCTTAACCCACAACTTGCCTTCCTGCTGACAGCGATGAGAAGACACTCGGCCGCTTCCAGCTGCAGCTCCGGCTCACTCAGCAGTAAGCACAACATCTCCAGCAGGTGACAGTTTCCACTTGTGATGTGAACCAGAGAAACCCAGTCAATGTAGCCTGCAAGTGTATTCAAGGTGGCAACAGCGACACGACAGTGAGCTCTGGCCTGTGTGTGAGGGGAAAAAAACAACAAACAGGGGTGAGGAGAGTAACACAGAGGCAGATTAAGTTTGTAAGAGGATGAGTGATGGATGTATTCTCACCTGTAGCTCATGTCCCGGTAACTCTTTCTGCATTGAAATAAAATAAACACAAATCAATCTTTCTGAAGCAACCCCTCTATTAGATTTGTCTTCTATTAAATACATAATAAATCAAACCAGGATAATAACAGACTTCAGCAAACCACTGACCAATCTGCGATATTCTTTGACGTTAGCTTGCAAAATGGCCATCATGAATCCAAAGATGCTCTCCATGTTTTGTGTGAGTGTCTGCTGGATGTCTCTGCGTCGCTGGGTGGGCAGCGTTTGGAAGGTGATGACGTCCTCTGCCAGCCTGAGCAGGATCAACATCACCAGCTCAGTCTGGGCCTCCTACAAACAGAAAGATTACATTCAAATGTTTTTTAAATATCATTTTGACACATTTGATTTGTACAACTTCAAAACAAAAACAGGTTTTCATGACAGGTTTTATGGGCTCATAGTTCCTGAAAGATGACTATCTGATCCGAAAGTTGCAAATGTGACATGACGACATCACATAACAATGACTTTCCCTGATCTGGTGCTTATTTGCATGTGAGGGATTACACAATAGTATTCAAATACAAAGTGGGTGGAAAGTACAAGATCTGACACGAAGTAAAAGACTGTTTCCAGCATTTCATATGTTACTCACTCCTTGACTGGTGAGAGCCTCCATCTCTTTCAGCATATCTGGCCAGTGCTGAGGCCATTCTCTCTTTATCATTTCGACTGTGATTCGTGACAGGACATCTTTGATGTGGCTCACCTCCTCCAGGATAGAATGAGTACCCTGGTGGGAAATAACACTGGCATTAATTACAGATCCATAGATACAACTATAAACAGAGCAATGTTTTCATTCGAGCCATATAGGGCTGGGCGATAAAATGATAATATATTGAAAATTAATTTCCCTCAATATCAATATAAAATACGGTCAATATGCTTTTCAATAGTCGGCATTCTGCCATGTTTTGGTAGACAATACGAACAGCCAATGAAAAGGGGAGTTGCTCTGGGTCCGCTTCACGCTGAACCAATCATGTGCTCAATTAGAACCAGGTAGCAAACAACTGAGTAGTAGCAGTAGCACAGATGCAGTAGCTTATTGTATTGCAAAAGACATGCTGCCAATAAGCACTGTTGAATTTCATTTTTTATATCATGATATGACTTATATGAAAAAATATATCATGATAAACTTTTCCCCATATCGCCCAGCCCTAGAGCCATATAAATCTGTTAATGTTGTCACTTTTCGTCTTACATTTGCTAACAGTTGCATGGCACACTCCTTTAGCTGGACTTTTTCTTGCTGCTGCATGTTGTTCCATCTGAACCTGAAACAAAATGAAATTGTCATTCAAATATGCAACTCTGATTGTCATTTTTTGTGTTTGTTTTGTTAAATCCAATAACACTGCGGTTACACTCACTTGATGACGTGCTCCAGGATTTGCAAACCAAAGTGTCTGACAACAGCTGGCTGGTTTTTGTCGGCTAAGTGTAAGCCGCATGGGACACAGAGGGAGCTTGTCTCTTTAAACTCTTCGCAAAACTGTGAAGAAAGACGAAGTTGACGGAATAAACTGTTTGAGGTAACATTAGAACAAGCGCAGATTACTTACTATTACCGTTCATGAGTAAAATATCCTAGCATCAGATGCCTTAGCAACTCTATTCAACACTTTAACAGCATAAAGCTTAGCACCCAAGTAGCCACTCCAGCTAGCCCATCGGTTCCACTGGAGAGCTGTACATCTCTGTTAAATCAAGCTGATACTACCTTTGACCATATTACATTAATACTTTACAATATGTCAACACTTTCATGTATGAATGAATGAAAAGGAGTGACAATGAACGTGGTGGTGAGTGGATAATCGGGACACACCGGCTCACTCAAGGCATCATCATCATTATAGATAAAGCGAATCTTGTCTCAACAAACACGCTGTTTTAGCATTACTGTCTCTATTAGCCCTCTGCTAACAAACTGACAACTCAGCTACACATGCACAAGTTTCGATTTTCATATGACAAGCTCAGTTAGCTGGTAGCTAGCTAGCAACCCATAACGATGCTACCTTCAGGGCCTCCAGTCGGTAAATTTGGCTCGTTTCTGCGTCCATCATCGCATTCACAGCTTTGATAAGCTGCTCACACATGGCAGCCACCTGGTCACTCATGACTACAGGTAGCGTCTGACACTGACGGAGAAAGCGAGTGGCTCCCTTATGCAAAACACCTGCACTCACTCCACTGTGCCGCGAGTGCTCAGGGAGGTACCAACGTGCACAAAATGTGCTGCTTGCGTGTTTAAACGAACCTCCGGCTCGCCATTGACGGGGAATTCTGGGAGTTGGAGTCAAAACGGTCAAAACAAAAGATCGTCTATACACTGACAGAGAGCTCACTTAGAACTCAAATTTGAGATAATTTATCAATCCATGCAGTGTTAAATTCTGTGCTAATTATGATGTACGGTGGCCGAGAACCGCCACTGCTGCAAATAAAAAAAGAATGCAAAAAAATAAGGATCCATAACAGAAGATACTGATGCAAAAAAAAAAAAAGAAACCAAAGCTCGCTGCAAATAAAAAAGAAATGGTGCCGATAAAAGCAAAAAAAAAAAAAACACAACGGAAGTTAATGATGCAAAAAAAGTGGTGATGCAAAAAATAAAATAAAAAATCAGCTGAAGAAATTCAAATTCAAAATCAGATAGCACAGATTTACTTCCATATTTCTCCCTGGTAACCTGGATGTTGAGTCGGTGTCTTTCACACTGAATTTTTTGACACTGAGGTATTTGACACTGAAAAATTTGTTGATTTTTTTACACAGTTTTTTTTTAGGCAAAATTTTCCTACACGAATATTCTGTGAAACTGATTTTTTTATACTGAATTTATTTCGTCATTGTGAAAAAAAATAATCATCAGCAATAAAAATGTGTGCTTGAAATTTAATGGGTTTGAAATTCAAAGTCTGATTTTGATACAAAAAAATTAAGCTGTAGAAATTCGAATTCGAAATCAGATGGCACAGATTTACTTCCATATATTACTTTCGATCTGTCAAATCAGAACAGAGTGAGACGTCTCTTTTCTCTCCTACCGACTCAGGTTGATCTTGTAAGTTTCTTTAGTCGCTTTGCTCACGGTTGCACAAGGGATTGATGACTACCCGAAGCACTCTTCTTGATCACGGTATATTTTTATATCATTGAATGACAAATTGATATGAAATAACTTAACTTTTCCTGGTTTTCACGGTCACGAGTTTAGCCGTTGGGGGTGTTTTCTGTCTCAGACGGGGCGGGGCTTGAATTCCTAACTGGAATGAGTTTCCTCCCGATACGTCACTCTGGGATAGGCTGCGAGCTATCGAGCAACGCTGTCACTCAACGGGGTTTCGGGCTTGTTACCTACGCCGCTAAGGGTAAGAAAAACCTTGTAAATAGTAAATAATTCTCACATATAAGTGTCATTCGTGTCGTTTTGAGCTTCCTCGCTCCGCTCGAGGTGTTTTAACGGTCGCCTCGCGCTCACTAAGAGCCGTTTGAAAGTTGTAAACGGTTCACGCTGAACTACAACGGAAACTTTTGTCGTGAAGGCCGCGATATTTGTTGCAACAGGTCCACTACACGGCAAACGAGCAACATAAGTGTGTTTTCATTTTGGTCATTTTGATTGAATCGTGTTGAAATAACGATGTGTTGTGTTTTTAATGCAGAACGGGACCCCCCGGGAGGAGAAAGTCGCCTTGCCCATCGCGGGTTTAAGGCTCTGGGATTAAAGTGATCGCCAGTCCCACAGCTTTCGTCGAAACTGCCAGCGGGGATTCATGCTGTGTTGGTTAGCTAAATGCGGTACGAAGCTAAAATGATGCCGGTGAGTTTACATTTTCTTCTCACAGCTATAAGTTGAAGTGTCGTATATCTATATTTTTGACATGATGATACCGTGGTGTTGTTTCTGTTGTGAATTACCTGCTGGACATTTAAATTGACGTGGCAAGTGGATGCGGTTGCTCCTTTGGGCCAGTTCTATGGCAACATAAGCGCTTTGTTGTGAAGTTTATTAGCGTGGACAGCTGTCAGTGTGTGCTATCAGTACACGATGATATAAGTTACATCATTTATTTGCTTAGTGGGATGTTGCCCCGCGGATAAATGGTTGTCTTTCTCCGGTTCAAAGTCTCCCTGCGTCAGAATGTCTGAAACATGTAGATCCAGTTTTGGGACAGAAGACTTGTATCTGTTAAAATAGTGATTTAATTGACTGCGTATACATGTTTCCCTCCTGTCTGTTCAGTCGTAGACTTTCAATCTAATCATCAAGGCTAATAAGAGCTCACAATTAGCAGGGGGCACCTGCCAAGACTTGCTTAGTCTACTCCGCAAACCTTTTGCACTGGACCTCTGCCATGACAGCAGCCATCATCAACATCATTATCGTCGTCAGAGGTCTATTGTTTTTGCTGCAGTGTAAGCCCACATTTCTCCCTGTATTTCTTCGACAGGGGCAGCAGACAGAGGTCTGTGCATGTGTTCCCTGTGGAGGAGGGAAAAAAAAAACCCTTTCCAAAAATGGAGACTTTTTTTAATGCAGGTTTAATCCTCTGTTGCAGCTTTGTTTGCTCGCTTTTAATAAGAGGCACAAAGGTCACAGGAGTATTGAGTGGATTGGTATTCAGTAAGCATTTACATCCAAGTGAAATTCTTGTCTTCGCTTTTAACCAAAGAATAGCATGAAAAGAGGATGCAACCACAATGTAATGTGTGTGAAAGATTGAATGAAAAGCACATCTCATAGCCCAGTCAAGGAGGAATTCACTTCGCAGTCGTATAAATGAAAAGGCATTCAATTCAGTCTTTATTCTGAATTATTTTTACAGCTCTGAGACAAGAATGTGTATTTCAGCGGATTATTCATTACCCAAAACCGTTCACTTGTTATTGAAATAATTGGCCGCTCATTTTCTGAGGATCTGCTAAATCCTTTATAATCCACTTGTTTTGAAACTATAGTTTTAGCTGCAGTGACCAGCTCCACTTCAGTTTATGGAGGAAAGGGCTTGATGTTTCTTGTTTTGCTAAACTTTGCAGTAAATATTAGGGCCTGACCGATATGAATTTTTGGGGGCCAATGCTGATACCGATTATTAGGGGGCAAAAAAATCTGATTACCGATTGATCAGCCGATTTAAAAAAAAAAAAAATTGTGAGGTTATAAAAAATACATATATACTGTAGATATCTACAGTACTGTAGATATACTGAAGGCTACTGCTCTTCACTCCTACAGGAAGACCGACTGATCAAACTCGGACTAGAAAAGCTTTTTCAATGTTGAACTCATTCCAAGGAAACCTAAAACTCAGGACAGTTAATTGGTGATTTAAAGTATTTTTCAACGTTTTTCATTAAAATAAGATCAGAGCATCAAAGGTGTATGTTGTCAGTTATTTTTAAAAAATCTGCATCGGCCAAAATCAGTATTGGCAGGTCAAGCTTTTTAAAGATCAGTGCTCGGCCAGAAAATTGTGATCGGTGCACCCCTACTTTGCAGGTAAATTCTCAATCTTTTTGTGTGTTTCGTCAACAAATGAGTAAAGCTGTGTGACATAGTTAGACTTTGTTAACACTTAATGTAAGATACAGGGTAATCTCCTATAGCTGTAAAGTAAGGATCTATTAATGTTATCCGTATCCTCTCTGACCTGCTCACTAACAGAGCTTGGTAAGTGAATTAATCATCTAAGCCGTGGAAACAGTCGTATTTAGATGACTCCTGTCTGGTGTGTGACCTCAGTCTGCCACTGACACATAGTCATCTGTCATCACCTTGCAGAAACAAGTGTAAACAGTCACGTTTACATGTTTAAACACAAGACCTGTTTCCCCTGTGCCTCATCAGACCTTTTAATTAGCACCTATAGTCCACTTCTGTCAGTAGAGAATATGTGTTGTGTCGTGTTTGAATACGATGCAGCTTCTGGTGTTCACCTGATAAGCACAAAATGGCCTCTCTATAGCCATGTCTGATGCAATGTATTGTCTTATGAATTACACCCATAGTCCATGACCCTGCTCGCACAGGCCAGGGGCTCTGGGGTAGTGAGAGTGTAGTGTCGTAATTGCTGGCTGGGATGGTAAATAGGGGGTCACTGTTTCCTGAACACAATGAGCTTTAAAAGCATGTTGTGGAGAGCACATTGTGTGTGTGTGCCTGTGCCGTGGCAGCACCCTGATAAGGGCTGCTCGCTCTTTATTGAACCCTAGCATGCTTTAACTAATTTACGCCTGATTTACTGGTATGTCTAAATAGGTCATTGTTCTGCAGACACTTATTAATGCAGCATTAGAGCTTGAATTCATTGCTGGTTTACTGCTCCATATCTAATGTTTGTGTCCTTTTTAAAGATTAATTACGCCTAATAAACTACAACAGCTGATGGAAAGAAAAGGCAGCAAACAGGAGAGAGTATGAGGAGAAGTTTTTACACGATGTTACCTACACAAATCCTATCACTTCCTCATTCCTCTCCCATGACACGAGTTTGCTTGCTGTGTAGATTTCCACATTGATAAACTTTTTGTGACTTGCCCGCATTGTTTAGTTTGCGTCTCGGTTACATCGCAGCAAATCCCACTGTCGCTCCATAATGGTGGGAAAATTAGGTGACGCTACACAGAGCCTGATTTTTGCTGTTTGTGTCAACAGAAACCTGAGCGGGCTTTCTGTCCATCTACCACAAGCTTTGTGTTTACTCTGTGGGAGAGTATGTGCCGGTTACGTAAGCAGGGCAGCACAACAGCGACAGAGAAGGACAGTCAAGGGCAAGATTGGGACTTTTGTCTTAGAAAGAAGAGTTATCAGGGTTTCTATATCAGAATTGTGAATGCTGTCTGAAAAAGTTAGATCATTATTTTCCTCAAAAGAATAGTAATAACTGTATATGAAGTCGTAGCACATTAGCAGCAACAAATTAGCCTGATTTCTGAGGGGAAGCGCACCAGAGTCACCTGAGCAGGTATCAACATACCTGTTTTTGAATACTAAATGACCACCATGCAGAAGAAGAGAAATGGATGTTCCTCGTAAAGTGGCCCAATTACAGGAAGGCCCCTTTTGCTGCCGCAGCATTGTCAGAGATTGAAACACTATTCTAAACATGGTGAAAAGGGAGGCCATGGCTCTGATGTGTATCCGGGGGGGTCTGAGAGTCAGCCTTCCAGGAAACTACTGCACCTTTTTGACTCAGTAGTCCCAGGAACTGGAAGTTTCAGCATGCAGGAACTGGATGGAGGAGGGAATCAAAGCTCCCTTTGTGCCTTCCACTTTGCACCATGTCTGAAGAGCCATGAAGATAAGTTAATTAGAGTGATAACAGAAAGCAGTGTTATTTTTAGGCCGAGATGATAACACAGCTGGTACACTGTTCCTTGTAATTTACTGCTTGCCAAAAGAATGAGGCTCTGTGCAAATAAGCTTTACTGACATATAAGCATTTTAGTCCTCATATAGATGACACTGGAATCTGCTGGCTTGTGTAGAAACAAAAATTATTTCCCTCGAAGAAAGCCTGGGCTATAAATCAGCTTTTTGGAGTATTTGATGTTTGTGGTTTAAGGCAGTTCTTAAAATCTAGAGTTTCTTTTGGCAATCCTCTGCTCCTTCCCTTGGCCTTCTGAAGTTTTCACCCTCCCCCTATTGTTTACTTCCTACAGACACTCACATAACAACATGGCTGCTAGCATTAAGGAAGAGTTTGTTCCCAAAAAAGGCATGGTGCCACAGCCGTGTCAGTGGTTTGGAGCTGGTAAATCTGGTAAATCACTTCTGGCCTCAAAGTTTCTTTCAAAGGCGGTTACAGCTAAAGGCAGGGGCACAGCCAAGTTATTTCGCTGTCTAAAACGAAAGCACGCAGCTAAGTTGGAGAAATGCTTCACTCTGAAATGCTACAGCCCATAAAAACACCTGCCAAAAAGCAGCCAACATTAGCAAGACAAATTTCCCATCGCATCCTGCATGACAGTCAAGGGACACAGTGGAAAGCTATCGTAGTAAACATTCTGGGTTCACTTAAATGTGAAAATGTTACAAGAAAATAATAAACTGAACACTGATGTGGATTTTCAGCCAAACACAGGACGGTCTTTCTCACTGTTGCTGGTGCAATATGGTGTCTAAATACAGCAGATAAGCCTGGGTTTATCCACATGCTTCAAACTATTGGTTGTCAGGTATATGTACTACCCAGCTGCAAGTATTTTGATGAAGTTGCCCCACCTCTTCTGTACAGCAGTACACCTGAAAAGATCATTAGAGAGCTGGAGGGGGTGTCATTTCATTCCTCTACAACAGACATACGGTCAAGGCTAACCATGCAGCCCTTTATGATTGGGATGGTGCATTTAATCAATGACAGCCGGGCTTTAAACAGCTCACTCCAAAGGTAAGCATATCTCCCAGGGGCTGAAAAAGTTGTTTTAAATCAATTCTTTGTTTTATTTTTTTAAAGAAGGAAAAGAGAAATTTCTTATAATTTGATGTGTCAAAAAATGTAAGCTCATGAGGCCATATTGCCCAGGATGTACTAAGATATATTTAGATCCTTGGTCCTGTAGTCTGACCAGAGTCTACGTCCCTGAGCCCTGAAAAAGGTTCCATAAAAATTCCTGTTTTGGAAAAGGGCTTTTGTTGCTCTTCCTCCATTAATCACCTGCTCTCCTGACTCACCAATGTCTCTTTTGCATATGACAGATGAAAACCACAAAGGCGTCATTCAGTGTGCTTTTTTTTTTTCCCAGGAAGCCAATTAGTATGTTTGAATCCCTGCCTCTTAGCTTTAGTTTCCCGTATAAGAAAAGTTTCGGTAAAGGACAGTTTTGCATATTGTAATTTCTCGTACAGCAGACCATTTTTCAATATTCTCTGACTGCTTCACTTTTCAGTCATCTAATGGATCTCGTTGGTAGTTTCCATTTGTGTGCAGTATCCTTAATTTTTGGTTTTGCTGTCGCCTTTTTCCTCTTAATGACTTTTTTTTTTTTTTAACTGTCAAAGAGAGCATATAGAAAAGGAGACATCCTCTCCGTTCTGCTGCATTTTTTCCTCCCATTTCCCTTATCTCACAGATAAGCCCTGAGTAGGAACTGTCTCATCACGTAGACCAGAAATGGAAGAGTTTTGCGAGAGGGCAGATTATAAGGAGATAGGCTAAGCACTGCAGTGCAGACGGAGAGAAGAGGTTGTCCTGATCGAAGTGGCTCAGCTCCCTGCAGCTTCAGTGGGTTGTAAAAGCTGCTTGGTGATTTTTTTTTCAGAGTGTTGCAGCTGTATCAGGCTCCTGTACATTCTGATTCCCTCTGCGTCCTGTTTGGTGCCCCTGACCTTTTCTCCCCGAAAAGTGAGGGAGCGAGAAAGAGAGATGAAGAAGAATAATGTATAAAGTCATTAGGGAGTTTCTGCTGCCTTGCCTTTTTGAAGGACTGCTTTGCTGGAACCGTGTCAACTCTTGAACGGGGACCCACACATGGACGGATGATGCTGCAGTGTCTTCCTCACTCACTGTAATCAGATTCAGAGGTGACTCCCTCAACGAGACCAAGTTGACTCATTCGCTTACCACAGCAATATCTTAATTGAAAGTGTGTGTAGACATAAGGCTCAACAGCCCCGAGGTGAGACCCCCTCAGGCATGGTCAGAATATACAGCCCCTGTTACCTTCTGCTGCTGTCACCCAGCCTCAGTGTCCACTTTTAGTCCTCCCGTTTCCCTCAGAGGAACTACTTCTGACGTGTTTATAAGTGGAACTCAACCCCCAAAGTGTTCTTATCAGGCCTTTCCAACACTCTGCCTTATTTTCACGGTCCTCAAAGAAGAGGATGCATTCAGAACTTTCTCTTTTTGAAATATAGAGATCCCTGCAGCTTTAAAACTTTACCCTATCAATGAGTTTTTGCAGTAGTCATTAACATACTCAGACATTTTACTCTCAGAGCAATAAGAAAACTTCAGTGAGCACAGCACTCACTTTATGGATTTATCCTTTTGATAGTACACTACTTTGGAACCTACAAAGAAATTGACAAATATGATGAACACTCTCACTCATTTTTCAGGAGGAGGTTGCACTCAGGTCCACCTCCAACTGAATAAAATCTGCATGATTTTACAGGGTTTGTACTCTAGATTAAAAAGACTCATTCATCACTATGACAAGCTGAAACGAATATATTTCATGTCACTTATTAGAAGGAGAAGTGGTCTCATTTTGTCATTCTTGTGCTTGGGAATAATGTATCAAGTATAAATCTTTGAAATGATAGATTCAAATCAACATCAGACTTCTTCAAAACATCATTTTTTTAACAGTTCAGGTATCTTTTATGATGTTGAAATAGTCATGTGAATCTCGGGAGATTCTCAGGAATTATAAATCAAGTTACTTTCTTATGAAAGGTGTTGAACATTTAGCAGTCGTGACTTGTGGGTATTGGAATCCTTCCTCTGACTGGTTCATAAATATGAGATAAAACATTTAAAGTAAAAAATGTACATGTTTCTACTTTTTCAAGACTAAAGGTCCTTACACACTGGGACCGATGCAAATATACGACGTGAAATTACGAACTATTTGGAGGCAAATTTTGACTCGCCTGACTGTACACATCAAGCCCGATGTGATTTTGCAACTTTCTGGGGGGTAAAAGACGCGTTCCGGGTGGAAGCGAGAAGACTGACACAACAGCAGACTGACTGTTTTTCAGTTCTGATTAGACACTAGTGTTGAGATGGCTGTCTGTCATGATAGCATGTACTGAGTTGGGGCCAGTACCAGATAAGTACATTAAACTATAATCCATAAACATAAGGTAACAACCGAGATCTAATGGCGCTGTGACAGCAACGCGATTGAGTTTGAGACAGTGAAAATACATATGTTATGTTGTATCTGAACAGGTTAGCTTACGAGCTAAAGTTACTTAGCACAGATGAAAGTTAAAACAAAGAAACCATCGTCATATGAGAGATCCGACGCTATGACTCTTCACAAGTTGTCCTTCAGGTCATTATCTTTGTAATATTTGTGTCTTTTATCAAAAATCACTCTGTTCTCCGACACGCAAACAATCAGCCGGTTGGCCATGTTGGATATACTGGTTAATCAGACATTGCAACAACACGAAATCTGATTGGTCAGAAGAGGACACACAGTATGCGAAACTTTAGAAAATTCGACCGTGGTCCGAAAAATAAATGCTGCAATATCACAGGACGGGAAAACGTTGCTGATGTGAACGTCTGTATTGACAGGATACGGGTTCGAAAAACAATATTGACGTCCGAAATAATCGCACCATAAAAACGGTCCCGGTGTGAAAGAACCTTAAATTTAAGTGAGAAATCAGCCAGCTTGTTGTACATCTGAAGCTACTAATGTCAGTCTGCAATGTTCTTTGGGAGATGTCAGTGATGCAGTGAGCTCTAACTGGCTAGTTATCCTGATATTGCAGAATAATTCCATTATGGTTGAATTATTGGTGCTAGGTCTATTTTTGGACATGAGAACTGCAGAGGCAGACACTTTTGATTGCTCTTAACTCAATATGTGACAAATTGTGTTTGGGCAATGATGTTAAGAGACTAATACGGTAAAATTGACCCTCACAAGGAGAGAGCGAGGCGTCCATGTTTCTATGTGTTTTTTAAAGGAAGAACAAACAGCATCAACTAAGGTTTTTCTTCTTGCAGTTATTGGCTTCTACGTACTCTGTTTACATGCTCTACTTCATTTCTGCAGTGCTCATGTTAGTAATCTGAACAATCAGTGGGAGTGCCTTTACACACCGACTCAGCATTCCTTCGTGTAATTTGCTGAGGGTACAGTGTTGATCTTTTAACTCGAGTCGTCTTGGAGTCCTCTGTCTAAACAACTGGAGAGTCCTGAAAAGCCTGTTCCCCTCAGACCCGCAATCAATGGCATCTGCATCAGGGCCCCTCTGGCTCAAATGAGAAAGTGATCCAAATTACAGGGCGAAGGGCCAGATCAGCATCTTACTTGCTGTAGGCTTTACAGCTAATATCTTTAGTATACACACACCAGTATATTGCAGTATGACTCTGTATCCCCTACAGGGACTGCAGCCTTTTTACCCAAATACAGAACAGGAACAGGAACATTGACCAAGACACCTGCTTCATACAGTAACCCAGAACAGCCAGTATAGTGTCTCTCTTTGTGCTTTTATGTCTCTTTCTCAACCCCACAGTCCTTCCAACAGGGCAGGTCAAGCACTTGCTGCCAGCTGCAGTCACTCTCTCTCTCTCTCTCTGATGTTTTCTCATTACAGAGTCTTGTCTGAGGGTTTGATTATGCTGCTTTTCATGTCTGAGAGTAGGGATGCACCGATTTGATATTTGATATCGGTATTGGTCCCGATACTGAAGAAAATTCTAGATCGGTTATCGTGACAATGGACCCGATGCATAGGGGCCGACCTATTCAGTCTAACTCTATGCTATGCGCCGTGAGTGGCATCCACAAGTAAACACGCTGAGTGGACTGTCTTGAATTTTATCACAATACCTTAGCCTACAAGCTCGACGGCCACTTCAGTGCAGCTTTTCTGTATCGGAATTGGATCTGTATCGGCCGATACTAAACTGTAGATATCTGTATCTGTATCGGAAGTGACAAAAGCGGATCAGTGCATCCCTATCTAAGAGGCATACTCCTGTTGGTGTTATTTTGTCTAGAACTGATGCTCTTCAGCATGTGCCACTGGCTCCAGAATTAGAAGTCATCACAGTATTCAGTGGTAAGGGTTTGAACACTAAAAAAACAGCTGCTGAACAGAGAAACCTGCCTATTAGAGAAAAATTTGCTCCAGTGCTCGGCCTTGGTTGCACAAAAGGATACTCTTTATAAAACTTAAGAAATAGTGGCTGAAGCCGGGCTGCAGGCTATTGAATTTAAGCTCACTATTGTAATACTGAGCCAGTAGTCTGTTGGAACGCTATATTTTTTTTTATATAGCGGATTAACTTAATCCCTGAGATATAGCCCCAGTGCCCCGGCCTTATAGCTGCTCTGCTCTGAGAATATCTACAGAGCGGGCTGCAGTGTGTTAACGGTCATATTTCTTTAGCATTGGTTTACTGGTTTTCTTTAGTACAGTTTGTAATAGCTGTCACACTCAGTCCAAAGTGTGAGAGACAGCTTTGACTGAGCTGACGCTTTGATGGAACCAAAAATCTATCACCATAATAGCAAACCCTCGCAGAAGAGGCAGCTCGTCCCCTTCTCCTTCCCCCGGGCGGTCTCTGTGCTCTGTCTCAGGTATAAGGAAGATGCAATTCAGCAGTTCATTCTGTCATCCAATCTGATAAACACACATAGGGGAATAGTAGTATGTTTTGTCCTCCACTTTCTAAATTGACACCATTAAGCTCTTAAGTTGTGTAGGTAGGTGATGCTTCACTGGTAAGCTGTGGTCATGCTGTTTTGTGTGTCTTTAAATATACTATTCAGGTTATTTTCAAGTTTTTTAACTCTACTTGCTGTTATTTCTATGAATATTTAATGATGTCTAACTGAGCCAGAGCTGGGAGCTGGGGTACTTTTTCCATCTACCAGAGCGTGCTCCACACCTGAGGAAGCCTTCATCTCTTTAATCAAGCTAGCACAGGCTCTGGAGTAGAGCTAAAACAGACCAAATATGTAGGAATACTGTGTTATCAATATTCTGCATAATCAGGGTTAGTTAATGTTGTTGTTGTTCAGAGATTCATCTTGACTAGACAACTATTGTTTTGTCAAAAATGTAAAGTCAGTGTCTAAGATATCTGAGATTGATGTTCAGCAAAATTTTGGATCGCGATGTAAAAACGGTCCAGAAGATCTGTTGTATTTATGTTGTATGTAAGCTAGGGCTGTCCCGATTCGATATTGATTGGATATCGGTCCGATATCAGCCAAAAAACAAATTTCGGATTATATCAGCCTGCATCTAAAACCTCCGATATCAGCACTCCGATACAAGCAGTCCATTCCAGACTCCACTCCGGCACCTCTATCTAGCAGCGCCTAGATCCAGCATGCAGAGCCCACATGATCACAACAACGGTGTGTACTCAGGTACTAACAAAGTACCAAGGATTAGGAGTGATGTTGGCCCTGTGGCAGTATTTTCCATTAAAGTCCGAAAAAGACGTTGTTGCTGAGTGCAAAACTCGTCATGCACAAGTTGTGCGATTATCGGATCAATTTCAGTATTGGCCGGTACTGAAAGCTACAATATCGGTGTCGTATCGGAGGCCAAAAAGTTGTATCGGCTACGGCCCGATCGATTTATTGGCGAGCCAATTAAATCAACCGATTTTAGCCCGTTTGAGACTAATCGGTAATCGGCCAAAGCTCACCGATTTTCGCAGATATTTTCAGAAATAAAATGTGGAGAATAAGATTCAGTTTCACTTCGCAGAGTCTGTGGCAGTCTTCACAAGGACCCACATCCTAACAGTATCTTCAAGAACAAGGGCTTAAAGAAGATGGTTCTCTAACCAGAACCGCGCTACCCAGTACCAGCACAGAGATATACGACAGTAGTTCTGCTGACAAAGCTATAAGAAGAGAGCAGTTGTAGAGTCTTCATTTATGTATGATGGTTGGACCTCCAGAGTAAAGGACTCCTCTGAGACAATCACGTCCCATTTCATTTTTAATGAGTGGGAAATTGTGTCAGATGTTCTGCACACTCCAGCTATGCACACAAGCGATGTAAGAGACTTGTCACAAAGAATGTACACATGATTATTTTATACGTATAAGGAGGTATAATGAATAATCTGTGCATCTCTGTCATCTGTGCATGTTAATAGATTGTTATTTAATCATATTGGTCAATATTGAAATATCTTTCATTGAATCAAAATGGAGTTGTGAGAGACTTGAAATTACCCAGCTACAGGGTTAACATAGTTTGCATAACCAGCTTGATTGGTCATTTTTTTTAGAAACAGATACGGTTTATCATGTAAAACAGCTGATGAGAATCTCTCATCATTATACACTGATAAGAGCTAGAAAATAATCAAGGCATAACACATGCTTATTATGCAAATTTTAATTTTCCTGGAGCAATATGCATATTGCAGAGGTGTAAAAATGTTGCCTGATTAACTTGATTAATTATGCATGTTTGGAACATGTGTGAAACGTCAGAGCGTATTAGAAGTGACCGCAAGCGTTAGATGGATGAAGGTCAGCAGCAAAGTGCTAGCTCATCTGGATCCAGGCTCGGACCGTGTTGTGGTGGTCCCGGATCATTAACTTTAGTGCGGAGGAGAATTGGCAGTCAGTGTCAGCAATGCCACCCTCAAGACTCCATTCCCCTCCTGTCACGGTTTCTGTCTTCTCACTCTCTTTCACTCCTGCTCTTTCCCACCCTCTGATCCGACCCCCTCCTCCCCTGCTGTTTCTCTTTCACTCTCCAAATATTAACAGGGTCATTTGAACGTCCTACATTGCTGGGAAGTTGTGATGATGTCAGCTGCTCTGCGCTGATCTCTGAGTGGCTCTTTTGGAAAACGCAGACTCATTTAAATGATACCAGCTGGGATTTTCTGGTAAACACCGGCTCTGTGACTGCCGTATATTGTGCGATCTAATAAAGAAGCAGTAACACTATTGGAATTAGTAGTCGGGAAAGGAAGAGTCTTTGTTTTGACTTTGTTCTTAAGGGGGGGTCCTACTAAAAAGCTCTTCTTCTATAGCCAGTGACAAACGCAGGGGCAATGTCTGTTTACAGCCCTCTGCACTGTAGATTACTGAGATGGATGACTCACTGCTGATGGGATCCCTCATTTATATCCCGGTGGAACAAGCTCTCTGAGTCAGCTGCCTTCTGTTTCAACCTTCACCTCATCACCATGAAAAGAATAAACCTTTCTTGATGCGAAGGTTGGAAAGGAAATTTTCAGAGGAAATGTGTCACCTGCCCACTCACTCGGTGAGCTTCATTGGACAGAGAAAAGGGGAATAAAGCCTCTTATCTTTTGCTCGGTGCACCCCACAGTTCAAAAGCAACCTGAATACTTTTGTTTCTGCACCACGGCTACAGCTGCTTTGCATGCTCAACCCCCTTCAAAACTCCTTTGTGCTTGTGACCCTGCTGACCTGATGTTCCCACCATGGGTGCCCATATAGGCACAACCATTCATGGCATGCTGGGAAAAGAGAAACCCAACAGGCTAACCCGTTGGCTTCGGGGGGAAAAAACTGCTCATACTTTTTGAAGAGGAATTAGTTATTTTCCATGACTATCAGAGAACACTGCGGCCAAACCCGAGGCTACAACTGAAAGTCCAATTCATGCCACTCCTTGTGACACCAGTTTTATAATACTGGTTTTACTATGACATTGTGGTGAGATTATAGATGGGAGGATATTCCAGACAAGCCTTAAAAGCCATACATATGAATCCCAAGTAATTAGACAACAAATGTTGTATACAGGACAGGTAACGATGCCTTGTAAGCAACATACAAGCTACCTCAGTTTCAGTCTGAAAACGTGAGGGGAATGCAGACATGTAGAGTGTTTACTGTGAGACAGCTCCACTTTCAGCTCAATTTGAATGTGTTTATTTTTTCGGTGCAGAAGCTGAAGGCTTTCACATTCCGCTTCTATCAGTGACAGCTTCATCGAGAGAGTTCATTTCTTTTTAGATAGCCCTAAACCGGTCTCCACTACCATCTGTCAGTCACATACTGTCATACACATCCAGCATCTCCAGAGCCCTCAGTAGTTTGCCTCTTCAGAGTTATTGGCAGGGGCATTTAGAATGAGTGTGTGTGTATGTGTGTGTCCCTTGTGTCAGTGTTGGATAGAGGGATCTCTCACAGTGGTGACAGCAGTAGTTAGCAGTTAGATGGCACGGGCTGAAATGGAATTCTGCTATTTCCCCCTTTTCTCTGTTGAGGACTGAGAGCTGGGAAACAGAGTCTGCTGTTATCTGTGGCCCCTTTTGGACATGTACCCATTTATTTTAATCTGACAATAATTAAACTTATCTTTCACTCGACTGAGTCACTAACCTGTCTCTTTAGGGTGGAAGACTCTTGGTGCTTTTAGTTTGTTAGACTCAGTAAGATATTTGAATCCCTTTATTTTTTTTTGAAGTTTTTTAGTTTTAGTTTTGATCTTAAACTGATAGGATAGTATTACGGAGTATTAGGGCCACATTAAGAAAAAAAAATTAAAGACTTTGAGATTAAAGTTGTTAACTTACGAGAATAAAGTCATTATTAACAAGAATAAAGTTGTAATAAAGTAATTACAAGAGTAGAGTCGCAATGAAATCATTACTTACAAGAATGATGTTGTAATAAAATCTTTCCTTACAAGAATTAAGTTGTAATAAAGTAACTACGAGACTAAAGTCGTACTAAAATCTTTACTTACGAGAAGTGAGTCGTAATAAAGTAATTACTTACGAGAATAAAGTCCTTATATTCTAACCTGTTGTTTAAGATGACAGTTGTTGAAATGAGAGCCATGGAGCATTTTGTGAAATGTACTTCAATAAAGGTTTCTCAAACAGGGAGATCCTTTATCTTTTGGCACATCAGCACCACATTATCATAAGTATCATAATGATTTTATTACAACCTTATTCTCGTAAATTAACTTTAATCTCGAAGTCTTAAATTTTTGTTTTTCTTAATGTGGTCCTAATACTCCGTCGTAGGAAAGCCCTCACAAAAACAACAATAAAAATCATTTCAGCCAAGTGCAAACAGTATAAAATTAGTAATAATGCTGACAGGCATCAGTAGTGTCCTCATATTTGGAGTGGTTATCTCCAAAGGCAGAGAAAGTTTTCAAATCCAGCACAGAGGCAGCCTGTGAGAGAAATCTAGAAACACATAGTTTAACTCGGCAAAGAAATCTCACAACATGTACAGAGACTACAGCCTTCCAGGTAGTGACCCTGTGTTTGAGTTCCACCCACAGCCCACTTTTTTTTATGTCATTCCATATTCTCACTTCCCTGTTCCCAACTCTGTCCTTGTCATTTATGGAAAATTTATTGCAGCCCATTTCGTCTGTCTACCTCTCCTCTCACAGGGTGAAAAATATCTAGCAAGGATGCAGCAATGACATAATACTTGGACTTTAACAAACTCTCTCACCAGAGAGAGATAAGTCCACAATTACAGGGAATTATCTTGATGTTCACGTTGCATCCATAAAAGCCACTAGGAATCCTCTATCTGGTGTTGTTATTTAACTTCTTTATCTAATCTGCATGTGTGTGTCTGCCTCCCCCTCCCCTTCCCCCTCCCCTCTGTTGTCCCCAGATGTTCCTGACAGTATACCTCAGTAACAATGACCAGCATTTTACTGAGGTTCCCGTTACCCCGGAGACCCTGTGCCGAGACGTGGTGGAGCTGTGCAAGGAGCCAGGGGAGACGGACTGCCACCTATCTGAGATGTGGCGTGGATCTGGTGAGTGACAGTACCAGTTCACCCAGTATTGTCATTGTTTACCTACAGGGTGCTATACAAAAGAGTTTCAGACATGTTTTGTTTGTGGAATATGACTGAATCCCGAGAGACAAGCTAGTCAGTGTGCAGACACTTGTTTGTCTTCTTCTTTTAATTAGAGGGAAATTGCCTCTCTGAAGTCAACTATATATGGAGATTAGCTGTGTGGTCAACTGCATGGCGATTTCTTTTTGAAGCGCTTATCTTCTCTACAATGCAAATGAAGCAGAGCCCATAATCCCCGCAATAAACAGTCTCCCTGATATATCCCACATCTCTCAAGATTCCGTGCCTTGCCCATTTTTCCCCATCTTTGAGTGTCAGGGGGTATTCAGAATCAAAGCTCAAGGAGCCAGGCCTCGGAGCTGTTTCCATGGTGATGCCGCCATAAGGGTGTAGAAAGTGCCAATTATTGTGTTTGAGTACTTCCACAAGTAGTCTGAAAAGAGACGGTAACTGATGAAAAGATTGTCTCGATTTGCAGCCATTGCTTCCTGCAGACTACCAATGACTCTCCTTCAAACAGCAATGACATTTTGTGTCAAAAGTAGATGTAAAGCTATTTATAAACCTGCATATTACTGTTGTACCCGATTTGTTTTTCAGTCATGCCACGGTAATAGATCGCTTTCATTGACCTCTACTTGACTGTAGTCTGTCAGTCCATTTGTGTAATGAAACGGTCCAAAGCAGGTTGAAGGAACTCTCTGAGGAATGGATGATGAGCCCTTTTGGCTTGGTACCAGCTGGAATAATTGACAACACATCACAGTGGTTTTCCCAGAGGTCATTGCTCAGAGGGATCAACTAGATGCTGATAGAGCTGATGAAATGATTCTCCTTTCAGTGCAGGCCAGCGGTGTCAGACTAGAGGTTGGACAAGTTTCACAAGGCAAACCTCCCGTGAAAACCTGACCTACATTGGTGTTATCACAAGCTTTGACCCCGTTAAGCTGAATTTAACGAGTATTTACACATATCAACTTCATGGGTGTGTTTTTGCCTCACTCCTCCTGAGCCTTGATGTTGTCTTGTGTGATCGGTATGCAGAGCGAGCTGTAGGTGACGGGGAGAGAATGCTGGACGTGCTCCAACGATGGGGACAACACAGGTCAGAAGTGCGCTTCTTCCTGCGTCACAATCGAGCCCCCAGCAGGGACTCAGGTAAGTGTTTAAACCCAACACGCTACATTCAACAAACAAAGTAAGGGGAGCTTTTTTTGCACAATAGAGCTTCTTTTGGAAAAGTGCCACCCTTTAGACAAAAGCATTTGGCACCAGTGTAATAAACTCCAGAAATGCCTGCAGCCCTTGACCAGACAACCCCTCCGGTGTAAAGCTTTCATGAAAACATAATAACAGCCTGCGAAAATCTGGAATAAACCAGACCATCTCTAACACTGCAGAGGTTTGAAAAAGGTCACAACTGCCTTGATCCAGGGCAGGGTTTTACTTTAGTGGGCTACAAATCCCAAACAAGCCTTATTTAGTCTTAGTGTTAGAGGGACGGCTGAACGCGGGGTGTGTCAGCGACATCGTCATAAGCCTTTTACTTTTCAGTTTTCTTAGGAGTGCAGAAAACTCAAGTATTTCGGTCGTGTGGTATCCTCTCAGCTCTTGGTTGCATAACTTAAGCCCTTTTACCCCTCACAGCTTGAGTCTGGCCCAGGGATTAGATGGCTGTTTTCCCTTCCTGTTATCTTAGCCTGCTCTTGTTTTCCCACACTGTTAGCTTAGCCTTAGTCAGTCTTTACTGTATATTTTGGTTTTCCCTTTTTCTGTTGTTATGAAGTTATGGGTACAGTATTGTCACCTGTTTCTATGGTGTCCATATTTTGAAGGAATTGTTGTGGTGTAGAGTCAACCTTAAACTTTATTGTTTACATTCTTGGCGCTGTGCGGGCATTTCTCGTCAGCGCCAGGTCAGGACAAAAGGTTGATTCTTTTAAGTAATAAACCAGCTAAATTATCACCCACTTAGTGTCCTAATAAGGTCACTTACTGAATGTTGTGTTTACGCGCACTCTTGGCATGTATTTAAAATGCACACTGTATGTCAAGGGTCTTCTAAAGCCATTATGCAAGCCGAAGGGCTTTGGTCATAGGCCAAGGCTTTAAGGACAGGATCTGACTGGCCAGACGCCTCCCTCTCCAGCCCCCCACCTGGTCAGCTGTCAAATGCCGGCTGCATGATTGGATCAAAGTGCATTCATGTAGACAGACAAGCTCATACGCAGTTGTGAGACCTCCCGCCAGACGGTTATGTATTACGTTAAATCCTGAGATTATTGCAAGTCTCAAAGAGCACTGATCCCAGTTGTTTCCCAGAGGAGCTAAGATCATTCAGCCCTAGCCTGTCTGTTGGCCCGGCGCTCCACTGATCTACACCCTCCTCTGCAGAGAAGAGGCGTGCACCTGAGTGTGTAACCTTGTTTGTCAGAGGCAGTGCAGGCAGGAAGGCAAGAGAAACGTCCAGTCGTTTTTCACAGCTGTCTGTTTTAGGACAGTGTTGTGTTAGTTTGGCCTGTTTTTGCTTTAGACTTGGGTGAGACTGTCCACTTTCATAAAGCTCTGCATTAGATTGTACTGTCTGATGGAGATTTTTATCATGCCTTCTACCTAGGGGGGTCAAGAGGCTCAGAGCTGAAGAGGAATGGAGTGAAGGGTCCTCCAGATAGAAGAATGGAGAACGGGGTAAGTCTTTTTTAACATCTTTTAAAATGTGTGCTGTAGCAGGATGCTGTCAGTGTCTTTTTTTTTTTGTTGGATGGAAATAGAGGAAAAACATCATAACATGTTAAATCTTCTCCAGTTTTGTCCTTCGTACCTGTTATACTTTGTTTTACTCTATGTTTAAATGTGCTTAATGTAAGTGGTTTCTATACTTTAATGCACCAAAATGGAATAACATTAGATTTACTGTTAAACCTCCATAGTTCATCACTGTGAACGTGTTTGCACATCATTACTCGAATGTGGGTCATAGATTTGATAATAACACAAATTTAGTTGCCTAGAATAATGTTTTGTTTACTTATCAACTAGCCGCCAAGTCCTCCAGGGATATGAATTTATTCAACTCATGAAAACATCCTGCAGTGTATCAATGCAAACAGAAATTTAATCAGACATTACAACACTGACAAACAGTTTATATAATTGTCAACCTGCGAGTGTCACCTTCCGGGTAATGACTGTTGTCCTACAAATCTTGCCAACACACAGATGCCTCCTTTGCTCTCCTCTGAGGGTTTTGATAGAAAAAGTGAAGGATTGTTTCACTTACCTCCTGCTTTCTGCTTTTTAAAACATAAATGCATTTTGCTTCTTTTGCTTTTCTGACTTCAAGCTAGGGCTGGGTGATATGGCCTTAAATCAATATCATGATATATTGAGCAGTTTATCAGTTTATCTTTATATTTATAAATGGATGATAACTTCTCCACAAGCTGCTCACCCCCTCCCACATTTACTTCGGCTACTTCAGCGGCCGCTCCAGTCGCTCCAACTTTTGAACCGTCTTCCATCTCCTCACCTGTCTTTCCCTCTTTGTTACTGACTGGATGAGGTTGAGTCACGTGTCCAACGTAGTACAGCGTCTTACAGGGACATGAGACCATAGCCTACCTACCTGATGTCGGCTACTGTCGTACATTTCAGTATCTGTAATTTTTTAGTTTATCGCCCAGCCCTACTGCAAGCCTACACTTGTGTTGAAATAGATCTTAAATCATTTCCAGAGTCCTTTGAAGATCCACACAAGAATGAATGATCCCTTTTACACTCTCTCTCTCTTTCTCTGTCCCTTCCAAGGTGGCAACCCCTCGCATGGACATGACGCTGGCCGAACTGCAAGAGATGGCTGCCAGACAGCAGCAACAGATTGAAGCTCAACAACAGCTTCTCGCTTCGAAGGTACAAAAAGAAGAAGAAGAAGTGGAAGATGAAAGGAGAGATGGGTGGATACAGGGGACAGGAAGAGGTTAAGTGGAGGAGATGAAAGCCAAAGCTAAGGGAAGGAAATAAAAAAATGGAAGAAGATTAAAGAGAGGGTTATTTAGAGGAAAGAGGAGATGGTAAACAAGCTGAAAATGCTAAATCAAGTCTAGTGCACTTAGAGAAATAGAGATCCTCAGATGTAGTGCTTGTGTTGATTGTGTGTGATGGGCTGGCTGGACGAACTGCTGATGGTTGCAGGTGTAGTGTTTATAATTTGAGAAGCCTGAGACAGCTGCCTCCATGTAGTTCTCACCACACTAGACTCACCTGGTATTTGAAAGTGTTTTTCCTCTTGCTTTGAACTTGCTTCTCGTTCTGCTCAGGGTTAATTGATGATGGTAGGAGAACATGTGACAGAAGAACAGGAAAGATTTCATTAGATTCTTGGCTGACCATTTCTGCTCCCATGTTGTTAAAGCACTTGAATGTTTCCATTCTGCTGATCTGGATACATGCTGAGCTTCAAGATAACTTTGAGAAAGTCATCCTAAGATAAGAAAGTCATGTCTCTTTCTTTATGCTGTTCCCAAATTATGCCCCTGAGGCAACAACCTGTGTGAAGACACTTTAGTATGTGCGCCTGAGGATGATGAAGCAAGTCAAGGAATGTTTCTTCAAGCAGTCAAGTACAGTTGCACAAGTCAAGTAAACAGACAGGCATTTCCATCAGCACACATGACCTGCAACAGTTCCGGAAAGAGACTGTGTTGCTCTCATTTTAGAACCAGTTTGTTTGAGCTTCTGTGTTCAGTACACAGTGTAATACTGGCTATTGTTTGTTCAAGTTTAGCACTATTTGGTTTCTGAGAATGTTGTTTTTAAACTTTTTATCAGGCATGTTAATATAAAAAGAATTCATAACAGGAAACCGCAGAATGATTTTATCTTTACAACAGCTCTTTTACTGCCAGCTCCTCAGCATCTCAGCAAAAATATGCAGTCTAGTGTCTTGCCTAAGGGTACTTGGACAGGAGCTTTTCAGGAAAGCTTACTCAGCGGTGTTTACTCAAAAAGAGTTTACAGGGATGTCTTTAATTATGTCTCTGACATTTGCTCCATGTTCTTCCTCTTTTTTCTATCTTGTCTCTCTAGGAGCAGAGGTTACGGTACTTGAAGCAGCAGGAGCAACGTCAGCAGCAGCAGGCCTCTGAGCAGGAGAAACTGCAGCGTCTCAGAGAGAACATTGAGAACCAGGAAACTCGACTCAAGAAGGTCAGAGCCCTCAAGGGCCAAGTGGAGCAGAAACGTCTCAGCAATGGCAAACTGGGTAAGCTCACAGACTGTTTCGATGTGTAAATTGATGCCTCCTTTATAGCTGCATGATCTGGATTTGGTAAATTTCTTGTCTTCTCTCTACCTTCTGTGACCTGTTTCCACCTCCCACTCCTCCTTATCCCTTCCCTCTTCAGTGGAGGAGATAGAGCAGATGAATAACCTGTTCCAGCAGAAGCAGAGAGAACTAGTGATGGCCGCTTCCAAGGTTGAGGACCTCAGTCGTCAGCTGGAATTGCTAAAAAATGGCAAAATGGACAACTTCCATGATAACCAGAGCTCTGTGGCTGAGCTGGACCGCCTCTACAAAGAGCTGCAGGTTTGCAAAACAAAAATTTACTAAATCAAAAATGAAAAGACTACTCTCACCTTCAAACTCCACAGATGTGATATTTCATTGTACCTTTATGTCTTCTCTTTATTTGTGGTCAGCTGAGGAACAAGCTCAATCAAGACCAGAACTCGAAGTTACAGCAGCAGAGAGAGAGCCTGAACAAGCGCAACTTAGAGGTGGCCTCCATGGACAAACGGATCAGTGAGCTTCGAGACCGTCTGTGGAAGAAGAAGGCAGCACTGCAGCAAAAGGAGAACTTACCTGTAAGTGCAGCCAAACCACTTCAAATAGCCTCATACAAATCCTTGTCACGGGTCATCTCTTATTTTGTGGACGGAGCACATGCAGCTCTTTGTTTTAATAAGGTTTTCTCAATTTGTCAGGCCTGTTACAATTCAGAACTGCAAAGAAGTGGTGGATTTGGTTTTGATCAGAGCTCCCTCTAGTGGCCTTTCATAAATAAAGGCTGTTTGTATCTCTTTTTACCTCAAATAGCCTCATATACCCTGGCATGCAGAACCATCCAATGCCAACGTAAGGATCCGTAACCTCACTATTTTTTGTGTTGGGAAATCTTTTCACTCAAAGGAGACAACTCTTCTCCGCCTTCTTCCTCTCTCTGATTTGTCTGCGTGAGATTTAGCCGGTGGGGATTGATTGTTGTTTTGATCATGTCACAGAGTCGCATCAGAGTTCACGTTTTCTTCTCTCAGCTGTGTTTTCAGTCCCATTTGACAGAAACAACTCCTGAAGATGAGAGAGGGGTAATGAGCGCAGGCTGGCATCACAGGCAGGCAGGAATGTCAGGGGAGATGTTATCTCTTTTTTTCTGCATGCACGCTCGACAGAAACAGGAAGAGGGAAATAACTGGATTATTAAAGGCACACAGCCCTCTTACAAAAAGATTTTTAAATCATAATTTCTTTTTTAACCAAAGGCAGGATGAGATTTACCAACTAGTAGGCTGCATAGTTCAGTCTTTGTACCAAAGGTGTCTGTTTTGGTTCTGAACTCACTGTGAGTGGTGTGTCCTTGCCCCCCTGCTCCTCTGCCTCTCTCTCCTCTCTCTAGAAGTTGTTTTTTTTTAAACACAAGTTGCCATGGGACTACAACTAATAGTCAACAGACCCATCCCTGAAACAGACTGTGCACGAGAAAAACTCACTGCATGAGGTTGCAAGCTTTTCTACAGACAGGATTTAAAAGAAAACTATCATCTGATTGGATGATAAATGATTTCATGTTTTTCTTTTCAATTAATCTCTTTGATTACATGAGGTTTTAAAATGATCTCTACATAGGGAGCTATCTTATTATGTTTGCCTGATTCTTTTATATTTGGGGTTATTAATATATATCATTGTTATTAACCTTCTTTCCTTCAACTAAATTAACCACATAAATTGCCTTTTGTAATTTAATGCTGTGTCATAACCTTTTAAGAAAATAAGTGCTTTATATTCACGACCATTCGAAATGTTCTCTTTTATGTGTTGTAGTATAATAAAGTGTCGTCCCTTTAGTAGGCAGCCTTTAATGTTTACTAAGCAAATCCAGTGCAGAATATCTAAGTGGCCTATATGTTGGATCGTTAAAAATTCATGTTATAATAGAGATTTAACATATTCCTCAGTAACTCAGCGGGAAACTTTCTAAGATAAATGAGCAACTTGCTCAGTCATGCAACTTTAAAGGAGCCCAGCTCTCCTTTTGATGTCCCCTTGGCATATGCAGTATAATAAAGTTAGAGCTAAACAGTGAAAAGGTGCATGCAAGTCTGTGGGTGTATGTGCTTTAGAGATGAAGGCCTGAATAGGGCCTAGTGAGGAGGTGATTTGTCCACACCCTGCCTGGAATCATAATGAGCAGGCCTTTTTCACTTCAGCACAAAGACACACTCCATCCAAGCTGCTCTCTCCTCCAACCAAACAGCAAGTGTCTGGCTGACATCACCCAGAAAGCACGTTTCAACACACTGACTGGAGAGAGGTAGCCTGAGAGCTACCAGGCTGTAGTCATCCTACGCCGTCTTAAAAAACAGAGTTTAGGAAACACTTGGAAAAGGCTCGTTTTAGAGTAGGGGAAAAAAAGGGATTATTTGGTATTTTGAACTGTTGTTGCATGTTTGTGCTTTTGTTTTTTTCAAGAATGGCTATCCTGGTAAAGAGAGGGCTTCAAAAGACACTCATCTTCAGGTAACTAAACTAGTATTGGAGCTTAACTTATTTATCTCTTTTCTTTCTGATCTGAACTTTTGAGCATGACTTGGTACATCCGATTTCTTGGTTGAACAAGCAAAGTGAGCCACGCTGGTCTTTGCTTTTAAAGTGACAGTTTGTGATAATGTCAACTGCTGCAGAAAGAGATTCTTGTTCAAGGGATTGAGCCATACCTGGAAACGTGGTTTAAGTCCTAACCCAAGTTTTTTTTTTTTTTTCTTTAAAGGTTACAATGAAACGTCAGTTCTCCTGTAAGATGATGCTTAAAAAACATACAAGCTTTAAACTTTGCTTTTGATTAAAAAAGTGTCTAGTGTCGTAATCTGTAGCGTTTTAGAGATGGTGCTGTCTGGGAGGATTCTACTTCACGGATCATGGGTGGAGATCCCTCCGTCTTTCAAGCTTTTTAGATTCTAATACTCAAAGATTTCACATTTGGTGTTTTTAAGATAAAATGACGACACTTTGACAGTCAATAGAATTTTATTTTTGTAGCACCAATTCATAACAAATGTTATCTCGAGACACTGTACACAAAGAGCAAATAAAACCTCTGTGAACGAAAACTTACGGCTCCTGTTGCCTGGAACTTTTTCTTTATAGGCAGAAACCTTCAGCAAGACTATGATTTTGTAGATCAGCCATCTGTCTCCACTGTGTCAGGCTTAAACAATGGAATAGAGGAAGATGCACAAAGAGAGAATCTGATAGAGACAAACAAACAGAACAACAACAACAGATAAAACAAACAGCTTTGTCCTTTCCCAAGCTTTTGGCCTTGTGTCTGTTCTCCTTCAAATCCCTGACAATCGTCTCACAGGAAGAAGGATCATCAGACTTGAACAACAAGGATGAACACTAAATTTTGTTAACACCTTCACAATAGCCATAAAAGATTCTTTCAATGCCAGTAAGAACTTGTCCTGCTCTGGCGCCACTCTTTTTTTTTTTATCTTGATGAAAGGATCTTTAAAGATAATTGTTTCTCATCCACCACACATTTTTTTTGTGTTAAGAGCTTCTATAGACTTGAAGAGTTGTTATTCACTGCATTGGTATTAACAATTTCAGCATGCTTTCAGTAACACTCATCTGAATCTCCACAATCAACACCCAAACAGTAAAGTATCTGAGGTAACTTTATGTCATCTATATATTAATGTGTGTTTTCTCTCTTCTACCTCTGTAGCTGCCTTCCGATGGCCAAGCCGGACAGCAGTCAGGCCCATCTCGAGTGGCGGCGGTCGGCCCATACATCCAGTCGTCCACAATGCCCCGGGGCCCAGTGAGGCACGAGCTGCTTGTAAAACCAGCTTACCCTGACGGAACCGCCACCCTACCTTCTCACGACCTGCAGAGCAAGGCTGGTACAGGTGAGCAACAGCGGAGTAACACCGGAGATTACTTAAATCTGTGGTGAGGCTGATGTGACTTCAGGCCTTCAATCATCTTTAAAAAGCTTTCTTGGCAGCAGAGTTAAAAATGGAAATCTAAGTCAAAGTCATGGCTATTAAAGAAAACAGAATTGTGTCTTAGACTTTACAGATCTTTTAGAAATGACTATTTTTTGTTTTTGTGCGTGTCTTCTGTGATAATAATGTCCTGCATCCAGCAGGAGTGAAGGAATCTGGGACACCCACTGAGTATGATGTCACTCTGAGCTCTGAAGGTAGCAGGTTACCTCCTGGATGGTGTGTTGTGACCTTGAACTGCTGAGCCTGAAAATCACAATCTGTGCTTTCTGGCACGTTTCCAAAGAACCTCAGATTTTTTGCAGTGATTTTCTGTTGTGGTGTGTTTCTCTTTATTCTGTCCTTTTTCAAAATCAGCAATATCTGGTCTTGAGTTGAGGAAGGATGTGGAGGAATGAATAGATGTTTTAAATAATGATTATAGTTTATTCTCTTTACTCAGCTTCTTGGAGTCAGAGTTTGACTTGTTGCTTGGTCCACATTGCTCAGCATCCTGCAATTTCAAAGTTATTATCTGGTAATTGAAGTTTATTTGTTGTCAGATATCCTGGCTTTGTATGAGAGCAGGATGCTGATTTATCTCCTTTTTAATAGAAAAATAAAGACAAAAAACAGACAGTTTTTTTGTTTTTGTTTTTTGAAGTAAGGAGAGAAAGTGCAGAGTAAGCTGTTGTTGTTACAGCACCTTCTCCCCATGGACTGCAGCAGGCTGAGTGCTGTTTAATAGAGGGGAACCAAGTCTGTTCAAACCACTGATGGACCAAAGCAACATATCCCATTTAAAGACGTTCTCCATGCAGCCCGTACACAGCATCCTGCTCTCATGCTCTATACTGTATTCTTGCTTTCTTAGCCTTAACTCAGTCCCCCTGGGGGCAGGGGGCCAGCACTACACGTCATGTGTTTAAAAATGAATAATCGTCTGACACTAAATTAAGTCATCACAAAACAAAAGCAGAAGAGATCCTAACCCCCTCCCTCTCTCTCTCAGCTCATGTCTTCCCTTTTAATGTAGCTCTTTGTACAATAAGTTAGAGTAACAGACTCTCTCCGCTCTGACTGTTATGATATTGCACGCAATGATTTCTGCATGCTGAATTGATTTGCAGTATAGAGGAAAGAGAGAACAAGATGGGAGGGGATGCAGGAGAAACTCCTCTACTATACATCTGTTCTTAGTTTCTCTGTAGTAAGGTTCATGTCCACAATGTGGAGAGGGATCCTTGAGGCTATGACGGTCTCTTTGTGGCCCTTCAGGGGAAGCCCTACCTGGGTTCAACCAACAGCATGTTTGGAGCAAAGAGAGATCTAAGGCTATTCTGTTTTTCTTGTCTTTTTTTTTTTAATGCAACTTCCTCAGAAGCCATGTTCTTGTTTAAGCCTCTGAAAGAGCTGCGGGCAAAGAGAAAAGGTACACACTTGTGTTTCCATGTGTGCGTGCGTGCTGCTCAGTGATTGCAGTGCTTATCTTTCATGAAAGAAACTCTCGTGGATGAAGATTTTTCCATTATTCCTTGGCTGGATCTTTGGTTCTGTTTTGTTTGTTGTTGAAAGTGTGTCTGTGCTGTTAGCTCTGCTGCTCGAAATGGGTCAGTCGGAATAAACACATAACTGCAGTTGAACCAACAAGATGTGCAGATTCTGATCAACAAAGTCAGCTCTTTTTTCTAGATCTGTTTTGGTGTGTCTGTACAGTATTCCTTGAGTTGGAGGCTTTAGCTTCATGAGTCTTTAGGCATCGCAGCAGAAGTAATAGTGTTTCTTCCTTACTTGATGTGATGCTGATCATGTTATTTGCAGGAGCCAGATGCTTTTTGTGGCTCATTTGACCGTCACTGTCTGTGGACGTCTATAGCCACTGTCACACGCTTCAAAACAACCAAAGAGAAAGATGAGAGGGGAATGTTACACCTTTAGCAAAAGTATTTGCTGCAAGTGACCAACTCTGTGTACTTTGTGTTTAACTTGACAAATATTGGCTTATGTCAGTTTTCTCTATGTGTATTTGCACTTGGTTTCACCTTCCTGTCAATGTCAAACCTAGTAGTATAAGCTGTTGTTTAATGACTCCCTCCCCTCCTCTCCTCTTCATCCTCTCCTGCTGGCCCTAAAGGTCTTCAGCCATCCAAGATGGCAGACTGGAGCTCCTCAGGTCCAGAATCCAATGGTCATGGTCCAGCCTCAACACTGCCGCGGATGACCTCTCACTCCAATTCTAACACAGAACAAGGTAAAAGACGTCAACACGTGCAAACACTAAAACGGCTCTGTAAAGCTTGAAACTTGTAGCTGCTGTCAAGACTTGATAAAGATCCCTAGCAGCCTTTGATATTGTCATAAATAACTCTGGACATGAACCTTGAATAAAAGCTGATCACTTAACTCTTCATGTGGTCTGTGGATAGATGAGACAGAGCTGAAGAGGGACCGGAAAGTACGTCCGTTTTCCATGTTTGAGCCAATGGAGGCTCCTGTCTCCTCCCTACGTAAAAACCAGAGCAGTGATGATCTTGTCAGGGATGCTCAGGTAAGAAGGACCAGAAGGCACACCTTACACCCTCACAGAAATAAAAGAACACATATCAGGTCTGTTGGTACAAGCAGGGATGAATGCTGGCATCTTATTGGCTGTCTCTGCTTCTTCATCTCTCCAGTCTGCTCCTAAGGCTCCAGTCAAGGTGCCCCCTCCTGTCCCCACTAAACCCAAAGGTCCTGGAGTCATGCCGTACAGCAAACAAGGCCTCAACACGGGCACCTTCCCCAAAGCCAAGCCCCACAGCCAACAGCCACATGTTGCCCAGGGCCGTGGCCCACTCCCACCATCACAGAGCCAGACACTCCCCCTTCCCTCCAAGCAGGACACTCCACCCGCAGCCACAGTACGGCCCTTCACACCCGAGCTGCCCTCCTCCAAAGACGCCAACCTGAGCAAACCCCAGACCTTGGCGGCCAGCTCCATCTACTCCATGTACACGCAGCAGCCAGGGTCAGGGAAGCCCTTCCAGCCTGGTGTGCAGGGCGCTCTCAACAGGTCCCAGAACCGCAATGGATTTGTCAGTGGTAAGATTATACAGTTCAATCATGTGAATTAATGGTGTCAGAATGGCGCTGTCAAAATGTGTTAATCCTCCTTTCGGTTCCGAGACTCAGATTTTGCTGATCATGAAAACATGTTTGTCTAGTTTTTTTTATTTTAATCCGTAAAGTTAAGCCGACATTTAAGTGCTTGTGATGGAACAAGCTTTGGTAACAATGTGTATTTGAACAAATAACATGCCAAAATAGAAGATTATGGTTTGTATTGGACGTGAATCCATGTAAAACATCAAAACAACATTCAAAACACAAAGTTAAAAACCTGTATTTGACAAGTACATCTCAAATAAGTAGACTTTTGAAAGGAATTCCTAGTTTTGGAGCAGAAATTCAACAGTATACACCCCAAACATCACAGTAAATACAAGTGTTACTGCTGCTTGTGTCACTCAGGATAAATTCACAGAGGGAAATCTCTGTTCCGCTGTTCTCTTTAGCACACTCACAGAGAAATATTCACACACCACTGACCAGAGAAGCAGCGAGAGAGAATAAGCCATATGCTCCATCTTTTCTATCCAGACATTATCTCAGGCACGCATACATGCTGGGGGACAATGTATTGGAGCTCGGAGTTGGTTTGAAATTTTAATTAATTCAGCATGAATTAACACGCTAAAGTCTATCTCACTCACTATCTATCAGACAGTCCTGAAGAATGGATTTGTGTTTTCATTTGTTGCTCTTGTTTTAGCATAATTACTGTCTGGTTATGCAGCATTGCAGCACTTGGCATCAAAGAGTTTTAACTCAACAATAGGGTTTCCGAAACAGAAATGCCAACCATTATTCAAATTCCTATCAGGCAAATCGTCTTACTCAGCAGTACAAGTGCAAGGCGCTCTTCTGTTTACAATTATATCCTGCTTTTTTGTGTTACTGACCTCTCTTGGGGCTAAAAAACTGTCACACTGTCAAGCCCTACAATGTATTTACATGAGGTTAGTCATTTTACTTTGTTTATTGCCACTGTACGACTACTGTGGCTGCACCTCTAAATTGACCCACTTTTATACTCTGTGCCTTATTTCGTCATCTGTTTTAAAAATCAGTTTCACTACAATGTCAAGTTAGGAATCAAAGCTACAAAGCCAAAAGGTTCAGTATATAAGTAAGTAGATAAGGTAGTGGGGTTATCTCTGTGAACTTCAAAGACCTGACTCTGTTTCTCCTTCTTGTTTGAAGTGTACGGTAAACCAGTGATTCCCAGTGGAGGTTCTCCACACCCAGAAAACCCGTACCTGGATCGCCGCTCCCCTGCCCCAGAATCTGAAGTTGACCATAATGGAGCCATCTACGCAGGTCCCAGCCCATCTGAGGGCACACAACCAGAAACTGAGCGTATCCCCCGGCCCCTCAGCCCCACCAAGTTGCTCCCCTTCATTTCCAACCCTTACAGGCATCAGAGCGATGGTGACCTGGAAGCCCTGAGGAAGAAGCTGTACAACGCCCCCAGACCCCTGAAAAAACGCAGCTCCATCACAGAACCAGAGGGTCCCGCAGGGCCCAACATCCAGAAACTCCTCTACCAGAAGACCACACTGGCAGCTATGGAGACCACTGTGACTACACCAACCACTCCCACCTTTGCAGGTGAAGCAGAGAAAGCAGCAGCAGAGGGGTCTGTTCCCAGCCCTCTGAATGGCGCAGAGACCCACCCATCGGAGACAGGACAGGCTCAGGAGGGAGGTCAACCCTCGTCTCACATTCCAGGTGCTAGTGTCTATGTCCCAGCCCCCCCTGAACCGACAAGACCAGCCTCAGCCATCACAGAAAACGAGGACATAATCCCCCCTCCTCCGCCATCCCACCCAGCCCCCAAACCAGATGACGCTCTTTTCCCACCACCACCTCCTGCTGGCTTGGACGACATCATCCCCAACCTGCCTCCTCCACCTCCAGATGGATTCCTGGAAGAGTTCCCCCCCTACCCACCACCCCCATACCCCAGCGGAGCAGAGCAGGACAGTTTTGGAGAGGACACCTTTAACATGAAGGCCCCTGAGGTCACTGGCCAGGTCACTCTGCCACCGGTATGAATCCTTTTTGACCGCCTCCCTGTGAACTCAGATAAAAAACTTTGTTTCATCCGTTTTTTAAATCCACTGATCTTCTGCTCCATATTTTTAAACTTCCTCACATGTTTGTTTGTGAGTCCCATGGGGGCAGGTCATGAGTTACAGTTTGTCCACGCTGCTTAATGACCTGCTGGCTAACACTATTGACCTGTTCTCATGTTATATAATAAGATAATCCACATCAAGTACTACCATTGTTTCTTGAGCAAATGGGCCTTATTCTGCTTACACTAAGCGGATACTTGCCTCTCTTTCTCCCGCTCATTAGCTTAGTCTGTGTTTAAGATAAACACTAGTGTACATTTTCTTGTTCCTAAGCTCTCAGTGAAACCCCTCCTCTGGGTTTTAATGCAAACCAATGAAAATTGGCCCATTTTTCTCCTGAGATTCCCTCCTTCTGTTAAGTCTTGTTTGGTTGCATAATCATGGCTAAGCAAAATATATAAGTTTCACACAGTTTGCACAGACAAACTAGATTAGCTTTACACTCAGAGCTAGAAAACAAGTCACTCCTCTTGACTACAGTAGAGAGTAGATGTTTCCACAGAGCAGGACCAAACTCCAGGATGAAGCTCTACAGTCTCATGACTTTGATATCATGAACTCTTTTTTCATGGTTTTTAATGGATGAATTATGACTTTGACCGTAGGGGAAGAGGACTAATCTGCGCAAGCCTGGATCTGAGCGCATCGATCACAGCATGAGAGTGAAGTTCAATCCCCTGGCTCTGCTGCTGGACTCGTCTCTGGAAGGAGAGTTTGACCTGGTCCAGCGGATCATTTATGAAGTAAGACAGAACCTTTGATGAAAAATGTCTCTTGGATTCTCATTTTCCTCTGCATCCACTGATTAATTGAAGATTAGATAGAAATATTAAGTCTGTCTCTCTATGCCCCTAACTCTTCATCCTTACCTCAAAGGTCGAAGATCCGAGTCAGCCCAATGATGAAGGAATTACAGCTCTGCACAATGCTGTCTGTGCTGGACACACAGAGATTGTCAAATTTCTGGTTCAGTTTGGCGTCAATGTCAATGCTGCTGACAGTGATGGCTGGTAAGATATAAAACTCTTACACATGCTGGATTTTTAAAAATGAGAATCTAGATAATTCTACTTTAACATTAATTAACAAATACTCCACCTCCTCTCCACCCCCTCTCTAACCAGGACACCTCTCCACTGTGCTGCATCCTGCAACAATGTGCAAGTGTGCAAGTTCCTGGTGGAGTCAGGTGCAGCGGTGTTCGCTATGACTTACAGCGACATGCAAACAGCAGCTGATAAATGTGAAGAGATGGAGGAGGGCTACACTCAGTGCTCTCAGTTCCTCTACGGTCAGTGACATTTCCTCTTCTACCTTATCCATGCGATGTGTCCTGCAGCAATGTTTCCTTATGTGACAATGTTCCTGTTTTTCTGTCCCCAGGTGTGCAAGAGAAGATGGGCATCATGAACAGAGGTGTGGTCTACGGTCTGTGGGACTACAACAGTGAAAACCCAGATGAGCTTCCATTCCGCGAGGGCGACTGCATGACCATCCTCCGCAGAGAAGACGAGGACGAGATCGAATGGTGGTGGGCGCGCATGGGCGACGCTGAGGGTTACATCCCCCGCAACCTACTTGGGGTGAGTTACGACTCAAGAGTCACTGAGCCTCAAACTTTCTAGTCTGTGTGCACAAATGAGCTTAGCTAACATGTTGTTTTTATGTCTCTAACAGCTCTACCCAAGAATAAAGCCAAGACAGAGAACTCTGGCTTAAAACGCAGAGACCCCCCCCTGCACATTCCAGCCTGCCGCACACACGTACACACACTCACAGGCTTTAACAGACTTGGAAAGAGAAGGACTCAAATGAAGAAATGAGAACAGACCAAACACAATGAAGGATCAACAATGAGCTCTCTGGCACTTTTTATTTTAAACCCATAGTGAGGGATTCTCCTTCACCGATTTTCCAGGCCGCACTACGTACTGAGAACTTAACACTATTGGCATTTTCTCTTCCTTTATGACACAGTTTTTAGTTCTTTTGTAATAAGCGTCTGAAACTGTTTCAGAGACAGAGAATCACATGTTGGGTTGTAAATGAAACAAGCCGTATTTTGATTGCTATCGAGTGTTTTTACGCTTTTGAATAGTCTTATAAAACTTGTTTCATGAGCCACCGCTTACTTTCCAAGAGACTTTGCTCGACGTCGCATGAAGTGGGCTACCATGATGAAAAACTCTGTTACCTTGACAATCTCTGGGGGCTTGTTCCTCCCACCTGTGATAAGTGGTTGCGCCTCTGTTTTACCGCACTGGAGGTGTAACGCTTCAGTTTTTCTGGCTAAAGAAATGAAATGAGGGGTGCAAAAAAAGGTGATGAAGCTTTTAGTCAGATCTATTTTTATTCTGTGGTCCATGATACCTAGAAAGCCAGTCTGCTCTCCTGCATTGGCATGTGGTTGAGATGCCATAGATATTGTGTCTCCGTGTATTTCTGTCACAGCAACTAGTGAAATGTTACTGTAGGAAGGATGCTGTCGTGAAAATTTACTTTCAAACTCTTTGACCAAGACAAACATGTAATGCAGTATAAAGTTGATATTTTTTTACAGCCCTTCCATGACGGTAATGTAGCGAGAGAAGTCTAATATCAGAAACCTTCACTTTTTTGTAGTAATCAGTAAAAAAAAGAAAAAGACACACTCTATTGAGAGGTGAAACAGTTTTTATGTCACGATGAAAATTAAAAAGATGGAGCTCAAATCTTGAGATGTTCTGAGCTCTCCAAGCTCGACTCATCCATGCAGATGTATTTATTTTTGTTACTGTTTTTTCTTTAGCCGTTTTGCTGGGACTATAACCACAAATGTACTGTAGTGTTTCAAACATTTACAATAAAATACTTTGTACTAAGTTTTTAAAGTTTTCTTCTTTATATCAAACACCGACTTTTGTCTCATTTTACTGCCCTTCTAATAATGATCAAATATCATGGTACAGCCGTACTCATTTGCTGCCCTCTGCTGGACATAAAGCGAAATGCACGACTCCATTTGGGGTAAACAAGAAGCTTTTGGGTGGAATGCTTCAGAATTATTTTATTTAACTGCTCTAAAGAATGCATTGGCCATGGTATTAGTGCAATGGCTTATTTGAAATTAATATTATGTATAGACAATGTGTGGTCCATGTATTATAATACCATCTTGTACTTCTTAAAAGTAAGGTTTATTTGCTTCAACACATATTTTTTTGTATTGTTTTAAAATGTACTTGATTAGGAAAGCCTCAACAAGATTAAAAATCTCTCAGAAGTAATTCAAACAGTCAAACTACAGCCTGATCTGCAGTATCTCCCCACTTTAAAATATTAACAGAGATCTGCACCCCCAGACCTAGATCCTCATGCAGCAGTTTCAGGCCACAGGAGCAGCTCTCTACCTACCCCCAATTTTTAGATGCACTCTGGGAACAGAAATCTAAAATCAGAGGGAACGCTGAAGCTTACAGCATTTCTCAAATGATCAAAATTACATTTAAAAGAGGTAAGAAAGTCAAGAACCGCCTCATAAATTAAAACATGCTAATGATTTCATCTGTAGGTGGCCAGGCAACTCCAGCACAGAGGGATCAATGATGAGTTAGAGACTCTGATTTGTAGTGAACCTAATGTTTTCATGGTAAACAGTGGTCATCAGTGGTTTATCAGTGGTTGTGTGGTCAACACGCCACACAATTCCACCACTGAGGTAAAGACAAAAGGGCTGAGTTTAACATTTGATCTGCCCACTTAAAATGATAAACAACATTTATAATTGACTCCAAAGGGTCTTTATTTAAATGAGTGGAGAAAGTCACTATTTGGAAAAACAGAAAGGTTGTTTTTGTCCTTCATAACCAAAGCTTTTGTTGAACTTTGCTGCACACTAGCCTAACACTTTGTGTGTTTGTGAAAACCTGCAGGGTGAAACCATGCATACAAAACATCTGATCTATGTAGTCTTTGTTACCTTATGCTATATGATGACTCAAATCCTGTGTATATCTCCTCTGGGTGTGATATTTTATTGGGACTGTGCATCCCCTAGCTTAAGAGCAGAAGAGCGTTATAGATCAGCGCCCCTCTTATGTACCTTCAAGTATTGACCCTCTGAGTACATTAAATATACATTTACTTGTATATGAGTTCTGCTGCATGATAAATCTCTCTTTGGATGAAACACATAATAATAATTTTACCTCAGGTTCTGGAGGGGGAAACAGATTAGGACCAGCAGCACCAGAATGATGGTGTTGTGTCTGAATGTGAACAGTGTGAGTTAAACACAAGCAGCTGCAGAGAGAATAAAACGCTGAAGGAGGAACTATAAAGACATCTTTGGTTAAAATTTGAAAATCCGTCGAATCTGTAGGTCTCAAGAAGTCAGCATAAATTAATCAAACTTAGAGCAAGACACTTGGGGAAGCAGGAGAAAGGCTGTGGACATTGTCATACAACCACCTGTTCAGTGTGGTGAACTTGTTAGCTGAGACAAAGCTGCAAAATTGTGGCAGGCCCAACAATTTGGCTAAAATAGTTTAAAAAGTCCTGAAAAAATCAAATTCCAACCAGAGAAGAACTACAACACCAGAGGGACCCCAAAACAACAATCAAAACCCAAACAATGTACTGACCCAACACCACATGAACCCATGCAACACAAGAACCGAACAACATGAACTGAGACACAAATGACAAGAGCGAGTGGAAGAGGAGGCAGAGAGACGTGAAAGACAATAGAAATTGAAAAAGAGAAAATTTCCCCTGCAAGCATAGAATGATGAAAGGAGGATGATATTATTCTACATTTTAATGCTTTTAAATCAAAAGTAATCTGATTACCTTTGAAAAGAATATATGAAATCTGACTCAGTGAATCAGTTTATGATTACTATGGGAAAAGCACCATGAAGACAAGAAGACAAGCAATACACCGCGGTCTGAGGAGCCATAAACAAACCTCAACCAAAACGCCACTCTACAGCCACAAATAATGCTCAGAACAGCACCTAACTTCATCAACAGTAGAGTCCAAGCCACAGCACTAGCCACCAACGATCTTTTTAATTTGTTTGATTTCTTTAGCAAAGAGACTAAACACCATTCACCTACCCTCTTCTAGCAGCCACTTGTTTGTGTCGAGACCTCCGGGCGAGTCCATCAACTGCAGCGGGTGACGCAGCTCAAGGAAGGACATTTATGATCATTTCTTCATGGAACTGCAATCAGACCGAGACGCTAAGGCAGAAGAAATACCACGTCTGCAGTGCAAAATGATTAATATGGTGATTACAACTTCAAGGATATGATAAAATAATGATCATAAATGTTCTTCCTTGAGCTGCGTCACCCCGCTGCATCGATGGACTCACCCGGAAGTCTCCGTACAAACAAGCGGCTGCTGGAAGAGAGAGCCTGAGTTGTGTTTAGTCGCTTTCCTAAAGATGTTTGGTGGCTATTACCCTATATGTACTGATGATGAAGTTAGGTGCTGTTTTGAGCATTATTTGTGGCTCTAGAGTGGCTTTTTGGTTGAGCGCGTGGCTCTCTGTATTGCTGTCTGCGGTCGTGACCAAAGTTGGTATAACTAGAGAAGCAAGCGGTCGGCAACATTCATCTCTCGAGGAGTTGTCTTAATTGGTGTTACAGTGTGTTTGACCGTTGCTTAATTTTACGCCGGAATATCACTTTATGGAGATGCAGGTATCCTGTATTCACTTGCCCATAGTGCCAAAACTAAAAACTATAGCGAGCAGTTTGCTAACAAGGAAGAAGAAGAAGAAGACGAAGAAGCCTTGTTTGTATATAATTCCGCTTTTGGCCGCTAGGTGTCAGTGTGCCTCCATCCTTCACTCTAAACTGAACAGGTTGTCTTCGTGCACCTTTTCCCACTTTGCCTGTTAAACTGTAACCGTTCAGAGCTGAAGCTCGTCTTACACCGTGATAAAAAGAAAGGGCAACGAACCGAGAACACACTAGTCTTAAAATTACAACGAACAGGTAAAAAGAAGGAACGTTTTTGTCCAATACAAAGGTTGGTGGAGGAGGGAAAAAAACGAAGAAGTGAGCGTCGTGGGAGGGCGGGCCACCTGTGACGGCAAATGAGTGTGGAGGAGCTTCAGTCCCGCTGTCAGAGCTGCGTGTTATTCAGTGGGTGTTAGTGAGTATCAGTGTATCACAGGCGTGTAAAGTCCACTTGGATTATTAGGAAACGTACACGGTCGTACCTTCGAGGGGTTTGAACTGCAGGTAAGACACTTGACACTCGCTTTTTGTAGAAATAATGCTCATAACAGCGGGTTTATTCATGATATTTGTGTTACATTTTGTTACCTTTATTTTATTCTGACTCAAGAGTTGTAGCGTTGTCAAAAATACTCAGAATAATTGTCAGTTTTCTGGTGGTATTGTCATTACACCCTCTTTAAAATGTGTCTTATATCATATGTCTAAACTGGGTACTCCCTCTTTTAGAGTAACCCTGTTCAGACTAAAGTGAGGCAACATTTGACATTATAAATGGCTGTTGTTTGTTGATTGCTGCATTTAAAACACCATTATGTTCCTCTCTGCCTCATTACACTGCATTATAACTCATGTTCATTGGTGAACTGAATTTCAAGCCGTCAGGTATCAACAAGGGATGTGGACTAGCTGCTTAACATGCAGAGTAAAAGGTGCAGCTGGTGATTCATGGTATGAAAAACATATGGCAATGTGCCAACCAAACAGGTCTGATTAGAGTAAATCATCTGTAAACACACACCAGTGATGTTGAAGGTGCCTAAAGAGAGTGATTGACTTGATAAAAAGGGTAATCAGCCATCTCCTGTCCAAGCTGATGGTCTTAGTAACTGTGATCTGATCATTAGACATGGAGACAAACCTGGTGAACACACTCATGGACGTGCATCTTTAAAAGGTTGATGTTGAAATGTGATGATTTAACAGAAAACAGTTTTCTTGTTTCACAGCTTCAACTCATACCTTATTCAAATGCTGTTTTTTATATTCATGTTTATTCTTTAATAATGGTTAACCAATGCTTCTTGGTTTGAAAGACTCAATACTCAGCTGCAGCCTCACTCCAAAGCAGCATTCGTAGTACATCTTGACAATAACATGGAGCTCAGAAAAATAGCCCATCTTATCAGTAAAAAAATATGAACTCATATCAGAAAATGTATCCCCCTTTGCTTTTTAATATAGTGTAGGTTTGCACATCACTTCGAACGAATGCCTGTTTCCCCTTTTCCTGAAAAACTCTCAACCGAATTGGCAAATTTGCATATTACATAAAGATTATTTGACGCTTCAATCATCCCAAAATTGGACGGGAGGTATTTGTGTAACAGTTTTCTAGATTGTGATTCTCAATTTTATATTTTCAAGGATTCAATAAAGTGTACTTTCATTCCAGAGCATTTAAGTACATTATAGAGAGCAAAATTGGGTACTAAGTGGGGGTAGACCAATTACTGGCCTCTGCTATTCATCAGGGTCAATATTTCCCCCGCTTAATGTTCGTCTCACAACTCTGTCTGATTGGCTAGATGACATGCAAAAGTGTTGGCGTTCAAAGCTTTGACTTCAGTCATTCAACAAACCAGAGAAACAGAGTAATGATCACTCAAAGGTGTGAAGTTTGGGGGGGAAAGGGATATCAATATTTATAAGTACCTTTCAGCATGGTGGAGGAAGCTGGCTTTTGCAGTCTAATGATGTACTTGGATTGGCAGTGGTATCAGTATCAGTGTGTGGTATCAATATTGGACAAAATAAGTGTGAAATTATCAGCATGTTGGATAGGAAAGATCCAAAAATCCCTACCAAAGCCTGTAGGATTACACAGATGTATCAGTTCTCATCAGTATCAGCTAATATTGGCTCTACTGATGAAGACAGAACATTGGCAAATAATGTGCCATGAACTGATCGTAGTTGGTGTGTATCTGTTGTGTTGCATCAGTGTGATGCTGCTATGCTAGTATACCTGAAGAGGTTTCTTATTGGGCTTGAGAACCCACCTGTTGAACTAACTCTTGTGTAGAGCATGCTGTTTTCATGGTTAATGTAGGAGTTTAGGAGTACTGCACTGTCTCCCTTTGCAAGTCATGTTTGTAGTGATGTTTTGAGAGGAGGGACTTACAGTAATGCATCAAATATCAAAGCTCATTTGAAAAACAGAGACAAAAAACAGACCACATTTGTGCTGGTATCATTGGGACTTCCTATTCTGAGATCTTTATCAGAACAATTGGTCTGAATGTCCCCCTTAGACCCACGAAACCACGTGGATTTTTGCCTTTAGACCCTGATCCATCACATGTTTGGACTGCTATTTATTAAAGGGAGAGTACAGAATGAAAAGATTTGCACAAATAGCACAAATAAACCGTGTTATTTAAATTATAAAGGATGGTAAAAGACAAATTAGCGCTTTGACAATACACGGTTTTGTCTCTTTTGTCCTTTTTTGTCACCAAAACAGTGTGAAAAGTCCAAACAGCCCAGTGTTGTGCTCACAAAAAAGTGATTGTAAAGTATAAAGCTACAGTATTGGGAGCAAACAGAGTTCAGTTCAGTTTGCTTCCTTTAGTCTGTCTGTCAGACAAGAGTGTTTAAATGCAGTCTGTCTCACTGTTGAAGCACAGCTCAATGGCTTTGACTGTAATCTTCTCTATCTTTTGTCACAAAAGCACACTCTAACTCTAAAACAGAGAGTTTTGTTTTATTTTTCAGTCCTCTGGGACAATTGTTGTCTGTTGATGGAGCTGTCACTGCACTGCTCCGGTCTCTTCTATTCAGGAAGGTCTGTAGACACTTAATAATTGCCTGATAAAATCTATTTCCGTGAATGAATGTCAGGGGACCGAGAGCCCGCAGAGATTCGGAGGATGACAGATTGGAAAGTTTAGTTGGTGTGGGTAATGGCACTGTTTCCTCTGGGTCATTTTGCTTCCAACATGTCTCTATTTTACATTTTCTCTAAGTTTTTACTGGGGTGCTCACCGGCCAATTAACTATTGATGGCTTCTGCATTCAGGGGTTTCTTAGAGCAAGTCTGGATAATGGTTTTTAGATGACAGAGTATTGGAAATGTCACCACTATCTCCTTCTTGCTCAGTGCTCCTGGATATCTTGACAATATTCACCATTTTTTTCCCTATTCTCTCTTGTATTTTGTATTTCCATACTCTCTCCTCAATGGACTCCTCTTCCTGCCAGGATTATAAAACCACCCTGGTTGCTTATTGTGTAGTATAGATGATGAGCAACTTGTTGCACCTCTTCCACCTTTTAATGGGGAGCTCAGACAGGCCAGGAGGGAAATTGAAACTCTCTGGCAGTATTTGACCTGGCTCAGGAGGGGAAACATATCCTGTAGGAGAATGTGTGACTGAATAATTTGTATCCCTGATGGATATTTTGCCGTACAAGGAGCAAGACCAAGCTGTAATGACTTAGAGAAAAAGTGGTGAACACAAGCAAGAAAGTCAGCCACATCTCTGGATCTCATGAGGCAGCCGCCCTGCTTTCACTGCTCCCAGGATATTTCTCCACCACTGGAAGATCATCATTTGGCTCTGCATCACATTTCCAAAGATTGATTTCCATCCGTCTAGCCTTTGGCTTTATTTCACTCTGGCAGAGGGAGCAGGGACCTGAAATCCATCACTGTGAATGTTTTTGTCAAACTTACCTTTATCTCCAGCTTCCTTTCTGTCCAAGTAATACATTTACCACTAGGAACATGTTCAACAGTAATCCTTCTCAGACTGAAGTCAAACATTACGAGTCTACACAAAGACATAGCAAACAGTAATAAAACACCTTTTCTTAGATTGGTACAAAGTCGATTTAGTTTAATGAAATGTTTAAAAAAATAAAGCCTAATGTGACATCCTCATAATGCTTGTTTGCCGAACAAAGCAGTATCAGAGCAACAGATGTAATAGCAGCGAAGATTTGCATTTGATTAATCTGCTGAACTTCTCACTCAGTCAGTTTGAGTTGAAAAAAAATATAAATGAAAACAACAAAACATTATTTTCCAGGACCTTTTGTGTTGACTCATCCTTCTTATTGACTGCAAGACTTCTGGCAGTCAGCACAGATTCATTAGCATAACAGACCTGGCTCACAAGTTCATTAATGTGCAATTGTTATGAAAGATAAAGAGGGAAAATGTCAGATAGGTCCCAACTACATTTTATCTGTACCATCTGTCCTTCTCATATCTCTCTGCTTAGATGGTATCACAGGAAGGTTATAGCTTATGGTTGTGCCTGCAGAGGAAGGTGAATCAATATAAAGTTAAATCTAAAAAATCAGAAATGATGTTTAAAAATATGTATGGACTAATGATCCGTTTAAGTATTTAACAAACAATTACTCAATAACAAAGTATTATCAGTTTCATTTTTCAGAATTATGTGACAAAAAGTTGTCGGGACTCATTCATTCATTTTCTACCACTTATTCCCGTTGGGGGTCACGGGGGGGCTGGAGCCTATCCCAGCATCTTCAGGCGAAGGCAGGGGCCACCCTGAATTCACCGATATTATCAGAAATAAGAATGCGGAGAATAAGATTTCGGTTTGACTTCGAATAATTCCGCCGTTTGAAAAGTTCCCCGACTTATCCTGGGGGGGTTGAAAACGCTTTTCTGGTCCGAGTTTTATCAGTCGGTCTTCCTGTCAGCATGAGGAGCAGTAGCCTACAGTATATCTACAGTATATAGTATACTGTACTGTAGATATCTACAGTATATATTTATTTTTTACAACTTCATAAAAAAATTTAAAAAATCAGCCGATTAATCAGTAATCAGATTTTTCCCCCCTAATAATCAGTATCAGCATCGGCCCCAAAAAAATCCATATCGGTCGGGCCCTAATGCCGATATCACATTGTTATATATTTTTTGCATTTGACAAAATACAACGATTAAAACCAACAAATAAGAAACAAAAGCTGCTGAATATAAGCGAAGTGTTAAATAATTGTTGATTGGAAAATATTTTGCTTAGTAATAGAATAGTACAGAAAGGAATTTTGGATGTTTGTTGACAACTTAAAACATCAAAAAATTAATACAAATCTGAGATATTTCAAAAAGCCATACATAGATCCATTATTTAAAGCACATTTATGTTCAGTATTCTCTAGATCAGTGCTGTACAGGAAGCCTTTCCTACTGTGGTCTAATCTTTGTCAGTGTAAGTTTAGTTATTATCACAGTCATTAACTTCTCACAGTGTCAGCATCATGCAGGTTAAACTGTGGGGAGTAAACACACAGCACTTACAGTGTTCCCTACAGTAGAAATCACAGTTGCCAGAGGATCTCTCTCCTCTCCACACCTGGATGCTGCTGCAGTGATTTTCTGTTACATTACGTAGCCTTCAGGCCAGCCGTTGTCATGGTGTCAGCCCTGAGGGACTGCCGGGACTAAAGAGGGTCAGTCAGGAAACACTTTTCTGCTCTTTTTTAATATTGTTGCATCCGTGTGTGTGTGTGTGTGTGTGTGTGTGTGTGTGTGTGTGTGTGTGTGTGTGTGTGTGTGTGTGTGTGTGTGTGTGTGTGTGTGTGTGCACTGAAGGCAGATAGAAAAGGCTGGATCCCCCCAGACATTCAGTATCTTAGGGTGCTAGAGGCATGTTTTAGTAAAGTAAAAGAACAATGACTAGAAAAGCATCTTAAAGACGGAGAGAGGCGGAGAGAAGAAGTGAGAGAGATGAGAAACTGAGCGAAAGAGTAAATGAGAGATGGGTGAGGAAAAGGAGAGAGGGAGAGATAGAAATAGAGCGATGGAGAGAGAGTGAGAGCAGGAGGAGTAAATGAAAAAGAAGAGAGTGAGGAGAAGGAGAGAGAAAAAGAGGGGCAAAAAAGAGAGAGAAAAGAGATAGTAAAGAGGGATAAATTAAAAAATGGAGTGTGAGCAAGAAAAAAGAGAAACTGGTAGATGGGCAAAAATTGAGAATGAGACAGAAAAAAAGAGGAGAAAGAAAGAAAGGTGATAGTGAGTTACAGAGAGATATAAGGAGAAAAAGAGGAGGAGTAAGAAAGACAGAATAAGAGAAAGTCAAGGAAGAGAAAAGGAGGGAGAGTGAACATAAAAGAGAAAAGAAAGAGAATAAGGCGATAGAGGCATGAGAAATAAAAGGTGGGAGTGAAAAGGGTGAGAAAAAGAGAAATGGAGAGAGAAAGAAAAAGATGAAGAGCAAGAGAAAGAAGGACAGCTGAGAAGAAAAAAACAGAGGTAGAGACAGAATGAGAGAAAGGAGGAGGCAAATGAGAGAGAAAAAAGGAGAAAAAGGAGAAAAAGTGTATGAGAGGGAGGAAAAGATAAGAAAGGAGAGAAGGAAAGAAATAAAAAGTCAGAAAGAGAGAGAGTTAAAGAGAGAAGATAAGAGAGAGGAGAAAAAGGAAAGAGGATGAGAGAAAGGAGGAAAGTAAGAAACCAACTGAAAGATAGAAAAACAGATTTTAAAGAAAAGTCACAGCAAGAGAGAAGGATGATTAAAAAGAGAGAGAAATATGAAAAGACAGTGAAGAGATGTCACCATTCCTCCTGATCAAATGGAGCAAGAGTGATGGTGCTGCACAGTCGGTGTCCCCCTCTGTTGTTGGTGTGTGCACTGCTGCATGTGATGGTGACACAAACACATCACCCCTCCCCTCCCCTCCTCTCCACATCTCTTTCCCCCTCTCCTCCAAAATGAGGGTCTTTTTCTGTCTGCACAACATTTGCATTCACATCTCATCACCGCACACTCATTTTTCAGATGATCATATTTCACCGTCTCTTCTCCCTCTGCTTCTTGGATTTGGTTCCTCTCAGGTACGTCCGCTGTTTAAACTGGCCTCGCACCTCATCCGCTCGGATTGCTCCACATGGACGTTTAATCCCAGCGTGTTTGCTCGTGGTAGCGGCACGTCGCTCTGTTTGACAGCCATTGTTTGGTTAATGATATTTTCAGCTGTGTGTGTTTGGACTCAGCAGCTGCAGATGTTGCAACAGAGAGAGGCGGCCGTTGATCTACAAAAGCCTGCGATATTCTTTTGGAGTCAAAGCACTTTGTGTGTCTTTCATATCTCTGTCGTCATCCTTGTGAAATCATCTGTATCAGCTTTTCGAGTTTGTCTGAACCGTGATGTTTAACTTTGTCAGTGCTCTTAACTCCGTCCTCTGACTTATAAGGTCAAATTTTGTGTTCCTTCACTCGTACCACTGCTTCTAATATTGATGTTTCTGTGTTTTGATTTCAGGTTCCTCACTCTCCCGAACAGAAGTTTGAAAAAGCCTCCCTGGGTTTGTGAAGGAGTGTGTTTGCAGGAGTGTTGGTGAGACTTGAATATGTTCGTGTGAGTGCTTCACACGCCTCTACACTCCGGTCACAGGAGAAAACTTGCCCTGCGAGGCCCCTTGGTGGAGATGCATAGAGCAAGACCCTCTGCTGCGCGGCTCTTGCTGCTGAGCTGCTGCTTGTGCGCTACAGCTGGCTACTCGTTCAGGCCGCCCTCGGACCTAGATGTGACTCCACGTATTACAGTGCTGAGCAGCGGTAAGAACAAACAAACACAAACACACACAGGTGGAGATTTTGTCCGGTTTACAGAGAGAGATGGCATTTGTGTTTGCTCATGTACAGGCTGTCCTCCTAGCTACAGTTCCTGGATGAAGCATGCTTTTTGCTGTCAATGATTTTACCTTAAAGGGATATTCCGGCGTAAAATTAATTTAGGGTCAAACACACCTTAACACCGAGCTAGACACCCCTTTGAGAGATGAATGTTGCCAACCGCTTGCTTCTTTAGTTATACCAACTTTAGTAACGACCGCACGAGAGCAATACACAGCGGTCTGAGGATCCATAAACAAACCTCAACCAAATAATCATTTCTTAATCATTTCCTTGAAGTAATAATCACCATATTAATCATTCTGTACTGTAGACGTGGTAGCTCTTCTGCCTTAGCGTCTCGGTCTGATTGTATTTCCATGAAGAAATGATCATAAATGTTCTTCCTTGAGCTGCGTCACCCCGCTGTAGTCCGTAATGGACTGGCCCGAGGTCTCGCTACAAACAAGTGGCTGCTGGAAGAGAGTAGGTGAGTTGTGTTTAGTTAAAAAGATTTTTGGTGGCTTATGCTGTGGCTGGGACCCTATATGTACTGTTGATGAAGTTAGGTGCTGTTCTGAGCATTATTTGTGGCTATAGAGTGGCGTTTTGGTTGAAGTTTGTTTATGGCTCCTCAGACCGCTGTGTATTGCTATCCTGCGGTCATTACCAAAGTTAGTATAACTGGAGAAGCAAGTGGTCGGCAACATTCATCTCTCGAGGGATGTCTAACTCTGTGTTACGGTGTGTTTGACCCTAAATTAATTTTACGCAGGAATATCCCTTAAACCTCTAAAAAGACTCCCCCTGAGCAACAGAAAGATGGAAAAATCTAAAAATATCTTCAACAACCTTCCTAAGAGAATAAATAAATACTTAAAGTAGTTGGATTGAAAGTATTTATGAGTTTGTTGGACACCCACAGTGATCCGGCTGCAGCAGAATCCATGCGTGCGTCCTCTCATCCGGAGGTGTGTGTTGTGTACGCATGTACAGCTCTGTAACTTCATATATAATTTAAATCTGCAAACATGGATCTGCTGGACAGGGTCAGTCAGGATCATCAAGTATTGTGTTTTCTACACACACAAAAGGGTCCCCACAGTCAGTTCAGGTTCATGCAGTCAATAGTTCAGAGTGAAAAATTCACTCGTCTGTAATAAATAGTATTATTGATAATAAAGACTCGACTCAGACTTGGACAATGATGAAAAACTTGACTCTGACACGTTTGAATTCTTCCCTTGTGACCTGAACTTGAACATCGAGGACTCAAGGCTCGACTCAGACTTGAGGTTTTGTGCCTCGACTACAACAATGAATTGACCTTGCTGACTTCAGACCAGTAGATCTCTTATTTTAGCTCTGCAGGGGCCACCTTCCTCCTCTTGTCCTTGTTTATAAGTTTCTGAACACTTTTAAAACAGTTTCTGGAGGAGAAAACTTTCAGAGTTTATGAAATCTCTTGAACATCACGTTATTTTTGTGACACCTTAAGATTACTCTTACCAGAGTGTTAGATGCAGAGCTTCACCCTTGATCTCTTATCGTTGTGTTGCTGTTGTTGCTTTTCTCTAAATTTTGTTTTCAGCTTTTGGACAGTTTTGAAACGTTAAAAGTTTAAAACCACATTTTTTTACAATAAACAGTTCTTCTGTTTAATATCGAAGATAGAAAAACTTTTGACTTTGAACTCTGAACAGTTTTTTTTTTTCCCGATGTAATACATGAACATGCCTCTCGGTAGTTTTCAGTCATGTAGTGTTCTGACAGCTCCTGGGCTGTTTTGACAGCAAAGAATCTGATAGCAAAGGTGAACTTTTCAGGCCTTCAGTTTTTACTGTCCAACTTTCAACATGAGGATCAAGAATGACGTTTGTGGTGATATATCACATCTAAGGTTGGATTATTCGCTGTATTTTCAGGCAGAGAAACAAGTTTTAAAGCTAAATTGTTGTTCGATGATTGTTGGTGGGTTCTTAGATTGCTTTACAGTGTTGTATTTTCCTTCATACAGCCAAAGCCCGCTGAAATCTTACTGGACGATTCTCCTCAGCCTACAAACAAAAACCAGAACACTTCCAAACACGCCTCAAACTCTGCATCTTCTCTTTTGCAGAATCTGAAAATAGAGATCAAATCCAGAACAGCGAACCTCTTGTTATAGTCTTTCAGATGCAACCGTCTTTCTCTTTTCGTCCTTCAGTTTTCTTCATTTCCGTTCCTCCTATTCCTGACACATCTCCAACTTGCACAAACACCTGCTCTCTTCAGGGAATTCATTCACCTGCCTCCTCTGCAAACCATTTTTAACCCTTTTTTCATTTCAAACTGTTGTTATTATTATCCCTTTACTTTGTGTGAGTGATGGCATGCAGCCTGAGGTGCTTACAGAGTCAGTGGTAGATGAGTGAAGTGCTTACACTCGGATCCTTGCTGAGCATCTAGGGAAACTGACGTGACTGTAGGTAGATAGAGGAGGCACTGTAACCATGACAACTGTTGTGGTATGGCGCAATACTGCTGTATACTGTATCTTTCTTTTGTGTTCACGTGTGGGCAGGTGTGTGTGTGTGTGTGTGTGTGTGTGTGTGTGTGTGTGTGTGTGTGTGTGTGTGTCTTCTCAAGGCTGTTATCTGATCCTGGACTTTCATTTGTTCATGTAAGGCCTCAGTGCGAAAGGAGTCTCTTCACAGCTTCACACTAAGGCCTGTTTGTAGAGTAACATCTCGCATTTTCTTTTATTTTCATTGAAAAGATTTGCTTTTGTTCGGAGTGCACGTGTTGTACAGTGTTTTTCTAATGCGCAAGAGTGCATACATGTGCTCCAGTGTGGCTCCAAACCCTCAGTGTGAACAAGAAGAATACAGAGTGTGCGTATAAAAGACTAAATATTCAAATTAGGAGGATCAATTAACTTTCTAAGTTCATACAAAATACAAAAACATGAATAAATACAACTATGGATAAAAAACTGACTAAGGTAATAATGATAACTGAATGATGACCGCTCAAACCAGTACCATAGGTAATTAAAGTATTTATACAACGGAATGATGGAGATGAAAAAGCTAGTAAACAAACACCAAAACAGATAATGACCTAGGGATGGGCGATAAATTATCGTTCAGGATATATCGTCAGAAAAATCCTCCATTATTAATTTTTGCCATCTCATGATAAATACGATAAATGCAAGTTGATGACGTAAGCGCGAGCGACAGACTCTCAGCCATATCCCACACAGAGCAGAATAACAAACAAATATGGCCGAAGAGAATGAAGAAGACGTTTCTGAGCAGCTCGTTTCTAAATGAGGCTCCACATCATGGATTTCCTTCAAGATTGGGACTTAGATGAACACAATCACGTTTGCCTAACATCGGACAGTGGATCTGCTGCTGTTCACTCTGCAATAAGAGTTTTCAACAAATGTTGAAAATGTTTTCACATTTAAGACATGTTTGATGTCGTTAGTTTTCCTCAGAACCTACCACTCAAACTTGTGGTTAAGTATCTTACTGGACTACTCCAACTGGTGTTCTCAAGACAAAATGAGTCAAAAATATAGATTGGAATTATAACATTTTTTATTGGGACTTTTATCGTTATTGCAGAATAGCAAATCTTATCGTTATCATTTTTTTAGCCCATATTGCCCATCCCTATAATGAACACACACAAAATGCACATACACTAACCTGACACACCGGACAGACTCTTTAAAATATCCACGGTATGCTATATATCTCACATCTACTGTGGCAACACCCAGGAGATCATGGCTGTGAAAGCGCAGACCGCACGAAAGTGTCGCTGCCAAAGAGAAAACTATATAGAGCAAATTTAAGAGACTCTAAGCCTCTCTCTATGTTAGCTGTTAGCTTCAATCAATTCACCTTAGTATTATGTTTTTTTGTTTTACAGTTTTTAAATCAATTTTTATGTTCAAAAACTTTTCTTTTTTTTTTAAATTTAAGACTAAATCTTAAAAACTGACTGACATGTGATATGTATTTTGGGGGAAATATGGTTCCTGGAATAGTCAGTAGACAATCATTCAACTGTTTCACTGGTGTTAAAAATGCAGATTTAAAGTCAAGAAAATTGACAGTATCATAGAATCGCAATTTGAATCGAATCGGCATCCAAAAAATCGTAGAAGAATCGAATTGGAAGAAAAGCATATCGTCCCAGCCTGACTGACATTTCAGTTTAAAGATGATCGTCTAACATGGAATTACACATTAAATAATTGTTGGCTTACCTTTTATACGCAATATGAACTTTAGTTACACCAATCTCCTCGAAGTATTCATATTATACATCTGGAAAGCATTTTATTATTATTGTGATTATTGTTGTTGTCACATAAGGAGTTGCAATCTCAATTTAAAGACGCAGGAATATCTAAAAGCTTCATCAGCTTTGACTTGGCAGAGGTGAGGACAGTGCAGCTGTTGGTCAGGTGGTACAGCTACAGCCTCAACCCCACCTCTTTCTCTGGTTTCTACCTGCCAAAGGTTACTTGGAGTCAGGATTTGCTTTACCGTCTCTAGTTTGCGGCCATCTAGCTCTAAAGAGAGCAAAAGATGTTGAGAGAGGATCTTCATTCCTATCAGGGGTTTCAGGTTTCCCACCCTTTTTTTTTAAAAAACGGTTATCTTTCTCACAGTACGTCACCTACTTAACCTCATTATCCATCTTCTCTCCTCTTGCTGTGATCCCCTCTTGATACTTTTATCTCAGTTTCTGTAAGTCAGCATTCTGAGCTAAAGCCAGCCCACAGGTCCTCCTACACACCTCCTCGCCTGCACCCCGTCGCTCTCTCATCCCATCCCCCGTCCTCCACCATCCATCTCTCCACCGCTGCGCTAAAGCTCTGTCTCCTCTACTCAATTTGTTCTTCATTAGTTTGTGCTTTTCCCGGCCTCTCTGCCCTCGTTTCATACTGTTACCTTGTCCTAACTCTGGGTTTTGTTTCCCTTAGCCTTCCTCCCTCTGATGAGAAGACTTCGATATGCAAACTTACAGCTAATCCCTTTAATCTTTGTGTTTCTTAGCAACCTAAAAGCAAAGCCTCCGAACCTGTGTGGGGTAGTTCAATCACACATGCATGCCCAAAAGGAAAGTCAAACACACACCGACACACACACCGACACACACACCTGTGTTTTTTCTGTGTTCTTTGCAACGTCATATCTTCCAAAATTGAGGTCAAAGCTTTTGTGGGAGAGAGGTCATGGAAAGGGCTGACGTTATTACTGATGCTCTGTGTATCCTAGAAAAGAAAGAATGCTCAGTGACAAAACTGGAATATTTTACTTAGCGATTTTTAATGTAGATGTTTTAAATGAAAAGAGAGAGAGAAAGAGTACATTTAAAAAGGTATTTGTTTATATTTTCGACAGCAAAGATTTACAGTAAGTGATAAAAATTTGATTTAGAGAAACTGTTGTAGTTATTTTTGAACAAGACATACGTCACTAAGACATGACCGTGTTTTACACAGCCTGCGTAGAAACCTACTGTTTATCAAACTGTAGGTTAAAAATTTAAAGCGGATGGTGCTTGAGTTCATTTTAAATGTCCTTTTTCACGTATAGGATGTTTGTGTGGTTTCTTGGGTCAGTCATTTTTTGGTAGCCAATTTTTAAGTTGGCTGCTAGAGTTAAGCTCTGGAAGAAAGTGGTACCAGCCTGCCAGCATTTAGCATTGCATTCATAGACAGCCAACTTTATTTATCGCCCACATTTCAGTAACAAGGGAACTCAAAGTGCTTAACACGAGACATTTAAAGCATCATGACAGAGAGAGAAAGAAGCAGATTTTAAGAGGGCTTCAAAAACGATTAAAAGGAGCCATTAAAAAACCAAGAGAGGATGAAACAGGAGCTACAATATGACAGGAAATTATAAAGAAAAAGTGTCTGTTAATAAAGCTTCAGTTAGGAACTCTTAGTTTGTGTTAATATTATGTCTAAAAATGTATAAACATCGCTGTTTCTTTCCCACTGAGCATTTTTTGGTCTAAAAGAGGTCTAATAAACGTCTAAATGTAGCCTAGACGACAGGTTTAAAAACGAACGTTTTTTAGACGTCTAAATTGAGACCAAGTTTAGACCAAGTCTAAATCTGGGCTATATCTATAATACACTGTATATGGCTCAATGGCTATTATAATTATTTTGGTTAAGTAATTGGAGATTAGTTGTGCAAAGCTTTTTGAAATAGACAGTTATCGAATTATGGGTTAAAGTGCAACGTCTAAACTCCATATAAAAATATGCAGAATCTAGACGGTTGAAATTAGGTATAAAAAAAAAAAGAAACTAGATGTCCAACATCCTTTTTTTGCTCAGTGGGTTAGCTCCTGGGCTGACACCTTCCCCCTCACACCGGTTTCAGACACTAAAAATTACAATTTAATAGTCATCAATCTTGACATTTACATTGTATTTGCTTTTGTTCACCCTGAAAGAGCATCTTAAGGAATTATAGTGTTTTATTTTCATGTCGAAAAACTCCTCATAGGAGCTTTAAGATAGTAAAGAGAATGTAGATAAGTGATGAACAAATAGGGTTTCTCTGCTAAAGATGCATGTTTTTACCTGTGTTACTGAAAACAAAGAAATGTTTTTATTTAAAGGGACAGCTGAAGAGAAACAGGTATAGTGGGGTCTAGAGAGTAGGGGAAAACGTGCAGCAAACAGTCATGGCCAGGATTTGAACCAACAGCCCTGCGAAGAGTTCAGTAGCTTCTCCATGTGGGGCCCATACTTGAACTGCCAGACCAGCAGCCTGTCATTTGTTCCCATGCTAACGCTGTACACTAATTGTCACACGGTCTTTGTTGTATCTGGAGCCAACATGAGATCAGCAGCGCCCACACAGTTGAGACACTGTCTTGTTATCATCACCTATTGCCGAGATTTTAAATATATGAAATAACAACAACGCATTTTACATTTTCAAGCCAAATTTTAAACAGGCTTTGGGTATCTGTGTTGAGTTTTGACATTCTGAAAGCTAACTAAACAAAGAGAGCAACCTGTCAGAACGAATGAAAACTTGTGTAACAGCTCAACACCTTTTTCAGTACATGCACTGATTTCAACCTGTCAGGTATTTTCAGAGTTCTGCCAGACTTCAAACAGTTGGAGTCGATGGATTCAACTTTATTTATTCAGGTCCTCCAGTCGGCTTGTTTGTGCGTCAGAATACTCTGAACCGTAAACAGACCTGACGCTGGACTGTGAATTTTTAAGTAAGGTTGTCACGTCACAGTCCAACGCCTGGAGGTTCAGCGAGTGTGCTCACATGTGCATGTCTGTGTGTGTGTGTGTTTGTCCCTGAACACTGTGTGCCGCACTGATCAGCTGAGGTCCCTCCAAGTGTTTGCTCAGTAAATAATATCATCTGGGCTCCTCTCGCTGTCTCTTTCTCTTTTTCCTGCTGAATGAATCAAACGTGTCTCTCCTCTCTCTCGATCATGTAATCGGAGGCTAAATTGTGCTGGTCAATAAATCTCCCTCTGCTGCCTCACTCCCTCTGCGAGGTCGTCTTCAGTTACCTGTTTCCAGCTGTCAGACACTGTATGTTTTAACGCTCAGATTACACTGAGGAGACTCGGGAACTGTCTCTTTCTCTGACGTATCGTCGTGCCTCACAATGAAGCACGTAGAGGAAAAACTTATGGTCCTGAAAATCCCGTACAGCTGATACTCTTCTTCCTCCTGCTGAGAAAGGAAAAGTAGACAACCTTGATAACCCTGGAGCAGTGTGAGATGGGAGCTGACTGCTGCCTCTGCTGCTGCTGCTGCTGAAGTGAGCAGAGTGGATTGTGTTTTGCAGCAGCTGATAGGAATCTTAATGACAGCTCTCTTGATAACATGCAGTCTGCGAAAGGGGAGAGAGGATTGGCTGAGGACGGAGGAAGTCTGCTACTTTTCCTGTTTGGCCTTATTGAGCTCCTGTACTCCTCAATACTTACGAGAGGTGGCTGCTCGTCAAGTTTCTGCGATTTTAGTGCCGCCGATACTCCACCCAGAGTGATAGTAAAACCTGCTCAGGATTGCTCACAACAATTATTTTAATTAGATGTTAAATTTAGGAGGCAGTTGTTTTTGTCCGCATTGGATGACGCTGTTTGTTGACATTACACTGTGGAGATGTTGTTGTGGTTATGACTTGCCTGAGGGTTCTCCTTCACTGTTATACGTGTGTGCGTGTCTATCGACAGTGGTTTCATATTTACCCAATCTTAGAGGAGGCCTGATAGATCGTATGTTTGGAGCTTACGTAACTCCCCAGCATCGCATGTCTGCAGAGAGGGCATGTCTTCTCAGTGTGTGGATGTGCTGTACAGCGTGTCTCTTCTTTGCTTCGTTTATATCATGTCTTGACATATAGAGACGTACCAATACGGGTTGGAAAACTGTACTTAAAGAGGAGTCGAAGAAACATTGAAAAACAGGAACTCCTATTAAGTAGAAGTGGATCTTAGATATCTGATTTGTCGGGCCTCTTTTCATTATCATCTTCCTGCTCAGCAAAGCCCTGAAGGATAAGCCTAATCCCTTGGCTTTTTGGTCCATAATAAAGTTGTTATTTAATTATTCTTGTCCGCCCTTTTTTTAACAAAATCTAAACGAGGAAAAATGCTGAAAATTCTCCGATTTGAGGGCGTTATAGCCACTGTTTGTTACACTCTTAGAAGTCAGACCTTTGATTTACTCTGATATGTCCCACTCATCAAATGACACATCAGATGGCTTGTCAACTGTTGCTATGCAACTTGCAACTTAGCAAGTTGTGCTTCAAGAGTGAAGAACTCGCATTCATTTCTGCACATTGTGAGATTTAAGGACCACTGCATTGGGGGGGTGACATATTACACTGTTTGAGCCAAGGCATACGCAGAAACGACCAGACTGGTAGAGCTGTTGGGTTGACGTATACCTAGGGCTGGGTGATAAACCGAAAATTTACTGATACAGAAATTTACTACAATAACCAAAGTCATTTTGCCCCTATTGGTATATTCGGTGTCAAATAAATACATAGATAAAAATTGGTTTTGGATGTGTGTCGGTAGGCTTTGGTCTCATGTCCCTTTAAGACGCTGTCCTACATCAGAGACGTGACTCCACCCCATCCGGTCCATAACAAAGAGGGAAAGACAGGTGAGGAGATGGAGGACGGGTCAAAAGTTGTAGTGGCTGGAGCGGTGGCTGAAGTAGACGAAGTTAATGTGGGAGGGGGTGAGCAGCTTGTGGAGTAGTTATCATCCATTTATCGTTATCGAGGTGAACTGCTCAATATATCGTGATATTGGTTTGAGGACATATCGCCCAGCCCTACATATACTTCCTCTGCTAACTAAGACATGCATTTAAATTACAGATACAATTTTGCAATTCCCTGATTTTGTACAGAATTACTGCGATTCATCAGTTTTATGCAAGCTAGCCCTGATTGGCTGTTTGACTCAGACCATTACCTTAATCTAACCACAGGTGCTCACAGATCAGGCGCACTTTAAGGATAGTGTTAGTTCAGGCAGGCCACACAGTTAAGCTCAGCCGGCAGTTATCAGCTGATCTTAATTCCAGTCCATGTGAGCAGACGTCTAGGCCTATGATGCATTCGGTTTATGAATAGAATGGGTGTTCTGAATGAAATCGACTGGAGGAAACTTTTTTGGATTTGCTTACTGTAGCTTTAAAAGATTGGTTATTAAATCCAAAATTGCAAACCTACCTAAAAACGCCCTTTCTGATTACATTCATGCTTTTTTTTCCATTTGTAGTAATTTAAATCTTTAATACTTCTTCTTGAACAGGCTGTGGGGAGTTGAAAAGAGATTTTTTGTGCAGCGTCAGTACAGCAGAGTTCAATAGATGAAATTTTCTTTCCGGGTCTAAAAAAAGATTTAAATCTGAATCAAAGAGCACGGCCTCCTTACCACTTTGCTGAAACGTTCGACAATAATCCAGCAAGGAATCCATCACGGGGGATGAAGAGATTTCTATCTCTCCCTTTATCCTCGTACTGTCAGGTTTGATTGGGGAAGTGCTCTCTCATCTACTGTTAACATGCTTCATCCTGGGAGCAATAACTTTATGCACATTTGGGGGCTTTTATGGGAGACACTGAGATTTGGTGCTTCTGTGTGAATTAACACCATTTTGGCTCTTTTTAAATCCTTAACTTTTGTTTTATTTTTTTTATTTAACTCTTAAAAACCAGGTGAGATAGCCAACATCAGTGAGGATGTGCAGTGTAGTGATCAGATCAGTGATGCAAACTGAGATGTGAGTTGATTCCTGGGGTGTTTGAGAAAATTTGAGTCCTAACAAATGGGGTCTTAGTCCTGGAAAGTGTAATTTGTCAGCACAAAGGTGTTCCCATAGAGACAGATGGTAATCAATAGGAGCGGATGTGTCCAGGTGGTAATGTGTGCAGCTTTATGAATAACAATCAGGCTGTACCTGAGAGAGTGTACAACAACAACAAAGAAGGTTAAACTTGTCCTCATGCTTTCGCCTCTTTTGTATTCACACTGTGTCATCTCTAAAATTTCACCATCCCTCTATTAAAAAAAAAAGCCAATTATCCTGGATGTCACAATGCTGACTCAGCTGCTAAAAAACATGTTTGCTGTATGGATGTGTGCGATGATTATTTGCAGAGTTGCTAAATGGATATGGCAGAGGAGGTTAAGAAGTACACCTCCATTACTAACATATCCTCTCCTCTCCTCCCCTCCTCTCAGGTCTCCAGGGCTGCAGGCGTTTCCAGTCGTCTGCAGTCAACTACAGCACCATGATGCTGGAGGCTGACAGCAAGCGTCTCTACGTGGGGGCTCGGGGGGCCGTATTCGCTCTTAATGCCTCCGACATCTCAGCCAGCTCTGCTCTCACTGTGAGTCTGTTTGTTTTCTGGGTTGCTGCGAGTCGTGTGCCTCCGCTGCCATAAATTTAACTCTGTCAGGGCTTCATTTGCATCACACAGCGCAGGAACTTTTCTCATTTCGAGGCGAAAGTGTTTACTCCCCTGTTACCCGTTTGTGTGTGTGCTTGTTTGCGTGTATTAGCTTCACTTTCTGCACCGCTACACCACAGGAGCATGTTGCAGAATATAATCACATGGTAATAGGAAGAAACTAACCATTGTATCTTCTCAGCGTTACAGTAAACAGATACAGACTTTATGTAAAATCATCCACATATTGAAGCAAGTTGGCAGAAATAGTTTCTCATTAATGCAGTAATGAGCTTTCTATCTACTTCAGCTCAACCTGTTCGGACTGAATCTTTGGAGGAGTCAGGTTTTATTGGCAATAAGAAAAAAGTTTATGCTCGAACATTAATGCACACCGCAAGTTTGGGAAGATGGGACTGCAGAGTTCACATTACGAGTACTGTTTTTTTTTCCGGAGGATATTTTTAGACATCCTCAAGGACTGTGAAAAATATGCATAATGTAAAAATGATACACAGCACATCTGTAACCTGCTTTTTCACCCATAAGCTCATATTTTGTTAATTAAATACTTTTAAAAACTCAGTTTATAAATAAAGAAATGAAAGAGAAAGAAAAAGACATTCAAAAAATAATAAAGCAAGTAAAAAAAAGGGGAGTAATAATGAACATTTAATGTAGATCTACTCAGGCTAGTGATGGCGGGACATCTGGTTCTTCCTCTTTTCTCCGTATTAATGTCAGAGTTATCAGCTGAAACAATGGTTACCATCTGTATCTATGAAACGCTGAGCCCCCCTGAGGACCCTTCCTGACAAAATTTGATGCATGGCTGTCACAAATGAACATTAAATGTAGTAAATGGATGTCTCTCTCCTGGTGTGAGTTCAGCATTTTTCTTGAATCCCAGCAGACGAGATCTACATACACACACACACACGCACATTCTTATCAAATGTATTTTTAACACAGTTTTAGCTACAGACACTTGCATTAGCTATCTAGCAAGTGTGTAAACATGATTTTAGATTGTATGCACAAATCAGTGCAGATAAAACCTTGCCTTTCCTCTCAGGGGGGCCTGACTGTCAGATCAGGAGTCATTAGGATCATCAATATTTGATGCACTTTTTGGCTGGAGTCTGTTCACATTCTGTATATCTGTATATTTTTCACATAGCCATTTCCTTTTACAGTTTTAAATGGCGTGAAGAAGCACAATTCAGCCACAGAAAACAGCCCATTTTAAGGAAAATTTCAAGCACTCAGATGAGTTTAATTCACTGATGTTCACACAAGGGATGTAAAATTCTGTCCAACCAGAGTGACTTTCTGCTCAGGCTTGAATACTAGTGACAGGAAGTCAGCAACACTTACACAGTGTATTCAACATCAGACCTAGGGTGGGGTCTGGGCCAGTCCACATGCCTATCTGAGTGGATTTGCATACATTCAGAACATGATAACAAATGACAAAAGGTAGTCTGAGTTCCTGAGCGAGACAGGTTTTAGAAGTAGGCAGTGTGCTTGCCAACGCTTCTGATCGATTGATATGTCATTTCTAAAAGAACTCTAATATTGATGTTAGATAATAGGTATTCAAAGTGTTAGCAGCAGCATAACCAAATCAGCTGGAAGTAAAGTATCACCAAAGTTATGAGTGTGTCTGATGACAGCGTTTCTGTTTATGTTTCCCTCGAGTGTCTTTTCATCTCTGTGATAGACTCCAGTCCTCGGATTATTGCGTTTTGCCGGATAATTTCATTAAGGTGGATGTCTGAGACACTCTTTCATCTTCCGAGCAGCTGCGTGTGTTTGTAACCTGATGACAACGTGACGTCAAGCTGTTATGCTAATTATGTTAATAAGGCGTCAGAGTCTGTCATTAGGGTGTAATTGCCGGTGTGTGTGAAACGCTTACGCACAACCACACCTCCACCTCCTGCTTCAAATACTAATATGTCAAGTCTATTTTTATTATGGATGAGTTTCAGAAAATACCATCTAGAAATTCAGATACTGTAAAAACTGCATTCTTTATGTATGAAAGATGTGACATAACTCTATTACCTGCTGTTGGATTTGTGGTATTAAGCTGAATTTTGTGCAAATCAAAACTCAACTCTCTCTCTTTCTGACTAACTTTATGTTACGCGGTGTGTTTCAGATTGAGTGGGAGGCCTCCTCGGAGCAAAAACTTCAGTGTAAGCTCAAGGGAAAAGACAATAAGGTAGGCCTTTAGCCGTTGTTTCTCCCTCAGTCCTTCTCTTTTCATCTTTTCCTGTCTGGTTCTCCTATGAGATAAAATTCCCTAAACGTCGTATCTTCTCCGACTTTCTCTTCCTTATCCAGACGGAGTGTTTTAATCACATTCGCTTCCTCCAGAGGTTCAACTCCACTCATCTCTACATGTGTGGGACTTATGCCTTCAGACCACTCTGTGCATATATAGTATGTCAACGCAGAAAACACTACAGTCATCCCAGTGTTGCTCATCATAGTTTATTTTCTCTACTCATGGCAGAGAAGATGCAGTCTTAAAATAAATGCTGCATTTACGTCATGAACCATCTTGAACACTTTCTCTGTGTCCTGTACAGAACGAGGAGAAGTTCGTCATGTCATCTCAGCCTGAAGACGGCAAAGACAAATGCCCCTATGGGCCGACTATGGGCTACACAGGCCTCATCATTGGTGAGCTCTCGGCATTTTTCAGTCAGTCTAAGAGTTTTTCTAAAAATGGTGTCTAACCTGGTGGTTGTCCTGCAGACCAGCAGATGTATACAGCCTCCCAGTACTGGTTCAGGGGCTTCCCAGATATTCGACGCAACTCTCCATTCCCCACGCTGAAGACAGAGGATGCCCCCACACGCTGGCTGAATGGTGAGCAACAAGAATTTTGAGCTTTTCTCTGTTACAGGGCTAACACTAACCCAACAACTCTTTGCTAAAGTAGGCATCACAACTGAGCACTCGCCTCCCTACCACGACCTTTTCAAGCAGAGAACCCTCAAGAAGTCAATTTGCCTTGTTTTTCTGAATAAAGGCATGCAGAGGGAATAGTGGGAGAAGCCTCGTAGCTGTTTTTCGAGCAGCAGCGGTGGTAATAGAGTCGAATCAGGCTCAGTGTAAATGAGGGAGCCTGCAGGACAGGCAGGGCTTTATTGTGTGTTTGTGTTTATGAGAGAGAGAGATGCTGGCACTGCTGTTGTAATGCCAGCATGATATGTCAAAGCACACACTGGGAAAACTACAGTGCAGTGATTACTCCGATAATTCCTCATGCAATACAACTTAGTTTACAGGCTGTTTTTAAAAACAACAAAGCAAAAAAAAAAAAAAAAAAAAACACTCCGGTGACATTTTCACGCCTCTCAGGCAATAAACGCTAATAAACTTGATGACCCTCCGGTTCTCGTGCAGTGACCTTATGTTTGCATAACAACGCTCTGCAACCATCAGGCCTTTTTAATTTTGTTATTGATCCAACTCCAGCATAATATTAGTGTCCTAGTGTGCGAGTTCACATTGGGCCACATCATAGCAGAAATACACGAGGTAAACATAGAATGGGACACAAACAGCAGAAGTTTTACGTACTGTACACACATAGACACACACACACAGCCAGACGGGTCACAGTGATCACGTCTCGTCCCTAAAATACCTCCTTTACTATAATTTTCACCGACTGTTAATTATGATCACGCTGAGCCACTTTTTCTAAATTCTCATGTTATGAAATTTTAAGATGTTTTATTATAAAATAATGCAAATTATATTAAGAGCAAAATCAAAAATGCTCCCTGACTCAGTACAGAGGTTCTTTTCGATTCACGACAGTCTGTGTAATCTCAGAGGTGCTTGATAATTTACTGTACAAAAAGCTAAAAAGGTATGAAGAGGAGATGTTTCGCCATTACTGGAGTTAAATTCTGGAATGATGCCGACATAAATCTAAAAACATGTCATCCTTTTTTGGTTTTTAAGAAAATGGTTTGTAAAGTTATTTTTGAAGCTTATTAGTGCGATTAATTATCTGTTGTTTTGGTTTCTTTGCTTTTCTGGAGGTCGGTAGCCTTAAAAGTTGACAATACAGGATCAGCTTTTCTAAGCAGTCTGCCTCTGCCATTTTCGGTCAATATTCAACACATGATTCTTGATTTAGTGATTTTGTGTGAAATGTCAATATTGCGTACAATATTTGGTGTTGTCATGACTGAATAAAGGACTACTACATGGAGATGGGACGACCTGGTTCCAGCTTTTCACTTCACTTACTCCCTCACCTGCCAATATGAAAAGGCTCTTAGTGTAATGTTCCTACTTTTGCTACCCCCTTGCATAAACCCAAGCCATTGTAATATTTTTGATATATTACACTCTATTCTGAACTGAAGTTACGACACGCCTGTCAACCTCAGCTCTATTCTGATGTTGCTCTAATCTAATCTTTTCACGCCAAATTAGATTAAAGGAGTAAACATATAACCCCCAAAACACTGGAGCATGTTGACCCAGTTGCACTTGTTCGTTATCACTATTTGTGATAACAGAGTTGGTGTTTTGACTGTCATGCCTTTGACTTCATTTAACAAGGAGAAGAGCCTCTCTGATAAAGATAATAATCTTTATGGATCTCACCTTTTACTGTTTTAAAGAGACTTCTCAGGTTGACAAGCACAACAACTAACCCCAGTGACCTACTTACTTGATGAGCCTTTATTGTTGTGTGCACTGATTACTTCATACGAGGCACAAAAAAAGATTTTGTTGATTCTGTCCTGTAGAAGAAAAACAGATCGAGTCACTGCATCTTTTTCTTCCCCCCTGCACAGAGGCAGACTTTGTTGGCTCTGCGCTGGTGAGGGAGAGTTCAGGCAGCAGCGCCGGCGACGATGATAAAATCTACTTCTTCTTCACCGAGAAGAGCCAGGAGCAGACTACAACATACAGCCACAGCAGGGTGGCGCGGGTGGCTCGGGTTTGTAAGGTGAGTTCGGTGTTAACAAATAAAAGATTCAGGGTCTGATTTGCCGAGGCTTTAGTGAAGTCTGGGTTGATGATAGCTGAGGTGTTGTAATAGATGAGGGGCTGGATGGAGGATGCATTTGTAACAAGGTCCCAGTGTGATTAGATGAGGCGACTGATGAATGTGCTGCAGAGCTGGTGTGGCTCTGGACGAGAAGGATGGATGACTGCCGGGGAGAAATGTGCTGTTTAACATCCTCTGCTGCCTTAAATGTAAATAATTTGTATCTCATACTGTCAATGAAGAGGTTAAATATGATTAAATGTAACCTTCATTTTTATCTCGTAGTCACCTTCTTGCTCTCTCCTGAGTCGACTTAATAAACTCAAGAGTCCTCTCCTCCTACATCTTAATAGAAATGCATGGCAGCTGCATGTACGACTTTCATAATTCGCCTCTGGCTGAATACATTTAAAAGTTTAAATCAAAGGCTAAGATGATGCTTAAGAATCGTGGCGTTGAACCAAGACCTTTCATTGTCATCCTGTCAGAAAAGTTTCTCTCTCCTGCACACACAAATACACAAACATTAACTTTGCTGTGAGGACCTATGGGACGCCATTACCTTATTAAAGCCATCATTATTGCTTTCCCCTGCCATCTGTTGCTCTCTTTAGGAGGTTCAGTCCCTCTTGTGCGCCAACTTAAGCCCAGTCTTTAGTCTGTTTTGTCATCCATCCAGCTCTTACCTCATGTGACCCCCCTCCCAGGCCTTACCTCATTTGACCCTCTCTGCTCTCTCCTTCTCCTCTACCTCTCTGCCTTAGGGGGACCGAGGAGGCCAATTTACCCTCCAGAAACGCTGGACGTCCTTCCTCAAAGCCAGGCTGACCTGCTCTCTGCCCGATTATGACTTTCACTTCAACATGCTGCGGAGCATGTTTGTGATGCCCGGTCACACGCCGCAGGAAACGCTCTTCTACGGCATCTTTGGCCTGGAGTGGTGAGTGGAGAAGTGTGCGTTTGTCAAGCTGTCAGCCTCACAGGGACTGAGATGACGCTAATGTAAATGAGTGAGGGAAAAGATGAAAGCAGGGCAATCGATTTGATGAGGCAGCCAAAAAAAGACGAGATAAAAGCGAGGAGAGCTTTTTATATGAACGATGTGAAAATGAGAAGTTTGTTGCATGACTTTAACCGCAGTTTGAGGAGATGTTATTGATTGAAAATGTAGATTTAGAAAAGCTTTAAAGAAGTTTTAATCCTTGAGATTTCAGCGCTAGTCGTTGAGGGACATTCCTGGTTTGTATGGAAGCGAGGTTTCTTTTTGTTCTGGCGCTTTTTTTTGCAGAACTGGATGAAAAAACGCAGAAAAAACTTCTTGTGTCAGTTTTTATAGGTCGGCTTTTGTTAGTTTCTGTCAGAGAAGTACACACTTCCTGAGGTTATTTCTCATTAAAAGTCAGCCTGCTGTTTGTGACAATTAAAATCAAGCCTAGCAGTGTATTCACGCCCCATACGAGGACGTTAGGGCTTAAGTGTCTGGCCTGTGTTTGCTTCCCGAGTTTGGCTCCTTTCCAGCATGTAATTCCCTATTCTTGCTCTCTGTTTCCCACTCCGTCCAAAAAAAGGCAAAAAAGCCCCCAAATAAATCTTGAAAACGTGATTTAATTACATATTTAAATACCATATCATTTTAAAGTGTGAATTTATTCCAAAGCAAAATATTATAAACAAGCAGAAAGACACAACAGCTCTTGGAGTTTTTTTCAATCATATCTAGACAGTCACAAGCTTACATTATGCGGAGATTATGCTCTCACCACTCTGCTTAAAAATGTGTGAGGGTTGGCCTTTGTCTTCCATGGTCATGACTGTTCCTGGGTTCATATCAGTACAACACAAGGACATTCCCACAAGGTAAACACAACTGTGTGTAAGGATAATATGCTGACGAGTAAGGCAACAGCAGAAATCCTCTTAACATGAACAACAGCATTGTCAACCTGCTGCAGTCGCACATCATCTCACCCCTAAAGTTTAAGATGGTATTAAACTAGGGCGCTGACAGAAGTCCAGATCAAACCTAGTGTGAGGTTGTTTGTGCGCACTCATGCACACTTTCCATACAATGTAGGGAAACTTCTGAGAGCGCAGCGCTTTTGTAAAAGAGGCAAATGGATAACTTTAGCATTTTTGTTCTGTTGGGAAACTCTGTCCTCTCCATGTCTCTTACCTTAACTCCTACTACACCTCTCAGAAAATCATTTTGTAGCTCTCTTGTCCTTCCTCCCACTCTTCTCGAGATGTATTACTTTATATCACACTCATACGATCTCTGACAGCGCTCATCCTCACCCTCCCCCGTACGTTCCTTTCTTCTTTTTAGCTAGGTAAGCCACTGATCTACTGTACTTGTACTGCTGTCCCTATGGCAACACGAGGTTTACTGCTGTTTGTATTCCAGGCTGGTGCTCTGGTCTTTTTCTTACCTGGTGTGTGTGTGTGTGTCTGTGTGTGTGTGTTATTGTCTTAAGGAAAAATGTGAAGGCATCTGCAGTGTGTCGTTACTCACTGTCCAAAGTCCAAGAGGCCTTTCAAGGACCCTACATGGAGAACCAGGACTCTGGCTCTAAGTGGAAGGAATACACTGGGAAGATCCCAGACCCAAGACCTGGAACGGTAAACAAACGCACACGCACTTATACACCCTACTGCTTTCTCTGTTACTTACACATAAAAAAATGTGTCCCTACTTTTCATCCCCCGATGGTTTACACCAGAAAATCCCAGCAGAGAGAAAATGAAAGCGATCCAAAATAAAATACATTAGGCAAAGAAGCGGAGGAAAAGATGGAGGGAAAACGATACTGTGTCATTCTGAAGAATGGGACTCGAAACACAACCAGCTTATGTCGCTGAAACCCATTTCCATGGCGATTAACTCCGGCCGGTAGCGTTCGGCGACAATGGCTTAGCGTGGCAGCCGTGATCTGGCATCGTTAGCAGGAGCAGACATCATCCACTGTAGTGTCACTTCAACACTTTGTAGGACTTAATTTTAATGTAGGTTTTAAAAGGAAAGGAGAAACGGTCAAGAGTTTTAACTGCAGAGCGTGAAAGCCTCTTAGGAGAGCCGGCTGGAGTCATTTGAAAGGGACAAAAAGGGAAGGAAAGATGTTCCCTTAGTCAGGTGGAGAGATAGCTGAGTTGCCCGCGTGTCAGCACAAGCCGTCTGCTGAGCCCACACACACACTCCTCGATGTCCAAGTGAAAAGTTGCATTTTGCACCGACTCAATCTTCCACAGGCTTAAGTTTCCCTGCGGACCATCTCACTAAGCCTCATGACATCCTCGCTTCCCTCCACTTCCCGCCTCTATTTCCAGACAACTTTATTACAAACGATCCAAAAATGTCTCTCTTACCCCCGCAGCACACATCCTGCTTTGTAACTTGCTTATCATCCTTTCTCTCATCGCTCTCTCCGATTTCTTCTTCTCTTGCAGTGTATAACCGACACGCTGAGGGCGAGGGGCATAAACGTGTCCACCTCCCTGCCGGATGATGTGCTGGATTTTGTCAGGAGGCATCCTATGATGTCCCAGCAGGTCCAGCCCTCAGACAGACGTCCGCTGCTGTTCAGCAGGACCACAGACTACACACACATGGCTGTGCACATGATAGAAGGCTTAGACGGACAAACATACCATCTATTATATATGGGCACAGGTGTGTATGGAAGTATGCCAAATATTAACTCTGTGAACCACTGAAGGAATAGTTGGAAATATGTTTCACTTTTAGGACAGTACGCTCTTTGCCAAAGCCGTTTGCATGAGGGATTGGAGAAAAAATCAATACAGTATAGTATCACAATATTTTGTTTGGTGATATATCAAATCATCTCATTTATCGAGTCTCGAATTTTTCAAATTAATTGCTAATATAAAGTCAAATCTATGATAATGGAGAAAATAAAATCAAGTGTTTGTCCAGTGATGTTGGCAGAGGTGACTTTTTGAGCAGGAGAAAGTTAGTTTAATAAATATATATATAAGGTTTGCAAGATGTGCTTCATGGAAATAAAATACTGTGTAAGTAAGACAAACATAAACAGGAAAGACAAATGCTAAATTAGCTAAACAGTTGAAAAAATTATATGAATCGCAATATATTGTATCACACAATGTTAAAAATTATGGTACCGTGGCTCAAGTATCGTGATAATATCGTATCGTGGGGCCACTAGTGATTCCTACCTCTAATTTGCATCCAATCTTAGCTCAAAGACTGAAAAGAGGGATCTGGCCCCTTCAAAAAATTACGACACTTGAAAAAATTTCTTTTATGAGTGATTATCTTCTGTTTCCTTTTATGAGTGATCGCAAAGAGACTTTCTAAGCTGTTTTGTTTCCATGGCTGGGCTACCTGCAACAAATACTGGTGTTCCTATTAGACATACTTCTTAGTTCTCTAGGCAGCTTCATTTCCACATTTTGACAATTTTTGAAAACGGGTGAAAAAACATGGGAGGGAAGTGTTGCTCCATCGGTTTTTTGAGGGGAGTTCAATATTTATTTCAAAGCTACACCCAAGTCTGGTCCAGATAGTTGTGAAACTTCCTTTTTTAATGCTGAAACTTCCCTGCATCTGGCTCGCCAAAGGTCAGTCCTGGGCTTCATTTTTGCACATTTCCTGTGTTGAAAACTTCTCATTAGTTTTATCTCCAGGGTACCTACACAAGTATGGAAATGACGGAAAAGTATGGAAGTAATTTGATCAATTTCCAGGTCTTAAAAAGTATGGTAAATGAAAAATAAAGTATGGAAAAATATTTAGGTTTTCAGACTATTACCACAGTAAAACAATACTATTTTCTAAAATAGAGAAGAAGTTTTTTCCAATAATAATTCTAAAAAGTAGGGTATGGTAAAGTATGGAAATTACAACTGTGTAGGAACCCTGTATATAAGAACTGGGCCTCTTCTACTGCGTGTTTGAACCACCATGACTGCATGAGTCCTCACAAATTAAAAAGGCAAGAAAGGGTTTTGAAAAAGTTCATCACATTTGCAAAAGTCAATAGTAATATGTCTTTGCAATGTCAGCAGAAAAACAGTGACACTCAGTGTGCAGTTCAGGCTCCTTCATGGTTGTGTTGTGCGAAGCTTTAATCTTTCTCCTCTTTGTTTGTGTTGTGCAGATGAAGGATGGTTACACAAAGCAGTAGAAGTTAAGGGTCAGCTGCACATCATCGAGGAGCTTCAGGTCTTTGAGGAACCGCAACCTATCAACAATCTGCAGATATCTGCTGAACAGGTAGAATGTCTTAACCGCACTTTCAAATCCACACAGATATTCAAATAGAAATGACTATTCTTCAGTGTTAAAATCCTCTCCCTCTGTTGCGCACAGATGAGTGTGTACGTGAGCTCCCCCTCAGGCGTGGCGCAGCTCCCCCTCTCTTATTGCGCCAGATACTCTACCTGCTACGACTGCATCTTTTCCAGAGACCCTCACTGCGCCTGGAATGGAAAGCAATGTGTGGACATCACGTCACAGGCAAAAACGTGGGTACTGACGGGTTTATGTGTGTTTGTTATTGGATCAGGTGATTAGAGCGCTGCAGGTGCCCTTTTGTGTGTTTGATTTGACTAACTTTAAGTAACGCTGTGCCCTGTCACGGTGTTGACACCATGAACTATTGCATAACCGCAGTGTTGGCAGAAACTTGATGCTAGCTGTGATAGTAAACATAGCGTGCAGCTGTGTACTTAAAGTGTACTGATTAATCTGGATAGATCTGCTCACCGTGTAAAAACATGTTATGGATGCAGCAACTGAAATAAGAGACACTAATACAGTGGTTCTCAATCCATCCTCGACACACCTGATTCAAATGATCAGCTCGTTATCAAGCTCTGTGCCGCTTAATAACGAGCTGATCATTTGAATCAGGTGTGTTGGAGCAGGGAAACATCCAAAAAATACATGACATCAAAAATACACAATATTCCTTCTGTTAAAGCAACTATGTGGTTCTTTTTGGCACACATTTGCTTATTGTTGTGTTTTCTTCACTTTACAGATCTGCTTTAATCCAAGATATCCAACACGGGAGGAGCGGATGTGAGAACACTCAAGACGGTAAGAAGAAACCTCATCATGTGCAAGTGCGGCTGCTCCTAAAAAACGCAATGAATGATAAAAGGCAGATAGAAAACAGAGAACGTAAGGAGGAACTTAAAAGACGTACAGTTGTCATCAGACGACACGAAGGCCTCTTTGAAAGTTGATTATGCGCACCGCGTTTGCAAAATCCTCTTCTCCCCTCTTTAATCACATTTTTGCCATCTCCGGAGAGAAATCTGTTTGATATTCAAGTCAGGCTAATGCCTCCTCTCAGTTCACTCTTTCAATCTGATAAAATATAGAAACTTCTGCCCCACACGTTCGTTTGCTTCTATTCAAGGTGATATGATTGCAGGGATTTTAATGGTAGAGATAATGCTTTATTAACTTTGTGTAACCTTTGATAAATGAAGAGGATGTCAAGCAATTAACATGCAAAATAAGTCAGAGGCTAAGTTTTAGGTTCTCATGTCAAGTAATGTGAGATCATTGAGTGTGGTTCAATGTGTGTGTTTCAGTTGTAAATCGTCGCCGCTCTGTGCGTGTCGGCGATGACGTGCTGCTGCAGTGTGAGCTCAGCTCCAACCTGGCGACTCCGCTCTGGACTCTGGATGACAGCGAGCTGCAGGGCTACGGCCTCAACTCTGGCTTCAGAACCGGCACAGATGGCCTGCTGATCATCGAGGCCCGGCAGGACCAGAGCGGACTCTACACCTGTTACGCCGTTGAGAACAGCGTCAAGATCGCCATAGTTACCTACAATGTCACCATTGGTCTGGACCTGCCACCGTCACCACCTGTTGAGCCAACTGAAGACTCCAACAGTCTCCTCCCCACTCTGCCGCCACCAACGCAGCATCCTCGGTCTGAGAGGCCCGTCCCTCCATCTGCATCCTCTCTCCTCCCCCACTCAGAGCTGCTCACCCCCAGAAACATGAAGGCCATGTACTTGTCCCTCATTACGATCCTCGGAGGTCTGTGCATGGTCCTCACTGTGGTCCTCGTCTACGTCGGCTTCTGCCTGCGGGTTGGAAACAGAGGGAAGTACTCCCTACGTGCTGCAGCTGCCGCCTACCCCACCAAGAGGCACAATCGAAACAGGAAACAAAGCAGAAACTCCGCACACATGGAGCTGAAGACGATCTCCAGTCACTGCAATGGCAACGGGGTTTGTAACGGAGTTTCAAAGAAGCACAACGGGGACTTCCAGGAGGGAGGCTTCCTCCAAATCGTCCCAGGTGAGGGTCACACATTGCCCAACAAAGAGCCTCCTCCTCCAGCCCCTCCTCTGCCTCCAACTCCCCTCCTTCCCTCTCCAGAGTGCGAGTTCCCAAACGGGCTGTCGGCCACGCTGCCCAGCGTCCTGAGGAGGATGAACGGCAACAGCTACGTGCTGCTGAGGCAAAGCGACTCTGAAAACACGTCACCACTTTGTTACTCCTTCTCTGAGGAGCTTAACAAGATCTTAGAGAAGAGGAAACACACTCAGCTGCTGCCAAGGCCAGACGAGAGCTCTGTGTAGACTTGTATAGCTCCCCCTGTGGTGGGAGGACTGTTGTGTTTTTACCTGGTGCTGAAGTGCCTGGCATATGACTCATATTTGCTCAGACTGAAGCAACAAGAGTTTTATCTACATTCTTTCTTTTGGATTTTTTTAACAGTCAACAAGGAGACATTCCAGCTCACTCAGACTTTGACCTGTTTGTTATTGATCACTCACAAATTTTGCAACCGCTTACAAGAGAGGATTTATAATTCCAGCAAATCAAGGATCAAGAATAAACATCTACCTCATCTCGGTACTACTCTGAAGGACACGCACATTGAGTCCAGTCTCATCTGCAGAAACATCTCTGATCTACAAAGCTCAAAGACGGACCCACGGCCTCTGACAAAGAGCAGAGCCCCACAGGAATATAAATACATGTGAAGACTTCTGCTGAGAGGCGGCCATATTTGGCTGGATTTCAAATGGAGGGCAGCTAGCCAAAGTTTGTTTGCACTAACAAGTGCACAGATGGCCTATGCATTTTTAAACCATGACATTCACACTTTATAAATATTGAGGGAGACGGACACGGCGACCGAGGGGATTTGGTTGGCGATGATTTTTTTTTTTAACTGGCTCAACCAAATGACATAAAAAACACTAATCCATGACAGCACATTAAACTCAAAACCAGCCTTCATTGAGAAATTTGAACTAATAATTTAATAATTTTTTAAGGTCTAACGTTGTTTTGGATGAACCTTAGTGTTAAAAAATGGTAAGAAAAAATAAATATATGTACCTGTAACCTTTGACTGCCATTTCTAACATTTATGGGTTCAGCTCATAGTAGAGGGTATCGCTTAAAAACGGCCTTATGAAGGCTTATGTTTGCTTCTATTTATGTGTTTCAGATAAACGGCCATTTAACATAATGTGAATTCATTTAACATGTTATCACAATTTTCCAAAACTAAACAGATAAAGAAATAGTGTAAAGTAACTTTTGCACTACATAAGAAATATGAAGTAGTGATTATTTTGCCACGAGGTCGATGACAACCTGAAAAAAAAGACAGTATTATTTATTGAAATGCACTTTTCAGTCCACTTTTAGAGCTCCTGGGGGAGTTAATGGACACTCGTTCAGACCTTGACTCGGGGCGCAGAAGGAGCAGGAGGAGCTTTTTTTTTTTATCGTCTGTCTCTCAGTTTGAAGAGCTGCATGCGTCTGCTGGACTTTGTTTGACACGAGTGGATTAGGAGGAAACATTGACTGTTTCAGATGAGCCCAAACCTGCTGCCGACAGAGAGGCAACCAGCAGGAGAGTCGAACACAAAGTGCAGGACTGTGAGGAAAAGCAAAGAGGAGCCAAAACAATCCAAGGTACAGAATGTTTTTATCTCCCTACACTTCTTTTGCCAAACAAGCACTTACAGAAATGGACCCTAATGTAGGTGCATTTGGCACCGGACCAATGTTTTTAAGACATGACGGCTTAAAATGCTTAATGTACAATGTTACCTTACAGTTTAATAGATTTGAATTCATTTGTATGCCGACAGCTCGTTTATCCGACAGTGCGGCGGTTCTTTAATATGTTGTACAAGTTTGAGTTCAAAGGTGACCGAATTAAAATGTCTGCGACGGTCTGATTCACAGATGAACACAACCACTTAACAATCTGACAGCATATCTTATTAATAAGAGGAATCCAAGCATGAAGGACATTGGTGCATAAATAAAGAGCTACATTTCTATAAATCAGTCCGACTCCCAGGTTCTGAGCAAATACTTGAGCAGCCTTATCTTTCCAAAAAACGAGAAAAGTCTGGTTCCTGAATATCAGGCTGTTTATTTTCCTTCAGCGTGTCCTCTCGCTGTTGTCCTCCTGTCAGAGGGCAGTGTTAATTAAACACCCATCTTATGACAAGTCTGACCTTATTGCTGACGGCAGGAGAGACAGACAGACCGAGTTAAAGATCTCCTCCGAGATCCAGAGCATAAAACACTCTCAAGCTCCCAATTATTTTCTCATGACCTCAGGCGCAGTCTGGGGTTTTGTATTCTATCGCTGCATGTCACAAAAGAAGCTGTCAGGAATACTATGTGTGCTTATATGCTCACAAGGCAAAGCAGCTTATATGTTTCCATAGGCGGTTCTATGGCACTCGTGCATAGATTGTATCTAACAAGCCAGCAGTGTAAGGACGCTCCTGCTGATGCGGGTTTTTGCAAAGCACAACACTTGAAGCTCTGCAGTCAGTGGCACTGATCAAAGAGATGAAAGAAGACGGACGTGGCTTCACGACGAGCACATTAAAAATATTCATTATTGCCCTTAGACCTCATTACAAAGCAGAGCGCAAAATGAAATCAAGTTTCTTATTCCATATTCCTGACAGCGCCTCCGATCAGCGTCGGTTAATTGTAAAAATGTCGAGCGTTGTTTGCTTTCGTGATAACATACTGCCGACTCCTAATGCAGGATTAATGTCTTTGTTTCTCCGCCTCTTTTGTTTGCAGGTCTGATGAGCATGGGTCAGTTCCTTAATTTCATTCCTGAGGACACCAACTCCCAACCAGCCTCAGATGCCACAGCCTGCTGCAAAGATGCTCTTTTAATGAGCAGTCAAATGAAATCCACCATCATTAGCGGACAGCTGAGTCAGAAGAGAAAGAGCGGCTGGATAAGGGCTACAGCATGAAAGTCTCTGCACCTACAGCCCCGCTCACTCACAGTTGGAATAAAAATTGTCGACTGCAGTAACTCACAGCGCAATACTTTTCTCTTTGAGTGTTCTCGCCTCGGTGCGAACTCTTTTGACCAAAACTACAGACTCGGACTCTCCTATCACACCTGCTGCATGGATTATTTTCAACTCTTCCCTCTCTCTTTCCTAAAGTTAAGAAAACAAAGACAACTCTCCTTAATTTTAACATTAAAAGTGCCAAGGTTGATGTTCAAAGCCCTTCTTCATGCAAAAACCAGATGGGAAACGTTGAGTGAGGCTTATTTATTTTTAAAACCTTGTACATTATGTTGTTGTTGGAAGTTATTGTCTATGTTGTTGTTTTTAAGAGCCACTTGTAAATCACCTCCCCGGTGTTCAAGTTGCCTGTGTTGCACAAAATGTGATTAATAGGAGCACGGTAGCCGAGAGCATGCAAAGGCTGTACCAGCACATCATCCAATATGTATAACCTAGAGGAAAATTACACCAGTTAATCTTTTAACTATAACCTCTTTAAAATGCATCATTAAGCTTTTCTGTCGCTTTAATGCCCACATATTTCTATTTGCATGTTACACCCAGTTTGTGCACAAAGCAGATCTTTTACTAAACAAACAAGAGAATAACAGGGCAGTGAGTTCCTTCACATTTCAAAGAGTTCAAATAAAACTTTGTACTTAAACCTTCCCCTCGATCCTTTCTTCATTTCTTGTGTTGAGTTACAAAATCCACCCGTGAGCTGGCAAATACAGGAGTTAACATGATCATAGTTTTATAAAAGGGCAGCTGTCCTTGAATCCAAGTCCAAGTTTTGATTTGATCCCTCAGAAATGCCACCGTCAACGTATAAGACATAGTTTTCTATCATCCATTTGACCTTTTCTTATGTCCCTGGGCTCTAGGGAAACACCCAGCTTTCAGACAATAACTGCTGTTGGGATATATAACCGGCAGCATGACAAAACAGCCATAAATAGGACAGCCGTGTCATACATACGCAGACAAACGCAGCCACAGGGCGACTTGTAAAAAAGCCAGGTACCTGCAGTGCTTGACATGTGATTAACAGGCTGTCATGCCTGGCGTGTTATTTATGTAATGCTGAATCAGTTTAATCAGGGTCAACGGGGAGCGCTTCTTCTGCCTTCAGAGTGGCAGAGGAGAATATTTTTCATCTTAGTCATTTCAAGTGCGCAGATCAAATAAGATGATGCTTTTTTAATGAGATGTGTGCGCCTATGTCAGATCCATAAAATCAACACTGACTTCAAAGTCTTATTTTATGTAAGCTGATGAAAATCGTGACAGTGAAGTTTAGGGTAAGTGCTGCAAATTCAATGATGAGGTGAATCACTTCAGGCAGTGGTTTCTATTAAATGTGATCAACATATTGGAAAGTTTAGATAATTACAAGAAAAAAGAAACTCTTGAAAACACACTTTTTTTTTCTTATATTTGATGTTGATGCTCGACAGATGAGTTTGCCCCAAGCTGAGATATCACAGAAATTAGTTTTCATGCAATTTCTTTCATACATCCCAGAGGATACACCACACTAGCTTCACAGATCAGGATTGATCTTTATAATTTTTTACTTAAATTTCTCAAGGATAAGAGGTTTTGCCTCAAAACAGTCAGATTGTAATTGTTCTACAATTCAGAGATTGCAGGACCCAGGTTTGGCAGGATCTTCTGTTTACAATTTAGCTCCTGATACTCTTCCCCTCACTACCATAGACACAACATACATAGATGCCTCATTGTGTGCTAGAGCAGAAGAAAAACTTGCTAGCACATAGCACCAGCTAGCTTGACCTGTTATTTTGGCTCCAACTGAATGAGACAGTCTATAGATGTGGCAGTCTTTAAATCCTACATTCCAAGTATGCAGCCTCATGCTGACATTAAACTGTGTGTATTATAAAAGCACCTGTTGATTCTGTGACTCTGCCCTTCTGCAGCGTCTCAGTATTAAGACTTAATTTTCTCTACTTGGGTCGCCATGCCAAGAGATTAACATGTAAACTCTATCAAAGCGTTTATAGTATCTGATATTGTGATTGATTTGCACCAAATGTCCCTTCCAGAAACTCCAAATAAAGTGAAAACACAAAAGAGTGCTCTTTGGTTGAAGCTAGCGTAAGCAAGACAAGCTAAGGCAACCCACTGAGCAATAGATGGCTTTTAGATGTCTAGTTTTTTTTTTTTTTTTAATACCTAATTTCAACCTTCTAGATTCTGTATATTTTTAGACAGAATTTAGACGTTGCACTGTAACCCATTATTCGATAACTATTTATTTGAAAAAGCAACTGTACTTAACAAAGTACAGTAATACTTAACCAAAATAATTATGATAGCCGTCGAGCAATATACAGTGTAGTATAGATATAGTCCAGATTGAGATTTAGTCTAATCCTGGTCTAAATTTAGATGACTAAAAAAACTCTCATTTTTAGATGTGTGGTAGCCTGATTTTAGACCAGTCGTCTAGGCCACATCTAGACGTCTATTGATCTCTTTTAGACCAAAAAAATGCTCAGTGGGGAAAGTTAGATTCAGACATTTGGTTTATTTCACAAATCAAAGTGTAAACACTTCAAGAGTGATACAGTTGATGGTTTTGTGAAAAGAGAAGTTTGATTTAGTCCCCTTCCTTAGTTATGAAAGTCTCTCTAGACTAAACTCAAGGTGATGAGATAAATTGAAAAGAGACTTTCATTTCAGCAGTCCTCACTCTTAATTTTCAATTATATGTTGTATTTGTTTTGTTACTGTTCAGACACACTGACAGCAAATCTGTTTGTGCTATTCATACAACTCTCCATCTCAACAACCCGTCAGGTAACTTAATCTGGGATTACAACATCTTTTTACGCCCTGAACTAGATTTACACCTCGGAGAAAAATTACTTCCACTGATCTTCTTTCTTTTTTGTGATACCAGGTTGTAGATAAACATCATCTCAGGAGAGACAGATGAAGGAGCCTACAGTGACAGATGAAAATGAAAAATAGATTTTTGCTTGCAGACATCAATCACATATCAAGGTAACCTTCAGTGAGACGCAGTAAAAAGAGATAGGAGGTGTGGGAATCATATCTGTATGGTTGATAGGTCCCTCTCCTCTTGTTCTTTATTTTTTGTTCCTGCAGGCTCTATTATCCCTGCTCCTCTTTGTCTTGTTTATTCATTGTTCTGAATTCACAGTGAACAGAGGTGCTTTTGATTCTCTCTGAGAGGGTTTGATAAACCGCAATCGTGACATGACACACCTATGAGACATGTGCGTCCTGAGACGTTGACAGTAGAAGTCAAGAAGGTACTCAACGAGAACTCAACAAGTCAGTGACTCATGATGAGGCTAGAGAGGACAAATATCTTTAACGTGACTTTCTAGTAGTTGTTGTGAAACACTTGCTTCTTTGCAAAGACAACAACAGCAGAGGTGACCTGAAAGTTCATATTTAGACATCTCTTTCCCCCCATTTAGCTCCCAAACTTTAAACTCAACAAGTCAGTCCAACAAGTCAGTGATTCATGGTGATCTGAGAGAGGACAAATATCTTTAACGTGACTTTCTAGTAGTTGTTGCGAAACACTTGCTTCTTTGCAGAGACAACAACAGCAGAGGTGACCTGAAAGTTCATATTTAGGCGTCTCTTACCCCCCATTTAGCTCCCAAACTTTAAACGCACTTTCCTAAACCCTCCATCTGTCGCCTGGATGTTTGCTTCTGATATAGATGTGGTATTAAAATTTTGACAGTAGGGATGAATTAAGAGGATCCGGAGCCTTAAGCAAAGTACAGCTAATGCTACTTGAACAAGTGTGACACAAAGTCATCTGAAGTCCCCCTACTGCGGTGTCGCATCTCAGAAAAAAGGATGAACAAGTACGGGAAAATCAAGTGTTGTACCCATTCAGAAAGCAAATCCAGACTACATTGTATATCTGTGTGCGGTCATTGTAAGGCTAACAATATCCCACATGAACAGGCTCATACTGTCGGTCTCTGTTTCCACTCTGAGACACTTTTGTGGATGTCGCCATCATGGAAAAGCCTGTCAATTGAACGAACAAAAGGGAAGTGTGTCACTCCACACTTTTCTTCCCCCAAAACAAACAGATACTGTTGCTGGTTCATGCCTCCTCCCAGACCGGTTTGACACTAGATAAAGCCACACACTTTAGCCATCACACTCCACACACACACACATATACACACACTCAAACACACACTGCCAAATCAATCAGCTGCTTTATCTGCTCCTTCCACTTGACTCGACTGTTTCCTTCGACTGTCTGTCACAGTTTTCTCCGGACAAAGACACACGCCTGTCAAACTCACTCTGGATGGAGTCTACGGTAAAACCAGATAAACCTGCAGGAGTTTGAAGAGAAATTTCAACAACAAACTGGGTTAATTAGAGGAGATTAAAATACTAGACTTCTATTTAAAGCTTATTGAGTTTATCATTATCGTCGCCAGGCTGAATGAAATACTCAAGGATTTTGCTGTCACCCAAACAGCAGACAGTTCTCTTAGATTTTCGCCGACAGCAACCAACAAAATCAATATGAAGGCAGCTTCTTCAAAACAAAATGCATTAAAAGATGCCCTGTGGGTTTCTGGTTGTGCAGGAGGAAGTAACAGGAGAAGAAAATAAATGCTGTAGCCACAAGAAAAGGGCACAGACACACCCTGGTTACTGTGTCCTATAGTGACACGTAACCTGGGCAATCAGCACAGTCACTCACAAACACACTCACGCTTGTGTGTCACATGTTTCTTTGGGATTACACTTTCACTTAAAGTAGATGTTTTGATTGTAGATGAGTTTCTGTTTACGTTGAAACTTTGACACAAACAAAAACTGGTTCTCAAACATGATTTTCTTCTCCTATTTAAGTAAAATTAAAGATAATAAGAAACATTTTTTTATCAGACTTGCAGTGATAAATCAATTTGAGAGATACCCAGGACCTTAGTTAATAATTCAAACAAGATAAGGCATATTTTGTTGATTTTTTTTGTTTGGCTACTTGTTGAAGGCAGCTTATTACGTGTGTGAGATCTTGAAAAGTGTGTGTAAAGGGTAAAGGTGTTACAAGGTGTTCACAGGAGCCCTTACAAAAACAGATTTGGTCAAACACAGACAGTTGTTGCTCCGGTGTTGTGTATTCATGCAGATGTCGCAGACACGTCTGTAAACACAAACATCAGGCTGAATTTGACTTTTGGACTTTTGACAGGGTGTAAACATCCTCCAGGCCTGTGCACATGCCTCGTCTCTCTTTGATGTGTGAAACTGGACGGACAGAAAAGCGCCTGAGGAAGCTGCGCTGCAAGTTTTGGTTGAATGTTTGTCGTGTGTGTCAGTATAATAACTGTGCTCTACTACAAGTGTGTGTCTTTGTGTGTGTTCAGGTGTCTGTATTGCTCAAGGCTATGCACTGGCTTCACTTTTGGACTCTGATCTCATTCTTATTCAATCAATCTTACACCTGTGGCGCCACCTAGTGATGATCTGTTTTCTAGTAATGCCAGCTGTAATTCTCTAATTCACCAACAGAGGTCATCAACAGTCTGTTTATGGGTCATCCTCAACTCTCAGCTCTCCTTGTTTAAACCCTTAAACTCACTGCAAACATACTTGATTACTCAAATTTGCCTTAAAGACCCTTTTTTTTTCTTTTTTACCCACCTGCGTTTCTTTGATTGTGTTCCCCTGTTTGCAGGACACACAGGATGTTCTTGTCTGAGATCAAACAGCTGTAGAGATAATCTGAGGGAGACACAACAAGCAGAGATGAAAGTAATCTAATTGTATTTTATAAAGTGTGTGTGTATCTGTATTAAGTGTGTGTTTATCTAGTCCAGTAAAGCTTTCACTGCTTGTCTGGCTGGACAACATCTGGCCTGAAGGAGCAGGATTACCTCTGTGTGTGTCTGTGTGTTTGACGTCGAGTGGAAACAAAGCAGGCCAAATGTTAGTGAGTCACTGAATCACGAGATGAGATGATTTCCTTTGATTGTCTGACTCTCCTGTTTTACTTTCTACAAGCCTGTCTGGCAAAACCAGCCTGCAGGTTTGCAAAGCGAGTAGCAGACTGACCCTGGCCTCAATCTCTCATGTCTGCAGGAATCCAACCTGATGAATGTTGAACAACAATGAAGCTGAGCTCCTGCCAGCTCCAGAGGCGTTTTGCCATAACTGACCGTGGCCTCTGACCCCTCCTGTGAAAAAAACAAGAAAAAGGCCTCGGGCAGGTTTCAAACATTAAAAACATGAAGCATATGACTTTCATCGTATGGAAAATTACTTACAAGTTGACAAGCGTATCTAATTCACAATTGATCATCAAATCAGGCCTACACAGTTTACACAAATCAAAGCTTTGTTACGGGAGGCACAGTGGTGTAGTGGTTAGCACTGTCGCCTCACAGCAAGAAGGTCATGGGTTCGAATCCGAGTCTGGGTGTTTCTGTGTGGAGTTTTCATATTCTCCATGTGTCTGCGTGGGTTTACTCTGAGTACTCTGGTTTCCTCCCACATCCCAAAAATATGCAGAAGTGGGTTTAGGTTAATTAGCCACTTTTAAATTACCCGTGGGTGTGGATGGTTGTTTATCTCTTTATGTCAGCCCTGTGATGAACAGGAGACTTGTCCAGGGTGTCCCTCTTCGGCTGAAGATGCTCCAGTCCCCCCTGTGACCCGGGGAACAGGAATAAGCAGTAGAAAATGGATGGATGGAAAGATTCATTACACACAGTCTCATGTTGTTTGTGAGCATGAGATTTTAAATCAGTGCTGCTGACCCTCTTTCTCTAATCCAACAGGTGCCAGTCTGGTTGAACTGGCCAATCAGAGGCCACACCTGCAATGATCAACAATCAAACCCATAATCACATCCACACTCAGCAGGGGAGGAGACACAGTTGCACAATACAACAACAACACATCAAATATATGACCCAATTTGGACGGTTAGAAAGGAGTCTTTTTCCATTTAAGTTCCAACTCCGACAAGGCAAACAACTCATGACTTGGGATTTTGGGGTGGCCGATCAGATAACCACCCATAGGCTAACCTTCTGAATGCACCCCTGTCTAATGGACAGTCGGAAAATAATACTGAGCACTGAAACACACATGTATACATTTGGTGGAAGAAGTACTGAGAACTTAATCATAATGCATCAGATTTCATATAGCACTTTATCAGAGACCCTCAAAGCACTTTACATTAGATACATCATTCATTCACTCACACAGTCACACCTTGGTGGTAGTAAATTACCTTAGTAGTCACAGCTGTCTACAGCCTCTCCGACCACCGCCACACAACACTCACAACTATACACCAGTGGAGGACACATACCGGGAGCAAGGTGGGTTAAGTGTCTTGCCCAAGGACAGAACAGACAGACTAGGGATAGGACGGGATTAAAACCACCAACCTTCCGGTTATTGGACGACTGCTCTACCTCCTGAGCTTCTGCCACCCTTAGACCTAGACTGCAAATATTATCAGCAATAATGTGATTTAAAAGTACAGATACCGATAACAAGTAATACTCTAATGGTGAGCTAGAAGGTCAGTAGAAAACACTATACTGAAACTTAATGAAGTTTCTCTACATTAAGAAATAAGACAGTGTAACTTTTTGGGGGTAATCCCAGAGTATTTTTATTCTCAGCTCCTGTTAGCTTCGGAAAACTAAGGAGACACTGAGAGGTTAATGTGATTTATTTCTAAAGAATTCAACTTTTAAACCAAGAGGTGAAGAATGTGTTTATCTTCCTTCTCCGCAGTGATAATCTTATTCATAGTCTGGAGAATCCCATTCAGTATTGGTAAAGAAAAGCATTGGGCTGAAGTGATAAATCTTTTACTGGGAGGGGAAGAGACAGATTTGCTAAATAATACACATTTGATAGAAAGTTTAACCTCATTTGCAGCGTAGCACGGTCACATGGCTCGGTGCAATCCCACCTTGCTAACTGGAGGAGAAGTTAGATTGGTGGCTGCTTAACTGACCGGAAAGCTTCCTTGTTGAACACCACGTTCCCTCCATGCATAAATTTAATCTTGCTAGCAGAATATCAAATCTCTCTCCAACTGGTGTGAGCACAGGGCAAATGAATGAGACAAGACACAATCAATGAGACAATACACACACACACATACACACACACATTCACACACACATTGAATCTGTCATGGGGTCCCTGCTCTTGTTTCACTGAGTGTGAAACACAATCAACAGCAGGAAGGAAAGGCAATTTCAGGCTTCAGCGACGAGAACACTTGTCTGTATTTCAGTGTCATTCTTGTTTAGGGTGGATGGAGGAGTCAGACATTTGGTGTGTGTGTCGGTGTGTGTCTGTGTGCACGCTAATGCACGCGTGTCTCATTTCTGCTGACTTATAACATTTCTTGCCGCCTTCCATCATTTCGTCCTGTCATTTATTGGAAGCACATGCTGCCAGCGCTGTCTGTGCGTCAATACTCTGTCGCTGCATTTTTCCACCAGAAAAATCTTTGCTGATGAAACTCGCTGTAACTTTGGTATCACACTAAAAAAAACAGAGAGCGCCCTCCTCTGGTACATGTGAACCCAATCATGTATTGTGCCATAAGAGCTTAAAGGGTTGACACTGTGGTCCTTCGGCAAAATGGTCCCCGGTTTGAACCTCTAGCCAACAGGGGCCTTATTGTGCAGGGATCCACGTTCTTCCTGTGCAGGTACACCAGCTTCCCTCCTTTGTCCCCAAATGTGCTGATTTAGTTGACTGATGACTCTGAGGCCTTGCCAACATGGAGAGGGTATTTTTAAAAATGGAGCTTTTTCAGTACATGTTGGCCTTTTGTACACAAACAGAGTTTTAGGTCACTAAAGATGGTGGTAAAAAAACAACCTCCATGATGGAGACTTTTAAATTATTCCACTCTCTCTGTGTGTCCATGTGGGCACCAAAAACAAAAGCTTTAAAAGAACCTGACGCTATTATCTCACCTTGTACTTGGTTTAATAGCATTGCGCAGGGAAAACTAACTTTTTTTTATCATTGTAGCACAGTGCTAGGGCACATAAATATATCATGCTTTTTTTAATCGTCCACTCTGTCAACACCATGAAGATGATCAGCAGGCATGCATGCGCAGTGTTCTACCATGGTGTTTGTGGGTTGTGATGGACTGATTACACATTATCACCACTTACTGGTCTGGCATGCAAGTCTAAGTACTGTGAAACTGGCTCACCAGTTGTGGTGTAGAAAGAAGGCGTTTTTGCAGACATGACTGATTTGAGTTTTTTTAACCACAGTTTGGACGGCACAAGTCCAGTGGATTCAAATTTGGATTATGCGCCAGTAAAAATTTCAAAATTAGCTAAAACAAAAGATTAAAATCACTGTTTTTGGTCCATGTGTTACACTATTATGCTAGACAAAGAGATATTGTTGGGTGTATGAAATGGTGCATAACTGTGTGCAAATATGCGTGAAGTGTTCGCTGTAGGTTTTAGTTTGTACTTAGGTCTTTAATGAGTGTGTGTGAGTGTGTGGATGGTGCATGTGTGTGTTTGTGTGCATATTTAACTGAGTTACAGGATCCAGCTCCAATCCCAGATTACAGCTCCTCTTCTCTGCATTTATCTCCCGGCGGACCATCTGAGAGGCAACAGAGGGGTTTGACCCACTTAAACACACACACATGCACACACACACACACACACACACACACACACACAAAGAGCACACCAAACTGCAGCAGATTATAATGAGGAAATGAGCGTGTGTGAGATACAGCTCTTCTGATTGATTAACAGAAACAACAGAAGCAGGTGGCGAGTCAGCAGGGAGCAATTCATGACTTCGGAGTGAGAGTTTGTGAGTCCACTTGTTACCTTCACCTCAGATTCAGTGATGCATGCTCCTGTGAGATCTGCATTGCAGCATCTTCCTGATAATTATCATCAGTACCTGCATGATGCAGTTAGCAACACGGCTAATGAGGACTCATCACTTTACCGTTAGATGTGTCACTTTCTATCACAGGGCAAAAAAGCAATTGACTTTAGTCAGGTGTATCAGTGGAGCCTCACATTGGGTTATTTTAGGAGGGATTACAGAATAAATGTAAACTGCAGTTCTTGATTTTTCCTGTATTACCACTGTTCACATATATGACAGCCCAGAGCAACACTTGATGTACTTATATTTTCCATTATGAGCTGCTTTCAACTCATCTCCAAATCTTGACTTCAAAGTCACTCCAATCCCAAACAAACACAGAAATGCGCTTTACCCACCCCATTACTGAAGCCAATGGCTGCAGGACATGTGATGGTCTGTTGATTTGCTATGAAATATCCTGTTACAAGATAAAGAGGATAAATCGATCCAGTATCATGGGGAGAACTATTTTGGTAATCCTAAGATTACATGGAATAATATTGAAGAGTTTGAGAAAACAGCTGAAATGAACTCATGACCACAGGGAACAAATATCTTGGTTTCATTCATTGTTGCGGCTTTGCTAGTACCTTTAAAAAGTCGCTTGAGGCAGAGACTAGGTCCTGTATATTTGTGTGACACGCTGCTGCTGTTCCAAAGAAGCACACAGTTCATTAAAGTTTTCGGAGCTTTAATATCAGAAAAAAAACGCATCCACAATCCCCAATGATTACACACGCACATCCGATGTAATATGTGTACACTCTGCGACGTGTATCATAGCAAACAAAGAACATAAAGCACGGTCAACAAAAATGACGGCTACCTAGGCTCACCTCTCCACCCCAGTGCAGGTAAGACCGCCCCTGATAGAAACTACTGGCTTTAAAACACAGTGCTCACGTGACCCAAACCCAGCGAAACCAATACCACCCAGACAGAAGTAACTGAACACAGGATCACTAATAAGCAAAGCGACATTATGGCTCCAAGTAGAGATCTCAGGAAAACTGCTAAAATCAGCGTGTTATCTTGAGCTAATAAGGGCTGTTTTCGTGAGTATAATAGGCTGGTTTTGGAGAACACAACCATAAATTACTTGTTATCACAAGTAACAAGGAAACTGGATATGTGTATCTGTGCCTGCTAAGAGAGACAGAAAAAAAATCTTGTTTTTGTCTTTGGATATTTTGCAGCAATTTCTAGTTTCACACTCATCCAACTAGACCTACTACTGCACATCCTCCTTTGTTTGAAAAATCCTTAGTCAACCCTTAAGCATTATTTCCACAGATGTTTTTTTCAATTTAACAATTTATTATACCAATATTTATTTAGCCAATGTGTTGTTTGTGTACTTTAAATTCTGTATTTTTATAAAACTGAGCAGTAACAATCACATTCTTGCTTTTACTCAGATTATTTCAGTTCATCACATACAAACTGTTTAAAGTCTGTATGTTTATAATCTGTTTCAGTATTAAGGAGCTCCTTTGTCAGTTTTGACCTCTTTGAAGGCTGATATCATGCATCCTTACATTGCACTCCTCTAGTTTCCCTCCTCTCCCATCCAAACATGCAAAGCAGCTGCACATGCAAAAAGAAACCGTCTGAATCTTCTTCCAAACTCTTGTTACTGACATGATCCTATTACGTCTATTTCTCCGTGCTTAAAGTGTGAAGGTCAGACTGTCTTTAGGGTTGAAAATTCTTGCCTTCACAGCACATCACACAGCCTTTTTCTCCTTCTCTGTCTCCTCTCCTGATCATGGCTGATGTAAGGTTTAATGGTGTTGCAGTTATGAGCCCAGGGTCCACCCAAGAGCCTTCATAATAACATGATCTCTTTACGCTCCCAGACCCTCTCTCTCTCTCTCTCTCCTCCCTCTCTCTTTCTCTCTCTCACTAAATGAAATATGAAGCGTACTATGAAGACGAAATGATGTAGTCCTCCAGAGAGGCAACTTCAAGTGGTGGGCAAGCGAAAGTGAGAGAGTCATGGGGTTCACTGGAGGACATGGGAGGAGCAAGAGAAGCATGTTTCTGGCAAATCCTCCTCCTTCACACGTGAGAAATAACAGGGAACATGCATGAGGCAAGAAGGGTGACCTTTTTAAAAATCCGAGCTCAACTGGACAATTTTTGTTCAATCTTTGGACAAGTTGATTGACCTTTAATCATTTCCAGATTGAAGAGCGTGTTATAAGATGAAAACCACTCCTCATTTCTTTCCAATCCTTGTTTCTGCACCCAGAACCACACATGTTTATCTCTTATGTAATGATGTTACCCATACACACGCACACACACATGCTTTAAATTATTTTAGAGGACCTTGCTGTTATAACACTCCAATATTTTTATAGCCTTTTGCTATCAAATGGAGCAGCTGAGACTGACCCTTGGCAGGCGTGGAATAACTCAGTGTTATTCAACTCCTGTGGGAACACTAAAGTTTTTGTTTTTTGCTTTCTTATGGTGAAAGAAGCTGTTTAGTGCCCACTGTGGAAATACAAAAACACACACAAAGGGAGAGGCTGAGAGGGATAAAACTGCAAGAAAAAGGAAAGAAAAGAGGATGGATTCTCAGACTCTAAAAACAGATGCTCCCTCGACTTGCCCTGTCTCCCCACATTAGTGCAGTGTACCTGCTTTTCTCTCCTCCTCTGTCATCCCTCTCTCTTTTCTCACATGTTCCTCCTCATGTAGAAAGGATCACACGGCCACTCCTCATCTCCCTGAGATTGATTTTTGCCTAAAAACATCCAAAAAATATCATCCAGCTGTCCTGCGTTGAACCCCGATGATGACAATACCCATTTATCATTGTGTAACAAGATAATCTACACTCCGACACCAGCTTAGCCAGGTGGGGACTCAGGCTGTGTGAGAGGCGGGAGGAAGGAATGAAAAAGACAACATGTACTGGATAAGGTGAGGGTCAGCACACCAGGGGCGGATCTAGGCTTTCTTACAGGGGAGGCCCAACTGGAACATCGATTCATGCAGAGTCGGCAAAAATTATGTAAAGAATTTATTTTCCTGTTTTTTTATTTTATTTTATTTTATTTTTTCTATTTTTACTAACAGATTTTAATCTTCTTAACTTTTTTGGACTCAAAAATTTCATTAAAATTGACAAATGCTAACAAAGTGAGCAACATCCTGGGGCAACACAGCCCAAATAGCTAATTCCTTAGATCCACCTCAGGTGAGACCAATCACCAATCACTGTTCAAGGTTTCTGGGGGGGGGAATCAAAGCCTCTCTTTGGCTCTACCCCTGCTGCACACAGGAAGCTGTCCACTGTCAAACTTTTGTCTTAAACAGATTCATAGTTCAAGATTTAAAGCATTAACATTTGATAGCTATTTTACTCCAGACAAAGAGAAACCAAGGTCGACTTTGGACCTTATTTGACCAAATTTGTAGTAAAATGGGATTTTCTCTTTACTTATGATCTGTAGACTTTACTTACATTTTTATTCTATTAATTTAACATCTTTCTTTATTTGTATAGCAGATCAGATTATCTATCTTTGATCATCTTAACACGTGTGTGTGTGTGTGTGTGTGTGTGTGTGTGTGTGTGTGTGTGTGTGTGTGTGTGTGTGTGTGTGTGTGTGTGTGTGTGTGTACTTTCCTACCTATCTAAGAGGGGAATTTGGCATCTAAGACTTCCACCTAGAGGGGACCGTACAGCCAACAGGGGACATTTTTTAGGTCCCCTCTTACTAATGCTTTAAATCATGCTAAAATTTCAAGTAACATTATGGTAAAAGACCTTAAAAGAGAATCTTCTATTATATATCAGTCTGGGCTGATAGTCCACTGTTGGTTAGGGGTGTGTGTGTGTGTGTGTGTGTGTGTGTGTGTGTGTGTGTGTGTGTGTGTGTGTGTGTGTGTGTGTGTATGTGATCAAATCTTTTGCTCATCAGTCAGATTTTTTTGATGAGATCATCGTTTCACACTTACGTTTTCTAAAAGTCCCTTGGCTGGCATTCGTTCAAAGATTAGGTATAGTAGATTATTCCATTTAAGCTCAGAGGAGGCATTTGAGTCTTATTCTTTATGAAAGACTGCCAGACTCCTGTCATTACAACACTCACTCACACACACACAAGCACACACACACACACACACACGCTGCACAGAGTTTTACTGTGACAAACAAAGGAGTCGTGTATGACTCATGCTGAGTTCAAGGACCCTGCAACAACATCATTTATGGCTCTTGCTCAGATGTGCTGTAGCGTTAGCGGGGAGGACACGTTAACTGAACATCTCTGCGTGTGTTCACATACACACACACACACACATCTGCTGAATGTCTGCAGACAGTCACGCTGTTTGCATCACCTTTGCCAAACCAAACATTTCCACAGCTGCTGGTCTAAACTAAGACCACTGACTCTGTTTTCCACACAGCGTGGTTTCATCTGTCTGCGTGTGTGCATCATGTCTGGAACATCTTCTGTTAGAGATGATATTACCCTTGATTTGGTGTGAATGGATATTCGACAAAATAGTAAACACAAATACCTTTCTCAGGGTTCTTTGTGGCTCGATCCTCACTCACGTCACTGTGAAAAGGAGGAGAAATAATTTAAGGGTTGTGCTGGACCGCAGTCACATCCTTGACCTGTTTTGAGATTAGAAACATGCTGGTATGTCGAGCAATAAGTCACCACCGTTAACATGTCACTGTTCAACCTTCAATGTGCCCAACATAGTGATGTACTCTGTACCCAGGCACACATCCTGCGGCTTCAACACAATCAAATATTCATGTAACAAGTGCACAGGGACACCTATCTGCTTTATCATATATAACTTCAGAAAAAAGCTGAATATTCACAGCTATTTATACATAAAAACAAAAATTCAAAATATAAATATATGAAAAACTGTCATATCCTGAACCTGCTCAACGATCAAATTATGCTCCATTTTGGGGACTACTGCTGAGACTTGAACCCATAACCTACTCAACATGAGGCATCAGTGCTAACCATCACACCAAGGTGCCTCTTTGGAAGGCTTACTTGTCCCAGTGCTCCATTTTGGGGACAACTGCTGGGACTTGAACCCATAACCTTTGTGTTGTGGGATATCGATGCAAACCACCATGCTATTTACAGAGTATGTCCAAGCTCATAGTTTTTCTGACAGTGATTCAAATGCTTCCTAAACTCACCACAGGTAGGATACAGGACTTTCCAGCTCTTCACAGGACGGCCCCCGCTGGGATTAGAATTCAGTACCCATTCACCATGGCCCATCTCTGCTGTGCAGGGCTTACCTGTTAAGGTCTCTTTAATTTTAACTACATTATGGTAATTCAAAAGCATGACCTGAGTCGAGGAGTTTCCAATTCTGCGAGGGAAGGCCCCTGCTAGGATTCAAATCTGGGGCTGGGCTTGAATCCCAGCAGGATTCTCTTCCCCCATACTCTACCTCTTCTTCTCCTGATACCAAAACATGCATGCAGAGTTTTCTGGATGTGAGGGTTAGTGTAGCTCCACAGAGATACAGCTCACACCTTTAATGTTGCATTTTGTACTTGATGGTTGCGATATGTTAATCTTATGTGTGGAAGAAGCCGTGACATATCATGTATAGTCTTGCACACCCTTATTCTGTGATAAATTATTTTAGTTTAAAGGTCCTTCAAGATTAAAATATGCATATATATGTAATCTCGTTTAAGTTACTGTAAGAAAAGGGGATTTAAGGGGAACTTTGCCTCTTTCATGAGAGCTTTAGACGCTGCTTTCTTGCATCCCGCCACCCTTGGTCTGAAGACAAATACATTTGGTCATGATTCAGGCTTTTTAAAGGTCACTAAACTCTGATGGTCACTGAAGCACAAAATGTTATTATTCATGTAGTGCTGATGGCAGTGAACAGACAGTTGTTATTAGGGTTGCAGAATGTAAAATCTAACCAGCTCGGCTGAATCTTACATAACTTTAGTTTTCTGCCTCGTATTCTCATTCATCATTTTCTCAAAAACGTGTTATAGTCTCATCATTAACCTGCAGGGAAAGACCGTTTCCCTTCAGCTGGATCTGCACAACATGACAGCGTGCTGCCTGCAGCCTTCGCCCGACTAAAATAACCATCTGTACTGAGTTCTCTGGGACACGTGCAGCATAATTCGCTGCCACTTACTACTAACCACAAACACAGACAGACATACACATGCATACTCTTATCTGGGTCACTTACTATGAGTGTGTAAAACAGGCTAAATCCATTTTTAACGGAGACCATGCGTGTCTAAATATGGGCTGGTTTCATTCATTTGCATTTTTGTGTTAGATTTCTTTACTATAAATGCACACAGGATCAAGAATCTGAAAAAAAGCATGATGTCAGCGTTTAAGGAATCCCAAATTTAAATACGTTCCTAAAAAACTGTAACTCTGAGCATTTTACTACGTACACGTGGTTCTGTACAGGGTGTAAAATTAATTCTACTCAACCCACTTCTTTATGTCACATGCACAAATTAAACCCAAAACCCTGTAGCACACATCCTGCACTCACGTTCTGCTTTTCCAAATAAGTCTTTGGCGGCTCCTCTCCAGTTACTATGACATTTCCTCTGACTGCTTTTTTTATGCCTGCATATCAATAATGCAGGATTATAATTGCTTGCCTTTGAAGTGGCTGTTTAAATAATCCAGAGAGGATTGCTCCTCTTGGCATCCCATTTTCAGCTCAGCTCAGTGAATAAAATGAGGAAAAAAAAAATCTTTAATCTTAAGGTTGAGGATGAGAAGATGTGTGAGCTACTGGATGTAGTTAGCTTTAATCTGTCGGCCTGGAAATCTACTTTGCTCTTCTAAGTGCTAACAGTGTATTCACACCACAAGAAGGTGCAGAATAGGGATGGTACTTTATGCAGAAATACTTAAGAGTAAAATCTCACTCATCTTTGGTATTTGTTGCCCTCTGGGAGATTATCATGAGGCAACTAGGAGAGACACGAAGGAGGTGAGACTGTTTGTGGATGTATTATCTTTTGGAAAATTTAAGTTTCAAACTTTGGTAAAAAATATGAAGAATTCCTGTTTGATGACTCTGACCAACAACAACCTAATAGTTATTTTACGACTGCCATATTACATTGGGCTGAAGCTGCACTCGAAATGTCAGCATAAGGTCACTTCATTCATGTTTAGCCAACTAGAGAAAAAAACGCCACAGAACTACAAAGCAGATCTTAAAATGCAAGTTAGATCACGCACTTATCTAAAACTCCTCTGGAAACTAGTATATATACAGAGCAAATCTGGTTTTATTATCTGTAAATTGCTCATTTGTGCTCTAAGATTCCTTACAAAATGATAAAATATTTCTCCATTCTAAGGTGGGAAGTGTTGGTTTTTGTTTGTCCAAGTACTGACCACTGCTGTATCTGGTGTTTGCAGGAACTTAGTCCATGTGGAGAGCAAAGGCAGGAGGAGCATCATCTGCCTTTAAAAGATCCTGGTCATTTGTGTCTATTGACAGATAATCCTCTTTCAAGTGCAGATCAATAATTTTAAATTCAGTCACAAATCTGCTCAACGCTGCGTCACTGAAGCCTCATACAGTGGTTATGATCGATCTGATCGCCACTTGGTAAACTTGTATTTTAAAGTTTTTTCTCTTCTTGAAGATAGACCTGACAAAGTTTGCATTTTTATTTTAACATATCTTTATTATTTTTGGCAAACTTGAGACCCACAAATTGACAGTGAATTCCCAGAAAATTTGTTCCTTTTTTAAGGGTCATATTGCTGAAGTATGCTAGAGTGAAGAAGACAGGAAGTAAACGTGTTTCTGTGGCAGCAGGGAAAGGGAATTCTCGTCAGGAATTGTTTTCGTAGCAGGATCACACCAGATGTAGTGAAAAAGTTGGCATGCACTCCTATTGCCATTTATCACCTCTCACTCTCAGATAATGATTAACAATGATTGCTGATGGGTTTCATGACTGGTACCAAACACATGTTTTTGAGTCGTGCAAAAACAATCAGACTTTCTGACAGCAAAGTAAAGTGCTGAGAAATTTCCAGAGTGCACACTTATAAGAAAGGTGCTCAGGATGAAGTTTGTTCAAATCAGCAAAAGCTTTTGATGGTCAAGTTCTTTTCTAAGTCATCTAAGAGACTGAGCTGCCTGTGATCACAAGCATACTTACTATTAATAGGAACTGTAGCTGTAAAGTTTAGATTCTTGATGAGTACGGCTTTATCATGTTTAGAACGGATGAAAAATACACAACGTCTTTTGGGATCAAACCCTTTTGTGATGTCTTCATGAGCTCAGAGTAGTTAAAGGCCAAGAGCAGGATGAGAAACCCTTGGATGGACACTGATGGTGGTGGTGGAAAAAACAAGGATGCAGACTGAGCTGAGGGTCCGGCTTTGAACGCTGTTTAGACAGATAGGAGGTGACGGCGTGGAAGTGGGGTGCAGCGATCGAACAGGAAGAACGACTGAAAGTGGAAGAGAGAGAGAGAGGACAGGTTTTTACAACTGACAGCAGAGGGATGATTGGCTGATGGAGGGTTTTGTTGGTGGGAGGAGAAGAGAGGGAGGGAGGGAGAGGGTTACATGAATGAATGATGACAATGAATGAATAGATGATTATGAAACAGTCGTCCAGTTTGAATGCAAATGATCCGATTTCCCTTGAGTTAAATTTCACTTAACTTTTTAAATGACTATCAAAACTGTATGAAATCTACAAGTAAGTTTTAAGTGAAGAACAAAGCTCAGAGATATCACAAATTGAGACTTTAATCATCTATAACTTAGAGATGAAACGGTACTCCAAACTTGTTTTCGTTGTTGAAAACTTTTTCAAACAAGAACCTCAGATCCCCTCTCAGCTTTTCACTCAGTACAAAAAGATCAGAACATTAAAATCATGCATAAATTCAAACATTTTAACTACAAAAACACAGTTACATAATCCCCTCTGAAAAACAGGGTTTTTTAATTGTACATTAATGAGGACAAAAGTTCTGATCTGTATGTTTTTAAAGCCTTTGTGAATTCAAAGTGTTGCTTCTGTGCGTGTTATGGTTGCCTTTCAGTTCTCTATGAGTGCTAATGATACATTTCTTTAAAGCTGGGGTTTTGCTTAGGTCAGGGTTCAGTTACAGTGCAGTGAGGGATGGATGAGCATATGGGACTGTAATTAAAATGTATGAAAGTGCATCAGGACGGGGAATTAAAAAAAAGATCAAAGTGGTGGCTGGCGACTGAATAAATCATCTATGTGGTTATTTTTGTTGCACAGACACACTCCTAACGAGCACGTGCAGAATAGCAGTATTAAATAATCATCCTCGGCACATGGTTTAAGTAAGTTTGCACTGTCTGCTACTACAGCCGCCGCCGCAGAATATCCCTCTGAATTCGACAGAAAGTGAGGAATCATATTGTATTACAAGACCAAACTTGACAGCAAAGGGATGAGACGCTCTGAACAGACAGCAGTATGAAAACAAAGATGTCCCAATTTTCCTTTACCCAGCCTCGCTGATGCTGCTTGTCGACAAAGAATTCAATATTGGATAAGCTCACAGGCTCAGACTGGAGCTGGGATCTGAGGTGTTTCATGCTACACTGCACTCTCCACATTTGACCATTATGGAAATATGTAAATAAACCTCCACAGAGTAGCACAGCGTTCAGATTGGAGGGCTCTAATTGGGAACATGACAGGGATGTTAGTGTACTCGCTGAATTTCTAAAGAGGCGAAACAAAGATAATGGCATCATTCAAAATCCCACATTGTTGTTCTGTTTGGCAAATTCATCCTGTATGCACTTTGAGCTTCATTGTTTATTGAAAAGCTAAAATTCATCCAGTTGGCAAACGAGGCATAAACTATTCATGATTCATTAAACACAAAGCTCGGACAAGTAGAGAGAGCTTTATGTAGAAGGAGACGACAACAAATCTGCACGAGAGATTTTTTTAAGGTCCTGTGAATAATTTTAGAAACTCTGCTAGGAGCTCTTTGATATTTCTGAGTCATGTTAGGGCTGAAGGTCAGGCTCTGGTCAGGTATCTGGCGGTGGTTGAAGACCCTGAGGGGACAGAGCATGTGTGAGTCATATGATCTAGGCGACCGGCCTTCACACAGACAGCCGTGGACAGACCAAAGCGGATTGGAAACAAAGGCTGGCAGTGTGTTATTCCTGCCGAGGCGTGAGCGTGAGGAATTCTCTGATAATCTGTTTCATCTTGTTTTGTGAAGCTGGTTCAGCAAACACAGTGTGAGATGTGTCGCTTTAGTTGTTCCTCAGAGTACCCCCTGTGGGAGCCCCGTGCCCGTTCTCACGGTATCAAAGCTGCTGTGGAGGCATATGTGTGCTTCACTATCACAGCATGTAGAGTGGAGTCCATACTGTATGAGCAGCAAATAGGGGAGAAAAAGAAAAAAAGTCATTTTAAATTGAAAATGAATAAATAGTAATTTTGATCTAAATAGTTATAAATTTGCAACTCAGTTTTTCATGATTTGGACCTCAGTGGATCCAAACATCACAAGGTACATGAGAACCCTTCCCATGAATCAGCCGCTCTGATACCTATACCCCCCACCAGCAGTTTCAAAGATTCAAAATGATTTCGTGGAGATGTTCGCTCTATTTGTTGATGGTCTTGTTTGTTTATTTTAGGTCATAAAGAGACATCAACATCAATTTTGTTCTGGTTCAGAGCTAGCGAAACTATGTGGTACTGTTTGAATGTTATTTGCATACAATTTGTGCATGAAACATAATGGTGTTTTATGCATAAAGTCAAGGCTCTGGGTGGCTGCACTCATGTATGTGACATGAGCGCAGATGAGCTTGTAGTGTGCAGCACATCTAAGCTTCCTTTTGTAAGTGTATCTGTGATATATTTTATGTTGTATTTTATTAGATTATTGAAATCTGATACACTGTTTATGTTGCTCGATGGATTGGCATTTTTTATTTCTTTTGTTGTGCTAACCAGAACATACACCTAGGACTAGTTTTCTCATTCCCCCTGGTGGCTCATTTTGAACTATTTGAGACTTTGCAACAAAACGAGTCCCTATATTTGGTTTATGTGCATTTTAAATCAAAGAAGGAGCAACACCAAAGTTATAAATAGTGATCCTCTGGGAAACCTCTGTAAAAATTTCCATCTCTATCCACTTGATAGTTGTTACTTAAATCTGGACCAGAGTGGTGAAACGCTGTCCCCTGAGTCTCACTTCTAACACTGATAAAAACAAACCATTTAGCGAAAACAGGAGATGAATTGCAGGACTTTTTTGTCCTCTTCTCAGGGTTTATGAAGTAAACAGTCTTGTGTTATACAAACCTCATGCACAGCCAAGGGCAAGGACTCTTTTTTTAGAGAACACACTTGAGCAAACAGAGATTTACGCAAGCACGCACAGCACTATCCGCACACATTTTCACACGCGCATAATAGCTTTTCTCCCAGAAGACAATAAACTCAAGCTTCTGTGATGCTGGAAAAAATAAAGTTATTCTCTACCCACAAACACCAAGTCCCAGAAAATGTTCAACTTTAATCCTCTGCAGTCGCACCCACTCCGGCCTAATGAAGTAGACTCCAATCGGAACCCACTGGGGATAAGCAGAGACTGCAGCACATTTGCACGTTTCATTTCAGCTGGAAATCATATTAGCGTTGCGGGCAGCCAGAGCCTGAAGTTGAAATGAACCATGGAGACAATTTAAAGGAGAAAGGGATTGAGAAGAAGGAGAACTGTGGCGGGGGACTCTGGAGGGTGGAGGCTGTATGTGTCAGAGATGGAGCTCATATACAGAGGAGATGAAGATGAGGGAGGAGAAAGGGAGCAGAGGTGGGAGACAATCTGCAGGGGGAAATGAGCAGGAGCAGAAACAAGGAGCAGAGGTGGGGGTTATGTACTTGGCTTTGGTGCAGGAAATAAATTGGTATGTTGTAGGAAGAAGAGGAGAGGTCAGGTGGAGTTCAGCTCCTGAATGTACTTCTCCTCAGGCAGAAGAACATCAAACACATAAAGCAATATTACGCAGGTGTCTGGTAATCATGAAAAGTGGCTTTTTGTTAAAAAAATCCTCATGAAATATGTGTTTCTATCACAATTTTTGTGCTGTTTACAACCACATTGTGTCGAAGGCTGATTACATCCCTCATTGAGTGTTTTAAAATTGCAGCACAGCCCTGGTTGTTACCAACTTCATAAGCTTGTTGATGCCATATTGAGTCATGAATATCCCTTTAGGTGGCAAAAGAAATCAATGGAAATCATCTAGACAATTTTCTCACAACGCTTATCATTTTTCTTATGTATTTTGGAGACTTTTTATGTCCTTGCAAGGCATAAGGAGGAGAGGAAAGACACGCCCGGTTAGACTTGAGGTTTATGGTCTGTGCAACAGTGAATGCAGTCCAGACAATCTAATGATTCTCTTCATTGTGAATGAGTGTTTTCAGTCAATCTAACCTACTCAAAGCTTTTTTGAGCATGGTGGAAAATTTTGTTGAATTTGCCTTCTTATATCTTTTATAAAATGTATATCTCAAATTTTTTTTCACATTTTAACAAGATAGATTCAAAGTGTTTCAGGATAAGAGAGGAAACGTTGCTCGGGACACTTAAAAAAATCTAATTTACATAACTTTGCCTTTATTACATTCAAACAAGATAATCACATTGATCTATCACACCTGCTGTACATCCTGCTGCTTGTCTATGTAAAGTCCACATGGGTTCAAATGACTTTGGCAGATGTTTATTTTGAACAGCAGGGATTTCTGACACCTTGAGCCCCTCATGAAAAGAAATCCATACATTCCTCTTACAAATTAGGTCATTCAGGTATTCATACAGCTCGTCTTTCCAAGATGAAACAGGCAGGTGGTGGTCTATTGTTGTCAAGAGAGAAGACCCCAGATTGTGTTTCCAGGGTGGTTGAGTGGACAGAAGGCAGTGGGCGGGAAGCTCACCACCTGAAAGTTCAAAGCGGGATACGAACAGCAAGGACAGGAGGAGCTCACCTAAATTCTCCCTGGTAACATGCACAATATATATTAGTTTAAAGCTCCTGTGAGTTTTTTTTACTTCTATGAAGTAGACCAAATGTATATTGATGCCTTATTAGGATATCTAAAGGCAAACAGAAAACATCAGCAATATAATTGTTAATGCCTGTAACTGGTGTGAAAGTTTAAGTGTAGCTGATAAATTATACATTTGACAGTTAAAAGTCAGCGGAAATACTTTTTTTTGGTCAGATAACACTGTTTGTGATAAGATAAGCAAAGACTTCAATGTCCACAGAGGGTGCCAAAACTGACACAAACTAAAAGTTTCTCACTGGAGCTTTATGTATGAGCAACTTTGCTGAAACTGTTGATAATGACACATATTACATGTCATCTTATGTAGTTTCCACTTAAAACTTACTTGTGCATTTTTGTGGGACTTGTGTTGCTATATTTATACCTATTTTACAATCAGGCCTGTTACGCATAATTTGCCTGTGCCTCCCAAAATTAGAAAAATAAAAATAAAACTGCTCTGAATAAGTGTGTGAGGTTTTTAAGCGACATAAAGTTGCTAAATAACTTTGAAATACCCAGTCATACAAAATGCGGGGAAAGCAATAGCAGTATAAACTTTTGAATATAACTTAAAAATGACCAATGTAACCCTGCACAGACTTTGTTTGTATTGTTGGGGCCCCTTTTAATGAATGGTGCCCAAAGGAGCCACTTCCTGCCAGCCAGTTATGCTTTGCTTCCTAACATACATTATGTCCACTTTAAAAACCATCTCGTTGTCCCAAACTGCTCTTTAGTTTAACTCTCAGTTGTGGCCTATTTCCTCTACTTGGTTAAAATATCCCCCCAAAGTGCCTTTTAAAAATCTTAACTGTGCCTCTGTTCAACAGTGTATGTAATAAATAGTCTGCCCAGTCTTAATGGTGATACAGTCTACCCTGCTTGAGATCTTAAATAGTAGCTGTATTAAAAAACAAAGATACGGTGGCCGAGAACCGCCACTGCTGCAAATAAAACAGAATGTAAAAAAAGAAGTAACAATGGAAGTCACTGATGGAAAAAAAAGAAAAGACACCGCAGCCTGCTGCAAATAAAAAAGAGGCGGTGCAGAAAAAAAAAGGGGGCACAACAGAAGTTAATGACGCAAAAAATGTGGCAATGCAAAAATAGAAAAAAAAAAAGATATTACTTAAGGTCCTTACACACCACTTACGAGCTAAAGCTACTTAGCACAGATGAAAGTTAAAACAAAGATGTTTAGCAAACTGTTAAAGCACACAAACTTTCATCATATGAGAAATCCGACGCTATGACTCTCCACAAGTTGTCCTTCAGGTCATTATCTTTGTAATATTTGTGTCTTTTATCAAAAATCACTCTGTTCCCCAACATGTAAACAATCAGCCGGTCGGCCATGTTGGATATACAGGTGAATCTGACGTCGCAACAACACAAAAATCTGATTGGTCTAACCAAGTGACACATTGAAAAGTTTACGAAGCGAAATTAAACAATAACATTTCCGCTTACTTCTTTGCTCGTCTTCTCGCCGTCATCTTCTGTGCCTAGATCGTACAACACTGGTGCATCATCATTATTGGTCCTCCGGCAGCTCACTTCCGTTGGGTTTTTTTTTTAAATGCATTCTTTTTTATTTGCAGCAGTGGCGGTTCTCGGCCACCGTAGTTGTAAGTTTGAAAACATCGACAAACCTCAAACATAAACATCCGCTGAAATAAAAACCCAACTCACTGTTTGTCGCTCCCCCCCTTCGTGGACCCCCTTTGCTCTTTCTTCCCTAGTCCAAAACCCCTCTGTTGTGGATCATCAGTCGAGCCCTGCTGGAGCACAGGACAGCCCGCCCCTCACGGAGCAGCGGACCGGGCTCTGACGGTGACGGCACCAAACACACACTCTCTGTCAGTCTGGACAAGCAGCAGTGAGACTCGGATCCAGAACCGGGCTGCAGTGGACGGGGACGGGTTCGGGAGCAGAAACAGAGAGGGTTTCCTTTAGCTAACTGCTTTGAAAAAAGTTGCAACCGGACAGAAAGGACGACCGGATACGCACGCGAGACATCTACAGTTGGAGGATATTGCAGCGCGTGCTTGTTGTGGAGAACATCTTGTTTAAAGGTGAGTACATGAACGCAGCACGAGACATCAGTTTTAGCCCAAAACTCTGTTTATTTCTGTCATATTCAGAGTTTATCAAAGTTATTAGCTGTGTTGTCAAGCTTTTTTTCCTCCTACGTTGAAACTTTTTTCATGTTGTTGCTAATTTATGCGAAATTAAACCCAAACAAGCTTGGCTAAACGCTGTCGTCGTCTAAATGAGGAGGTTAAATGTACCTTATTGTGAGGCACTTACTGCTGTAAAAAGTTAGTGTGTTGTAAGTCGAAGTAATTAATTTATTCTGATGGTTTGACATTTCTGAGTAATTGGGGTGCTTGAGTATAATTTGTAGTTGTTCAGGATGGATGCAGAGACTTAATTTCCCCTACATTTTAGTTTTTTGCGCTTGATTCAGCTGTTTTCTCTCAAGAAATATTATGTGCTGTGTGTGTGAGTGTGTGTGTGTGTTAAGAGAGGAAGACAAAGAGATGTGTATGAGGTACCGAGAAAGTAGAGAATAAGCATTTCTCTGTTATTTCCATCCAGCTGTTAAAGTGAATGAGCCTTCAGATGCACACAAACACACACACCACTGCACAACTGCTCCTCTCTTGCATAGCACTCTTGTTATTTTGGCATTTCCCTCTCCTGAGACCCTTTGGCTTGCTTTTCCGCAGAGATTGGGGCAGTATGATATAAAGCAAAGGTCACATAAGAAGGTAGAGACCTTTGCTCCATTTGTTTTATGCCCTCAAGGCTGATACTTAAAAATATGGATTAGCTTGAAGTTGAACTAGAAACGCCCAGGGTCTTATTGAACCATAAATAATGCCCTGCAGGAACAGATATAAACGCCTGAGATCCTCTCCATCACCTTCTGATCTGTATGAACGCCCTCCTCGCAGATGATTGATTGCCTGGATGTCATGTTATTTAAAGCTTTGTAACTTTAGATGAATGTAAATGGAAAGAAACTCAGCTGAGTGCGTACCGCAAAATGTGCATTCATAAATGTTTTTGCAGACGCATGGTGCATCCTATCCTGCACGGATATTAACTTAGCACCACGCCGCCTCACTGGGAGACCCTATATCATCCTGACCTGTCACCACAGCACAGCAGAGCAGAGAGGAGGAGGAGGGAGGAGGGGGCGGAGGAGGGTGGGAACAGGACACATGGAGAGAGAGAGAGAGAGAGAGAGAGAGAGAGAGAGAGAGAGAGAGAGAGAAGGGTAGAAGAGGATTTGGTGGTGGTGAGGATGTAGGTGGGTGTGATTGTCAAGCTGTTGGGTGGTTGGGATTGGAGCAACTAAGAATGCAGGCGGAGAATACAGGTAGGAGTTGATGCTGTTTGATCATTTTCATTATTGCGTTGTAGTTAATGTCAAAGATTTGCTGGTTCTAGTTTCTTGAATATGTCGGTTATGATTCTTGGAAAAAAGTATAGCGTGATATTTTACTAATTTTTGATGATTGAACGATTAATCCTAATAATAAGCAACAAATTAATCTATGATGAAAAGGTGATTAATTGCAGCCCTTGTATGAGGAACTATATTCTTTTACAGATTATACCATTTCTTCAGCTTTCTGCATCAAATGTCAAATTAACTGTCCACTCATCTTCTTCATTCATGTCTACAGTTGGATAAATAACCACATATATGGGTCTAGATCTAGAGCACAGCTCCAGGCGTAATCCCGGTTCATGCACATCTGCCAGTTTTTCCGTAGTAAACACTGAAACATTGCAAACACGCCTCCTGTTCAAAATGTTCAGCAGGGTTTGCAACTTAATTTGCTCATTAGATAATCTCAGCTGAAAATAGCACATAAAGGTGCACACACAGAAGCCCATCTGTACGCTCAGGAGCACTCTTGCATAACAAGTGAAGGAAAACCCCACATGAAGCAGCGTACAGTGAGTGTATCCCACATTAAACTGATGTACTGCAGAGCGAGAGAACAATCTGATCCACACCTGTGACGCTCAATTAGTAAAATGTCTCTGCAGCCATCTGGGTCTGCCATTTCATTTTGCTGCAGCCGAGGTGATGACACTGGGGTGGATGTGATTAAACGCATGCAAGTATAGCCTGTCGGCATGTTTAATTTATCCTCATCCATCATGATGTAACGCAGGCCATGAAAGCCTCACACATCAGGCACACTGCTCTTATTAAACGGCAGTAAAGGGATGTTTGAGTGAAACCATGGAGAATCTCATTTGCTTTCTGACATAAAAATGAAAGTCTTGTTTTGTGGAATTCCTTGTCAGGGGGATCATGTACTCAGAGAAGCTCTCTAGATAGATTTTTTGGTCTTCCTCTCCATGTAAAAAGTTGTGAGTAAGTCTTTTTGATGTTACGCTGCAGCTCAGTGTCACCGGTGTAGTTTGTTTTCCGTTTAAAGTGCAGTTTGTCAGAGTAATGTTGCTTCTGAGATCCGGCTCTGCCTGTGATTCCTCTCAGCTGTGATGTGTCGAACAGCGGGTGTGTCATTGAGATTTCCATCTGAGTTTCTCTCTGTCAGCCTGTTAAAGAGACAAGAGCAAGAGCACAGCAGGGGGGAGACAAGCTGTCAGTCAGACTCAGCACATGCACGCACACAAACACACACAAAGACTGCCACTGTATGTCAAACTGTAATTAGAAGCTGTCCGGATTTGCAGTGTCCTTTCTTTTCCTTCACTTTTCCATTTTTTTTTGCCAACCAGGGCATCACTTATGGCTTTGCTTGTGAGTTTCTGCAGCTTGTTTTTTGAAAGTCATGGAGAGAGATATGACACAGCTGTGGTTTCAGATATACAGCATTTTAGGCTGTAACTTTTTGCACTTATGCAGCAGCAGGTGGATGTTTGAGCTGTAAGATGTGGTGCATATGAAAGCTGTCAAACTCCTAAAGTTGACTGTGAGATGAGCTAAAAAGTGGTTATTTATAAAAAGCATACACATATGGTAATTATAGCCCAATTATAGCTGATTGGAGTTGAATAGGAATTAATGATTATTGGCTAGAGGTCAATGAACTGTTGTGTTAAAATCCAAGTGTTTTTGTCAGTGTTCTTATTTTTCCAAATGTTTTTCAAATCATCTTATGACTATTTTTAAAGTCCAGAGGGATATTAAGCCGTATCCAGTGGTCAGATTTTAGACTGAAATGTTCCCCTCAAGGTGGCTGTCACAAGAGACTGCTGTGTTGCATAAGTTTGATCCTTCGTTTTAGAAGTTTTTACCATCAAAAGCTCCTTTAAATATGAATTCCTTTGCAAATTAGCTATCTCTTATTCATATTTGTCTTGCAGTTAATGCATTTCCCTTAGCCAACCATTAAAGACAAAAGCATTTACTTATTTACTTATGGTGTGCGAGATGGGTGCCTCCATTTAAGGAGACTTGCTCTTAATGGAGATACAAAAGACTCATTTGGAGTTAAGAAAAAAATAAACGTAAGCTTATATTCAGGTCATTTTAAAGGAATGTCAGCATACTCATAAACATCATATTTAATTTTTGATCCACAAAAAAAAAGCCGCATTTTCTTACTCCTCATAAAATGATGCACTGGAAGAAATACCAGTATTCGTCAGGAGATCAAACTTCCTTCAGTCATTTATATAAAAATGTGGTTTTCATTTGATAAATTTGGGCTCTTGTGTTATTGTAAATCCACTGTTTGTCAAAATAAGTGAATTCTTACTTTGCCAGTTGAGGAAAAGTAGTTTTTAACTGGCAAAACTCCCAAAAACAAGTGACATAGGGTTGTTTTATCCTGCTGTCACATCAGCCCTAAAGCCTCTGTTGTGATTCTGTTTCGGACACATAAACAGTGCAGAAGGACACCACAGCCTCTTTTGCAAATCTTTTCTGTTGGATAATCTAAAAGACCACAGCCTTAACTTAGATCAGATGAGGACTTTTTGTATTTTTGACCCTGACTGACACAAAAGCCAGCTCAGCTATTTCAGGTTTACCCCGCTCTTTGTTAATCTCATAAATCTCTTAAAATGAATGAATAAAGAGTTTAAACTCTGACATTTTAAGTCTGAGGTTATTCAGAGGTCTTTTAGTCTCCAGCATTTGGGAGACTATCCAATCAGCAGTAGAGAAACATTTCATTAGCAGAGTGATTGCAGTCGAGGCCATCACTTGGGTGCTGATGATAATGACCAGACCTGTGCATTACCAAAAGCAAACACAGCAATCACTTTTGGAAAGAGAGAAAAGAAAACGAGAAATAAACGCTTTTATATTTCTTTGGAGGGTCCTGAACCAAGTGAAGTCATCATAATGATGCTCTCCAGGCTGCAGAGCGTAATATTACTTATTAATTGAAAAAACAACATTTGTCAAGTGATGAATATCTACAGGCGGCTCATCCATCAAGCTGCTCAAGGTCAGGTTGGGTCTGTCTGGGAAAAGGATGACTTCTGTCTATAGAGATTTATAGTTTGAGAATTGGCTGTGCTAAGTGTTTCCTATACAGATGGCACCATCAGTCTGGTGACCCTACTTCGTCCTGGCTGAAAAATCTGAAAATACAGCAAAGATTCTCATGAGACCTAAGGTAAAGTGTCCTAAACCCTTGGATTCTTGTTTAAAACTGCATTAATTAATCAATAAAAAACTTATATCTATTTTATTTGGACTGTAAGCTGCACATGCTTGAAAATTTATATTTGCAGAGATAAAAAGATAGTTTTTGGATAACCACTGATGAAAACCAAGATGTCAATGTGGCAGAATGAGTAGTTTGCTCTCCATACAGACTGTTTTTCCTGCAAAAACTAAAAACTGCTGACTTTGAGATGGTCCATTCTACCACTACACTAACTCCATCGACCTCTAGGGATGTAATGATATCAGGATCTAATAAGATCATATCAACAAGTTCAAGGAGCAATATTATCAATACAGCCACAGTTACAGCCCATAAAAGTGTAAGAATTTATGAGATCACAAGTGTATCTCTAACTTTAATCAAAGACCTAGGGACATCATCTGTGATGGAAAATGAAGAATGAAGAAAGTTTGGGCTGAAGTATAAATTCCCATCATGGTCATACTTAAGTCAAACACTATCAGCAGCTTTCCACACAGAGACTCCACAAGCTCTGGGCTACAAATGGACCTTATTTAAAAAAGTTTTTTGAACATATTGATAATATTGCACCTTGAACTTGTTGATATGATCTTATTAGATCCTGATATCATTACATCCCTAGGGGTCAATGGAGTTAATGTAGTGGTAGAATGGACCATCTCAAAGTCAGCAGGCTTTGGATTTTGTCAGATAACCACCAATGAGATCAAGATGTCAATGTGGCAGAATGAGTAGAGCATACTTTTGCTCTCCATACAGACTGTTTTTCCTGCAAAAACTAAAGCCTGCTGACTTTGAGATGGTCCATTTACCACTACATTAACTCCATTGGCCTCTAGGGATGTAATGATATCAGGATCTAGTACGATCATATCAAAAGGTTCAAGGTGCAATATTATCAATACTTAAAAAGACTTTTTAAAATAAAGGTTATTTGTAGCCCAGAGCTTGTGAGGTTTTTGTGTGGAAAGCTGCTGATAATGTTTGACTTAAGTATGACCATGGTGGGGATTTTATACTTTGGCCCCAACCTTCTTCATCCTTCATTTTACACCACAGATGATGTCCCAAGGTTTGATTAAAGTTAGTGATACAACTTGTGATCTCATAAATTCTTGTACTTTTATAGGCTGTAACTGAGGCTGTAAATGTTTCCTTTTGGGGGATGATTAGTCAAGTGGATTTTAATGGCTTGTATTCCCTGATATGTTGGACAATACAGTCCAGCAGTGTCTGCATATTATTTTTGCTTTCTTGACACAACAACAACAAACACATAAATACTCCCTACACTAAACTACTTGTATACAGATCTTTAAGCAGAATCAGTAAACACAGGTCAGCTGTAAGCTAAAATATTGGCTGGTCCCATTGAACTGCTAACTTGGTCAACCCAGATGGTTGTGACATCAGCCCTACTTATTCATCAACCCCAAGGTGTGGCTGTTTAGACATGGGTAGACCCCTCCTGCTTTCAGTCTGTCATCGTCAACTCATCCACACTCTCAGCCTTTCATTACTCCATTTTGACTTTTACAGGCCTAAAAGCGCCCAGAAGCAGCCATAAAATGCTCCATGAACTTGAACACTGCCAGTCTATTATCATACTCTTTGCTTACCCCTCCTCAGCACAAAGGGAGACTTGAACTGTGCAGGTTTCGTTCTGCACTGGGAGAAGATTACAGGTCAATTAAGTTGCTGTTGGAATCTGATAGCTGAGATAGCAGGCATAGATGGGCTCTGAAAGCATTTACAGACTGTAAGAAGAGACACAATCAATGCAGAGTGGAGCAGGTTTGTGTATAATGGACATTAGTGGGCAGAGCTTTGGCACAGATCACATTAAAACCAGGAGTGCTGAAGTCTGCCAACCACTCCTAACATCCATTAAAGGGACGATCAAACTATGTTTTCACAACGCTCCCAATTTGTTTACTACACTCCTAACATACTCATCAGAAACTTATTTTACTTTAATGTTGGACTTGATCTCGTTATAATGCATCAAAAGTCGCATTTAAATGTAGGGAGATCTTTTTTAATCTATTTGAGTCTAGCATGCCTTTCTCCTCTCCTCTCTACTTTCCCTCTCTGAGGAGAAGGTAAAGTGGCCTCATATGTCACAAAGCGTCACTTCACTGCTGTCAGGAGGTTGATGTACGAGGACCGAAATGGCCAGTGCTGAAACAGCAGACCACACACACGCACACACACACAGATACACACAAACACAAGATTGATGGATGACACCAGTATTAGGTCCAGGATCGAGCCTCATTGCCTGGTAGTGGAGGAAGAGTTTTAGGAGGTCAGGGAGACGACCTGCTGCAGCAAAAATTACATGTTTTTATCGGCTGCCGTCTTCCTTCAGATCTGTGTGAATGTTCAGACAGGAGACATTTTCCTCTTCTTGCTGTAAAAAAAGAAACACAATTTAGTGTCAGGCTGGCCCTCCTTGTGTCCCTAACAATGCACCGCTTCCTCACAAGTGAGAAATCCATTGATTAAGCCGTGTGTGTTGATTTGCCTCTATTGGAAACCTGATTTGTGCAAGCAAGGGAAGCAAAGCAGGAATTATTGATCTGGTTTTAAAAGCTCGTCGGCCCCTCTTGGTTTGATTTGGCTGCAATTTCCTTTTGATTTTTCTGACAGGCGCCTCTCCAATATAATTCTGTCTAACAAACAATTTTTTTTTTCCCCAGCCCTGTCTAATGCAACTACCTCAGCAGAATTGAATCAGTATGACACGATGTAGCGAGGCTTCTCTGAGGTAATAACATAAGCAAAGATCTGTTGACACCCAGTTGTTTGGACATGTGTCTGATTTATAGATTAGATTTCCTCTGCTCTCTTGGACAGCTTCTTCTTATTTGTGTGTGTTTTGCTCAGCAGAGTGAAGCCAGCTCAGAGGATGCGTCTGCCAGATGACCCCTCAGCAGAAAGCGTACCACATAACGCCCCTCCCCCTTCTTGTGTTAGCTTTAGTTAACTGTAAAAGAGGAGAAAAAAGGGGGGGCTGGGAAATGTTCCCCATGCGAGAGTGTTTACATCATGACGCAGGCGTTTCTTTGCATTCTCTCCATGGTGAAAATATGCCACTGATCTCTTCGTTTTTCTAATTGCTGACAGATGTTTCCCACTCCATAAGCACATGTTGGGCCCGGATGTTCCCAGAATTCTTTCGGGAACCTCTGGGATGAAGTCCCAGCCGTGGTCTCTGTAACATAACTCCCACCGCCCTCTCCTCAAAGTCAGAGCCAGGCCTCATCTCTCACGGTCTCGACTCACGTGGATGGAAAGGACCCAGCTGGCCTGGAAACTTTTCCTGGGCTTATGAAACATTTGGCAGGTTTCAAACATAGTTGCAGTTGAAGCTCAGTTTCACAGGGGCTGTGGGCTCAGACCAAAGGAGCTCAGAGTCTCGTAGGTGTTGTCTGCCTTTGTGTCACAGCGTTTTTTTGTCTGCTCTGAATTATCCTGCGGAGAATTGGTTATGGAGGATTGTGTCCATCTGCTGAGGGAGATTTCTTGAAAAGGATAGCCACAGCATAGATAAAAGTTAGAGGACAGGGTTTGTTTTGTGTCTGATCAGCAGGAAAGTGAAACCAATCCCTCAGAAATACAGTTAATGGGGGTTTGTTTTGTGTGCATATGTGAATTTAACTAAACAATGAGCCCAGTGTGATTCTTGAACGTACACGCGTCCTCAAGCTTCCCCCAGCATCCCTCTGCGATCTGACATTCAAAAGATGCTTTGTCCAAACAAGCCTTTGATATTCATATCATTATTATTAACAGGCTGAATCAGCGTGAAGCTGCTGTGTTTGGGGTCTTGGCGTTATTGTAACCCCCCTTCAGCCCAATCTGAGAGCCGACAGAAGTAGGTCAAAGTTTAGTGGAGCGTCCTGTCTAAGCAGGAGGATTGGAGCAGTGGAGGGGGGGCTAAATAATTTCATAAAACCCCAAAGATTAGCTTTAATCCATTTAGGTACTTCATATAAGATTGTGGCCATAAAGTTTTAGTTCTTCTGCAACTTCAGCTCACAGACTTTTTGACATCCTGCTTGCTGAAATGTGGCTGGAAGGCAACCTGACCAATAACAAGTTTTGACACAGACATACAGACTTCTGACGTTAGTCTGGTGAATATGGTTATTTTGATCGCCCAGAGGCTTGACAGAGACTTAAACCTGAAAAACACATCATGTCATGCATAAGAGTGCAGCTCATGTTAACTTTGGCGCCCCCTGTGGACAAAGCAGTCATATTTTGACAAAAATATTGTCATCCTGCTCAATGTCAACAGTCAAATGTATTATTTATCATGAATGTTTTATGTGAATATTGTAAAATCAGGGTTTGGCTGACACCTACCCCCTTGCACTGGTTTCTCACATTAATATAAATCCTCAGTCTTGTTGCTTATGGTCTTGTTTGCTTTTGTATATTAAGCAAAGGCATCAATATGAATTTCAGAAACTTCAAAAAAAGTCCTTGAAGGAGCTTTAGCATAACAGTTCAAGTCTTATTAGTGATGACATTATAAGTACTGAACTGTCCTTTTTAGTCATGAACATTAAGCAAACGTTTTATCTGGATTTGAGGGTCAAATAAATGTGATGAAATGTACTTAATGATCCTGACTTTAAGATTTATTGTACTTACAAATGCAGCACTGCGACACCAGAGTGGTCTACAACCATGACTTGGAGATTCAAAGTGCTTATTCGGTGAAAAACATTGTTTAGTTTTATTCCTTGATATAGGATAACACTATTAAACATTTAAATGGTGCATCTTCTATTAAATAAACAGTTATTCTCTATCCTTCACAGTAAAAACATGACTGTTTACAACATGCCAACCTAAGGACATCAAACATGCCTTCGTCTGCCACAGTATTGATTGACCTGCTGTCAGTTATCACCCGTGCCACAGTGAATTTTCTGATCTCTCTAAAATAGTGCTCTACTGGCTTTTATGATGCTGTTGTCTGCTGAAATCAGTGTATTGAGCTTCACCTGTACGCCACAAAGGGTAAATCTCTTTTAACTTCTCAAATTGGCAATCATGGAGTGGAGTCTTAACTATGTCTAGTGTGCAAAAATAGACAAAATAGTGTGTGATATAAAAAGAATAATGCATGAATTCAAACCCAACTCGGTCATCATATTGATGCAGCTTTAGTTCAGAGTCTGTGGATTTCAGAAGAGTAAATAATTAACACACTCTGAGAAAGATGTTTTTGGATATCCTCATCCCTTGCTCTATGATTGAATTAAACTAACACTTATAATAAGTGTTTAATACTTTATTTTCCTCAGTTGTTGAAATTAAGCAAAATTTAAGTTGTTATGAGATAAAAGTGTGAAAAAAAAAACTTTGCATCTTTCATAAATCTACAACTGGAAATATAGATTTTAATTGAAGCTGCAAAGTTCCTCATCAAAGTGGTGAAAAAATGAAATAAGTAACTGTAACACCCTCCACCTTGACTTGCTTTTGACTCAACACAAACACATTTTAATTAGACAAAACTCAGTCTTTAGCCTCGACCTTCTGTGAAACCATATGGTGCTTTAAGCTGAATGTAAATGCCGCCATACTACTTTGTTCAAGTTCATATTAACTATGCTAACAAGCTAATATCACACGATTATTGGCTCACATTTACTACGCTCACTGTCTTTGTCTAGAGTGTTTGCCCGCTAATGTCTGCTTATTAGCACCAACAGGTTAGAGCAGAAGATGTGTTTATCACTATTTACATTTCCTTGTGAGATAGTTCAATCAATAGTGTATCCGTTAATGCCTTGTAGGCTGTTGGTTGTTATGAGCTCAGTCTGCTGGCCTTGGTGACCCTGTTGAGGGAAACATACCTCTGCAGATTAGGCTGTTTGGGTGTCTGGGGCGGCTGGGTTTAGGAGGGTCAGACAGTTGGGTTAGAGTTGAGAGGAGCTGAGGGTCATGTGGGACCTCGGTTTAATACGTTTGGATTCAGAGTGTGGTATCATAAAGTCTGAGAGCGAGCCGTCACTGTGGCTCCCCTTTTTGACCAAATATCTGGCATCAGACGCTGGAAGCATGTGAAATATTTATAGTTGTTGTCAGCAGAACTTTTGAACAGGATTACGACCCATTCCTCTCAATCCTGTCTGGGTGTCCTTGTTGGCTTGCGTTACATAAGAGAGCTTTAAAAAAATCAGATGTTAATATTGACATGAGCAGAAAAAGCCCTGGGAAGAGATGTGTCTTTACGATTAAACGGTGAGTTGTGGCTCAAACTTGTGTTCGTTGTGAGCACACTAGGATTTAATGCTGTATAAAACCGTAGCTCAGGTCCGCTGTCAAAGATCAAACAGATAGATTAAGGTGGAGAAGGAGCGGTTCGGAGGAGGAGCAGGCAGCAGATGCAGAAATGAGCGGATGAAATGAGGCCAGTGTCATCCAGTCTCATTTGCTATGCAGGGTTGGGAGGGGATTAGCCTCGCTTACATAACTCTGTCTCCCCCATCTTACCCCTTTTAACAAGCCCATCTCCCCCTTTTCTCCGCCCCTCACGCGCTCCACTCTGCTCAAGTCATAACATTGGTTTTGGCCCAATGATTGATTCAAATATTTTAGAAAACTTCTTTGTAGCTCAGCTGTCTTTTCAGGACAGAACATCCCGGAAACAAAAGACGTTCAGTGAGACCTCAAAATGATGAAGGTGTGGTGCAAAACCTTGGATGGTGAAGAAAGAGGAGGCTGCTGGGAAATTGTAAGAAAAGGTCTGCAGATAAAGCAAAAGAAGAAAACAGGAGGGGAAAAAAAGGGGGGGGGTTAAGTCTATTTATAGTATATCCCTGCTGTTGGGTTAGACCGCCTGGCCCAGCGCGGCACAGCTCAGCATCCATGTCAGTCTTTATGTCACTCTCCATTAGCTCTGTACACACAAACACACACGTATAGAGTGTACGGCCTGAGGGGGTAAATACAGCCTGTCACGAAAACGTGGGTCTGCTGACCTTTGACACCGGGGTAAAAAGGGAATTACACACTGATGGGTCCAACCATGTGTGAGTGTGTAGGTCTGTGTGTGCAGGGCGCTGAGGTGCAACAGTAAACAGACAGTGTGTGACATAAATACGCCGTGAAATGTGGTTGAAATTGCGTGCCATTTAGCTCAGGGGAGGAGGAGAGATCGTCTTTTTGAAGCAAATGGGACAACTCGGAGAACATTGTGTTCATTTTAAAAAGCACACATGTTCTGTGTTTATGTTTTATTCTATAATGGTCCATTTCTTTGAATAATTATCAGGGTTTTCCCCCGGCGCAAATGAGGCTGAGGTGGTTCCCTCTTCTCTCAACATGATCAAACGCTTTTTAATCACTGTGTAATCTAAAAGAGGACGATCTCCCTTTTAAGTCTGTTTCATTTAATACAACAAAGAAAACATGTTATTAATAGTTAAAATGACTTTAGAATTAAAAGTTAAAGTTGAAATTTTTATTTTGTTAAGTGCATTTTTAAGCGCCAATTTATCATGAACATTATTATTTTTGTTGTTAATAAATGTTTGGTTCTCTGCATGAAAGTCAAATTTCATGAGTCAAACATCTAAGATTCACGTATCATTAGATTGTCTTATTACAGAGGGTATACACTCACCGGCCACTTTATTAGGTATACCTGTCCAACTGCTCGTTAACACTTAATTTCTAATCAGCCAATCACATGGCGGCAACTTAGTGCATTTAGGCATGTAGACATGGTCAAGAAAAACTCCTGCAGTTCAAACCGAGCATCAGTATGGGGAAGAAAGGTGATTTGAGTGACTTTGAACGTGGCATGGTTGTTGGTGCCAGAAGGGCTGGTCTGAGTATTTCAGAAACTGCTGATCTACTGGGATTTTCACGCACAACCATCTCTAGGGTTTACAGAGAATGGTCCGAAAAAGAAAAAATATCCAGTGAGCGGCAGTTCTGTGGGCGGAAATGCCTTGTTGATGCCAGAGGTCAGAGGAGAATGGCCAGACTGGTTCGAGCTGATAGAAAGGCAACAGTGACTCAAATAACCACCCGTTACAACCAAGGTAGGCAGAAGAGCATCTCTGAACGCACAGTACGTCGAACTTTGAGGCAGATGGGCTACAGCAGCAGAAGACCACACCGGGTGCCACTCCTTTCAGCTAAGAACAGGAAACTGAGGCTACAATTTGCACAAGCTCATCGAAATTGGACAATTGAAGATTGGAAAAACGTTGCCTGGTCTGATGAGTCTCGATTTCTGCTGCGACATTCGGATGGTAGGGTCAGAATTTGGCGTCAACAACATGAAAGCATGGATCCATCCTGCCTTGTATCAACGGTTCAGGCTGGTGGTGGTGGTGTCATGGTGTGGGGAATATTTTCTTGGCACTCTTTGGGCCCCTTGGTACCAATTGAGCATCGTTGCAATGCCACAGCCTACCTGAGTATTGTTGCTGACCATGTCCATCCCTTTATGACCACAATGTACCCAACTTCTGATGGCTACTTTCAGCAGGATAATGCGCCGTGTCATAAAGCTGGAATCATCTCAGACTGGTTTCTTGAACATGACAATGAGTTCACTGTACTCAAATGGCCTCCACAGTCACCAGATCTCAATCCAATAGAGCATCTTTGGGATGTGGTGGAACGGGAGATACGCATCATGGATGTGCAGCCGACAAATCTGCGGCAACTGTGTGATGCCATCATGTCAATATGGACCAAGCTCTCTGAGGAATGCTTCCAGCACCTTGTTGAATCTATGCCACGAAGAATTGAGGCAGTTCTGAAGGCAAAAGGGGGTCCAACCCGTTACTAGCATGGTGTACCTAATAAAGTGGCCGGTGAGTGTACATACACTCTTTATTTTTATTACAGGTAGAGACATTTTTAGTTTGATCATGAAACAGAGAGACTTGTGCTTTCCTCACACACTCCCTCAGGTCTAAAATACAGTCATTGATGTGTCTGGCTGTCTCCGTGATGTGACTGTCACCTATTCATCTACCAGAACAAGTGCAAGATTATAGCTAAAATTATATTTTTAATCATTTTGACTAATATTGAAATCATGATAATTAATCATGGTTATTTATTATATATTAATTTATTTTTATGTTTATTTTTACTGTCATATACTTGTGCACAAACTCTTCCCTGGCATTTGCTCTCCACCTCATCCTTTTGCTCCAAGTGCGCCGTACTGCAGATGTTATTCACTCTTAGTTTTGGATATGTAGAAGACATTACATCACAAACAACTACAAGCAAAGTTTTTGTTTGAGCAGAGAAGGTGTTTTTAAAGTCAATAATTGCCGTCTATCTTGCTTTGTTGACTGTTGTAAGGGAACTTTAGGCTCCTTGTTTCTGCATATTTCTTTGTGTCCTGTCATAAACCCCCCCCCCTCAAGTCCTCTCTGTTTTCAATTATTATTCACATCTTTATGTAGTCCTCTTGCATACCCCCCACATACATGCTGCTACAAGCACACGTGAAATTGAGCGCATGTGTTCAAGGAGAGCAACGTGTTCCCTCTTATGCAGCCCACAGTGGGCTTTCCCCCTCTGGCTGACGTTGATGACATCAGTGTGCTAGTTTTATTATACCTGCTGCAGGCCAACACAAACATGCATATGCACACTTATGTAATTTAACTAAGTCGCCGAGCAGCTGGATACTAAGTAAGGTGTTCAGTGTTTCTGTCTTTAACTTTCTTGAGCTGATTTCTTGGAGCAGACTGAGATGGACGACTAGTCCACCTCGCAGGTTTGTGCCTACATATGTGACAGCTGATTTCAGTGCTTGTTTGCATCCAGGTAGTGATGCATTGTTGAGTTATTTTTACAATACAGTTAGACTGGAATTGTGGGACTCCAATGATAGAAATCTTGATAACTTGTTTAACTAGTACGTGATTCTTCTACAAACTACCAAAGGTGGCAGCGTTTGGCTCCAGATCCCTACTGCACCCGCTGGATATTTATATTTCACTGGTTTTTTTAGGGAGGAGAGTACAAGAAGCAAAGTGTATTTTACTCTTTCTCAAGAGCCACTGCAGGAAATGTTGCATGAGTTTTTCTTTTTCTTTTTTTACTGTGAGCTGAGGGCAGAGAGGGACCGTCCTGCAGAGTTCTTGGATGATTCATGGAACAGTCTCCGAGTTGCACAGGACCTCGTTTGTTTCTGCTGTTTCTGCCCCCGGCTCACCCTGCTCCAATAACACACTTACACTGGGGTACAACACACACACTCACACTTTCATGAGCGCACATAAACTCAGGCATTCACATCATGCAAATGTGCAGGCGTCTGCATGCTTACAGAAACAGAGGTTACGTATTCACTTACGTTTCACCCTCATCTCCTTGTGCAGCAAACTGAGGCAGAACTTGAAAGCCATCTGAAGGCTTAGGAGACTTAATTCTTGTTTTTTTGATCTTGAACCTGCTTTTGTACTCTGTCCTCACTCTGATGTATGTTATTGACCGTTGTCTTGTAAATACAAGCTTTTCTTCTTCGGGGTAGATAGTGGAATGTCTGCAGCAGTGGTCGAACGTAATTAACTTTGAGGCACTTGTACTAAATTGAGTGTTTTCATTTTCCAGTTAATAAAAAAAGGAGTCTAACTAAAGACGCATTCCTCCCCTGAACAGAAAACTCCAGGAAAGTGGTGTGTGTGACTACTTTTGTTCTTTTAGCCCTCTTAAATCATCATATGACCTCCCAGATTTATCCTGTGACCCCTTAGAGGAAGATTAGACTGCAGAACTCCACCGAAAGTCGTTTAGGAGAGCTCCACCTTAGTCATCTATGGCATCAGACTCATTTTGTATTTAAACAGTAATAGTTATGCAAAATTATGATAATTGAATGACCATAAAAAAGCTCCTTCTTGATGAATTCCTTTACATTTTGGACTTAAAAACTAATTTTGATCATCAAACTTCTGCACTTTTAATCAGACTAGGACTCTGATGTAGTACTTTGAGTTGTAATAGAGTTTTGCAGTATAGCTTTGGCACATTTGCTCCTCTAACCACTTCTTCTGGGGGCTGTAAATGAACCACACAAGCACCTTAAATTGGTTTCTATACGTTGGGAGGTTCTTGTGTCAGCACAAACCCTCCCACTGCGGTGGTCATGGATGATGAAACATGATACAGACAAAAATCTTTCAATTTTCTGCAGGCGAGGTGAACCGTGACAGCAGCGGCTCTCATGCTGTTTGTCTCAATTCTTCTTTATCCACGTTATGTTCAGCGCACAGGTCCAGTGCAGCCTGATGCTGACAGGTGCTTCTGTGAAATATGTGTAAATCTCTTGTCTGGCGGGCTGTGCATAATCTGTTTGAGCTGAAACAGAGGGGAGCATGTGCATAGAGAGGTATTTGAAATAAGAGGGAAAAAAAGCTGAAGACAGGGAGGATAAGCGAGTGCAAAAAGAGATGATTCACACCTTCCAGACTGACAAATTGTTCCAACAACAGTGGCAGACTGAGACAGACTGAGACAGACAAATCCGACGTAAATCTCTTTCTTTGGGCTTTGGTTTGAATGCTGAAAAAGCAAAAGAGGAAAACTCCCCCCCTCATTTGATTACTCCTCTCCTCTTGAGCCTCATATTTCCACATAGAGGACTCATATTAATCATCAGCTGTCTGTGAACATGCAACATCACCCAGATTTTACTAGTAAGGCTTTCACCATAGAGGTGGATTTTGTCGTGCAGCTGTGGGTGAGCATCAGCTGCAGCTCTTAAGATCGTTTACAAAGATACATTTGACCCACCATCACTGCTGCTACCCCCATCCCCCTCCATCTCATGTCATCTCATCTAATCTGGCCACCAAAGAGGCCGATTTAAGATGAGAAATCTGAGAGGAATGATGAACTGCAAAGAGAGGAGAGTTAGAGGAGAAGTGTATCGATCAGCTGTTCAGGGGGGGATTGAGCTGTATACATGATGAGGTCATGGTGGAAGTGCATGTACTGTACTAAAGTAAGGAAGTGGATGAAACACTGAGGTGTTTATAGGTTTCGATGTGACAAGTTTTCTGCAGATGGAAGTTAAAACTGATGTTTTCTTGTAAGGTAGGTGTGAAAGAAAGTGAGTTATAGACTGAACTGGGGTTACATTTTAAGCAGCAAAGTTGCACAATGGGGGATATGCACACTGGATGTATAACTTAAAGCAGGATGAGATTATCATCACAAAATACGTCCTACACATGAACAGCACAGGACAAATTTAAGGTTCAAGGGTATCTTTATTATCCCTAAGGAGCAATTTGCTTCACAGCCAGCAGTATACACACAGTTCACACAACAGTTTAGACACATGTAAAAACAAAGCACATGAAACAGAGCATTGGCAATTCAGCAAAGAGGACCACTTTATCCAGGAGAGGCACTAAAATCAGCCAGAGTCCCTTATGAGAGCTTGAAATGCCTGAATGTATGTAAACATTTGATGTGTATAAAAATGTATGTTTGAGGAACCTTTGCAGAACCTGAAGGTCCCGAAGGTCAAATAAAAATAGTACCACTCTTTGCAGCATCAGCAGTTTAATGCAGCTAGTATATAAAGTATTTCTGTGTTAATCATCTGATTATGTAATAATATAGAACAAAAGTGTCCTGCAGGATGAGTAACTTAATTTCAGATCTAAATCTGTTCATTATAATACTACTCTTTCACATTATTGTATTTAGAAACCATGGTCTCAGTTTAAAATTTTCGCTAGATGGATGTTACTTAATTAATAAATATAGTTTTTTTAAGCAGATGTTTTCTATATTTTATGATCTAACAACAGTGTTTCTCAAATTCAAATTCAGTTTTGGAAGAGGGTATCCAACTTTAAAGCTGCCAGACTCAGACATGCCGCCCTCTAGTGAGCAGAACTGGATCTGCACCGAGCCTGACCTGAGCTCCTTGATCAGGAGTGAAGTGCAAACTAACAGGAGTGGAAGTTTAATATATTCAGCAGATAGATCCGTCAGAGCAGCGCGGCCAAATGCAGTTCCCTTTGTTGTATTTTTTTCCTCTAACCTTTAAGATGAATGGCCCTCATTAATCATGGCCATTTGTCTTCAGTTGTAAGTCTAGAGGTCAGTGATTAAACCTCTCTCTGTAACACAGCCAACCCCTCATTCTCATTTTCTCTCTCTCTCCCTCTCTTCCATGATCTGTCACTCCCTCCCTCGCTCCGTGGATCAGAGAGAGGGAGTTGCATTTCACCGCTGCTCCGCTCTGCTTTTCATGCCTCTGATGTTGTCTGCCACCAAATCCCTGCTGAATAAAAGTCAGAAATTGAAGCAGCAAATCATGTTTTATGTATGTGTGCTTACACAATGAAAGCAGCCTGGAAAGTGGGCCAAGCATCACACAGGGCATATTATGGCAACAAAGCAGCTTTCCACTTTCTTGGAGAAATGACAGCAGAAGCAGGCAGAGTGCCGGGCACGGAGTACATGAGCGTTCATTTAATGACAGCAGAAAATGGAGAGAGGGATACAAAGAAATTACATTATTTGACTCCTCCTTTCCTGGGAAGAAGTGTTTTACTATTATTGATTCTATCCTGGTGTAGAAAATGTGCTTTTGACTTGTCAGCTCTGTTAGATCTGTCCAGGGAGGAGCAAGAGGACAACTTTGACAGTGGGCCTATCACATTTTGTCACTGAGACTGTGGGAATATTGTGTTTGTATGGAGGAAGACATCACTTACCTGTCTCTGGTTGTGTCTGACTGAATCTGCATTTTTAGATTGTAAACTAGTGTTTATTTTCTTCATGGTATCTCAAAAAATCCACCAAGTTTTGTTGTCAGTGTGAGAAAAAATGACATCAAACTGATTTAAGGGAAGCAGATGACTTTCTACCATGAGTCTGGTTCTCCTCGAGGTTTCTGCCTGTTAAAGGAGATTTTTCTTTGCCGCTGTAACTTGCCAAATGCTGCAAAGTCTTGGACTGATGTAGATGGAGATGGGTTCACAAGGGCACTGATCTTATCCCAGCTTTGTGCTGAGTCTTTGTAAATATGATGAAGAGTATGATCTAGACCAGCATCTTCAGGTGACATTTGTTGAGGGTTGGAGTTATATGAATACAGACTAATATAGTATTGACTTGGAAAACTGTAGATCAGGCTGTTTTTTAGGCCTTGTGTCAATCATCTGCTCTGTCACCAACCTCCGCACAGTGTTTTCAGGAATTTCCTCACTGTACCTTTAACTCTTAGTGCAATAGTCAAACAAAAATGTCAAAGCAGAGGCTGCTCACATGTGAAAATGAGAAATCATTTACAATTTTCAATAAATCAACCTGTTATGAATTGAGCACTATTAAGTGTTTGTTAAGAATGCTTTTTCCAGTTTTGTGTTAGTCTGTTAAAAATCCCAAAATGTATCACTGGACCTGAAACTTCATTTTCTGAAGATTGATTAAGAGTGTCTAATTAAAATTCCTGACAGGAGTTTTTAACTGGATATGAAATCAGCAGAAATTAATACTCCTCTGTTAGAACTGCAAAAGCAGAGAAAAGTATTAGTAACCAGACTGAGACATGAGTAATGTAGTCATTTTTGATGTCTGAAACTGCTGATCAAGATAGATGTAAGATGAAGCATTCTGCAGGAAAAATACACAATTGTTTGTGTTTTGTCATGATAAAGAAAACAGTGAATGATGTGTCTAACTGCTCCAAGGAAGACAAAGGGAGAAGATAAAGGTTTTGTCCACAAACAAAAAGTTTCTCACTGTAGCTTTAAATAAAGGATTTATAGTTTTTTGATTTTACAACAGGAAACATCTTAAAACAGCACAAAGCATCCTGCATCTGTCTAAAATAAACATCGATGTGTTTCAGGACTGAGGTGAACCCTCCTCTCTCCTACACGAGTCACCTTGGCGCAGATTTAGCTCCTCCTTCAGTGCGATGACAGCCTCTGTCTCCTTCACCCCACTTTACTCCTCATCAGCTCAGCATTCAGTTATATCAGAGCCATAACATTAGACGCATCGTGATTAACAAAGCGAACTCTTGTCTCACATCCTGCATAACTTTTAATGACACCCCGCGCAGGAGTTAATACTGCGGCACCCTGTGGGGGCGCCCCCCTAAATCATGGTGTCATTGTACCCACATTAAGTGTGGTCCCTGTGGAGAGGACATATGCTGCTATAGCTGTGTAATCTATCCACTAGTGATCTAAAGGATTAATAATCTCCATCTAATCTGCACCCATGGGTCCACATCGAGCGATGCAGAGGGTGAGATGTCATATTCTGATTATAGATACTGCACAGTGTGTGTGACTGTGTGTGTGTGACTCTGTGTGTGTATTTATGAGCTCTTCTGGCAGTGATCATTACAGTGACAGAGGTCATCTCATCTGGCCTCGATGTGGGTTTTATGAAAATTAAAAAATGTAAAGCTGACCACAAGCTGGCTGGGGTCGGGTGTATGCAATCATGTGTGTACATACGTGTGCGTGTTTATGTGCAAACATTTCAGTGCATGTTCTTGTGTTTGTGAACCACAGCTCCTTTAAAACTCCTCTTTTCTAACTAAATCACTCCAAAAGGATCGATTGACCTACAAAAGGCATTCATTGAGAAGCAATTCTTTAACTCGGGGGATCCCTCTGGCTTTTTCTCCAGCGCCACCATGAGGTTGACATTGACATTTGTATATTTGGGTTAAATGTCACAACAAATGCTGCATGAATTACCATAAATGTAGTAACACTGTAACTCTATGTGTAAAACATGCAGCAAAAAAAAAAAGTTATATCAGCACTTAGCTGCATGGCAAACAATTGAAAGCCAGTGCATATCAGAGTATGGACAGAAATTCACAGCAAAAAGGGTAAAAGATCCTGCAGCATGAAGTTAGTTCAGCAACTTTAATAAGATGCAGTCATATCTGACATGAAATGTTTGCACCACAGTTAGAAAAATCCCCAAACTGGACAACAATTATTAAACTTGATGGCTGAAAAGGTAAGGAAAGAAGACAAATTATTAAAAATGACAGTACAGCACGTCTCATACCTGTTAAGGCTCAGCCTGTATTTTCACGAATTGGATTCCCGGAGGGGGCTGGCATTTGAATTAAGTGAAACTGGGAACCCATCTGCTATTGTTTGACAACAATCAGACCTCTTGGATCAATTACCGACTTTTGTGGCTCCAGGTGTAACCTAATGTTAGCAGTCAAGAACTATTTTCAGTCTAACAAGCAACATGAAGAAAGAGAATGCAGTTTTTGTTGTTCAAACACCGGGCCTCGGAGCAGATTGTCATATGCACTTGCAAGCAGATGTCTGTTTATAGACATTAATTGGAGCTAAATCTTTGTTAGATGATCAACTAAAGGTAACATTGTAGCATTATGGCATGTCTCCTTTTTCCTCCGGCACTCTCCACATTGACTGACATACTGCTAAAGCCTGCCACATTGTGGATTTTGGGGCCTATTTCTTGGGCAGCAGTCCAAAACCAGAACACTTTCAATTCCAAAATCTGCCTACAGATTCTACATTATTCTGCAGGATCTTTAAGTAGAGATTAGAATAAAGTTAATCCTCCTCCCAGTTATCTCTCCAATTTCACCCTTAACCCTTCTCTGTGTCTCTCAGGGGAGACCTTGACCATCTGTCCTCCTGGAGGCTCCTCATTAGGACGAAAATCTTTGCTTCATTGGTCTCATAAGATCAGGATGTTTGTCATCAGGGTTTGATTTAACAAAAGCGAGACACACAGGCAATAAATGAGTCTGAAAATGGATTAAACTAAACTATTATCTAATGGCAGAGATCCCAGATTATAATTGCCACTTTTATCAGTCATGCCATAACTGACCTCTAGCTTTTTGGAAACCCATAAATATACTGATTGGGGCATTCTTAATAAGGTTAGCTGCTTCAGAGCTGTAAAGAAACCTAAAGGTTTGATCATCATGGTTTCTGGGATCATATGTCAAAATGAATCGACTCGAAAGAATATTTTCTGTGTTAGACTTGCATTTTGTTGCACCTCAACAGCAGATTTTGTTTGTTTAATTGATGTGTTTAGTTTCTTTTGCTTTTGGGGATATTTAAGTTCATAATTTGTGTTAATGTTATTTAAAATTAGACGTTAATCCTCTTCTTCCACCTGAAAGCCATGTGTGGGAGGACAGAAATCTCTCCCTGATCAAAGTCTCACCCTAAAAGCTCATTTTCTTCAAAGCCAAAACACAACATTCAGCTCCAGCTAATACAATTTGCCTTGACAATACCTGATTTTTTTTTCCTGCAGTCCATCTCTGTGACAATAGCTATGAAAGAGCCCAGTCAGCATCTGTTCATGGCTCCTGAAAGCAGCTCTTAGACTTGGCTCAGCAGCGGGGTGATGTGGCAGCACTGACCCCTGCACCGGGACAGACCGGCCAAAATCAATACCTCTATCGTATCACTTATCAGACTGTTACAAGCTGGCTGATTACCTCATTGGCTGCATGAGGAGAGAGAGGAGGAAGACAGGGGTGAGATCAGAGGATAAAAAAACCGAACTGACAAAGAAAAGGTGTATTTGCATTTTTGGGAAAGGAGCTGAAACCCTTTGGTGTAGAAATGGAATAAGATCGCTCTTCTTCTCTGTCACTGGACAAAGAAAACGAGTGGTTGGCATATTGAAGGTGCAAATACAGAGGAGTCTATTTCTTTCTCCATTCAGCTGAAGTCAGATAAGCCCAAAGAATGATATTGATGGTCTCCAACCCAGCCAATAAACCAGGAAACACAATTATAGCTGAAACAGGTTATTACGTGATAACCAAAATCAATACAGTACAAAGCTCCCCTGCCATGTTACATCATGTCTTTCAAACTGTAGTCTCTTTCTCTCTACTCCCTCTGTTTTATAAGTTTCAGTGGAGTCGTCTTTTGTGCGTCTGACTTTTTAACCTTTTGGTTGTCAGTGGTTGTTACCTGAAAAAAAACCTTTGGTTGGGGTTATGAACTCTGAAGGCTTGAAAAAGTTAAGTCTCTTTTTCGGATGGGGGTGGAGGCACTGTGCTTTTACTTGACAGCTGACAGTAGAAAGATGACAGATAGATGAGAAAGATGTATGAAAAACATCTATCGCAGGAGTTGAAGTGAGGACTCTGTGGTTCATCATTGTCCCTGAATAACCTCAGCACCCTTTTACTTTTATTATCTCAAATTTATAGTTTAAATGGTAAATTGACCGCACTTGTAAAGAGCCTTTCCAGTTGCTCAGACCCAAGGCGTTTCTTTACTATATTCACCTTTTCACACACATACATTCACACATTAATTACAGGCCACTAGCAAGATAAGCAATGATGCCATTGACTGTATGTAAAGATAGATGACACACCCCCACCTCCCATTGTTGTACAGTAAAGCCAAAATTTTATCTGCAAAATTTGGAGCCAGATAGTGCAATAAGGATCAGCTGGTGGGGCTGAAGTCTTGACATGTTTCCTTTCCTACTGACCCTGACAACATTTGACAAACTGATAAAATAGCAAATACTCATTAGGGAAGAGAAGAACTTACTACAGGATGTTATAAATGATACCGATAAGAATGAAGTCATGATATAGCAAAGATAAAGTCAACATGTCATGATAAAGTTATTGTTTATGGTTTAAAGTAAGCACCCAGCGACCAAAATGAGAATAATGGAGTTCTAGCTAAACTGAATGTAATGTTTTGGTACCTCAACACCACAGTGTTTTAAATATCTTGACTCTGGAAGGATTGTGTGGTATCCACTTCTAAACAGCAGTATGAGGCTTATTGTTGACTAAATTAACCAGTTTATCTTTGTCCCGTAATGACTTTAATCTCAGGATGTAACGTTACCACTTTATTTCTCGTAATATCACTGTATCACTCCTTAGTCTTGAAAGATAATGATATCAATATGACTGTATTCTTGTTATGACTAATGACTGAAATAATGTATAAGAAATAATGTATTACATTTTTTATATTTCACTTTGACCCATGCCCCATCTATTGACAAAGAGAAGCAGGTGTTATGATCAGTGCTGCTGCTGGCCTATAGGGGGATCTCCGAGGTTTTGGGTTCACTTTAGAGGAGCTGACTTGCCCTTTTGTTAAAAACAGTCTGCTGTCTTTTACTTTTCTGACAGTTGTTGTTAAAATTACTCAAAGTGAGTAAAAAGGTTGCTCCATCACTGCTTGATCTGTATAAAAATGTACAAGGATATAACCATCTTTTGTTTACAATTTGTTTCTAGCAGCCAAAAATACTCTTATTGCAACTTTAATGAAATGCTCTTTAATGAGGCTGCAGTTTTTAGACAGCAGGTTAACATTACAGCTTTTGTGTTTCCCCTCAGGTTGGAGGAGAGAGTCAGAGAGGAGTGAGGTCCTGGGATGAGAACTCTCTGCATTTTCCCTGCCTCCCCCAGACCTCCAGGAGGGGTACGCTGGTCAACACTCTGAGGTAAAAAAACAAAACAAAACACCCTCTGCAGACAAAACCCTCCTCTGACGACGCTGACCTTCAATATTTGCTGACTCAGACGTCCCCCCACTCCTCCTACATCACTTGTTCTCGACTCTTTCTCTCCCACCCTTTTGGTGCTGCTCTTTCTCTCTGCTGTCTCTCCAGGAGTCTGGGGACATTGATCAATGGTCTGACTTGTTGGTGGTGTGGGCTCAGTTTGGGGTGACCTGCTGTGGTCACTTTGTCACACACAGACAGGCATACACATTTATGGAAATAGGGGGTCTTGGCCTCCCTCTTTGAAGTGTCCGGTTTAGGGATTGGGATTGGGAATGGATGGCAGTTGGAGTGTGCAGCACAGAGGGAGGAGGGGGAAGATTAAGGGTCAGGGGTCAGGAATTTGGGGATGAGCCATGTTGTCCCATACGGCAGCCGGCTGCATCCAAGAAGACAATGTTTTTGTTTACTTCTTCCGCAGATTTAATGTCTCAAGACTTCCTCTTTTGATTAAAACTCCAGCGAGGAGGTTCGAGCAGGTTATGGAACAGACTGAAATTAAAGGTGACACCTCTTTGTGACATGAAAAGGTAAACAAGAGCATCAAAAATAAGACTGGTTCTAGATTTAAAGGCCTGTAACTAGTGTAAGAGGACAGGTGTCAGACCAAAGGGTTGTCAGCATGCTTGGTTTATTTTTACAACTGCAAATATTCACAGTAATGTTTGGTGTTAAAACAGAAAACACTACTTTTGCAGGTATAGGATATAAGTTCAGCTAAGATGACGGGTATTTCTATCCACAGGGAGCGCCAAAGTCAACACAAACAGTCCTCACAGGATCGTAAAGTAAATATAAATCCTTTCTCCCTGGAAAGCCTGGAAAAATATGGCTTTTAAATTTAGAAAAAGGTTCAAAGCATATCAAATTTCAGAATAACTACGTCAATCGAACTCTCACTGAAAATATACTTAAATAATTACTGTCAGAGAGCGAAGAAAAACACAGCCTAATAAATATAGTGATGTTTTGATTGACTCTGTGCATGTAAAGATTAGCTTTACTGCTTGAATAACTCATTATTGACCAAACAAACCTGTGAAAACCACAAATAAACATCCAAGATTGACTCTTCACACTGCTAGCTGCCAATAACCGTCCTAAAAGGGATGCTAACTTTGGATGTGCATAGTTGGTTTGCAGAGTTCATTGCATATTTTTTGTGAAATATACTAAACATCTAGAATAATATGCCAAGGACGGTCTGCAGAACAATAGCTGACACTGTTGTAGTCTACTTGCAATGATTCTTCAGGTCAAACTAGTTCTTAACACGTCTTAAAAGTTACATAAACTTTTACTAAGAAGCTTGTTTTTGTTATTCGGTCCGCAGGGGCTTTATCGACAGTTGCGTTGATTGGTTTTGCACAGCTACATCAAGGTTTAGAATTTGTTTTTCCTTCACCATCAGTCACCACTGCAGACCGGCGTCCTCTCCTTACCGGCTCAGTCCTCAGCATTTGTAAGATTTGTGTGATGAGAATAACCTGTGGCCAACGCAGCAGCAGCTGTCTTCCTCTCTTCTTTCCACCGTCTCCATTACAGATCCTCCGCTCTTCTCTGCTCCCCGTCTTTCCTCCAGTCCAGCTCCACCTGTCCCAGCCCAGCTGTCCCCTTCCTTCATTAGCTGTCTCACATCGATACCCACCGCCTGCTTTGGCAAGGTCACTTTCAAAATACAAAGGACTCAGTCTGATCAGCGTTGCTCTTAGCAGGAAGCCGTTAAATCAGATAGTTGGTTTAGAAGTTTGTGTAAGGGAACATTTAAAGTAATCAGTGCACTTTTACCAACATTTAGAGGACAAGTTGCAGCATCTGAGGGCGTCTTTGTTGTAAAGATTGGGGCTTTATCTTTATCAGAGTATAAGAAATCTTCATAAAATCTCACAGGCACCTGAATTTCTCACTATGAATAATAGAAATACGAGAGTTTTTTTGGGAAACAATCAAAGCTTTCTTATCCAGCAGGCATATATTTTGAATATTTTTAACAACATTGTGTTAAACTTAAGGAGAAGCAGTTTGAGGGTTGTTGCAATTATGCACTGGTAATATTTGGTTATTTTTCACACTCCACCAGCTCGGGACGTATTTATAACATAATTACACATTGCATATTTTTCCAATTCGGTGCAGGTTTCGTAGGAATTGCCAATAGCTAGGCATTTGGCAACAGAAGAAAACTGGTAGAGACTAAAAACAGAGCAAAAAGGAAAGAGGTCCGTATTAAAATTATGTGTCCAGACAACTTTTAATGATATACAATGTTATGTTAAATTTATTAACAGGCCACAACAACTTAATGAAATGATATAATGTGAATGTTGCATCCAGAGTTTGAGCACTGCCCCCCAGTGTCCAAAGTCATCAATAACATCACCATCGAGATTTTGCTAAGTAACACGGCTAAATAAATGAGATTTGAAAGAACTAGAAAATGGGATGGACAAGAAGTCAACTTAATTATCCATAGCAAGCCTCTAAGCGCCAAGTTAGTGGAGATATTATGACTATTTTTGATGCTCAAATGGAAACCTTGGTTGACTCGCACACACACTCACTGTCACACACACATTTAGAAGACTCAAAAGCTTTCTGGTGTTGTGTTTCCAGCATGCAGAGGTGGGCTGTGTTAATGGCAGTAAAGTGCCAAGTCAGAGCACAGAAATGAACTCTCCTCTCACTTGTTGTACGGCTGCAGGACTCAGAGGGAGGTTCAGGGAAGTTCCAGTAAAGCTAGAGAGAAGACACACAGACACACACACATACACACACACAAAGACACAGACACACTATTCTCTCTCAGCATTACTCAGCCCTCCTACTGGTTTTCCATGGAAGCACACAACAATAAACTAAGACTTGTTAGTGTTGTGGACAACAGCAGGGCACTGAGTGTGTTGTACATATACTTTAGCCTAGTTCTGAAACAAACCGTAAATTACAGTCGCAGTGACAAGTTTCTGTGAGTTATACAACAGACCAAAATTAAAACTGATACTTCTTCATGTCCTAAAAAGCAAACAAGACCATCAGCAACAAGACTGATTATAGATATTCTGAACTTTAATGTCTGTAATTGCTGCCATGGTGTTGATGTCAGTTGAGATTATTTACTCTGCAGCCTTTTAATTTACATTTTATGTAGAAAATATCCACATTGAGTGATAGATTAGAGTGTTTAAAGAAAGCAGGATGAGATTTTGGCAGAAAGTGCTACCATGCACCGGAAAGGATAAGCAAAGAGATAAGATGTGTCTTTTTGTCTCCAGGGGGCGCCAAATTCAACACAAAATAAAAGTTATGGTAGAGCCCTCTATTGAATTAAGCTGCTGTGAGGGACTTTCAGTTTGTGTTGGTTTTGGCACCCCCTGTGAACAAAGCGGCACTTTTTATGACTGTTTTCATCCTGTACAAGGGTTAACATTGTTATTTCAAGCAAAATCTCTCATCCTGTTGTCAAATCTGTCCCTCTGACATAGAAACTGCAAGAAAATACAGCTTTAAGTAAAAGAAGTAGACCAACACCGAACCCCCTCTAGCCTCTTTTAATGTTAAAAATATCTAAATAAAAATGATTGACCTTTGTGCTACTGGTCTCGTTTGTTTTTGCAGGTTTTATGGAGGCATTGATGTTTGTTTCAGTCTGTTTCTTGACAAGATAAAAACTCCTCACAGTAGCTTTAAAAAGCAAGTGAAATGGTTTTTAAGTGTCTTTTTGTCATGAGGATTTAAGCTCTGTGCACCATGGATGTTACTTCACAAGGTCATGAAAAATTGTATCTATCGGTCAGGCTAAAAATGGCTTTACTTTGGTGTTTCTAGTTACTCAAAAGTGAGGATTTGCTGCATTGTTTGGCCTTATTCTAATGTAATTGGTTGCATCCTCGGGAATACTGACTGCTGTTTTGAGTGAACAAAACATCATAATAAGCTCTTGGAGAGATTGATAAGCATTTGTTGTTTGCTATCGATGCTTGATCAAAATCTGTTTTTAGGTTTAATGCCACGAGTTACTAAACGATAAAAATAATGTTGATGTTCCCCTCGCTATTGTTGCTTTTGTCTTTTCCCTATTCAATACTTTGTTTTGCTTGTTTAAGCTATTCAGTATTTGATTTAAAAAAGTGAAGCCTTCAGTTGTGTTAAGAGATCACAAATGAGAGTCGCATTCTCAAAAGATTGGAGGTCAGTGTACCTAATAGAACAAATGATCAGCATTTACGGTCTTTTACATTTTATCACAGTGTGTCTGTCTCAACCAAACCCGCTCTTTGTGAGTGTCATTACCTCCCAACCAACAACCTCATCAAAAAACCCAGAATACAAAAATCTGTGGTGGTTTGACCTTCCCCTCATTCACTCTCTGCTTTCTGTTACCACCTCACCTTCATGTGCACGAGAACGCATGTGGAGTGTGCAGAGATGAACAGAAACATGTTACGTAACTCACCCCATCTGAATGAACTGACTCCCCCTTTTCTCTGAAGCTGCTGCAGCTCTTGATGTAGTCGTTGTTGTTTGATAATTGCATAATTTAGCGTAACTGTGATTTTATGAAGCCTGAGGACAGATGCTCAAATTTGGGAGTAAAAAGGAGGTGTTCCCCTGATGAATTTGGGCCGTTCTGCTTTTACAAACACCCCCAAAACAGAAATAATGTTCAAACTGGTGCAGGATTATGTTGATGCAGGGAATATGGGTTAAAAAGAAGGGGATGGAAGAAGCGCCGGCTCAAAAGAGAAGGGGGGAGGAGAGGAGAGTAGTGTGTTAAAAAAGAGGGAAACTAGAAGCAGGGGGGGGCTGGCAGACAAAAATGAGAGAGGGGAGGGGAGGAATGAGGGAAAGGAGGAGGGGGAGGCGGTGCTAAGGCAGACAGCAGGGAAGGAAAGCTGAGAAGAGGAACAGTGGAGTGAAGTGAGAAGAGAGAGGAGGAGAGGACAGGAGAGAAAAATAAGGGGGCTTCCATTTAAAAGTGTTGGGATATGAAGTCCTGGTGCGGTGTGGAGTTAACTGCGTGAAGGTGGAGTGTGGCAGAGAGCAGACTGACAAGTGGACGAAGGAGGAGAGGCAGAGATCAGAGTGAATTTTACTTCTCTTTTTTCCACGAGAGACGGAGACAAGTGGAGGCAGCGATGCAGGGCTCTTGCTGGGGTGAGTGTGTAGTGAGTGTTTGTGCGTGCGTCTGCACAAGAGTGTGTAAAATACGACCATAAGTCTTTAAACTTGGACTCATTTTACCTCGCTTTTTCATCCAGTTTGACTTCCTTTACATTGATTCGTTGGCAGTAACTTTGTATTCATGAGCACCTTGAATCAGCGTGAAGCCACTTAAAAGGGTGTCAGTTGCGGAAATGCCAATAATGGAAGGTGTGTAACGGAAAGAGTTGGAGACAAAAGTTGCTTGGCGGGCCTATTCACATGGAAACACTGATTTCAGCAGCACTGGAGGCTGGTTCAGGAATGCTGCAGGGCAAAAAGGTTGGAGGGGACCTCTTGAACGTGGATCTAATTAGCAATAGTCGCACAGAATGAAATTAATACTCAGATTAGTTAGATTGTTTTGATCTGCGTGGTTGGATTTCACTGTTAACCTGATGCTAAAGTTCTCCTCTGTGGTCTAAATGACCCTAAAGACATTCAGGCTGCACATGCAGAGGCACACACATGCTGTCTTGGATTTTGAGAGGTGGGATGATGGGTTTTTGGGTGTCTAAGAGCCCAGATTTTCTAATCCTGATCCTGGGTAATCTGCTCATTCCAGTCCGTCGGGGGTATTGATTTGAAATTTTAGCCCCTAGAAAATCTGTTCTTCCCTTTGGACAGTTGGCCTTGAGGAGAAAAGAGGAGAAGAAGGAGGAGGAGGAGGAAGAGGAGGAGGGGAGTGTTATTTAATCCATCTGCACACACTCACACTGAAGATAAGAAAGAGCATGAGGCAGCAGATATATTTCCAGCAGACCATTAGGCTGCTTCTTCAAAGTTTGACCCTAACGGAGCATGTTTTATCCAGACAACTCAAAGCGAATCATCGTGTTTCTTTTGATGATCGAGCACTTTGGGAGACACGGGCTGCTGTTGTTTCTCTTCTATCTTCCCCACGCGTGTAATTACAAGCTCTTTGTGAGCCCTGGGCCACATATTGAAGTTTCTCATCAAGTTTGTTATGTGTCAGCAGATACGTTTATAGTCTGAGCGGTTAGAGGCCCGTCCATTCGCTCCACTCTTCTGTTGTAGCTGTGTGTGTGACGGTGTCATGTCGAGGTTTCGTTTGAACGCACGTTGGGTAAAGACTGTAATTACCAAGTCTGGGTTTTTGGCAGGGCTGAAGGACTGACGTTTGACTCTATAAACACTGCGGCTGTAAACGGGCAGGTGTCGAGACGCAAACGTTGACATAAAGTTGAAGTGGAGGTTTGTGGCGGAGAGGAGAGGAGAGGAGTGTGGTCATAGGAGGAGAGGATGGGTTACCTCATCTGCTCTGAACAAAACAAATGAGGTATATGTGAGTCACGTGTTTCTGCAGGTTACATATGTAAGCCTTGCCAGCCGTGTTGACTCACGCTTTCTGTGGGTTCATGGTGTGTTTAAGTACGGTAAAATGAAGACTGTAAAGTAGCTCCAAACAAAAGCTAATGAAACTTTTAATTGCACTCTTTATTCTTTGGTTTTCATCATCTTTGATTCTTGGTTCCAAGTTGATAAAACACAGAGAAACGTCAGTTAATATTGATAACTAATGCCTGTGCAGATATTGGCCAAAAGCTACATATGCCTCTTAGCAGGCATTACGAATCAACCTCAGTGCTCACATAACCAATCAAACATCAGCCTGACATTTTTATCCCTCAATGCTGATTTTAGATTGGTCCGTTTTAGCCTGAAATCACTCTCCATAGACAAGCCTAAAGATGATGATCAGGATGTTGTGGGATTTCTTGAGGAGGCCGCCTGATGTTACAGAAAAGTTTACTTCCAAAGCAGATAAGGCTTTTGTTTTAGAACAAAAGAAATATATCTTTACCATCTTTCCACATGATTGGCTTCTGTCAAGAGCTAAACACTGGTAAGGTATGCACATAAAGCTAACTTTCCCCCCATATGAGTCTACAGCTGCGCCATAATGAAACTTCACCTTGGTACTTGTGCATATGACCTACAACAATGTCCATGTAAACCAATATTGGGAGACAAAAAGTGCTGTTTCACCGTGTAGGATCACTTGCAGTCATTGGTTTTGCCTCTGACTACACCCTGTACTGTACCAGCTCAAACTGGACAACCTCTTCCCACCATGACGCCTCTGTGACATTTACTCTGAGGGTAAGATGTGACAAGAAGTAAAAATGTCCTGTCTTGAATGTACTATTAATTAAATTTAATGAGACTCTTGACTCACAGACTACAAACTGTGGCTGTGCAATGAAATAGCTCCAAAACATTATATTTTTAAGGTGGCCAAAGTGCTACAAACACAGGGAAAGTGCTCATTTTAAGCAGCTATTCCCATAGTTTTCATGGTAAAGTAAGAACTTGTTGGGTTTTTAGACATGAGAAGGACATGGGCAGGTAAGAGCAGGTGAATCTTGCAGGAAATGGGTGATTTGGTTTTCCTGCAAAGTCAAATAAACAACTTTTTACCTCAGAGAAGGGGATACAAAGGAGGAGGGAGAGTGAATAATAATAATACTTTGTGAGGTAAAAACAGCAGACCTTTGAATCTATTTTTTGCACCAAGATGTCTTCATTCAGACAGACTACTTCAGATATTTGATAAAAGATTCGAGCCTTGATTCAGACTCGACTCTGACTGTCTATCCTCTTCTCTGTAACTTTCCTGTTGAGTTAAAAATGGTGCTAGTTTTTTGTGCGAAACCTTTTATATGAAAAGCATTCAAGAAACTGAAGACGGTAGACTTAAAGAAAGAGAAACAGGAAGAGTGAGAGACAGGAAAGCTTCGAAGTTGGCCCGGCTTCTCTTGAGTTTGCTGAATGAGAGTTTTCCACGCCAGTCTGTCCCCCTCACTCCATTTTTCCTCGTGTTTACAGCAGCACGCTCAGTTTGTCTGAACACACATGTGCTTCGTTTCCATGCTGGATATTCTCTCAGATGAGTAGAAGTGAATTATATATCATACATCGAGGTTGGCACACTTAAAACTAAGGCGTTGCTGCTTATGTAATAGCTGCTGTGGGACTCATTTGCCTGGCTGTTTTTAGGAGCACGGGGTGTGTGGGCGGCATTGTGTGCGTTATTTTCTGCCTCAGCTTTGATCAGTGATTTCAAAATAAAGCTTTGACACCTTTGCTGAGAAATTTTAGCTGTCTTGGCCTACTTTTTTCCGCTGAAACATGGAAGAAAGTAAAAACAGCTCTCCTGCAAATCCAGACTCGTGTCACTGCCCCCTCCTCACATTGTGGGTCACATTGTCAGTCAAAGTGTTGTTGCTTTCAGTGCGAGATAACCGGCCCCTTCTCTGTGCTGTCTGCCCTCTGTTAAACTGAAACAATAGCCCTCCACAGCCAAAGCAGCAGGGGGGAAGGAAGCAGAGTTTAGGAGGGAAAATGTGACTTCTCTTTCCAGATTTGGGACAATGAGAAGCCAGAACGACTCGAGCACCTGGATTTTCCAAAATACACTCAAGTAAACATCATGCCAGGGACAAACGATCTGCTCCGACGCTGATAAGACATCAAAGCTGCCAGGGGAATAAATTTTCAAAGTCAAGGAGTGAAGGTTGGACTGGGCATTGATCCTGCCAAACAGTAGTCCACTGGCCAGGCTAATCCTCGTGTCTCTACCACTGGTATTCTCAGTATTTCCAGTGTCTGCGGGTCTGACCGCTGACCGCCGCTGGATAACTGTCAGTGGCTGGAAATACTCTCGGAAAATCCAACATTCGGAGAAGACCAGGAATGTCAGCCATCTTTCCCTTTTTGAATACTGTTACCTCAATTTCCTCTTTAGTCAGCTGACTGTGAGCTTGCACGTGCTGTGAAAATGTGCTGCTCTTGGATGCTGAGACAAATACATTCAGAATCAGAACTCAGAATCAGAGTTTGCATCAAATGTCTGGACAGATCCATAACCTTATTAATTGATGACCTTCATGGATCAAAAGTTCCTGGTTTTACTTTTCAGGAAGTTTCCACGCCCTGATTTTTTAACCACATTGTCCAAGATAAAACTAATTTATTAAAGCGGTTTGTTGAGAGTAATTTGTTTAGAAAATAAACTGTGTCTCATAATAATTTACCTTAAATAACCTTTAATGTCTTTTTTGAGCATATCAGTGTGTATGTCATATTAAAGGGATATTCGGGTGCAAAATTAAGTTGGGGTCAAACACACCCTAACACCGAGTTACGATCATAAATGTTCTTTCTTGAGCTGCGTCACCCCACTGCAGTCGGTGATGGACTGGCCCAAGGCCTCTGTACAAACAAGCTGCTGCTGGAAGAGAGTAGGTGAGTTGTGTTTAGTCTCTTTGCTAAAGAAATCAGGCAAAGCCAAATAGATGTTTGGTGGCTAGTACTATGGCTAGGACCATATATGTACTGTTGATGAAGTTAGGTGCTGTTCTGAGCATTATTTGTGGCTATAAAATGGTGTTTTGGTTGAGGTTTGTTTATGGCTCTTGAGACTGCTGTGTATTGCTATCGTGCGGTCGTTACTTAAGTTGGTATAACTAGAGAAGCAAGCAGTCGGCAACTTTCATCTCTCAACGGGGTGTCTAACTTGGTGTTCTGGTGTGTTTGACCCTAAATTAATTTTACGCCTGAATATCCCTTTAAAGGGGAAGTTTTTTTTCAAGATTAAAAAATTGTCTATCAGTAATACTGATGCTCTTTCACCATTATTTCACCAACAGTCATCGTCCCTGGTGTTTTAAAGTTGAAGGAGGTTTCAATGACAACCTAATTTCCCTCATATCAATAATTAAGTACATACATTAAAGCTCTAGATGCCCCATGATTTGCTTTTTCATTTGGGAATTTTTCCTCAGCTAAATGCGTGTGTGTAACAACCACAATTAGTCTAGCTGGCATGCCCTCCCTATGGAGACACTAACAGGGCACCTCATTTCGAGTGAGGCCCTCGAATCAGCCTGTGATTGACAGATTGTGTCCCCAAATCACCACAGTGTTTTCACAAGGCTGTGTCGCTACTTTCATGTAATCTAATTTCAATAGATTGCTGGCTGCTCTCACTGTCAACCCCCACAGGGAGTTTCTCCGCAGTTATAAGTGTGAGTGTGTGTGAGTGTCTGTGTGTGTGTGTGTGTGTGTGTGTGTGTGTGTGTGTGTGTGTGTGATGGAAAAAAAACTCAGTCCTTGGTCACCCCACTCTCTTGCAGCCCCTCACTTCTGAATTGAGGCCAGATGCTTTGAGATGCTAAAGAGCCAACCTGTGCGCTGTCAGACCGTCTGAAACACACAAAACTCACTCACTCATTCACCTATTCATTAACTCTTTCTTTCTCCTTTCCTTCTTTTCCTCATTTGCATAAAAAAATGTGGGCCTCTGCCGCCATTATGACGCTTCCAGGACGAAGAGAAACTAAAATCTGCAACAGCAACAAGTTTTTTGTAAAAGAAGATTAGAAAAAAAAGATGAACTGTGGGAGGATCCGCTGCCAATTACTCAGACACAGACTCACTTTTTAGAAACCTTATTCCTCCTTTCATGCCACCACAGAAAACTTGGTTTAATGAAGTCAGATAGCTGCGAGGCATGGATGCAAGAATTCACAACTTTTCTGAAGCTACAATGTCAACCATGTGAGTTTGCCAAAAAGAACAATATCACCCTGATTTGAGTGAAAAGAGACTTGGCACTGAGGCGACGGGTTAATGAGGCCTCAGTAGGTTTGTATGTATTCAGCAATCTCCAA